TTATAAGAGGCAAATATTTTGGTAGATCGCCCACTCCACCTTAATCAATAGTTAAAAAATCTCACTCCTTAATTTTTTTTTTTTTAAATGCCATAGTAGTAAATAAAGTGCAGATTAGGCTTATCTATTTTCTGAATCTATCCACGAATAGCCCATTAAAAAGTTGTACAATCTTCAAGTCTCACTGTTGACAGCGGACTTAGAAGTCAAAGTGGTCTCTCATCACAAATTGTTTTGGTTTTGGCCCCCTCAGATCGTGTCTGAACCGTTTGAGGTTTAAACCGTAAAAACTGCAGAACAGTGTACACGATATTATTTGCTAAGTATCATTGTTTTTATTACTTATCAATAATAAATGCAATTATTATTTTATAATTATTCAATTATTCAGCTATGTAAAATACAATTTAAACATCTGTACTAAAATAATTCATATTTCTCGGAGACAATTGCTTCTCAAATAAACGTTCTTCAATCCACTGGCCGATGGCATTAAGAGTTGTCAAAAATTATTCCTATACTTTGTAGGTATTTTTTTTTTCTAAATGTAAATAACTTTTCGACCAGGAATCTTTATCTGATTATCAACTTCAGGAATGGATTTGGTGGAAAATGTCGTCATTGGTAATTCGTCATTTTTTTCCTTGTAGTTTCCTTAATGATTTAGAAAAAAATGTTGAAAAACAAATATATTTAAGCAATACAAGTTTTTGTTATTTTCGATTTTGTTTTTTTTTTTTTAACCATACAAATACTAAATACAGAATGTCCTACAGTATTATCAATATTTTTTTTTTCATTCGGGTTCTGTGGAGGGGCACATATGTAGAGAAAAATTAAATTTTTATTTTCATCCCTAAATTATTGAAAAAAAATTATTTTATTTTATCACTTTTTAAAATTTTCAAAATAACTATTTTGTAAAAGATATTATACTAAACATGTTAATGTAACATACATTTATATCCGATCAACAGTTTCTTGGTAATAGCCGTTTTAATTTCTTGAAAATTACCGTGAAAACAATATATTTTCAATAGAATAACACTTTACGGGACGTTGCTAAACGTAAAAATCGGAACAAGTTTACTAGGAAAAAACGTATCCACAATTTAGAACAAAGTAAAAAGAAAAAAAGAAATAAACGTCTTAGTAAAACCAATAGCTACCTCGCTGCGCTCGGAATCTAAAATTTAATTTTTAACTACATATGTGTCCCGCCCCTTCACTCAGAACCCGATTGGAAAAAAAATAAATATCGACCGAGTTATTAGCATACGGATAACACTGTAGGACACTGTATACAGAGTGATATCATTGGGATATCTTGGAAAGTATTGATTTCTTTTTGTTTTTACATTTTAATTAACAGACAAGGAATCCTAAAATGTTAGGTACGTTACCATTATTTTCTGTCACCGCCTTATTTTTACGGGTGAACAAACTAGCTACGGTAGTTTTGATTTTCAAATGGCAACCTATATGTTATTGACAATTCCATAAATAGACGGAGTATTAGTTAAAACACAATTAGGCGTTGGCATTTTTGATTTCCGTCAGCCCGTTGACGAGATATTCCACGTTTAAGTATGCGTAGGGGGTGAGTAGTTAGCGGAACACTATTAAAACGCCGCGCGTTGTGCGTGTGTGCAGTAAATGTGTATAATTTACGTCACAAACGGCGCCCACTACTCTCAACCGCCTTGAGTTTTGGGAACGTTTGGTAGTATTGGTAGGTCGTAGGCGCCTAAATTTGATGCGACACATTTTTTTCTAAATCGAACTACTATATCCCCATCATAGGACATAGCTATATAGAGCTATATAAGTTTAACTCGGAATTCGGTGTACCACCCTCACGGCACTCAACAACGAGCCCGTAAATGCCATCGATCCGTTGGGTTTATTGTACCGTTGCGGTGCTGTTTCATGCATTTATTCAATATCTGCGTCGATGATAAGTGATAAGTGATAACAATCCGAAGAAAGGTCAACGGTTATTTTTTTATGACAAATTATACATAGCAATGAACGATTAATTTTATAATTCAAATACATCAAACTAGTCCTGTATCAAAAAAAAAAATGCTATTGGATATTTGTATGTGTATTTTTTTTGTTTTGTGTGTATACCTATATAGTTGTATATTATAATGATAGTTATGTGACGTAAACATAATTGTTTTTTTTTTAAAAATAAAAAATATTAAATAATGAATGAAAAATAAATTATAAAAATTACTAATTCGCGCGATATAATAGAACGATTAAAGATAATATATGTTTTGTTTAACCAATGGGCTGAAAAGGCTGCAGCCTAGGACGCCAACTGCTCAATGTTAAATCAGAGGGGGGGGTGCAATAAAACACTTTTTTTCTCTTTTTTAATTAACTTCTTTACATAAAAGATAGTTATAGGATATTGTAACGCCCTCTTGAATTCTTGAACCAGGGTAAATGGCCGATTTACGATGCCAATAGTTGGTGATGAACGAAAAAAAAAAAGAGCCCAGCCTACAACTGGTAGCAAATCCATTAATCGGGCACTGATCGGGTTGAATAGAAAGACCAAAGGTAGATTAATCCACCATGACAAGACCATAATCGGAAAGTTATCCTTATCACTTATCATCGATGTAAATATTGAATAAATGCATGAAAAACAGTACAAGTAAAAAAATCCACTGGATTTATGGAATTAATGTCACTCAAAAACACAAAAGTTCAAAATAGCATAAGTAATTAAAAATAATATAGTATATACCTTCATAAAAAATCGTCAACTGTAAAATTCTATAATATTGTAATACTTTCTAGAGCAGTGTTTCCCTATGGGTCACGATGAAAGTAAAATATTTTGATTATAATATAATAAAATAGAAAAAATAAAAAATATATTATGAAGAATAATAAGAAAATAAGCAAATGTGAAAAACCGAAAAAAACGCAGGAAAAACTGAAAATTTACAAAATATATACGTACCGAGAAAAAACTGGGAAATTCGATACAATATTAAACAAATATTATTAAAGAAAATGTATGATGTCTATTTAATTATTTTACCATAATATGACATATATATTGTTGACAGAGCATCACTATTAACTGAACTCCGTTCACAATCGTTTTTTAGTTAGTAATGGTTGATCATTGCTTACAGATAAACATTAAATTCCCTTCTGCATCCTACCTTCCCAACTTCCCGCCTACAACAGTGGCTGCACCCCCCATTATCCTTGAGCAGTTTTTTTTAATATGGGTCGCTATAACAAAAAGGTTGGAAACCACTGTTCTAGAGTAAAAAAAAATTCTAAAATACCTATCCCACAGTTCTATAATCATTGTTCCCAACATAATCAATTATTAAACAAATGAAAAATGTAGATATAACAATAAACGTAATATTATGTTAAACATTTAGTCGATGTATAGGTATTAAGATATATATTAGACTATATTAAAGAATAATTATTATTAATGATCTCTACAGAGTACACGTATACTAATTCAGAATGCTTTTTTTATACACATACGTATCAGATATAAATAAATAATTAACTAATATAGTATATATATATATATATACACATTACTTATGTATTCATTTAGCTACATTTCGTATATAAATGCAAAGTGATGTATTTAAATAAGTAATGCAGTAATTACCTACACCTGAATATTGTTTATACTTATTAAAATTAAACTCGTTGGAATGGTTATTGATTCAATAATATATTAACTATATTGAGGTATTAGATATAAGTAGGCACTTTCAGTGTTAGAATTAATTATGTTAAAAGCTGTATGAAAAAATTCAGATTTCCAATACTATCAAATCACATTAATCAAATATAAGTGTAAAACCTCATTGAAGTTGATAAATGGTAAAATCAGACGCGAATCTAAGATACTCTCTTTTTCTTTTATAAAATTATAAAAGTATACCTACCTACTTCTATCAGATATTATAATTTATTGTAATTTTGTTATTCACATTCCCTAAACACACGACACAGATTTTAAACTAATTAATAAAATCCTAAATTACAAACTATATTATTAATATTAATAAAATAAAAATAACTAGTCAAACATTGGTTAAAAATAAATATGCACATACCTACTACACATACATATATCATGTAATATGTATGATGACGTATACTTAATACATTTTAATTAATGCGAGTATATTAAAATGTACATTAAATAAAATACTTAAACCCAGTCTTAATTAACAAAAAAAATAGAATATAAATAATAGTTGTGAATTTTTAGGAGTGCACTTTTTTGCTGATTGTAAACGTAGCTTTCTTAAAACAGTTTGAACCATTTAATAATAATGAATTTAAATTGTGAAACTTTTATTTGGCTTTATGAAATTTTAAATTTTTAGGTCTATTTTATTACTTTAAAGAGCATTTTTCTATTTTTGGTTAATATTACAATATTTGTCTTCATTTTTAAATTAATTTAAAATTGTCTAATTTACACAGTCAGTATAATATACTTCATACTGATATTTGATATCCTCATTGTAATATATTTTACACAAGCTGTTACGAGTAATTTGTTACTATTATTGACGATACAATAAAGTAAGGGGTATTACGGTGAGTAATTGTGATATATCACTTTGTAGTAAATTTCCTAAGTAAGCAAGTATGTGTAATTTAGGTGTTGTCGTTTAGTATTTTAGCATGTTTGTAAATTTTAAATGCACTTTTAAAAGATTTTATAGTGCATTTAATTCATAACTCGATATGTTATAAAAACAAAAAAAAAAATTGAATAAGTATTCCTAAGTATTATTGGGGAAAAGTAAGTAGACATTCTGGTCCCATAAATATTTTAAGTTATAATTTTGGTTTTGTTACCATGATATAGTTAATATTTTGACTACTGGGATACGATTAAGGAAAAATGTTAGGATAACTGAAAAAAGTTAAAAAATTAAACTAAAAAAAAAAAAAAAAAACAATAAAATATGGTATGAATTCGATAATAGTAAAATGATCTCATGTTAGCTAGTACCGAATCATGTATAATGTTAAGTTACAATAAATAATATTACCTAATAAACATAATAATAATTAATAATAGTAATAATAATAATAATAATAATAATAATAATAAATCATAATCAAAATTATAAAATTAAAACCCACTGGTGTGATGTGGGAAAATAAGAAAGTCAATAATAAACACAACTCTAAACAACTATACAACAACAAGTCATCTATAATGGCAGAAATGGACCTAATTAAACTTTTGAGTAACAAAAAGATTCAACATTGTAATTATTAAAAGATTTAGTACAAATCATTCTTTTTAAATCTTTAGTGGAAAATCTTATTAGATAAATACATTTTTTGTATTAGGAGATTATTCACACTGAACTGACATTTTTAAATCAGTACTGGACCTGCACCAAACCAACAAATTATCATTCAGTTATTAATTTATGTTCTGATTTATATCAAACATACCAACACCACACACACACACTACCTGGGTCAAACGTTCTATAAAACAATGCTTTGTCAGTGTGTCATGTCTGTTGATGTCAGCAAGATTTATGTTAATGGGGTATGACGTTTATTAACCAAAAAAGAATATAGATTGATGTAATTTACAAAAATATTAATCTAACACAAAGATATTCTAAAGTAAATCCTGGAATATATTGGATAAATTTATTTGCCACTTGTCAGTGAAAAAAGTTGTGTGCAAGTGATTATGTAGCAATTTGTCTGATTACATTTGAACTCGTTCGCTCAATCAGACATATTCATACATATTGTGACAATACAAAAATGTTTGTTTTAGTGTTATAATTTAATTGGTTAATCTGCAGGGTCATCATTAATTTGTTGTATTTTAAATAATATATGGAATGTACTATATTTCTGCAGTATCACGAGTAAGTAAATTTAATAACGAGTAGTGTATTAGTGAATTTTCCCAATGTAATTGAGGCTTAATTACAAAATTTGTCTTCATTATCTTCAAAAGAGACGCATAAACAAAATTCATACTCAATTTATCAAATAATCCAAAATATAAATTGTGTTTTTGTTAGAATCATCTATAGCAATAGCCACCATGGTTTGATGGACAAGTGCTTAAAAACATTATTTTAAAATAAACAATTCAGGAGAAACTACTCATACATAGTTAACTGAAGTGTTGTTAATTATAATTGTCAGTGAAAAGTGAAAAAAATGTGAATTTTCCCTGAAATGTTTGGTAAGGATTTATGGACCCTAGTACTAGCCTGTGAATGTCGGTTCAGTGTGAATCCTTTAATCAGACATTAATAAGAATATTATAATCAATACAAAATCTGAATCATACATTATTGGTAACAAAAAAAAAAAAAATAATAAATAAAAAAAATTATAATAAGAACACAAATAAAAATCATGGACGGCAAATATGCGAATGTGAATAGTACAATATTTTGTATTTCATAGTAATAGATATTCTTAGTAATTATAAATGGACAAAAATATCACTAAAATTATTATCTAACTAGAATGATGAATTTTCACAAATTAACTAACTATTAGTAATAATATTTGTATTGTGGGACACAAATACATATTAAGTAATGAGTATTTTAATATGAGAAACAACAAAAATTATTGTATTATTTATGTAATCTATTGCTCGTCCATTGCTATAAATAATAATACTATAATATTGCTATCTACGAAGAAAAAAAAAAAAACAAAAATGTCCTTATGTATAATGATTACGGTGTTGTTAAATTACAGGATTAATTTGCATATTCTGCTTACAAAACATACAAAAAAAAAACCGTAAGATTAAAGTGCAATACACTATTTTATTTATAAATCATACAAATGAAAATATAAATTATAAATATACTGTATATATATTAAAAAAAAAAACAAATATAATTAATATAATAACCTACTTAATGTAAGTATATAACATATTAGTGGATAGGGTTTAGTAGAAATCAAATGGCACGAGGTAGGAGGGGAGGAGGAATAAAATTAATCCGTTATCTATCGATATATATTTTTTTTTTTTAAATACATTAATAAAACAATTGGATATACACACAACCGCACATTTACTAGGGTAGTTATTAATAATGTCTTATGTATAATAATATGTAAAATACTTTTGAGTACACATATTGTTAATCCTATTGAGTTAAGTAAGTTTTTTATTGTTAATTTTAGAACACATACACAGCATAAAACCTAATCTATAATACTAATAAATATGTAGTTTGTAAAAAAAAAAAAGCATTGTATCTAAAAGTTGCCTTATAACTAAAGGTTTTGATAGTTGTGAACTTGGACACTTTTGTTCGCTTTTCACTGTTTTCGGAAAATAATTATAACTGTTTGGTAGTTGTTCTGAAATGTATAATGTTATTATGATATAAATTTTAATTATTTTATTTGATTAATAACAAGGGTACGACAATTTAATATTGTAATAAATTGTAATAATATGTACAAAGTTTTTTGATTAAAATATTCACAGTAATGAATGAAAATGCAAAGGGATTTGGCTATTTCTGAAGTAAAAAAGAACATAAATTCATAATTTATATTTAAAAGTATATTCATGTTTAACTTAAACCATATACAAAAAGAAAGTAGGTTACACTTAGGAAATTGCATTAGCATTATTTATGTTTTATAGATTCCATTATTATCAGCTAAGTGAAGAAAATTAATGACTATACAGTATCATTATAGTAAAAATGAAGTATTTATTAATTTAATTGATGTTAGTAATCAGTCAATAAGGCTTCCAAGCAGATTTAAATAAGACCTTTCAAATTTATAGAATTATATACATTTGTTTAGTATAAGGTTGATCCCACACGACTAGTGTATTCAGCTATTGTTGATTGCTGGTGGCCAGTGTTCAATTGTGTGGACATATTGATACAATTGTTGGACACTGGCCATTTTCTATCTACTGCCGGTAAATCTCACATAGGTGAAAGAAATGCTGATATTTATAATAGAGCTCCCATTCAACTTGAAAAGTGATTGCAAAGTAGTTAATAAGTTAATAACTAATTTTTACGTACATATCATACATTATTAAATTTATCTACATTACATTTATAGATAAATTAAATTAAAAATAATTTAAACAATATAAACACTAGAAAAATATAACCAATTCTACGTTATAGCTAACGGCTAAAACACATGAGCTAAAATTGACTCCAGTATAAACCTTTTATAAACTAAATTCTTTATATTAAATTTTTATATTATAAATATTATACATTTTAAATTACCAGTGATTATGACTTTGTTTAAAATTCTAATGACTGATCTGCACTTCCTTCAACTTCTGAATCTCCATCCTCATCATCCATATCAGTGTCACTATCTATAACTCCATTGTCAATTGATTTGTTTTTTTGATTATCTTCATTACCATACCATAAAGCTGCTACATGTTTAACACCATATTCAAATTTTAGTTTGTGTTTATATGCTATATATTTAGTAAGTTTAACCTATAATAAACTTACAGCAATTTGGTTTTCCTCTAACGCGTGAGTTTGGTACTTCTACACCATGTTTATCTACACACCAGCACATACCAACTGCAGAATGACATTGTGTGTGCTCATAATATCCTTCAGCGTCACAAGCAGGCACATATACACCTAAAAATAAAATTTATAGAATAAAATAATAGAATCAAAAATAAATATAATGCAGTATATAGCAAATTTTTACCTAAAGAATTTGGTGATATTCTGTGTTTGATAGCTGTGCATGGACGATCAGTTTTGTCAAAACATTGACACCATTCATAAGGAGTTACAAAAATATCACTAAAATAAAAACAGAACCAATTGAACTTAATAATTTTGTTGGTTTATTAATCATTTGAAATCCATACCCGTCAGTATCACAAGTATCCAAGAATGGTTTAATGCACATTTCATTTTTGTCGTGTTCCAAGTCATAAAGTTCTTGTAATGACAATTTACCATCTGAATCTAAGTCCAGATGTTGATACATCCAACGAACTTCCCATTTACATCCATTAATGAATTTAACCGCTACAAACCATCCCAAATTAGTATATAATGTATTTAATCAAATTTGATTCTATATTACGTATTACCTTTTCCTTTATTCTTTGTACGCCTACGTTTGGCATCAGCCATGATTACTGAAAACCAATCCAATAAGCGATCACCCATTGAGTGCAATGCAGATGGCGGACAGTCCTTATTCCAAGAAGGATGAGATACTTGGTTTGTTGCAATTATTTCATTATCTATATTTTCATGACGTTTATCTTTTATTGGTTCCACAATAGAATTCTATAAGTAAAGTTAATATGCATATTAGAGTAATTTTTTTTAAATAACTTAATTTACTAACCTTGGATATCTGGTTATTATTTTTGATGTACTTAATATATTTGTAGTGTTTGTTCTCATACTTGAAATCTTCTGGTGCAAAAATGTATTTTTCTTCATATTTGGATACCGGAGCAGCAGTACTCTGTTTCAACTTCTCACTTTCCAGTGTTGCTTTATATTTGTTCATAAAGTTTGTCATACGTTCAGCTTGTTTTTGTTTTTTTCGTTCAACATCTTCTTGCTCTAAAAGAAAAAATAGTTAAAAATCATAATAATATTTTTAAGGAACGGTTTATGAATGTAATCTATTTAGAGTATTTGTTTATTTTAGATACCTTTGCACGGACAGAATCCTTTGCAGTTTACTTTTATGTTGGTTGTGTGAAGACAATTATGATAATCTAAACGGCATAGCGAGCTATAAGTACGGTTGTCAGAACCACATAAGAATGTAGGTTTCATTACAGGGCATGGATTGCACCTACTGTAAATTTAAATTGCATTAGTATCATCAAAATTATAAAGGTAGTCATTAAATAGGTACCATTAGTCTTAACAACATTCAACATATGAACTGATCACAATGAATTTAATTATTAAATAATTGCTTGTCTCTTAAATCCTAATAGAATATTAAAAATATTAAATTGAAAATACATATTTCCATATTCATAAAATGATTGTCAAACAAAATACTAAAAGTAATAGAGTAAAAATATCTTCTATGTTTATTACTGTAACAATTTGATTAATTTTATTAACTATTAAATAATTTTATTCATATATCTGAAAAGAATTTCAAAAGAAATATTTTATTTAAATGAAACTCAATTGTTGTCTTCCTATTTTTTTAATGCGAGAAAGTTGTGAAACTATTCAATGTGGGATGATCCAATATAAAATGATCAACCCACAATATATCATTAAAACATAACCATTTTATTAGGTAAACATTATATTATACAAGTTTATATATATGGTATTGGCCAAATTATGTGTTGTATTCAACTATTTATGAAAAATAAAAAAGGTTATACACATAGTGATTCTAAATGATATATTTGAAAAATAACTTTCTTGTTGTGAGAAAAAAAAATTTGAATATCTATGCAATTATTTAATATTTTAATAAATATTTATTACCAATAGATTTATGAAGGTATAATTAGATATTAAGATCTAAAATGAGTTTAATTAAGAAAATATAATACATGTAGAACCGTCATTCAATTTTTAGACGCAGACACAAGTTTCCACCATATAAATATACAAAAATTTGAATGTTACATTAGAATTGGATTTAGGTCAATGACTCATATTGTTACCTAGTTTATAAAACGTTATTACACTCCCCTTCCAAATCCAAATAGAAGTAAATATTATACATAAAAATAAATATATGTTAATAGATTTACTGGTTAACTAGATTTGATTATAAATAAAATTAAGATTACAAGGTGCATTAATTTAGGTTCTACTGTTTATCAGTTATATTGCATTATAGAAAAAAAATAAATTTATTTACTTATTTGATGACAACGAACTACTAATGCCGCTATCGTAAAATATATCATCATCATCTTCTTCGTCTTCTTCGATGTCATCGTCATCATCATCATCATCCTCATCTTCAGCTAAAGCCTCATCTAGAGCCTTTTTACGAGCTGCTTCTTCGGCCATAAATTTCTCTCGACTAATGACCACATCTCCATTCTTATGGATTTCTTTTTTACTTACACACACTGCGGTGTATGCGTCTTCTAATAAACACAATTCTTTTTTCTTGCATCGTAGCGGTGTGCACAGGTCACCTGAAATTAAACACAAATATTTAGTGAAATAGGAAAAAAAAGGCTGATAATGCTGATAGGTGTACCGCTGTTATGGGTGGGAGGGAAGTTGAGAAGGTAGAATAAATAGAGTAAATTTAATTATTTATTTAGGTATGTAATGATAAATCAAGCTACCTAATGAAAAACGAAAAAAGAGTGAAGTTCGGTTAAACAATTTTTGAAATGCAGTTATTTTTACAATGTTCATACAACTTTAAACTTTAAACGATATAAACAAAAATTACTATAACATGTTTAGCTTTTTTTTTTTATCATTATGTACAACTTATAATGAATCTCAGAACAACAGAAATGTTGTTTACAAACAGAAATAAAAACAAGGTAAAACCAACACTCTTCCCTTCGTTTATAATATAACAAAATACAAACACATTTATAAATTATTCAAAAAAATTATTTTAAAAAGTTCGACTGCTGGGCTTCTTTTATTATTGTTATCTACTATATATATCAGAAATGAAAAAAATTATAAAACCGTATTTTTGTCGATAGATTCATTTTTTAAATATCGAAAAACACACCCTTTTTTATTTAAAAAAAATATATGTACATATATTTATTTAGTATTTACGGTGTGGAAGAATTCTTAATATTAAAATAAAAACTATACTTAACTTTTGTTTAAATAACAAATGTTATGAATAATACAATAATTATATTATTTATTATAGTTTTTAATAATTTACATTCAAAGTTGAAAATTGTATAAAAATATTTGTTACAAACAATTAATATTTGAATTATGCTTTAAAACTTTAGCGCTGTGAAATATTTAAATTGTAAACAATATGTAAATCTTTATGATGTATACAGACGATTACAATAATTTTACAACTTCAATATTTATTAGAAATTGTTATGCATTTCAAAATATAAACGAAATTCAAAATTGCATCATCATAAAAATCGACCTTCTACCTACCTACATACTTTATAAAAGTACTTTAGGTATATGCTGAAAATACAATACCTACCTACCCAAACGAATTTTGATAGAATATTTATGAAAATAGGAAGGGACCATTAACATTTCCAAAATTTAATAGAAAACACAATAGGTACGTGTAATGAATATTAATATTTTAGATGTATTATCTACACCACTTGTGTGTACCCATAGTCCCTTCTTAATATACAAACACAAACCTGGTCGATACCCGACAATTGAAGTATATATAAGCGTTTTCGGTAGGTTAGCTATACACACGGTTAGCTCTTTAACCTGTCAAATACGGAAGACATATTATTAGAACCGCGCCCACTTTTTTTTTTAATATAAAAATGATGTTTAGAAAAAAAAAAATGAAGTATTAGGTAGGTATATACTGTACCTTAGGTACCGATAATGCGCCACACCCAGTGACACCCTAGCTATAAGACATATATACACAAACTCGAAACCCGACTAGCTATAAGAAGACTTTTAAGTTTTAGGTTATGAAGACCCACAAGTACTTCGGTCTTATGAAATGCTCTTCCAGTTTTAATTCCATCGTATAAGAAAATGGCATACATCCCATTTACGTGTACAGTCGTAAAATGCTTTTTATTGCACTCTGGAGATTATTTTCGGAACAAATGTAATAATTCTTCTGTCACAACACTATTAAAATGCAAATTTTAAAACGTTCGAACACCCTATATAGTACATAATATATTATGCAGGTACAGTATTATGCAAAACTGTCCTTTTAACCACATCCGCAAATGGAACGTTCTGGAGGACTGGAAAAGCAAACATAATTAATATTGATACTTACTATTTGGATCGTTAATCCACTTCTTTTTGTCTCCAAACTTGCCGATATCATTTGGCTTTGAATTTTCCTGGAAATAAATATAATGTTTAAGATTAATTATTGTAGGTATATATACCACGTAAATAAAAACAAATCCATCAATATAATATTGTAATCGTAGCTGTTCAGTTTCACTTTTTATCATAATATAAAAAACCAACATTTTATTTTTTCATTTTCTATTCAAATGCGTTCAAGTGCTAAAATTAACAATTGTTTTTCAAAATAATTGTAAATTTACCTGCCGCAGTCGAAGAATAAGAAATTCGAATATCCTTAATTCCGGGTGTCTCAACAATGTTATATATAGTTCCGTCAACATTACATATTATTTCATGTTTATATAATAATATCAATGACGTCATGAATTCTATTTTATGGAAAGATACTCGGAATTGTAATCAATTACAGTCAATTGTAGTCAATCATTACGAATAAATTTTAAAAAAAATTGTGTTATTACGTCATTCGGGTTATACTGTACTTATAGTAGATAATACTATTAAACACGAATAAAAATTGTTTTATTATTTCGAAACCTCGGATTTATGTATTAGCGTATTAAAGGAATTTTATTAAAATAATAACGATACGATGAAAAAATGAATAATTATTATTATTTCGCGAATAACAACGGCGTTGAAATATAGAAATGGAAATTGCCACGTAAAATATATTGTTATAAACTTAAAATTTAAGATGTTTGTTACGCAAATAGTATTAAAGAAAAGGTCAAATGTTGTAGGTACCTATATATGCATTAACAGAATATTGCATTACAGTTGGGATGTACCTAATGTATGGAACGGTATACGTTTCAAAATGAACGTATGTATAGGTAAATTGTTTGTTTTCGAAATTACATTGGAGTACATAGTAAAATATTTGTTTAGGATTACCGAGAGGAGAGCGTGTATTATATATTTTTCCCTAATAGAATCTCCTTATAATATATGGATATGGATATCATCGTTCAGACGAATAATGATTGGAGACGTTTTTTTCAATACATACCTGCATAAAATATGTCAATTCTAAAAAACCAACGGGCATTCTTTTCCATAAAACAACATTGGAATTTCATTTGTTAATAACAGTATTAGCACCGAATACTGAACATTTAACATTATTAATTTTTCAACAATAATTAAACTTTATTAACCACGAACGTGTATAGTCCCCTAGATAATATTATAGTGCATGGATTAATAAATATTAATTTTAGTTTTAAAGTACAAATCAAATTATAAATGTATAACCTTTCGCCCTCATTACCAGTGTATTACATATGAATATAATTTTCCGGGCATAATAATATTAGATTATATATTTTTTATAAGTTGTTTCGAATGTTAATGGATGGGTAGTTTTCATCAAAAAAAAAAAAAAAAAAATTCTACACTATTTCGCAAACGCGATACATCAAAATATGATATACAACGATTATTTTCGGTATAGATACACATCAGATTTAACGATATTCACTGGGAAACGATTATAATACGCCATATTATACATAATAATGGTAGATACATATTATTGTGGATATTAAAAATTATACGAACACAATAGAACACGATTATCGTCATTTACGGGGATAAATCTATTGTATGTAGTATGAAAAAACTTATCGCCAATGATCTATTTAAAGTGAATTCAAATATTGGAAAATTATAAATCGTATGTATTTAAAATCTAAAATAAAAAACGCTGCAAAATTATAACTACGACCTACCTATGTTACCTATGGCATAATAACATAAATGTCACCAGTGGCGTATTTACGACTTGTTTTTATTTAGGGAGCGGGTTAATTAAAAAATTCATCGACTGATAATAATTATTAGTTCTCTGGTAATGTATCGAAAAATCCATAAACTATTATCGATCAATATGGATCACAGGGATTACTTAGAAGTGCTACTACGGTTTAACGCGGCTTTGACATGATCATAAACCGGAATAAGTGAAGATAACACGACAAATACATTTTCCTGCATGAAAAAAAAAATCAATTTTTTTTGATGTTATAATTCGTAAAATGTATGATTTATTAGTTACAAAAAAAAAAATGTTTCTAAAGAGGACGTGATTGTAATTCGATTGTTAACACTGTTTTATACGGCAAAAACTAATCGCGGACTCCATAGATTTTTAGTGTATTAAAATCAAATGGCAATTATACAAATTTAAAAATATTAAAGTGGATCGTGCAATTTCTCCTGCCAAACTTACCCCTAGGATACGAACCAAAGACGCCACTGTTAGTACGTAAAAGGGTTTTTCGAAGGGTTTCGTGAAGACAGAACAAAATATTAATTCTTAAAGAAGGCGTTTTTTGAGGTAAAATGATGATAAAAGATCTACGTACCTACATATATACATAATATTATACAGACGGCATAATATAATTTAATTTAACAGTCGTTTATTCTCACTTATACATTACGCGAACGGTAAATGGACACGGTCAACGTATTCTATCCGTCATAATAAGTACAACCAGGCTTAAGTAGTTAAGGGAGGGATGAATATGGTTACAACCCTCTCTTTAAGTTTTTGACAACTACTCTGGAAAAAAAATTCATCAAAAGTTATACGTATAAAACTCGGAGGACGACCGTTTTTGGTTCTTCAATTTTATAAAACACCACATTAGTTATACCTAGCGAAATTTGTATTACATAGAGTTCGTAATGTTCATATTATAAATTATTGTAGTTTTTCGATTTTACAACTGATGCACTGATACTATTATTGTAAAATGCATATATGCTATAAGAATTAAATTATTATTATTATGTTTGTTTGTATTTGTTTGTTTTTACTTATTATGGAGTATTTGTGATTGGTGACGATGGAATATATAATATAAATAGGTTTTATACATATTTAATTTTTTTAATTTTTGACATGTCTGGTTTTGAAGGACAAATAAATACGTACTAAAATGATTGTTAGGCGCATTAAAATTGTCTTAAAAGTGTTTAATCGATTTTTGACAGAAATAAAGCGTATTTAAACTATACTTAAAAAGCATTCCACATATCATTATTCTAGGACTTGTTACATTCGAACACTAAGAAACCCGCGTCGAGCTAAAAGATAAAATAAAAAAAAAAAAACCTTTAAGTCGGTTTATAGTAGGTAATAGCAGTTTTAGGTATAGAATCGAAATCGAAGTCCACCGGGATATATCACTTAATAATGGACTTACAATGCGATTTCGGGAAAAAGTGGAAGTACGGATTTTGGCTTCTTATAGCAGTTCAGACGATATAGCCATCGATATGCACAATTCGCAGGCACGTAGCCAAAGAGGAGTGGGAAGGGGTGGGATTTATCAGGCCACAAATCCCACACCGCGTGAGTTTTTGAACACTCTCTAAACGAACACAAAACGGTCAAATGCGCATAACGCGGTTTTCCAAGATAACAATGCAAACAATTTAAGTTTTGGACATTTTTTTTATTTTTTTTCGAATATTTTTTTTTTTTACATTTATTATAGGTGAGTTGTTGGCAAACGAAATTTGACGAACCCTACGAGAAAATCCTGGGCACGCGTCTATAAAACTGCACTGCGCGCGCGTACACGTTAAATTAAAATTAGGGTGAAACCGCGATTCGCCGCCGACCGTACGGAAAATGGGTCACTTAAGCATTCGCTAGACTGGGCCGGATATTATCCAAATTACCAACTGAAAAATCGATTATTTTTTCTCCGCCGTTGTTGGATCGACTTTATTTGACGATTTTTTCGATTTCGTTAGCAGGTAATCGTTGTACCCCCACCCTCACAAAAAAAAAAAAAATGGTAACTAAATTTGTTTCATACATTTCCCCGGAAATTCGAGAAAAAGTCAATGCCTTCCGAGATGATAACGATACAGCGTTTCTAGTCGAGAATTGATCGCCCCTGTTTGGCACACGAAATCGAAATTTATTGCAGACTTAAAAAAAAAATAATAATAATATACTATAGAGCGGGGCGAACGTATACGAGTCACCTCCCCTCCCGACTGTCCCCCACTGCCGCCGCCAAATAACGCCGTTGGTTCGAGTGCACGAATACCGTATAAAAATTTAATATCATCCGCGTACAACGTTTATAATTAAATAAAACGGAAAGCGCGCGCGACGTCAAACGCGTGACGTTTAATTCCGCCGTCGGAGAGGAAAAGACGGTTTCTTTTTTTACCCCCACATCACGGCGGCTGCGGCATAATATTTTATGAATTATTAAACCGCCGTTGCGTCGTCGTGTGGAGTCAACGAGTGATTTTTTTTCCTCTCCCCCCCCCGCTTGCCGCTCGACATTGGCGGAGGGTATGGTAGGAGAGGGGGCGGAACACCCGACACCACGACTGCTCACCGACACTACTGGTATACCTATTTTATTTACATTAATAATAATATAGTTTTTATAACGCGGAAATGGTCATAATTATACGCTATCAAGAGAAATAGCGTACTAGCTGTTGTCGTTGTATAGGTACTACACGGCGGCGGCGGCCGCGAGGGGTAAATCGCGCAAAAGTAAAAGCGAAGGATGCGGACGACGATGAAAACGGCGGCGGCGGCGGCGGCGGGACGAGCGCGCGTGTAAACGGGTAAAGCCGTGTCGTATAAAGACCTCGTATATACCGTAGGCGGCGGCAGCAGCAACGGTGGCTGCGGCAGAGGGACCCGCTGCGCTCGTCGTCGGGGGCGGTGGCGTTCGCGGTGGTGTCCCCGCGCGCCGCCGGTCTGCCACCCGCAGCAGTGGTCTGTGTCGGCGGCGGCGGCGGCGGCGATCCGTGTTGGTGGTGTATTGATTTTTATACGACGACGCTGCTGCTACTACTGCTGCTGCTGCTGCTGCTGCTGCCGCCGCTGCCGCCGCCGCCGCCGCCCGCCAGTGACGGTCTAGGCGTATACGGCCGCCTCGCCACCCGGCCGCCGCTGCACCGACACGCCACCGGTACACGGTGCGCGCTTCACGCACCACGCTCTACTCTGTGCGCGTGTTCGATTGGCCTCCAAAACCATATTTCAACCCTCCCGTCAACCCCAAACACCCGGAAAAATTTTACCCTACTACCTCTACCTGGGGCAATTGCCATTATCGTCGTCATAATCGCCGCATCGTCCATTATGGATGGACTGATTCTGTCGAATCAATACGACCACCACATGATAAAAAAAAAAAAAATGATAATAATTTAATTTTCTGACGTAGGTAATGCCTATACGTGTTAAACTTACGGCGAAATTGTTTTAACTCGTCGGCCTATTTACGACCGAAACAGCGCTCACGTCCCTTCTCCCCCTGCCGATATAATATATTAATTCGCCGTAAGTATCAACGATTAAACCTTGTCGAGTACGACGGCTAAGTGGGAATAGTACTCGAAATAAATCGAATTTACATAATTAGATAAGTCGCGAGTTGCTAACGCCAAAGACAAACACCCGAACACATGATGCGTATGATCGCATATATGATTTGCGCTGTGCGGATAAACGGGGGGAAAAGTTCCCAAATATACGTCATATTTTAATTTATAAGAAATTTGATTTTATAGAACCTATTTTTTCAAACAAATATAATATTAACCATATCTATTTGTACCTATATAGAATTATTGTAGTGTACACATAGGTACCGGCGGCAATTTGTTTAATGGAACATTGAGTAGGTAGGTACATAGTTTTTATAAAAAAATGTTTGTAGATATTATTAATTTAATACAGCTGCTAGTAATAATGTATAGTACTGAATAATAATTGAAGCATCTTGTTCCATCAATATAGGTAATAATTGTATTATATATTAGACGCCCCGTGGCTTTTATACATAAATTACCATATAAAAATATAATACCTCAAAGACACTATATAGAGAACTCGTTGAAATATATAATTAATAATTATATTAAAATAGGTACAAATTTTAATGAACTCAAAGGGGTATTATAAGAACACCGTCGTAAAATAAATCACAGTTAATACCATTAATAGTTTTCATCGTTGGCACTTAATGAGGTTCCGCCACTTGCCCGCGCCTATAATAATGCACTGGGGTTCGGTAATAAGCCATTTTATATACAAGCCGAGCACGTGTATTATGATAAAACGGGAAATCGAGTACGCATAGTAAAATGTACGTGTGAGCATCCGAGAACTTTTGAAAATTCAAAATTCGAACAAACTTACGCCACTGCGAACTTCTGCATTATAATTTATTATACATAAATATTATTTTTAAGTCTAATACTATAGACAATAATAGCAGTTAGTAGGTTAAAACATTCCCAGTGATGTTTTGACATATTCTTCGCGAACAGATGATATATATTATGTATATACCTAAAGTCATATCTTATTACACGTAATGTTATACAATACGAATACTTAAGACCCGCGTATTTGTAAGCCGCACAAATATAAAAATATTTCAGTACAGGTAGGTAGAGACATACTATAGTATAATAACCATTTTTCTCCAAGTTATACACACACACAACATACACGTTAAACTTATTATTTTTAAATCCTTGAACCTTTTTTTTTTTATACGGCAACGAAACGTTATTTATGATTCTATTGTAATATTTTTAAACAACATAAAAATATAATACGTATTATATTACCTCTGTTACTTTTAACTTTTAAGATGGGCATTGAGCAGAGTTATATATCTATACGAGCAATATTTATAAATTATAATATACGGATAGAAACGTCTCGACTGTGTATGATCATGTTTTCTTCGCAATAAATATAATTCAAAAAGAATATCAAATACCACGGCACTACTATAAAAACGTTATTGTATTATAAATTACGATACCAATATTATATAATAACGGTATAAACCAATATATTTATGATTAAAACTTTATATTGTACATATATTTTTTATATATATACACGTTAAAAATACGAAGAAAATTACAAACGATATATAATAATACGCCGACAACAATAATAATCGGACTCGTATAATATATTTGCATGTCTTTCAATAATGAACCGCGATTAGGTACAATTTAAATTGTATTATTATTATATTATCCGTACCGGTATAGGTATAAGTATATTATTATTACGTTACAAAATAATTTTTTGGACATTCAATATCGTTATTCATATACATTACAAAAACCGATATGAACAGCTAAATTCAAAAAGGGCGTTCGGTATTTTAAAATTGTTTAACAAGAAAAAAACCCGATACCTTTGAAAAAATAAAATAACGAGTTAACGTTAAAGTGACTACACTGTTATTATGGTGATGACCGATGTTTGATAAATGTTATCATCGATAAGTTTCAACAGTAATTTTATGAAATATTTAAAAAAAAAAAAGAAAAAAAGACGCTTATAATAAGTAGGTTTTTGTCTTTCTCGGAAAATTTGAACACGTGCGTTTAGCGATTCCAATAATATTTACATTTACATATTTATTCGACTCTATTATACACTGTTATTTCATCAATTCATATTATTTATTATTATTTTGTTGAAATCGGATAAGTCCTATAATATTAAACTATAGTGTATACTCTATAGTATATAATATAATATTATAATTATTTTACTGACTGTGAAATTATCCGGAATACACGATATTATAATAAACTATCAGGCCGTATCATGATTGATTTAATTGTTTCGCTTAACATATTATGCGCAGCTTAAATACGATATAATACTTGACGGTTTTTTCTCGATTATTTACAATAAATAGTTTATTATGGTGCATAATATGTGATATATATATATATTATAATAATAATACCATTGATTATAAAATATACTTTTATACAATCAACGCTAATACCCTTTTGAAAATTATTAAAATCCAAGAGCGCGTAATAAATCGACGCACTCGAGAACCCGCTCTACCGAAACGTTAAACCCCGGCAGCGGCGTATCATAATAACGTAATTAAATTAGATCTGATCAAACGAATTTCATACCAAATGACTGTGATAATATAATTGATCGAATTATTTTCCCTTCGCAAATGCCAATATATTCTAACCATGTATATTATACATAGGTACGACCGCTGTTGCAATTTAACGATCTATATTTCAACGCGACTATGGATATGTATTATAAAAAAAAAAAAAAAAAAACATCAAAAAAATATTTAAACCATACTGTACCTATATACTATACATATATACCTATATATATAATAGGATATTGTGCGAAAATCAAAAGTACCTATTTCTAACGTGTAATACACGTACCACATGCATTCAAACAATAATTTAATCGATTGTATACAAAATAATTATAAAAGTTGTTAGCGAGTGAATACATACGATTTTAATTGAACGGGTATAAATATATTTCATAATTAATAATATAATAGTAGCGGTTAACATTAGAAATATCTACGCCATGTTGAAATGTTTGCTCTACGTTCCACATTTCAAACAAATGTATTATTGTATTTATTTTAAATTTTACCCTTTAAATCTATAAGTAATGTATACTATCGAGTAAGTACTACAACAAAATATTGTTCGTAATCTCAAAAAAACAATTCAAGTACTTTAAACAGACGCCAATACTATTTAGACTTAAAACCAATATTATTATAATAATAACCGAATAAAAGGGACAATTGTTTGGCTTTATTAAGTAAAAAATACCATCAAACATAATATAGGTATAGGTAATATTAAAAAATATACACCGTTTATTTCCCTAAAGGTGTGAACAAACCTGTTATTTACAGCGTACGATATAATGTTATTAATATATTTTACTTTAAAATGTATCAAGTTTTTATTAAAATTATAAATTATATTTATTCTCCAAGGAAAGTCAATTATTTTTATATAGTACCTATCCTTAGGGTATAATACCTAATATACAACATATAAGTTAATTTTTAAACTATTACGCCATCAACTTAATCTGAAAGTTTTTGATTTAAAAAGTTAAGCGATTGGATCTGCAACACACCTACGTGTAAGTTATATTATAACACCAATTTAAAAGTTCAGCACTTCTATATAAATTATTATAAGGTACCCACTTGAAAAAAAAAAAGAAGACAACATAAACTCGTATTGAACACATTTAGTTATGTTTACTGTTATTTTATTAATTCAATTAGGTCTTATTATAGGATAAACAACCAAGATTTAAATGTTGAAGCTATTTCATTTCCCCTGGAAAGTGAAACATTTGTTCAACAATTCGTAAAGTAACGAATATGGGGCGCGTAGTAGACGCATACAATAATCTCACTGAATTAAAATAACGAAACTAAAATTAAGTATTCACAATACAGATAAAAATAAGTTTACAACCCTTCGACAATACTCGTGTGTAATACGTCGCTGATTGTTATCCACAGCGGAATAATTAATGATATTACTATACGAAATAACTATTAGGTAGGTAACTTAAACATGCATTAACAACTATTTGAATAGATTAGTTAATAGGTATAGAATTAGAGTAAAGACACCAGTGAATGGCAATTTAAATAAGGTAAAACATTCTGAAATTCATCAAATTTTAAAAATAAAGCTAAAATCTTTAAATTTATTTTAAATAAAATGTTATTTTCTTCTCTGTATAATGATGTAATATTTAGCTAAACATTTTAAATTTTTCATAAGTAATGAAATTGAAATCATACAATAGAGAATTTTGATGTTTGATTTGTGTTATCATTTCTTATAAATATAATTTTACTATTTTACTACATTAAATATTATATATTATATTCTAACCACATTCGTTGGTATGGTGTCTTTATATCCTAATCATAATATTAATATATAGTTCCAGCCAAGTCGGAAAATGAGTTGAACTCAAGTTTTTTATGTTTTGAGCGTAGCGAGGAATATATCGATTTCACTATGATGTTTGTGTTTAGATTATTTGTTTTATTTTTTTCTATTTGCAAACAACTGTTCTACCAGAAATTCTGCTCCAATCAAAAAATTTTAAATACAAAGTTATGAGAAAATGTTACGTAATTTTAGAAATTATAATATTTAATTATTGACACAACTTGATCGTTACATTATTTAGTAATAAAACTAATATTTCCACTAATTTCAAATAATTAGTTTGAATTTTCTTTAATGACCCAGTTTTATACTTATTATAATATTCTTCTTATTTTGGTATATTCAACTCCTATAAGGTTGGTTTATCATATATTCTCTCCACTCGTCTCTATTACCAGCTAGCCCTTATTCAATTAACTTTAATATTATTATGATATTCTTGGTCGTCCACGGTTTTTTTCGCCATTTATTTTGATATGGGCATAGGAAGTAGATATTAAATTTTACCTTACACAAGGTTTTTTTTTTCATTTTTAATATATAATTTATTTTAAAATATAGGTATACTTACTTATTAATAATAACTTTGAAATAATTCATCATATCGGTAGTCTAATTTGCAATATTTATTATTTTTATCGATCCGATGGAAGACTTTTTCTTCAAAGCGAAAATGTCTATGCATTTTTATTAACACTGCTTTTATAAAATATTATTAATTTTATTTTTTTAATGCTTTTTAACGATGCATTTTTTTCAATTAGAAATATCATCATAAACACAAGATCACATTTTTTGAATTACAACAATTTGGTAATTGGGCGGACCATTTTAAGTTATATATCAACGATCCAGTTCAAGATTGCAACAACTCAAAAAAAATCTAAAATCAAAATCGAGTTAAATACATCACATTTTTCTCATTATCAAAACAATTTAAGAATGCAATAAAAATTAGTTGAAAATTATTGGACACTAGAGAGCTTTTATTATTTATAATTTTAGATAATAACATATTATGTCGATTTTACATATCCTGAAGTTCTAAAGTGAATCGAGTATTGCGATTAATTCGTGTAATTTTATAATATCACGAACAATGGAAACATCAAAACATGTGTGCATATAAAAAGTCGTATTCATACCTACCTATAGTTTATTTCGTGTTTTATGATTGAATTATAAATATTCGTTTAGTTATAGAATTACTCTCCTGTAGAAAAAAAAAGGCCTTTTTCTGTGTTGTTGCAATTTTCGACCGGACAATCGATATGATCAATCGTCAAACGTATATAAAAAAAACACCGTGTTCGGCTCATCGTGTCCCGTCTTTTTTTGATAATAATATGCTATTTCGACGGGTGTTGTGCGCGACGGACGAACACCGACGGACCGTTGCATCTCGTGAATCTCGACTCAATGATGTATACACCTGAATATTAATGTTTTACAATGTAAATATTGTAATATTGTAACGCGTATCCATTATAATAATAATAGTACTAAATAAAATATGGCGTACGGCTATGGCGGCCGCGCGCGGTTGCGAGGTTCGCCCATAACATTAAATTTTGAATATTATTTGTGCGGGAAACGCCGCCGTGATTAGATTGACGCGCGTATGCGGTAAAGATATTGTTATATAAAGCAGAATATTATTACCTACCCACCTAATATTATTATTATTATTATTATTATTATTATTATTATTATAATCACAATGCGCTGCGAAATGATCGGTATCATATCGACCGCATACACAGTGTACATTTACATAATATAGTATAATGTTATCCCGTATAATATGTACGCGCGCGTGTACGCGATGTTTAATGCATTAGGAGAATAATATTAGTACATAATAACAACGATTCAATTGTTATCGGTTTGATTTTTTTTTTTTTTTGTATAAAGGCCGAAGAAAAAGTGGCTATTATATTATAACCTATCTCATCATCTAGGTTATAAGGGCGATACGATGACGGGCGTAGATGAATATCGGGAGACATTAAATGTACATAGGGTGCGGGGGCAGGGCGAGCATTAACGAAGAGTATAGCCTACCAGTGGCGGGACGAACCCGAAATAACCCAGAAGCTACCTATAATCTACCCACGTATCCGCCCACCAATATTTCCCAATATTCCCAGTAGTTTCGCCTATTTTTACCGAATCGATAGTTACCGAATACTTACTAATATTTAGTTATTTTCACATCTAGTATACTCGCCCACCCTTAAATCTTAAAACGAAATCGAGAAGTGAGGGATAAAAGAAAAAAATATTATTATTGATATCAACATCTGACAGAGATTTATTATAAAAAATCGGCTACAATTATTATTAGTTACCAACGTAATATTATTATTGTACACAATATTAGTAACAGGGAGATAAGTCACCATCACGTCGCGAAGGCTTAACGAGATATATCGACTTTTAATGCGTATACCAATTGATACGATCGATTTATTTTGTATTTTTTACTTTCGAATACTTAATAATAATAATTGAACCTGTTTCGATATGATCCAATGTCGACCACGGCGGCTGATCGAAAGAGACGTGTATATATACATAAAACATAATATCGTGTAACTCATAATAATAATAATAATAATAATAAGCCATTGTAAATCATTTTCGTTTCGTAACAATATTATACACTTTCGCGCTATGTAATTTGAATCGAAAATACGATTATTTCGTTTAAATCGGTGCGAGATGAATAAGACGATGTTTAATGATAATATTAATATGATTCACGAATTGAAAACGCAGACGACGGATTTAATTTTAAATCATCGGACGGTTTTCGTCGGGGATTCTTTAATGAGAAATATAATATTATTAATACGCAAGTATTATTGTTATTATTTATTTATAATAAACGAGTACTACGAGCCGGTTATTGGCCAAGTCATCGGATCTTTGCGTAATCGACTCACCCGTGAAGATATTCAATATAAGAAGTAGTTTATATACGAGTGGATAGCGGGTACGAAGAGAAAAAATGAGAGACGAATAAATTGAGACGCCACGGGCATGCTTATAAGAGACAAAGAAAATATGATACAGCCAAAAATACGAGGCAAAGAAAATAAATAACGAGCATTTGTAATTTCTCAAATTTATTTTACATTTACTTATGCACCCATACCCTCATCGCAAATACTCTTCTCTTCTCACACCCGGAAGGTTTCGGGTGTAAGGTCCTTCAAAACCGAAGACGTAGTTTATTTCGAAGGCATCCACTCGAACCATTCAAATAAAATGTTCGCTATTTAATTGCCAAACCTCGAATACATTCTCACATAGGTGAAATGGGCGTAGATCGAATTCAGGGAAAAAGTAGGCCGAATAAAGTCTCTAAGAGGTTATCGGGGGAGATTCAAAAGCACGCGCGATGAAGCAGATGAGAAATGGCGATGAATGATGTGGAGGGAATAACAATATAAAGAGTAGCTGATCCCATCAATATTGCATAAGACAGCAGAATAAGAAGAAGAAGACTGCAGTATAGACACGAAAATATTGCGCGACGAAGGAGCGCGTCTACAATGCGAATAAACCATATGTTTATGCGATACAAACAAAAATGATGACAGATCAAGTCTCTGAGACTGACGACTGCAGGCATCATAAAACATACGGAATAATTAATGTCCGATTTTTCTCGTGAGTTTTTTTTGTGCAGCACGTCGTTTCGTTTATTTATTTATTTATTTTTTTTTTTACGTCGACCGATTACATTGAGAAATCTCTGCGCAACGGTGACGGCGGTTAAACGTGATGGTGAACCTCTTCGCGTAGAATTCCGAATATTATCATTATTATTATATGACGACGACCAGATCCGACCTGATACATATTGGGACGCGAATCACGTTCACGATATACGGAGCCAGTCTACGACGATAAACCAACGCAGACATTTCCTTCTATATTCCATCTATCTATCTCTCTATCTCTCTCTCTCTCTCTCTCTCTCTCTCTCTCGCTCTCTCTCTATCTATCTCGCTTTCTCTCTCTCTCGACCGCTCTCTTTCTCTGAATATAGACTCGACTGGATAAAACGACCTGCAAATCGTCGGCAGAAAAGCTCGTACTCCGGATTAAAAACCGCGACGAATGAGTTTAATACGCGCATGTGTTACACACGTCCCGATAACTGCAACACTAGTACAATATTAAATGCGGACAAATGATACGATAAAACCTAAGGACGCGCGGTGACACTGCTATTGTACTGAATTTCACAAAAAAAAAAAATAGGGGCTCTTATGAATAATTAAACGTGACACTGATTGAAATTTTCGATCCTTATAAGTATCTTCCTAAACTGCTGTGTTTCTTAAACTGTATTCCGCGGAACCCTCATCGTGTTCACGAATAATTCGCAGGGAAGGCCTGGAAAAAGTTAATTCTAATTCTACAACAACTAACCATTTAACGGTAACGAAGTAGGTAATAAAAACGCAAAATTAGCCATAACATGTCACGCATTATGTCCTCCACTGCAGTCAGTTATTGAGCAGTGCGGTAATTTTTAGCAATTTTTAATAAGTGTTAACGATTTTCCTCCGTTGCCCGGCCATGTGCGCACGTATATAATAATTTATTCAATTTGTTATAATAATATTACCACCAATGTGAGTAAACAAAATAGGTTAAATTCCCTTTTTAAAATAAACAATTATATTTGTATATTTTAGGGGTTCCGCATAAAAAATATTATTGTTTGGTGTGCCGAAATATCAAAAAATTTAAGAAACACTGTCCAAAAGTATAGTTATGTATTTTTATAAAGTATACATTTTTTATTGATCATCGGTCAATGGGCCATTGGGTGGGCGGGTGTGTGGGTTGTATGCTCTTAAACAAATAAGATGTTTTGAAACACCGTTTTTTAATGAACATGGCGCCACTATAGATAGATAAAATATACAGAGTTCTCTTCTATATGGCGGGGAAAAGTAAGTAATTTTATACGTTTGGCCTTTTTTTAGTCAAATAACAAAATAACATGTATTATTCCAGATAGATAATGTACGATTTTTTACAATTTACTAATATAAAGTTTTAAAATAAAAGGTGTATAAAATATTTCAAATTTTTGGGTAGGTTTTTCAATAATGCAGTTCTTCACCAGACTATTCGTGGGTTAAACTTACTTAGAGAATAAACTCCCGAATAAAGTGATAAGTGTTTTTCTATATAATTTTATCTTCCAGATGGCTATTTGACGAACATAAGTTATTCGGTAGATACTGGTAATGATTTTAATAATATAATAGTATGTTGTAGAACAAATTGAAATGAAAAACTTCATTATAATTGATCGAAATTCTTACTGTCTAATCAGTGATCGAACAAAATTTGTTTGCATTGTTTTCGTTATCACTCGTTAAAACGCACGTTTTATTTTGAGCTCATACACTACCTACTCAAACTATCTAGTCTAAGACAAAAGTAATCGCAATCTTGCTATTTTAATACTGATATCGCGTACAATTATTAATGATTCTTTATTTTTGGTAACACCCATAAAGTGTCCAGTAGTAATTTAAAAAATGTTCAATCATATAAAATCGTAGTGTAAAAAGTAGTTTGGTAATGGATGTTAAAACATCAAAGTTTCTAAATAAATAAAATATAGTCTGAAATTTATTAATGCATTAGGTGTATTTATTTAAATTTACTCATCCGATTGAGATGATTTTTCAGAATTAATGTATCTCAGAGCATAAAGTACTACCTTTTTAGATAATCTGAACTGAGCACGAAAATCTTGATCAATCCAAATAACCATTTGATAGATTCTCACTCTAATAATATATACCGTGTACACCGTTGTTAATTCAAAAACTCAACAGTTTTTTTAATCATCGTCTTCAAATATAAGTCCATTATAACTTTAAACACTTATAATTTTAACTTGTAATATAATACTTTAATATTCGGTTATAAATTTAAAAACAAAAAAATTATATATAAAAAAAACGATAGTTATCAATATTTTCTTATCTGTCGAATAACTCGTGTTATTCAACGAATAAATATGACTGAAAAACCGACCAAAATCACGTAGTACCTACGAGTTAACATTTTGAGAAAAATAATATAACAATACTCATTCATCATTAGATTAAGGTTAGAAAAAAATTATTTATTTATAAATGTATACATGAGTAGAGTTGAATAAACCGAAACAGCTGACTTCAATAAATACAAATTCCACTCGACAACTCAGTAACCAAAATTATAAAAAATCTACGAAAATTTTTATTTTTATTTGAAACGAGAAATCGGGAGTACTTATTTGCAAGGCGCATAAAAACGCGCAGTTAGAGGAGAATCAGATACTATAATAACATAGTTAGAGGAAGATAATATAATAGAAAAAAGGAAAAATGTGATATAAAAACTAAGATAATGATATTTATAAGTTAGCCTACCCATATCTTAGCATTCTAAAAATCCTATAAGAACCTAAAGTAGGTATTCCGGATGGTTTATAATATTATTTACAATAATGATATACTTAAGATTTTACGAGTGCATCAATCCTCGATACGAGTTGGAAGGTTTTGAATACATTATTCAGTATGATCGTATAGTACTGCATATTTTATTTAATGCTATATTATTATCCGGTCAAAGAATACTCATATTTGTTGATGCATCATATTTGTTTCTATTATTCAATTTTTAAAAAAGCGACAAAAGTACTACGTATGATATTTTTATTTCGACCTTATGTCGTTCAACCTTTCGACAGTTTCTTCAAGCATATTATTGGATTAGTCATATAATATACATGCACGCATTAACAACAGTTTATCAAATGACAAAACACCCTCAAAATAATAATACCAAAATTAACACAAAGATTGTTTTTTTCATCGGCATGATTTATTATATGTATTTATGTATGGTACAAAATAATAACAATATACACGAGAGCGTTTTACAAAATAAAACTGCCTGTGATAGCAATTTTGTTTGTTCTTATCTTAAAAAAAAAAAACAAATACACTATACACAAACAACGTACACCATCGAACCGTATACGGCGTGTTATTTTAGAACAAAATACACAATGCACACACAATATTATCAATAACTTTATCGCAATTTTCCTTTTGGAAACCCTTTTATTTTGTTCCCCCTTATACGTACATTCATCGCGCAGACGCTTTGCTACGATGAAAATAATCAAAACATATTAATTAAGGACACGTCTTTATAATTTACTAAACTAATATTTTAATGTAGTTATAATAATTAATATATATGACTGATTACCAAGTAAATTTACAAATTTTAATTGCGATTTGTAAATTTAAAAAAAAATTGAATATATTAAAAATTGTGGTGATATTACCACCGAAATTATAATAAATGGGATTATTATTTCGATCCGTATAAAACCGTTTTATTTTTCGACATCAAAATGGGATTCGGTGAAATAGGGTGACGGTAAATTAAAACTTATAACCAGGCCTCTTTTGAATTTTGATCCTGGGCACGTCTATGTATGCGTCCCCGCAAAAAAAAAAAAACTTAATTAGTTTATCTCATAAGCCATAGGAAACTGTTATATTATAATATTCTTATAAAGTACACTTCCGGGTGAACCGTCGAGCGAGTGAATGGGTATACAGTGGGTGTATATTTACAGGACGATCAATCTTCCATAGAGACACTCATCATCTTAATATCTCATTATTTACTTTTTTCGGAATTTTTTTTTGTTTTCCGACAACTTATGAAACAATAAGTGGCTATAAAATGTAACATGTTATTTTCGGGGACGAAACCGCTACACACTTTTGGTTTTCAAACGGCAATCTATATTAAAAATTCCATAAATAGATGATGTTTTTGGTAAAATACGTTTCAGTGTCGAAATTTGTAATTTCCTTCAGCCCGCCGACGAGATATTCCACTTTTAGGTTTGGGTTGACGGAGGGGAAACGACAAATTTTAACTAAAACTCGTCGTCTATTTATGGAATTTTTAATACAGGTTGCCACATTTGAAAATCAAAAGTCGATAGCCCACAAGAAACAAAATGACGAAAAATAACGGAAATTTCATATTTAAAAGCTGTTTGTTCTATGAACAATAGAAATGTCAAAAAACGTTAATACTTTCCGAGTTTAATGGTCGAGAGTCTTATCGAGGATTGATCACACCGTATAAAGGAATATTGTAGACATATTGGAAAAAAGGAGGCAATTGTTAAACTGCGGCAAGTATACCAATATGATATGTATATAGTGTCAAATAAAGGGGACACTAATAAATGTCGTCTCCGGGTGTTGTTATATCGCGCCGGCCGGGGGTTTCGGCGGCTGAACGTTGCGCGGCGCATAGGAGCCGAACGCGGGAGTAAACGGTCCCGCGGTGGCGTCGACGGACAGGGCGGGAAGGAAGCGGCAGACGCGATGCAATGTGCGTATATATTATATATACACGCGTATTTACCGAGAACGACGACGACGACGACGACGTTACGGCCCCTAAAGAGACAGCGGACAGGCGCCGCCGGGCGTATAAACACTACGGCGGCACAGCAGCGGCGCCCGACGACGTTTATACGCACGCACGCACACAAACGATCAGCCATCGTCCGCCGCCTATTCGGTGTGGCCGTCTGAATCGTCTGATAGACCGATAGAAGAACTAGCGAGACGGCGGCGGCGGCGGCAGGCCGGGACGACAGAGCCGTATGTACGTGTGCTATAAATCCAAGACGACCGTCGTTGCTTTTCGGTTTTTTTTTTTTTTTTATTATTATTATTTCCATTTCTTCGCGCGTCTCTCGCTCCCTCTACCTATATTTATATATATATATATATAAAATATTATCTCTACCTATCTCTTTTGCTCCGTGTCCGCTGTCGCCGCCGTACAAGACTATACGCTTCCACATAAACGCGCGCGTCTCGTATATACATCGCGGCCGCGTGTCGTACACCGCGCCACCGCGATCGACGACGCGCCTCGCCTCTTGTCGCGCCGCCGTTCGAAAATCGCCATGGCCTACCGGCGGCGGCGCGACGGCCCATACTGCGGCGCCGGTTTCGCCCTCGTCGGACAGCGCGCCTAAATTAATATTACAATATAAATATTATTGCGTTTGTACACCGTGCATTTATTTGTCCACGGCGACGATCCAACGGCGGACGGGCGACTGGCCGAGAGCATTGCGCACCTATCGGGTTCAAACTGCACGCTTCCGTTTCGGATTAATCAATACGCGCATAATATTAAATATTATTATCAGCAACAGTATTATTTTGTAGCGCAACGTGTACACAATATAACCGCACAGCAACTTTGGGTGTCCGTGCAATGAAAATATTTGCTAAAACTATACGCTGTGGGAATGACGAAGGGGTACACAACAGCACGCGATAACACGAGTACGCGAAGACGTGTTTTGGCGATGCAATTTTCAGTAAACAGTTGGCTGCATTGTTTGCTCCTTGGTCGGTTGCTCGCCAAAACGTTTTGTTTACTGTACAATATTTTTTTTTTTTTTGTACAAAATCGATTGGAATGGTTGAACGATAGTCCTTATCGGTAGATTATTAGTACAAACGAAAACAGTAAACGTAGTTTTCAATTGTTTGCTGATTCCGGTAACCCGGTCGCCGATCAGCAGATTCAGCTATCAAACAATTACAGTAATAACTATGTCGCCAAAACACGCCTATTGTTGGAATTTCGGCAGTCGGTCGGTTTGTGTGCGCGCCGTGCAAAAACTACTGACCCAATTCGATTGGAAATTTCGGGAAAATATAGGCCTAAACTTTAAATTATAATCTATTTCATCGCAATCGACCGACTCTATCCGCGGGAGATATGGGAATTTAAAGTTTCCGAAAATTCGTTTACGCGGAGCGCTAAAACTACTGGATACATTTGCATACGAAACTTGGTCTCGGGAAAAATACCGAGGAGAAAAGGCGCGACCATTTCGTCCCTACGCTATATATAATATATAAGAGAATTTTGGAGTTTATTTTTAACAAGCGAGGATTCGAGAACCGCGGCCAACGCTGAATTCGATATAAAGTCTGCTACCGACGTGACGCCTTTATTGAACGGAGCTCAAACAATAACTATCGCAGTTCCAAAAATAAACTTATTTTGATGTGAACTTATATTATTACTACGGCTGCTGCAGGAACAATACATTTATAATATACATATTGCATACGTATAGGTACTCCCGTTGTAATCTCATACTATTTAGATCGAGTTTCACAACAATTTTTAACTATACTCGTGTATAGATATTAATATCTATATAATACGATAAGTCTATAAACGTTTGAAATGCTTTATAAAATTATGGTCAACAGTATAGTTATTCATATAACAAATAGTCGGTATTTGTTATACCTGCGGACTGACTCCTATACCGCAGATCGTAATATCGGTTTATAAAGGCAGTTTTATTAAGAGGCATTTGATGGGATTTATGCGATGTGAAATTTCCATGTGTCGTTCTGCTTTAAAAGTCAAATGAAATCCGCGAAAACATAATATTAATAAATAGTAAGTTTACGTTATGGTCATTTTTTTTTTTTTTTTCAAACGGCTAACACAGCAAAAATGCGTATAAGATACGCGGCACGATATCGTTGAATAATAATCACATACGGAACTCGTAAAGAAAACGCTCAATCACGATTTTAAAACACGATACCGGAAATTACAGTTGATAAACCATACACGAATATGTTACTTGCGTTTACTATGTAGCAATTGACTTGGAATGTATAATCACGATTTTCAAGGATTATAAAAGCAAACGATTTGAATAAAAGTTCTATCGAATGAAATATGTTTAAACTGTAGACTTTATTCTTTTTTTTAAAAATATGTGTAATATATATAAATCATAAAACCAACAACTTCAGTCCGTACATCTTTCTAGACATTTTACGTACACAAATTGTAATACGGATGGAATAGTGAATACCCACACAATATTTTAACAGCTGTACTTATTGTAAAAATATTAGTACACAAATTATATTGTTCTACTCGAGTTATTTTGAATGAAATATTCATTTGAAATAATGAATTGGTAAGTTATTATATTTATAGTAATTTTACTTGAATTATTATTATATTATCCAAACTGTCTCCTATTTATATGTTTAAAAGCTATACCGAATAGATTTCATATTTATATATATATAATGTAAAATATCTCTTGAATTATTTTTTAAAAATCTATTCGATTTGTTTTTAATAATTAGGTATTTATAAAAAATATTTCAATAAAAAAGCTAATAGTGCAACGGATAGGTGTCGAAGGGTAGTTGGGAAGCTGGGATAATTTAGTTTATAAATACTGATTAATAAATAACGTTTATAAATGTAACGAAAAATCATCGCAAACAAAAAAAACGATTCCTAGTAGAATAGTGTTATTTATGGTTTTTTCCCTTGTTGTCGAAGTAATCCAGAAATAAAAAAAATAAAAAACCAAAAAAAAAAAAAAAGAACCTACGGAGTAAACTATCAGAAATTTCGATAAATCTTTTTAGATGGAGTACCACCGGGAAGATATTTTGCATCCTTTAAGGTACTTCGTGAAAAAGTTGTAGCATTTCCAAAAACAAAAAAACATTTTTTGAACAAAGTATAGTGAATTTTATAAACTTAAACTAAGTACAAACACATATTTTAAGGTAAGATATGAAAAAATCGGAGCATTCTGAACAAGCGTAAATGTTTTCCGAGAAAAAAACACATCATTATAAAACTAACATAATAGTAGCTTCTTCGTTATAATCGAAATTTAAAATTTCAAAGTTTAAAAATGTCTGATTATGAATTTCATTAGTTTTCAGTTTATATTTCTTCGATACATACACTTATAATTGTACTTAGGTGAATTTACATATTAAATAATATAAACATTTTATAAAAAAAAAAAAAAAACTATATTCAATGAGTGTTTGTATTCATAATTATAAATGGTAATTTTTTGTAGTCTATAATATTTATTTAAAAACCTGTGAACATTAAACTTAAGTAATTCAGACCTTTCAGAAGTTCTGAATATATAAATATAAACAGAAAATAAGACGATTATATTGAAATTATAATATAACAAAATCAACGATACCTATTCAATAAAAATAAATAACCGATTACTTTCGAAATAATCTTCTAAAATGTAAGTGCATTTTAATAGAGTAAATATTTTTTTATGGCATCAACTAAGCAAATGTAAATTAATCCTGTTATTATAATATAATGCTTAACACCGATAAATCCATTACATTGAATAATTAAATCACAATAGTATTAACTGCAATACAAGTACTTAAAGATAGAAAACAAATCAAATCAAAAGCATCATTATAATTAGGTTCATCTATTTTTACTTGAGGTTTTTTTTTTTTTAATACTTTTTATAATATTTTGTAAGATACTATAAGCGTTGTGTACTAACCTGAAGTATGTATGCTATCATAGAAAACTAAAACGTGTTTAGAATTTTTGCCGATACGAATAGGAATACTTGCAGTGGTAAGATTAAATTGTGCGATAATTTCCGCTATACAAGGGTGAAAAAGGGGAATCTGGGTTAATAGGTTGTATTTAGCAATATAACGAGGTGTATAGTTTTTTTTAAATATTTTTCAATTAATTAATGTGTTTTAATAATCTGATTATATAAACTGTTGATATTACGTAAATTGTACGCAGTATAATATTATTCTCCAAACAACATAGTAAATAATACACGACCCATTCTGCAGACAAATAATAATACATGTATTCATTCAAGTTTTCTTATCGTTTGAACAAATTACTAAAACAAATACCACCGCTCTTTAGATATACGTACCTACATGAAAACTAACTAACCAGCACCAGTCTCAAGTAAATAAAATGTAATTACAACAAATGCTCCAAGTTTCATTGATTATTTGCTTTCCATTAGGGACATTTAGCTCGAGGAAAGAGAAACACAGTTTCCTATATAAGAGCAGAATTAGTCATTTTTGAACGTTAGCATATTATACGTAGGTTTATAATATAGCATAATTAAATTACTATAGAAAGATGATCACATTCGTTATTGATAAAATACACGGTTACAGAACCGGTGTGCCATAGTTGAAGGTATGATAAATAAAGTTATTTAATTTATATCTGTATTCCAACGATAAATCATTACTAACGAAATACAATTCTGAGTGAAGTTCGGTAACACGTTTTGAAATCCCACTATACAGGTTGATTTTTTTATCATAAACGAGGAATTATCTCAGAGGATTTTAAGTAAACTTGATTCCATAATGATTAGGAAAAACAGAAATCAAATTCACTTAAAATCCTCTGAGATAATTGCTGCTTCGTGATAAAAAAATTACCCTTTATAGTTATTATGATTTGATTATAAAACGTTTATAAAAAAAACTCCTGCATAACGCTCAACTTAGTTTTATTTTTGCATTTCTGTTCGGCCAAAACAACATAAATAACTAATAAAAACTAAACAATTCGATAATGTCAATTGCCAATAAATGACTTAAAAATCTAAAGTTTTGAAAACTGTACCACGTCTATAAAAGACGTAAGTATTATTAAGTATTCTATGGAAATATCAGGTATCTACGATTTAACCGAAATAAAACCAAAAAACAAAATCTAAAATAATGATATCGTTACTGTCATAAACTGTTCTGTTTTTCCTATACCTACATTTGTTTCCAATTATTAAGAAAACTGCAAGGGCATTTGATAAGTCACGAACTTGAATCAATTTTTATTCCAATTAAACCACCGTTATTAATAAGTGTAAAACCAATAAAAACAGGACTTCCTCGAATAAATTATATACTTTTACTTATGTAATATAAAAAACTATGGTCATCGCCCCCAAGTATGTGTATTTATAATTGAGAATTTAGTCACCAGTATTCGGTATTTGTGTACATACCGGTTTTTACCGGTATACCGGTATATACCGTCTCTTCAGTATACAAATTACGGCATTTCAAAACATGTGTAACTGAACTTCGCTCAGAATCATTTTTTATTAGCAATAGTTTATCGTTGCTTACAAATTTAAAATAAATAACTCTATATATCTGTCCGCTAAATATTATTGTCATCGGCTTGTAGTTTTTAAAACTAAAAGTAAAGGACAACGTACATTAAAGGTAACTGGATCTTTTAAGTGATGTTATTTGATAACTGTAGTAAAATCAATATGCATATGTACGATAGTAAAGAATACTCGTTGAGTACATAATTCAAATAAAAATCCCATCTTCTATTGTAATCAATTATTTTATCAAAATTCACTGTTGATGGTTTCGACTTACAACATTTTCACCTCTCTATCTAACGATGGTTGCAAAATATAAGGACTTTCAACGAGAGCAAAGAAATTGCGTATTTGTCAGTGTATAAAGAAGGGTTTTTTTTTGTGATTTTTATATACACTATCCAATCTATAAACTTTTATGTTTACAATTTCACAGATCCACGACAAGGAAGTGCAAAAACATATAATATAGTGGACTAAAATAAAATAATAAAATATGTTTGAGAAAAATACAAATACATCACCCGTTGCGTAGTTCATATTGTGTTATAAAATATTATTTCTTTTTTATTATCACCGAGGAAAAAAGTTTTCATTTTTTAAAACACAATTTAAAAAAATAATAATAACAACAATTTGTCACGTGTATTTTTTGTTACTAGATTATTGGTATGTGTATAGTGTATACTATGTATAGATACTACACAAAAATGACATATGTTCCCTTTCTCCAAGATATTATGTATTGATCCAAGCAATGTAATCAATAATACCTCGTACAGAGTAGGTGATTGTCTTGGATGATTAGTTCAAAATACCTGCTGCATTTGCGAAAACGATAAAACATAACCACAAAAAGAAATTATAACCATGTTCAAAAATTAAATTAACAAAATTACTAATTCAAAATTTACTGAAATTTAAAAAAATTCTCTTAAATAGTGATTTTGTTTGTTACAAATTGACAAATATGCAATTGGACCCATTACTTTTTAAGACTTAACAGTTCTTTTAAGTTTAATTTATTAAAAAATATTAATTTTAATAATGGACTTATAACATAACAGGCATAACTAAAAACAAATTTGTCAAATACCTAATATAATATCATTATTTGAAAACTCAAATTTCCAAAGAGTTGGTATTTTATATGGTTATAGTACAATATATAGTATAATTGTGAATACATTTTATAAACATATTTTAAATAAGAAAAGCCGATATAAATACTATTTTACTAAAATAATTCAAATTGATTAACCATTACATTAACTAATATTATATAAAATATTATTTTTAAACTATAATCTAATTATATCTATTGTAAAAATAATCGTTTCAAAAACCGAAATAAATATAATAAATTCAATTTAACGTGTCTACCTAGCTTTCAATACATCTACATACCCCTCTTGTAAAATTATAAATATAGGTAATACGCTTTATAATTTATTATAATTTGACATCCGGGTTACTCATAAATAAATAAAAATATTTTAATTTTCGTTCCATAACACAAAAAAAAACTCGTGTCAGCCCCCCTCCCCCCATTAAGGGTTGAACTTCAGAAATCTGATTTTGAGATGAATATGAACCAATTCATCTACTCTATACCTAATTTCCAGGCTTCTGAGTGCTGCAATTCAGTGATTCAGTTGTGGATCACGCACAGATAAACAAAAACTTTATTTTATTAATATAGATACTATTGTTTACAAAAAATTAGTTGTACTCTTTGACGACTCTAGAAATAAAATATTGTTATCCAATAAAATGCTTGTATACAACTTTCGTTCGTAAAAGTAAGATGTAAGACATTAATAATAAATCCAATTCCACTGTTTTTGAAAGTTAGCCAAGAAACTAAATCCTCATCTTATCTTTTTATCCAATTTATGAGATTTTCCAAATTTTCTATAAAGTCTATATATTATATATATATAATATGTGCTCATGGACGTCTAATGAGGAGGGCAAGAAGGGAACATATCCCTCTTGGAAAATATTAAAACTAATAATCAATTAAGCCTTGTCGCAGGAAGTACGCTGTACAGAGCCTGCATGCATCCATGGATGATTTTGATTTACCCTCTCTTAATGGACCTACTATAGCATTTTTTACAGATCCTGTGTTCTTATACTAATTTATCTATATTTATACAAAGACATCCTTCTTAATCACTGAACAAATAATAATTTTGTTTTTCCACTTTTTAAAATGTTAAAAATAGCAAGAATTGTAAAATACATAATTCTTTAAGAATTTTAATGTATCATACATTCCTATCTAACCAAGAGTTTTTTAATAATAGCCGTTTTAATTTCAACAATTCTTATCTTGTATTGCGACTATAATTCGCTATCGTATAACGTGGTAGTCTTGTTTTTCACACCTTTCTGTAGATATTACGGCTATTATTAACATATCCGATATTGACCGGATATGAATATTATGAAACATTTAACATTTTAGAATAGTATATTTTACAAATTTACTATTTGAACATTTTAAAAAGTGAAAAAATAAAGTTATTTTTCTGTGATTAAGGGATAAAAATAAAAATTAAATTTAGTTTTTCTCTAAATTTGTGCCCCTCTCCCCCGGACACAAAACCCGACTCAGATAGCATTAATACTGTAGGACACCATATAATACTTATTAAATGCGTGTTTGGAAAACCAGTTCCAGTTTTTCCCTCTCCTGAACATAACCCTATGAGCACCTATGTAGTATGTGCACTATGCACATTGCACAATGGTTATTTCCAATGCATTTAAAAAGCACGGGTACTAACAACTAACTCGCAACTCAGCAATTTGTTTTGAAATTAATTTATTTGTTTGTAAAATACATAAAATGTGAGTAGTTAATTAAAGAAATCATTTGAAAAAATCAAAACTCAATAGAGATAATTTTGATAGTATAATTCGTGTAAATAAATTACAGATGCAACTTATTAAACAACCAGTCCAAAAGGAAATGTAAAATAGACAAATTTAAATTTATCCGACAGTCAATAAGATTGTATTATATTTAATAACTATTTTGTTTCATATCACTATTTTGTTTTATAGGTAACAACAACAATAACAATAACATGGATTTATGTCACGTTCTAAAATCCCATTGAATAAAATGTTCCTGTTGATGAAAATTTCGTGTTTGGCACCCTGACAAGTAACAGTAATAAAATATACAGAAAAATATATCGTGCCAGAAAGAAATCATGAAAACCATTCAGTAATATACTACACCCCGACATCAACCTTCGCTTAACTACGGTCAATGTTATTTCACACTAATGAAGTAGGTATAATGTATACTTTATAATATACTATAACTATAACTCATTGATAAATTATTGGTCTCTGACGCATGTTTCAAAAAAAAAAAACAATTTAATAAACATTATGCCTAGATAAAAAAAGGTATTTGGGTAAGTACACATATAGTTTAGGTATTTCTTTTCATTTGAGCAATGATTTATGATTAATACTCACCTATATATTTTTTTACTATTAAGTAAATCAAATTTGTGTAGTAGAATAATCATTATTCAATTAGGTACTTAATTATTTTAACTCAATATTTTCCATAAAATATGACGCGTGGAATTATTTGTAGTAAATATTTTCACACAACCAAAGAAGTATATTATGCGTATTAATGCAAAACGCTTTATAGCAACTTCATTTAACATCGAGGCCAAAACGTTAAAAATAATACTCATAGAAAAATAAATAGTTTTCCTGTTTACTCCTCTATTATGAACTCCTCTACATTTTACATTTTTGCATACTAAATAAGACGTACATAGTATATTATATAAACAAAATCATAATATTGGCACACTGTTATTGAATAATAATAAAGCTTTATATTCACGACAACCTTTAATCAGTGTCAATTCAAATAATTGTAAACTAATATCACTGTATACACGTTTTTCCTTCCCAATATTTAACAACATTATTAACTGGCATTAAAATATTTAAAACTTGGAATAAAATAAAATAAAAAAACAAATATTAATATAAAGTCTATCAAATAATAATTACTACAGATATTTAAAAAAAAAAAAATAGATACATAGACTTCTTATATATATGTTTTTATTTATCTATATAGTTATTAGTTGATTAAGGATATTATAGCGTGAGTTGTAGCATTATTATTTGTATTTTGTAGGTATATCAATAAGAATAATAAAAAAAAAAACTAGGTGGTGCGTTGGCATTTAAAAATATTATCCTAATTAGCTAATTTAATCATAAAATAATACATATTAATAATATACTTTGTTCAAATGTACGAGTGTAATAAGATTGTTTCGGTAAAAACAAACGTAAGGGTGTTTCAATATTGTCACAAAAAAGACCCTTTTATTTAAACTCAGTTTAAATTTTCTGAAACGTAGGACAATAATAACAAGGCGAAAGCCCCAAGGCGCTTCCCTCATTTCAGTTGACGCAGACAAATCTCCAGTTCAGCCAATTTCCTTTCCACCTCCTCGTCGATAACCCTAACTGTTTTCTCTTGAATTCGGACAATAATAACCATTATTTCTGCTAGCTACCACCCTATTTTGTACGATTTTTCGCTTCGTTCGTTTTTTTTAACGCCAACAAAACCCAAGTTAATAAATGCTCACTTGTCTATACCTATACAGTGATCGATTATTATTCAGAGACAACAACGATGGTGGCTGAAAAATGTCATTTTGCCGACAAATTGTCATTGAACTTCACATTTAAAAAAAAGGTTTAATAGCTTTAACACCCTTAAAAGTCTTTTTTAATTAACCGGCAACAGCTGCTAAACAATGAAAGCTTTGGGTACTACGAATGATCGTTTGTATTGAACTGACAAAATAAAGGATAGTGGAAGGGGATATTTTATGCCTTCCTATAATAAAATGTAACACTCTTACAGTCAAATCATTTGAAATGAAAAACTCAAATCTATTCGGCAGTTAAACTCTATGTATAGAAAAATTAGGCATACAAATGGTGGGTAGTATTTTCTATTTTCTAATTGATTAGTCAGATATCTTGTTATTTATTAAAGAAACTATTTTTTTTAAAAAAAATAATAAAAATCGATTTTGTTCCGTAAATTATTAGTTTAATTTTTTTTATCCACATTATTACAAAACTACAAAGAATTTTAAAAAATTACCTAATGAAATACATAACAAAAATTTCGGATAAAATTAATTAAAAATGTTTTCTCCTCCGAGTAAGAGTGTAGGTTATATAGAAAACATTTGGGTAACAACAATAAATTCAAATAAACTTAAAATAATGCTAATGATAAATTTAATGTACCGAATATCGCTTTAGTCAAAGAAATTACCCAGATATAGATTAAATCAACGTTTAGTAAAACACTTATATAGCATTTAAACCTTCTATAATTCCTGATATACAGGTAGAATATAGATAGAGAAAACAAATAATAACTAGATCAATTAGAAAAAAAAATAATAGTTCAACTTAGTCCAAGAGGTATTTCGAATAAATTATATACTAATGTACCAACATCTAATCAATGTACATATTTTATACGCCTATTTAATCACAAACATCATAAGGTACGCGTTATACTGTGGCATTTTCACAACCGAGACAAAACGGTATTTTCGCTACACGGGTTTAAAACTATTTGTGGGACCAAAATACACTAGAACTGTCATTTCGAAACACTTTGTGGCTATGTGCAAATTTATTTTGGAAAATCTAACATTTTTTATTTCCTTTCCTTCGAAAAAAAAACAGTTTCAAATTCACAACACAATACATCAGAATTATAAAACGTGATATTTAATAGCTAATCGATTATTTCTTAACTGCGTGCTATTTATCAAACTGGCTTATTTTATTCATCCGAAAAATTACTACAATACTATAATGACCAAAATAATAAACATACGTTAAACAATCAGGAATTACAATATTGTAGATAGGCACGTACCTATACGTCGAGGAAGAGTCCTTTGAAGCACACAAGCCAAGAAATAAGAAATTAATATTATTGTGTTGTTTAAAAAAAAAAAACTGTTAGGTCTTGAAGTATCTACAAGTGAGTTAATACGACCCTGGTTTCTTTCCATATGAATCTTGGCAATGATCACATCACGATTTCCATAATTGTATAGGTACCAATGTAAGAATTAATTTATTATTATCACTAGTTATACCTCGTCTATATTAATTAAATAGTTACCACTAAAAATAATTTATTTAAAATTTTTTTTTTTTATTTAAAAAAGTATTACAAATCTACTTTGAACAAGAAATTAATTGGTAATCATTCAGACAAACTTGATGAATTTAGTTCTGGAAAAAATATGTCTTCGTATTTACGAAAATAATGTTGGTATGTAGAACAAAAACGTTATAAAAATAAATAATTTGAACGACTATTGTTAATCGTATAATAACTGATAAATTATTGTATTTTAAAAACAGTGCTGAACAGAATTCGTAATTAAATTTTAACGCTTACACGCAATTGGTATTTCCTGCATTTTTAGTTTTTTTATACAGTATTCAAAGTATTGAATTATTTGAACTGGCTATTTTAAAACAATATCTGGGTGCCTGAGTACAATTTCCCATATTAAAATTTGACGGATGAATCATTTTACGTATCATGACAGCCAAATAATGCAAATTAAAGATGTTATAATAGTAATAATAATCACATATATTATGTATATAATAATGCATATATTATTTAAATATGTTTATTCTATCGGGGGTGTGGGCCATAGACCTCGCTGCTCACTTTGCAAATAATTCCTTTATTAAAAATATTATATCTCAGCCCCGTCTATTCGAAATTCCTGAAAAATAATGATTTTGTTTTGTTTTTTTTTTTTATATGGGTAGTGCAGTTAAAATCTATATTGTACTAATGAATATCATCGCGCGAACCCAAATTTCCGTTCCCGTCGTCATAATATTACGATGCAAGTACCTATACGGCTATACTGACTGTGCATTATTATAATGGTAATATACACCTTCAACCGTGTGTTAAGGGGGGAAAAAAACGAAAAGGGTAAGCCACCGCGCGTACAGTATTACGCGTTGGCACGGAGGACCCGCTATGGCTGCCAAAAGGACTGCGACCGGTGTCTTTGTCGTCCTTTTATAGCTTTATTCGAACCAATAAAGAGCGGCTCGGGGCGGCGATGACCTGTGCACGTACGTGTGCGGTGGTGGTAACTGTGGCGGTGGCGGTGGCGGCGGCGGTGGCGGCGGCGGCGGTGGCGGTGGTGGTGGTTCTACGCGCATTATACTCTAAACGCTCACACACACACACACACACACACACACACACACACACATACACACGCGCACACACACGCACTCACGCACGCACGCACGCACGCACACTTGAACGTATGTGCGTGAAGTCTTTAGAAAACCTGTTACGGACGAAAAACCAGTCCCAACGTCGTCGCTCCCTCTACAATAATAATAATAACAATATTATGTTTAATACCACCGTGCACGGATACTGTACAGCGTAGATACACCGCGGGACACGCCGAGCGCAGTTTTTTTTTTTTTTTTTTTTACCCCAACACCACAAGGTTCGACTAAATGTAACACTTTTTTTTTTCCTCGTTTTCGGTTAGGTTACACCTCCTAATCACAATAATAGCTGGTGCGCGGCGCGTGATAATACGCCGATACTAAGTATACTCGTATTACTCGTGCACGGGTATTTATGTTACCAGACATTATACCTATAAAAAGTATTTTTTTTTTTTTTTTTTCGATTAATAAGTACGTCCGGCCGAATACGTTTTTCCATTCGCAAAGCTGTATATTATATATAGTACCTATAATATACGATAATGATTAATAATTACCATTACGATCGGTTTTTCGGCGGGATTTTTTTTCAAACACCTGTTAAAATTATTATTTTATATTACATTTATTTGTACCTTGAAAAACGGGTGTCGTGTATATGGGCGCATTAAAGTGAATTACGTCATTATACAATATAATACGTTGTTATATTGTACCTACCTGTTTATGTAGGTAGGTAACTGATGTCACTCGTTTTCGCCTAGAATACCGTTATTTTGTTTTGTTAAAATATCGTTAACAATCGGCCGAAAAAAAACAACAACAGCAACGCACAATGTCACAAAACGTGATACGCGGGGTTTGCGGCGGGCACCGGCCGTATTGAAAAACGCGCGACGATAATTAGCACGGCCAGAGGATAACACACCGTAATATGGGTGTGTTCGTAGGAAACCGAAATAATTTGGGCGTTAAACGACGATTTAGATACGGCATAAATATCGTTATTGATTTCGGAAATCCATCCTACGGCCGTACAACAATTCGGGAAATCGATGCGGATACTATTTCGTTCAGGGTCCGCGCATGCGACACCCACGATCGGTCTGTCGAACGTGGGACGAACTAGACGCACGTATGCGTATGCATAATAATTATCGCGGGACGGACACGCGATGAATTCGTTCGCTATTTTCCAATTGGTAAATCGCGTCATGATGTTTTGACCCGCGAACATTATTTACGACTTGCAGCAAATAACAAGTACCCAATCCGATACAGGTAGGTACAATAGTGTACAATAATACGGTATTATGGTGTATTACGGTACGGCGGTGACCAAGGGTTGTGCGCGTGTTTCGTTGATGGGGCGGTCGTCCTTTTCGCGGAAAAACAAAACGGTAAAAGTTTGCGCTACACCTGTAAATGTATAGTGATGTTAGTAATGTTTATGGCAGGTGCGCCGATGGTTTTTCGATGATAATAACTATAATTATTATTATTATTAGGAGTCCGTCGTAAAAAACCGATTGATTTTTGAAATAAAATCGGAATCTCGAGGCGGGGGGGGAGGAGAAACCAACAAAAAGTTGTCGACCGGCGGCGTACAGTTGTGTACGGGCGTTTACGTTACGCCCGAGCGTATTTGGATATTTTCCAATCCGCGAGTAACAGGCACACAGTAACACACCGGGCATATTAGGGTGTCGTGGCAGTTTAGCACAACGTAGGTACCGGGGTAGACAGACCGAAAATACAATAACTATACGCGGATAAATCGGGTAGTTATACCGACGGTTAAATATGAGAAAAACGCGAAAAGAGGATCGAAAATTCGGGCCAAGGTCGCGTGCGGCACGACGGTATCGTCCAAATGGCAGGCGTAATGTGGCGCGGACACGGCATAGACATCGAGGAAACGTGAGGTTTTTTTTTTTTTTTTTTTACTAAATTTCTGAATCCAATAAAGCGTCTTTTTTTCGAGCCATCGGACGGCGGCTGTCTAAACGCACTGTGACCGGGAATTGTTATTATTACTATTATTATTGTCACCGTCAAAGACGGACGTCCGTTATATATTACCTGTACAATATCCTTATAATGGGTAGGTGGTATTATAATATGTGTACAATAATAATAATGTAATGATAATAGCGCACCGTGCATTGTATATACATATATATATATATATATAAAAATGCATTGAACAAAGAAAAGATGCGGCACACACGGGACACCTGGTCCCGTCGCCGCCGCCGCCGCACAACCTCAAAATAATACCGAAAACACAAAACGCCGCGACGGTGTGGTGGAGCCGCACAGTCTGCACGCGCACAATGGACCCCCGAAAACGCGTAGGTACGCCCGTTACAATAAAAGGTATTATGATATTATCTCGCAGCCCCAACGCGACAGCGTCGTAGTTACCCACTGCACCATTGATTCCCCGCGCCAATGTCGACTGTGAAATAAACGTCGGTAACGCGTGTAGAACAACGCTATATTTTTGCCAATTTAATAACGGCCATTATTGCTGTTACGTTACCTCTTCGAATTCAAAGTCTTCGTCGGCTTTCCATTTCTTCTTGGCGTCCGCCGCGCAGACGACGAGTAACGACACGGCCGTGGCGAGCAGCCACCACTTGTTCATCTCGTCGCGTTCTCGTGGACCGGGCGATAACGGTTAATAATATGATGTCGTTCCTTTCGGTGATCACTGCGGATCGCGATGGACGGCGCTGAACGACGGCAAGGTGTAAACGCGTTTATCGCGGACGCGCAAGAACCTGTGCGTATCAATTACGGGCAGCAAACAAATAATAATAATAATAATAAATAAATAACCGTACGAATAACGTCCGGTATTCTTTTGTTCGATTATAATACGTTTATCCCGCTACATGCGTCCCAGAAATTACGCGGCGCTGAGAGCCCGTGGGATAACAAAACCCCGTGGGCAAAAGATAGAAATAGATAATGCGATCGTCCGAACTTTTACACTCGGCGGCAGTGCGCAAGATAAATTGCAATCGGAACAACAACGAGGGGCGATCGACTGTCGACTGGTGACTGCAGCGGCGGCGAGCGTGCGAGGTCGAGGAAAATGCAAAATATCGTGCACGAGCGTCCGCGACAAACGGGAGTACTGCCTGCCTACCTGCCCCGCGTCGCCCTCGCGGCCGGACCAGGGCCGCAGTGCGTGCACCGCGACCATAACGAAATTGCCGTACCATCGTCACGTATTGTCGGACGCTACCGCGGTCTCGTGTCGCGCGCGCGCGTTTATCGATCCTCTTCCAAGCTTTCCCCGCTGTCTGCGACCGATCCGACCCGACAAGTATTTCACTATTATAATAATTATATTTTATAATCGGTAGCGAGTTTGACGCCAGGCCCAAGTAGTCGGAGGCCTTGGGCGGCAATTTAGGGAGAGACGGCAATAAGCTAAATACCACGGTCGTATAGATGTAGTTAGGTATGTCTACAACCGTACTAAAGTATACCTGTACCGCTGGTATTATTATTACCGGGTGTAGGTATTTGCACAATAATATGAAATGGATTGAAAATCTGCTGAAAATGATGGCGTATTCAAAAATATACCGACGTGATGAAACTGTACCGCAAACTGGACAATAATATCAGAAAAATATTTCTCATTATTGGCCATTATTTTCAATTTTGTCTTTATCCTCCACCAAATACGCACTTTACATAATTATTTTTAAAGGTGGTAAATGTACGTACCTATATCCATTAGGTACTTAACAAATTCAAAACTATCACCGGCCATACCTATCACTAGAAAAACATATGATAGGTACTCCAAATAGGTATATACCTTGTCGTACCTTGTATTCACGTTTGTTCTCAAATCATCTATATTTAGTAACGCAAGATTGGAACATTAATAATAAACAGAAAAATGTATTTTTAAAACTTTACTTCTATAACCATTTGAAACATAAACAATGTTATAATAAGTATTAAATAATGTAAAGATTCATGAAAACTTTTTTTCATTTTGGTGATTTAATTTTGTAGGTAAACGATTACATATAGGTGTATACTTTATAAAATGTATAATATTAAACATAATATTTATTGGATAAAAATGAAAAATATTAAATATACTCCAAAATGAAATAATTAATTCATTTAAGTTAACATGATTGAAAAATTCGCATGCAAAGATTATTATTGATATTTTAATATAATAAGTAACGCGTTAGTATTAGATGAAACTGAAAGTCATTGAATAAGTAATTTATATTGAAAGTTTATTATTTCAAGAAAAATCATTTTCAAATACCAGAAGAATAAAATGGTATAGTTATAATTATATGTTCATAATAATAATAATAAATAAATACTTATATTTCTATAAATAGTTTATAAATTAATTAATGGAATTTATTGATTTTAAAGGGGCTTCGCGTAGGCAATATAAGATACGTTGCCACAACAAAATCGATATGTAAAAGTTATTTCTATACAGGTTAGGTTACACTCAAACATTCAAAACTCAATGTCTGAGCAAGCACGGATCCATAGCAAAGATAAGGGGGCAACAATTTTTTTACAACACAAATACAATTAAAACATAATATAATATATTATTTTATCATACATATCAGTGATTGGAATACAGTAATATTGAGATCTATAGAATTATAAAAAAAAAAATCGGAGAAATAATATGTTTGAGGGAGGGAGGGCTTGGTGTAAATGTACCCAACTAACCTACTGCAAAATTGTTTACTTACCTAGTTATGAAAGAGTTCTATCAATGTTCACTATAATCATTTTTTGATTACAATATGTCAACATTTCGATATAAAAAAAAAAAATAGTACAATCTTAGTATTTTGTACATCATCATAGGCCCTAAGAGAGAACATTGTCCCCCCTGGCTTTTTGGAAAATACTTTAAATTATTTGTATATTAATTTTAAAAATAAGAATTTTTCACCCGGTAATAAAACGTGCGCACGGAGGAAGCAGGAGATGCGCACGGATTTAAAAAAACATATAAATGTTTTTTTTTTTTTTAAATACTAAACTCTATCATTGTACCCTTAATTTTGTGCATTAGCGCAAACAGGGGAATGACCTTTAGAGTTCAACTTCCCTCTCCAGAGAACTCAACCAAGCCCCCTAAAATAAAGTGCTCACCAAGTAAATACTAAGTATACATAATTAACATAATAGGATTTAAGCACCCTTCCAAAAATATTTTAATTATTTGTACCCATGATTTTTGTGTAATGTTTGATTTCAAATAACGTTGCCCTGTCAAGAGAACCTGCGCACGCATGCTTATGTACCCAGTAGTAAGTACTTCACTTGAAACCATTTCATAAATTCCGAAATTGTTTTATACAACTTAAAGAATTAATAACAAATTTCAATACAGCGGTTTCTGAGTTACCTTGATTACAAAGGAAAACAACAGGATTAACACAACTAATAAAACTCCAATCAGAATTGTTTTTTAATTGCAATGATTTATCGTTACTTTCAGTATCTATGATTTATTTTAACTGAATTACAACTGAAAAAGGGATGTTTCATTCACTATTGTAAGTGAGAATTTAAGATACTTACATACATTTATTTAATTAATATCTAAAAACAACGATAAATCATTGCTAATGAAATACGATTCTGAGCAAAGTTCAGAAAGTTCATACATGCGTGCATAATATCATAGAAAAACAATTTGATCGGAAATGCACCATGATGGTGTTTTTGTCGTTTTTCGATTGAAACAATATTTCATGTAGAAGTTATTTATACACAAAAAAAAATCATTAATCAATACATTATTCACTCAATTCAGAAAACCAATAAATGATATTCACCTAATAAATGTATGGTGTAATAAAAAAATAAAAACAGACATACTTTGCACAATGGGTAAGCCCCACCTGCTATAGGTGGGAAGTTTATAATGTAATTCATATTGTATAATATTATTATTAATGCAACAATATAATAATAATTTATGATTTAACTTCGATGTGTAGCTGAGTCGGTATTTTTATTACAATAAAGCGTTTTTCTTTATTTAATATTTAATATTATATAAACGGTAAAACACTTTAATATTAATACAGAATTGAAAATATCAAAACCTACAATATTAGGTACCTATCTTCTACATAAAATAGTTATAACCAAAGTTTATGGATATTAATTAAAAACAACATATGTGGGGCATAATAAAAGAAAATATATATAAAAAATTAACAAATATATGTACTCCATGTTTTAAATATGTTATTCCTTCTGTTTGTATACTGTTTAAAAAACGTTCGCTGCTACCATGGCCATAAAGCTTTCAAATGAATGTCTGATAATGTGCTTCGCAATCTTGTTTTAAAACATTTGAATTTAGAAAATATAATAATCATAAAAGTCTAAAAAAATTATAATGTGTGTTCATTAAATAAAACATTTAAGCACTTTTATCAATTTAATAAGATTAACTTATTAGTTCATAATTTATATACTATTTATTTTTTTTCATAGATGTCAACGTAAAAGTAAATATTTTTACAAAGTACCTCCCTACAGTATTGTACGTAAAAAACCGAATAAACATAAAGTGCCTAGTAAGTATTTTTAATTTAAATAACATGTCGAGGATGTTTCCACGTATTTTCGAATCATTAAAATTTTTTTTTTTTATTCTTTCTCGTGCATTTTCGAAACCACCCATACATTTTTATCTGACATCTCTAATATAATAGCGTATTAATCGTATTACACTGTAATACACTTGTTTATAAAACCAAAGCGGCCCATACGGATACCGGCGACCAAACCACAGGGTAGTGTCCCGGGGTACCAGTCTAATCCGACCGCCATTGTCATAACTGGGAAAATAATAACGGCAAAACTGTAATATTTACGTAATAACGATTTCTTATGTGAATATCGTTACAATTTAGTTTGAAATAATCATAGGGAGGTGAAATGAAATGTTCACTGAATACCTACAGTGATTCGCTCTACGGAAAGTATTAACATTTTGAGATATTTTTTTATTTGAAAACTTAAAAAATAAATAGTTCTAAAATATTACATTGTCATTTTTTTGTCACCCTTATTTTAGGGGGAAGCCTATTTTTGATTTTCAAATGAAAACTTATATCGAAAATGCATTAAATAGATGGAGTATTAGTTTATACATTTTAGTGGTGATGACATCAACCCGTTTACAAGGTATTTAACTTTTAAGTTTAGATAAGGTGTAGTGGAACACTAATCAAACGTCGCGCGCCGTGACACTACACAAATGATATTCGGCTACTTGTCCCCCACTCAAACTTAAAAGTGGAATATATCTTACATGAAGACAGTCGGTTTTTGAGATATAAAATAGTTTTTAAAATAATTTGGTAAATCCCAAAAAAACGAAAAATACGATTTTTCTAAATTACAACGCAACCAATTCATTATTTAATATTTTTAAGATAACATTTTTCTACTAGAAATCTTTGTTTAATCAACATTTAAAAATAGCAAAGAATTTTCAAGAAAGAAAATTTTATCCAATTTATGAATAAGAAAGTAGTTGTTTAGTTTCCCGTATAGTTTTCCTTATAATGACGAAAATCCGGGAAAAACGTAGAAAACACGGCAAAGTGTACGGCATTTGGTTGTTATTTAATTAAAATTTATTATAGAGACTTGCAATTTTCACAAAATACTTATATTGGCCTTTTGTAAACGTGATCAAATTTTCAAAACATTCCAACTATTTTTATTTAGTAAGTTATGTTATTAAAATTATATGACTCAAGAATGCCTTAAAAATTCAACACAAAGTAAATTATACTTAGTGTACTTAGTGATCTAAAAAACAAATTAGAGTTTAATGCATTAGTTTGTTTTTCATAAGCATTTTAATATCAAATTTCAACGAAAATCGTACAATAATTACGGCATTTAAAAATAGGTTTTACTGAATTTGGCACTGAACCGTTTTTCGTTAGTAATTTGTTATCGTTGTTTACAGGTATAAATTAAATAACTTTATTTAGTTATCCTACCTTCTCAACTTACCACCTACAACAGTGGTTGCACCCGTCTCCAGTATCAGCTCTTTTTAAAAATGTATATTTAGTTTTATCCAGATAACATTTGACATTGTGGAAGACTTTAAAAATGCACGTCAATGTGATTCAATGTATCATAATAAGTAGATTTTATGGCACTAAATTTCGAACATCTATAGCCATAATTTTATTTGATAAAGATTTATAAAGTCCAAATTTTAATAAAACTTACGACTTTTTGAGAACTAGTTATTTTAATATTAACGTGATAACATTTTTTTAGGTCTAAAAAATACCCAAAATTCGAGATTAAAAAAAAGTTCAGTAAGTTTATCAAAACAAGTTTAAACAAATTAATAATCTATATTTACAAAAAAAATTACAATAATTAAATATGATAGTTTAAAATATTACAGACAATTTGTTGGCTTGATATTTAATTTAATAGATCTTGACACCAGCGTCTTTTAATTCAAAACTGTTATAAAATAGTAAGAATGACAAAAGCCAAATATTAGGTATAGTTTTAAATAATGACAGAAATAGTTTACAGTTGATTTATTAGTAATAAAATTATTGGTTTACAATAAATTATTAAAAGTAACAAATTTATATGTGGAATTTAAAAAAACAAAACATAAAATGTAAGTAATATATTATAATAAGAAATAGTTTTAAAAAATGGCAGTACAAAACTGGATCAGGATTAACCATTACACATTTAAATACGTACCTTTATTACCATACCTAAAAAATATTTAGTTAAATATCAAAATATAACAACAAAAATAATGTTGAACTAAATATTTTTTTGGTAGTTTGGTACAACAAATTAAAACATAATTATTCTTTTTCTTCTAGTTCTTCAAAATATTGAATTTTAAAATTTTCAAATTCTGTCTGCAACTCCTAAAACAGTTAATTTTTAATTGTACAAATAAAATTAAAATCTGTATTACGAGAACTATGCCTGCATGATAGTTGTTTATCAAACCTAAATTAATCAAGTTGTCACATTGCGACAGGAAGTTTGGGATATTTGATCTAAATGAAAATCGATTGGTTACACGATAGGTTGCACATATAGGTTGAAAATCGTAAACAAAATTATGATTATTGGTGAATGAAAAATGAATAACAGGTGACAAAAAAAAAAAAAAAAATGAAGATTTTAATCCCAAAATCCATAAATCACTTTATCTAATCACTAATGATTTTTTTATTACATTGTTTAATTGATACCATTATCCGTACAAAATTAATTAGTGTGATAAATTTTGAGAGTGTTAGATAGGTCAGTGAGGCTTAACTAGAAGTTAAAACTAAATTCTGATGAACAATGTTGAATTTGAATTAAATTATATTATTACTTATAATTAGTAATTGGTCAAACCCTGATTTTCGTAACTTAACATAACCTAACCTTGACATCAAACTGAACTTTGACAATATTTTTCAAACCTGAACTAAACCGAACACCAAACTTTTATACTTTTTAGTCGAACTCAAACTTGAATTTTTTCCATATAGATATAAAATGTAAATCAACTAGAATTTCAATTACTTTTTATTTATAAGTCTATATAGGACAAAAAGAAATACAATGGAAATTATATTACCCTATATAACTTATACAATAACTTGCAAATTATATAAACTATAGTAAATTATAGATGTAACCGAATGAACAAAGTACATTATAGAAATTAAACTTATCTATATAATGTAACAGGATTTTAATGTTTTTAACAAGATAATGATGTAACTGGTGAAATATTGTTACTTATTGGTTTTCCTAAATTAAAAATATATTTTTCAGATTTCATGACAATACTCATGGTTAAAATATACAAAATTATTGCATATATACCCTTCTCAATCAAATATTTGATGATAACAAAAATGGCAGAGCGTGAATTAAATTTGAATTTGAATTTTTATAATCAGGTCGACAAATACTTCAAAGTTCAATTCTCAAACGGTATTAGATACTAAATAGTACGATTCGATTCGAGATTCAAACAGTTCGACCTATCATTACTTATAATTACCATGATTAGAGCTGATCGATCCCATTTTTGTAAATACTGGTTAATTTTGCTATGAAATGTTGAGAACAATTTAATTATGTCATCATCAATACATAAACTATCTTGACATAATCTTTCATTCCAAAATGCCATTACATCTTTGGTAAAAAAGTCACTGACTATATTTTCATCAATCTTAAGGTCTTTACAAGTTTGAGATGGATCTATGAAAAATAAATAAATTAAACACAAAAGTCAAAATTAAAAACAATTAATATAATATATAGCTAATCGAAAATGGTTTTTTGGTCAATTAATATAGTATTCAGGGCTTCATTTTGTATACATATTTCAGAACGTTTAGTTATAAATAATAAACAAAGTTATTATATTATATACATTATTATATTTAATACTAACCTAAATCATTTTTGTCATTTGGTATAAGGCTAGGAGAACGTGACCGATCTACACACATTGTGCTATCATTGCTGCTTTCATCAATTCCATTAACTGTGAAAAACAAATAAATAGTGTTTAGTTATTGATTATAATTTAGTACTCAAATATTATATATTTCATTATCATTTAATAGTTGAAAATAATATTCAAAACATTTTATAAATAAAATAGTTGATGTGAAATAGTATACCTCAATATTATTGTGAATATCAATCAGATTGTTAAAAGTAATGCAATAATAAATCAGCAACTTATTGATTTTTAATGAGTGGTTAAAAAAAATTCAGTTTTATAAAATAATGGTTTATTATTAATTTGATTAAAGAAAAAATTATGTTTTCACTCACTAGTTTCAAATCCATTAAGTGTTGAAAAACTGTTGTTTACTGTACTCTCTTCATGATCCTGAATCATTAAAAATCATAACAATGTGATCAATTTAGTAAACATATTATTACATGAAATCATAAATTTATTATAGTATACTTTGGTGTTTTTTGAGTATTTCTTCTTCTTCGGAGTTAATAATCCTTTTTGCCACATATTACGGCGCTTTTTTTTTCTGGCACTATTATCTTCAAGATTATCTGAAAAATACACAATTTCAACTTTAACACAATTTAGGGAAAGGAAAATGTAACATATGCAATTAAGTGTTTCCATATAACACTCAATAATTCGGCCAGATGACTTTGGATTTGAATTCTATTTTTAGAAGGTAGTAGGATTATAACAAATTTCAAATTTTTAACCCTTGATGTGCGCATGCACAATACATAAGTAATTTATATAGTAACAGTTATTTTTGACAAATTTTAGATTCGATTAGTCTTATTTTTTTCAAGTAACTTTTTATTTAAAAAATAACTTGTCATACAACCATCTGAAGTTAGTTGAAAAATATGATTTTGTTATACATTTTTCAAAAAGATTTAACATATGTTATTATGTATGCTATATTTACATATAATTATTAGTAATCAAATTTCTTTAGTATTAGTCATTTTAAAATCGTAATTTTTAATCAAATTCAGATAGCTGTATCTCAAGGAATTATGGAGTTAAAAATATTTTGAACAAAGTTGCTTGAAAAGCGTAGACCAGTCCAGGGTAAAAAATAAGTATTGCTATTAAAAATTATTTTATTGCACATACATGCGCCAAAAGTATTAAAAATTAAAGTGTAGATTTCAGTAGCAATCTCCCAAAAACAGAATTCAAATCTTAGATTATCCACCCAAAATATTTAGTCTTACCTGAAAAATCAAACACACTGTATATAAGAACTTTTAAATACAGTATCAATTACTATTTATATTAAATATGCATAGATAAAAATTAGATATAATATAGCAGTTTTGAAAATTGATTTTTTTATAAAGGAATATAATATATAAATAGTAAAATATTAAAATAAAATTCCACAGTGTAAAAAACTTAATACTACTGTTATAATGCTAACCAGACAATAAAAATATAAAGTAAAATTGCAGTAAATATTTATAAAATAAAATTTAAATGAATATCTTGGTCCAGAAATAGACAAACTATTATGGATATGCTGTATTAAGAGTTCAAAACTTATTCAACTCCCCTGTGTTCTATTATTATCAAATATGTAACTAATAGGTACAATTAGATAAATTAAAAACTTTAGATACATAATTAACACTATAAACTCAAGTAAAAAGTGTTTAAAGAAATATACATAAATACAAAATAAATACATTTTATTTAAAATATAATAAAAATAATTTTATAGATATTATCATTAAAAATATTAATTTACCATCTTTATCTGCTATCTGTTCTTTTTTAATAGTATGTACAAAATCAGGAACACATGTTTGTTCAATCTCTGTAGCATTACGCTTTTTACGCTTTTCTCTTATATCTTGGCAGTTATCTTCAAAATCAGAGTCCATTTCTGCTTTGATAAATGCATATGCCTTATCTCTTAAAGAGCACGCTCTATGTCTTATATGCTTATCTTCTGCACTTTTATCAGGGTTATATTCCAAAGCATTTCTTACAATGAGATCAATATCCGATAAAAAGTCTTTTGCACAAATATAACAATGTTTATCAATCTTGCTCATTACAGTTTCTAAATCCATAGGTTCTTTAATAATTTCTAAATAATCTGGCACTTCTTCAATATCAACAGGTTTTGTAAATAAGAAAAATCTAAACAAATATAAAAGCTCCTTAATTTATATTAAATGATTGAAATACAAAATTAATTGTACTGGGCATAAGTTACTATATTTATATTAGACATTTTTAATTTATTTCTATTCAAAATATATGATAGTTAAATTTAATGTGGAAATTTGTTAATTTAATAATAATTAAAACCTACAAGGTCTAAGAGGGTTAATTATTATACTTATTCTTATCTTAACACAGATACTGTTATAAAAGCAAGTATTAATAATTAAATAAAAACAATTTTCGTTTGGTTATTGAGTTGAAATAAAAATACAAATTAATTAGCTTATTACAAAACTTAGACAAACGACATTATTATTTATTATTTAAATAATTTCTTATTACTGTGAAAAGTAGTTAAATCAAAAAAAGAGACTCTAAAATTTTTTACAGTAACTCGGGACAATTTTTTATACCATTTTTTAACTTGTATATGAATACAATATCAGAATACTGCCAATGAGTAACTAATGACACTAGACTATTTGATAGCTATATTAGAGGAGAACATATCTTTAAAGCCTATTTCATACCCAAACATGTGTATGAAACATCATTATAGCTTTTTAATTTTTTTATTTGACCAAACTGAGATAGGTTTAAGACCAAAGACCAAAATTCTAAAACAAACCTCACTAATGCACAGTAAAGTACAATAAAACAGTTTATATTATTAAATTTAAACAAATGTCCTTTAGAAAGATTGATCCTAAGCCACAAACTTGAGCCACCTGTATAATTTTCCCATTGCATATAATGTATTTAAATTCCACTTATAGCGACAAGAAATATTAACACATTTAATAATATTTAAAGGCCTTTAACTATGAACCAGTTAATCAAAATGTTAAGATCTGATTGTAGGTTGTTGGTATCCTAAATTGATGACACAGGCAAATTAAACTTTAGCAAAGAGTGAATAACTACAATATCTGAAAACACTCCTTACATCGTTTATAAATATTAAAAACAGTAAAATGACAACAAGTGTATTCCCTAAAGTACTCTAGATGATATGAAGACTATATTAGAAATTGAACTACTTTTTTTTAGCATTTGAGTACAATCAGTCAAGTAAGAATGAAGCTATGACAGAAACAGATCTGTAACATCAATTTTTTTGAGTTTACTAATTATTACATTATGATAAATTAGCTTATATAATATAATATAATTTTGAATACATTTTATTTACAAATGTTTATTATTGTAATAATAAAGTAGTCTCAGACTTATGTTATAATATATGCTTAATATGATTTTGTTGTCAAATAGATTATTTTTATTTATTGTGATTTAGTATCTAAAAACGACGTACTGTTTGTTGCGAGCAAGTTTAGCACAAATATCTCGTAAAAATATTCTAAGTTCTCTCAATGTGTTTTCTTCTTGACAAATTATATTTTTTAACTCAGTTTCACTTAATTTTGGAGAACTAGGTGGTGGAGCAATTGGTAATTCTTCTAATGATTGTTGATCAATTATTATTGGTGGCGTAAGTGCTTTATCAAGTAATGACAAATATAATGAGTAAACATCTTTTTCAGATGGATTCGGAATACAATATTTTACTTTTTCACCAACAAATAAATTTAATACCTATAAATAAGTTAAAAATAAATCTTATAATAATGATAGTTTAATTAATAATTTAAGATATTTATTACTTCGTTTGGCAAATCTGTGGTATCATAAAGTGATGTTGCAAATATCAATATAGGAAGAGTAATATCCATTGAATTTAATAACTCTAAAAATAACCTTTGTAAATGAAAAGATAAGCTAGACCAAAATTCACCAATATTGGGAATAAATAAAATTGCAGGAAGATGTTTAGGAAGTTCTTTAAAAATCTGAAAAATGAAATAAAATAACAAATTAAAGCATTCACATACATAAATTACTTAACATAAAAAAAACCACAATGAACTATTGAATTCAAAACTGTTAAATTGCAATTAGTTCAGTATTTATTCCTAATAATCACATATTATTATAACCTGTAAAATAGCTTCTTCAGGAGAATATGTTGAATTGCAGTATAATGTTACACAGCTTAGTGTATGTCTATAACAATTTTCAAAGTGTTGCAAAAGAGCTGGAATAACTAAGACATTTTTTGAATTTGAAAGGCTGTGCACTAGTAAGCGAGGAGCATTTGCAACTCTCAGTCTAATATAAAAATAAACAAATGAATATATAACACATTATAATAAAATATGATAATTAAAATTAGATTATATATAATAAATGTTATTATTTAAATTTAGTTTTTAAAAATGTCTGTCAATGGGCAACTATCTAATTTAACATATAAGCTATAGTAGAATTTTGTTTGTACAAATTTATTTTGTATTAACAATGAAATAGATGACATGAACTTTTGTAAATGAAAATTGATGTACTAATTTATATTAGTTATTAACTGATGGCTAGTTTTAATAGAAATATTGTAATAACAATGTGTTGTAAATACTATTTTCTTGGAGAATAAATATAGAATGGAGAGGAGAAAGGCACCTAATTGAGTTATGTAAAAACTAATAAAATTATAATATAAATCAAATATGAAAATGTTTAAAATTATATTTACAATCTACGTGATAAACCATAGACATACTGAGTTTTATTTCAAATTATTTATTACCTTTGATTTGGTTGTAAATTAAGTTCAGGTAATATTTGACTTAATAAGACTATTAAGTTTTTCAGAGTATTTTCATATAATGGATGGTAAATAGCTGGAAGTTTTTTAGGATTAAGTACAATATTGCGTTCTGTAGTTGGCACAATTTTGCTCATTGCTTTTTCAAAATCTTCCATTTTTACCTAAAATGTATAATATATTTTATTAGAATATTGTACTAATATACATAATTTTATTTAACTATTTTTATCTATTTGTTTAAGATACTTTATAAAAAATTGAAATAAATCCACAGGTTTTAAAAGAATTTTATAGATTGACAAATGTTATAACTTTTGTTCTGTTAAATATTTTTTAAGTTTTATATTATTGTAATAATAACTTATATTTTACAAAATCTAAGATAACCATTTTATTAATTTATTATGAAACAAAATGTTAATATTACAAATGTTTACTAATGGCGAGTCATTCATTTTCTTAAAATCTTTTGAAGTTTGCAATAGTTTAAATTGTTTTCATTGCTGTTAGTAAATAATATGAAATACCAATATTTATTAGTCATTTTTTCCACAAAAAAGTACTCATAGTACATTATTATTATTTATTATCCCTGCATTTCATGTGCCCATGTCTAAATAACCCGGTAATTTTATTATTTCTCTTCAAGTTATGCATTATATTGCTCTATAAACATATATTATTTTTCAATTGATTTAGTAGATTATTGAAGAAAATTGGGTAGATTATAAGTACCCGGTCAAAATGACCATGTGTGTGTAATCATATTGTAATCAATATTACACATACACTGTAGGGTTAATTATGTATAAGTAGTGGTGATAAAAACAATTTAAATTAATTGTATAAAACAGCCTTCTTGGATTTTATTGAAAAAATTGAAATGTTTTAAAAAAATAAAATATAATAAAACTTAAAATATTAAACAGAACAAAAGTTATTGCATTTATCAAATCTCTGGGAGATAACATGTATTGAACAAACTGAAATAAACATTCCAAACCATTTTAGAACAGCAATATACTAATACAGTGGTTCTTAATTTTTGTTTACACTACAAAATACTAAATCAACAAAAATATTTACAGCAAAGAACGGTTTAGAAAAAAAAATCCTTAATTTATAACACATATAATATCAAGGATATTCAAGACCTTCATAACCTAAGCACAGTTGGAAAATATTACTGGATGAATGACATAATTCATCATGTAGTTATTTCATAATATGTTGAAAAAAACCAATATTCGTACATTTTCGATGAGAAAATGGTAGTAAGATATTTATTCATTTTTCACTTACCACAGGGATTTTATTTTGAAAAGACATCCAAAATGTTTAGATTTGTGTGTTATTTGTTTAACTAGTGATTAATTTTTTTCCAATATCCGATATTTGCTACTGATATAAACCTGATACCTGATCCTATATCCAAAATCGAAAACCATGAGTTGTTATTGAAATTAACCAATATCAGTTTAAAACCAGATATTTAAACTATTTTTTACACTCCAGAGATATTATGGACATCTTTCTTCGAAAATATTGGTTTAAAAAAATTCATTTTACTTTAAACTACTTACTTTACATTTTAGTTTTCAAAAACAATCTACAAGATAAACAAGCTTAGCATTTTTTAATTAATTTTGTTAATATTACTTAGTTTTATGAAAAATAGTAATTTTTCTTATAGTTCCAAATACATAAATTAATACATTATTTCTTGATAAATATCCAACTTTAGTCTGAAGTGTAACAAAGTAGTTTAGTGTTTATACTATTATTATTTCATGGTTCTTTAAATAATTTGCATTTAACAAGTTAATATTTTATAATTTATTTCATTGATATTTTTAGTAAATCATTCATATCTTCTTCATCTAAATGTTTAACCATTAAGCTTTACAATATGAAGAAAAGGAATAGGAAAGGTTTATTTTTATATAAAACAAAGACATTTTCTTACAAACCAAATCTGAGAAAATGTATCTATAATGATTAGCAGTATCAAAAATACTAGTTCTTGTACATTAGACTGTGAGCATAGCAAGGAATTTATTAGTTTTACTATGTGTCTAACTATACGCATCTTTTCTAATAAAAAATGTTTGTCCAGTTAGTGGTCTAGTTGGGGCAATTCGTTTTTTTTTTTTGATTTACCTTCAAGTTTGGGAAAAAGTATGCAATAACAATTTTAATTATTTTAAATATTGTGTTTTTTTGTAATTTGAGTAAAAATAAATAATCATAGAGACTTAAGATTTTTCAGAGAATAATAGTACTTATTTCTAGAAATGATACAATTTTCAAAACATTCTAATAATTTTTGAGCAAAACATTTTAAAGTTTTTAGTTTCATTTGGTTTATGTGGATAAAATGGTTTGGCCAAAGAGAAATGCTTGAAAATATAAAACAAGATTTATTAAAAGTTGTAGGTACTTAGTAACAAAAAAGTTGAGCAAAATGTAGTCATTTTTTTTCTAACAAGCATTATAAGTTCTAATTTTAATGTAAACATAAAAAAGTAATCATTTCAAAACATATGCGAAGGCATCGTTATTCATTAGCAATAATTTATTTTTGCATACAAATATAAATTAATAACTATTTATCTTACTCTTTCTACAGACTTTCAGCAATGGCTGATAATTCGTTAAGCTTAACAGTTGATGTTTTTTTTTTTCTGTATTAGCTCTTTATTTTAAATATTAAAATAAAATAAAAATAGATTCTACTAATAAAATAATTGCATATCTTAGTAAATATAAAAATGTTAAAACACTAATACTTAAGTAGTCTATAAGTATAATGATGAAAAAAAAATATGGTATATTTAAATTTTAAGGCTAGAGTTTAGGACATAAAAGAAATATTTTTCTTAGTATATTTTTTTTTCTTTTATGAAAAACTTTAGAATTTAGCCTAATGTTTAACTATTAAGTGGGTTCATTCAATTTATAATATTAGTTTGACCTTACAAATTTGTTAAAAGTTTTAAAGTTTTTTTTTTAAAAATAAAACAGAATTGGGCCCTTGTTCTAATAAGTATCCCAATTACCTATTTATTAGTTATTGACAAGAATGTTTTCGAGTAGTACTTAACATTATAAAAACAAAAAATAATAATAACAAATTGTGATGTGATTTCTATCATGCACAAAGTCTAAAAATAACAAATTTGATAGTTTATTATTGATTAGTGAACATATTCAATGAACAATTCAAAATATACTACCTGATCATACACTATTTTGATTGAGAACCACTGTATTATTTTTTTTAGTTTCAATTAATTTAATGATGTTCTTATATATTATTTTATTTATATTATCTATACAAATTTTTTAGACAATTAAGTTAATCATATTTAACTTTTTTTGAACACACTCACTCCAAACATAAACTACGCATTTCACAGGGATATCATTATGCCCATTTTATATTCTTTTATTTTTATTGTTAAATATTATTTGATAATGGTGAAATAAATGAATGAAAAAATGTCGACAAATATGTGGGAGCTTTTAATCTGAGTAATGCAACGATTATTATACATACATAAACAAAAAAAGTTAATTTTAAATTAGATGAACATTGAATATTTAAAATACATTGTTACCTCACTGAACATTAATTGTTTAATATTAATTATTTAATCAAATAAAAGATTAAAAGTTACTCATTCATTAAATGTTTTAAATAGATATTATATATTTTTAAATACATTTAAGTACATTTCTATAAACTAGTAAATTTTGAAATTTATGGTTTTAGATTAACTAGATTTGAATTTTGTATTTTATTCATTTAAAAATGTTTTATGATCTAGGTTTATGGATAGTTAAAATATTATGCTATTAAAAATAATCAAACATACCTCAATTTTGTTTGTGTCCAAAAGTAGCCTCTTTGATGTTTTATAAATCTGAGGATATGTACGATTTAATGCTTGCAATACTGATTCAGAACACAAGGAATTCAAATCTGCACCCGTATAACCAACAGTTTCTTCAGCTAGTTTTAATAACACTTCATCAGTTGGGACATTTTTCCATTTGCTAATAAAAATTCGCAATATTTTTAGCCTGTCCTAGATAAATATATATAAAAAAATATATATAATTTGTACATTATTTAAACTTGCTTAAAATTATTTAATGTTACTTTGTCTGTCGGAAGAGGAAAATAAAGTTCTTTATCAAATCGTCCGGGTCTTCTGAGAGCTGGATCAATAGAATCTATACGATTTGTAGCGCCAATAACAATGACATCACCACGGTTTTCTAATCCATCCATCATTGCTAACATAGTAGTTACAATACTATTATGAACTTGATCTTGTTTACCAGAACGTACTGGCACCAAACCATCAAGTTCATCAAAGAATATAATAGCTGGTTTCATTTCTTTTGCCTGAAAAATAACTTAAATAGTTATATTTTTGTTTTACAATTACAATTTAATAATTCAAGTTCAATTAACTATGTTTATTTAGTTTTAAAATTACCAATTGTAATCAGATAAGTAATACATTGGTGTAAAAAAAAAAAAAATACTTTTTATTTGGCATAACTACATACATTAAAAAAATTATTCTAAAAATGTCTATTATATAAGTAAAATTAAAAAAAAAAAAAATTTCAAATATTATGACTACATATACTATTCTATGAAAAAGTAGGCCAGATCTGCACATATAAGCTGAACATGTCTGCAAATTTGTAATACACCATTTTCTCCTCTTTACGACTAAACTAGCAGTATAAATATGTGTTTGAGAACGGCTAATATTGGACGTCAGGATACCAGTAATTAATCAAGATTATTAATATATAATTATATTATAATTTTTATTATAGTGTGGCATACCTCTCATGTAATATAGTATAAAGATATCTAGTGTTTCTAATTATTATATTAACAGTTTTCAGGAAAAATAAATAAGTTAATAGGTTTAAATTATAAAAAAACCAATTTCTAATAATAGTGGTAAAAAATGTTTTAATTTTAAACGAATTATTTTCAAATAAACTTTACCTTTTCAAAAAGAAGTTTAAGTTGTCTTTCTGATTCACCAACCCATTTGCATAATATATCTGCACTTTTACGTACAAAAAATGATACTTTCTGGTCTCCAGTGCCACATTCATTTGCTAATGCTCTTGCAAGTAATGTTTTGCCTGTTCCAGGTGGCCCATGGAAAATCACTCCTTTAGCAGGATGTTGGTCAAACATTTGAAATACATCTCTATAAACCATAGGAAAAACAACCATTTCACGAAGACAGTCAATATGTCCTTGCAAACCACCAACATTATGGAAACCGATACCACTATCTACAACAACTGGCTTTATATCTTCTAGGGATGTTTTTTTTTTATTTTTTTCATCTCTAGTATGACCTTTGGGTTTTTTTATTACTTGAGTTTGATTGACTGAAGTTTCTACAAGATCATTATCAGACAAACTAGTGGAACTAGATCCAGAAGAAGATGAAACACGACGTTTTCGTGGACCATTTACCATTTTTGAAGGATTTTTTACAGCTCCTGTAAATAATAGAAAGCTTATATTAATATATATTAGCTTAATTAACAATAAAAACTATTTCGGTAAATATATGAATAAATATATCAGAAATATGTACAAAATTAAAGAGAATAAGATACAACTACTAAAATAATTGTGCAACAATAAATAAATGACATTATTAATCAAAAAGAGGAGTAAAAAGGTGAGTAAGGCTTAGTGTTTGGAGCTCACTATCGCCGGTTCAACACTCAATCACGGGTACTTATTAATTTGCAGGGTGAGGATGACAAGTAAAACTAAAATGACAATCCAATTTTTTTTTTTTTTTTAAATTAGTACTTAAGAATTACATCCCAGCTAAAAAAAAAAACCTTAATTTCACATAATACAACTTGTTTTAAATGCTCTTCGGGCCTATGAGAGAACGCTACTTCTATGTGCATCTAAATGAACAAGCTCCACAGTTTTGTGCCCAAATTTCTCCCACTCAACTACCTACTCGCTATAGGAATGCGCGGGAACAGACGAGGTTTGGTCACCGCCCAGTGTAACGTTCTTTTACTGACCAGACTATAGTCTGTCATTCCAGTTGATCCAACTATAGTATTATCGATATGAATACTTTAAAAATACATTTGGACTTTCAAATTTATAGTAACTAAATACTATATAAAATTAATTGGCAGTTTACTAATTCCCTTATTGCTTGTCTGCTTTAGCAACTCTGTCCTCTCTCGTATATTTTCGACCATGTATATACTTATATTACTTACATTTGTATAATGCTAACATTCAAATGTTTAGTAAATACATATGTAAATACAATTGTTTGTATATTCTGATAGTCCAACCTTTTTATAGTTCCGACATACCCTAGTCCTAAAGATGACAGATTGGAGTAGTTTGGTCTTTGTTACATATTAATACTAGAGATCTTTTTTTTGTCTATTTTTTGAATGGCATTCAATTAGTATATTGTAATTAACAAGTTCAACTTATTATTATATTTTAAATTTAAATTAAACTATTTAATAAAACTTTTTAAATTTTATAGTAATACTGTCCTAATACTAATTGTACTACTTAATACTTTTAATTAAAGAATATTATTTATTATTTTATGAATATACATGATGTATAAAAAAAGTAGGTTACTTTTTAACAATATGGTAGTGTCACATAGTTTTCCGATGCCTACCTAGATTCACATCATTGATATCAATGACCTATACTAATCATTAGTCATTAATAACTCAATCAGTTTGAAATATAAATATTGAATAGCCTTAATATTGTTCTTTTAATGACAGTATGGCTATTCTTTTTTATTATCTATTAGTCCTTATTTTCTAACAAATATTTTTTAATTTTTAATATAGCTTTAAAAATTTAAAATAGAGTAAAATATAGCTATATTATTATCAATAGGTAGTTGCTCTGATAAAACTGAATAGTGGTCAATAATTATAATAATTTGTTTCAACAATACAATGACTTTTTTAAAGCACTTTTTCTAAAAATAATAGAGAATTCAGATATTCAGGCATCACTACAAGATAGAAGAAATACTATTATAAAATATTAAAACATAAGTTTTGTTATCAGCAAAATATAAGCATTACAAGAATTTAAAGAAATAAGTCCATGTTATCAAATGGAGGTTGTAATAGTTGTAACAATAACTCTTTTATTTTTTTTAAACGAACTACAGTTAACCAATCCACATTATTAAGTAAAAACTCTACATAAATATTTTGCGCATAATCCACAAAAATAAAAGTTTATTTTAACTCACTTGTATTTTTTTCAGTATGTATTTGAAATCTTTGGACAACAGGCTTAACTTTACGTAAACTGTACCTATAATATCTATTAGGCCCATTAGTAGATTCTCGAATGGTACACTTTCTAAATCGTAAAGTATTTCTTTTTTTTTTTTTTACAGTTAGCTTCTTTTTAATGGAAGTTAAATAATCATCAAAATTAGTCAAATTATTTAGCTCTTCAGAACTCATGGATCCATCACTGCTTTGTTCTGTAGCAGCTGCAAAAAAAAAAAAAACAAAAATAAGTACCACAATTATTATGATACAAATTATCTACACAGTTATACATACTATTGGGTTTAGGCTGAATTTGTCTGCGTGTACGTTTGATTCGAGTATATAAATTATCATCATGTTGACCAATTGACTTATCACTTGCTTCAGCCACAGCTCTTCTGGTTCTAGGACGACTATCACTAGCCTCTGCTATAATAGACAAATTATTTTTCTCTTCTTGTTTAGAACTATTACTCTGTGATGATACATTGGTTTGTTTTTTTTCTATGTCTACTTGTTCATTAGCATTAGCAACATCAGCATCAGCATCAGCATCAGCATCAGCATCAGCATCAGCATCATCATCATCATCATCATCGTCATCATCATCCTCTTCATCATCTTCATCATAATCTACTTCTGGTTTTAATCTTGTACTTTTAGTAACTCTCCGTGGAACTAATTATGGAAACATAGATTTGTGGATGTTAGGTTCTAACATGAGTAGTTACAAATTTAAACAAAATCTATTGAAATAGAAAAAAACTTACCATCAGTTTCTTCATTTACCATATTTGGATAACCTTTAAGAGCTTGAGTGCCTACAATCCAAGTATCACTATAATTTTCATATTTTAATTTACGTTTCCTAGTACTTTTTCTAGTTCCTTCTGTATATTAAAAATTAAACTATATTATTTATACTATCTGGTATTATTTCATAATGAATTAGCATCTTTTACCAACGTGGTTTGAATCATCTTCTTGGTGCCGATGACTACTTCTACGTGTATGACTCAGAGATGAAAATTTAGACCTTAAAGAGTAAATAATATATAACAATTAGTAAGCTTGTTATACTGATTACTACTTGTTATATTAACAAGTAATTTATTTTATTTACTTATGTCAGTTTTAAATCAATATTTAAACTCACCCATACATTTTTCTTAATTATTTTATATAACTAAGGTCATGTTAATAAATAGGTAGATACCTAGATATCTTTACATTTTATTTTTATTCCCATATTAATTAGAATATAATCACATGTAGTTGTTATTATTATTATATATGATACTTATATGGAAGGCTCATTAATACAAATTATAAGTATATATTTTATATAAGTAGGTACAAGGTTAGGTATATATGTTTACCTGGTGTCAACTACTGGTGTAAAAATTTGATCATCGTCTGATTGATCAGATTGACTCGAAATATTTCTATTTCTGTTCCTGTTTCTCATTGTTTATCTTAAAAGTAAATAATAAAAAGAATAAATGTTTTATTATAAATGTAAAAATAGATATAAAGATTCTATAAAATTATTAGTAATCAATGAAAAGGATAAAACGAAAGCCTAATTTTTATTTTTAAACTTTAAAATCATATAATTAAAGGTAAATTTTCTTAGAAAGAGAATAATTAAAATACAGTATTATACACATAGGTATACAATTTTAGGGACTCAGTTAGGTATAAAATACCTAAACTAGTATTAACGCACCTTATATGGTTAAAATTAATTGATACTGGGAGGTTCAAAATCAAAAATTAACTAGAAAAAAAAAAATTAAAAACCTAAAATAAAACTGTTAAAATTAAAAGATTTAGTTCTTAGTAGAATATAATTAATAAATATATAATATTAAATTATCTGTCAATACATTTAAAATATATACATAACACTATTACACTTTTACATATTATAATATATTACGCTTAAATTATATTTTGTGTTAAAAATAAAAAGGAAAAAGAAAATTTTAGAAACAAAATTGATTCCCATATATTATTTGATCACATTCAATAAGCAAACTAAGTATATAGTATATGCGCAGAAAAATGATAAAAGTAATAATATACTAAATAACAAATACTTGAAAAAAAAATTTATGAATAATCATAGAATAATCTTTTCTTTCGCCTTCATAAAAACTATGGGGCCCAAATAATCATTGTGAATAATAAAATCTAAAATAAACAAGATGATGGGTATTATCTTTAATCACAAGACATCGGTCGTTGATAAGAACTTTTGAAGTTTCAAATGCCCCTGAGCCAAAACTCTACACTAACGGGAAATCTAAAATGTGAAATCCCCGGGCGTTATCATCGTGTGGTGAGTAGAAAAGAGAAACAAAAGGAACGTTTTTCCCAGGTGAACAGCCAAATCCGTCACCGGTTTGTCATTATATTGCACGAATAAATATCGTTTTAATAACAATGACAACAGTGGAGAACACAATAGATATGACAAAAACCTAACATCGAAATTTGGCGGCCCACGAAAATATTCGGAACTCACTTGTTGTTCCGTTTCGACTTCTTGGTTCGACGCGTCGTGGTGATATGTTAGGTGCTAAGACGTGCGCTGAGGAAGCCAACGGTTGCATGCCACTGCCACCAGTAACGTTAGCACTTTGCCAAGTTTAAAGCACTGGGCGTCGTTCGTACCTACGTTACAACAAACGCGTGTTGGAGACGCCGAAGAGATATTAAGCGGCACAGAATTTCAGTGCGACTACAATTGTACAATGGGATCAAGGGATTTATAGTTCGAACTTCGAACTGCGGTCTACAGACGATCAAAACGAGGAATAGTGCAGTGGAAAGGGGGTTAGACAGGGACAAAATTAATGTATATGTATACAATAATAATATAAACGGATGAAATAACGATTAGCCAAACAAAACACGGAAAACAGCTGATAGTGTTAACGGATGTTAACGTTCCGGTTTAACTACAACACAGAAACAACCTTGTAGCGACAAGAAGTACGAAGGATTTTTTTCGCTTACATCACCGGTTGCCTGTGCCATCATTATCGATCATAGACCAGACCATGAAGATAAGAGATAAGGAGACCAAACTCCATATACGAAAAATGCACGATGACAAAAAGCACACGATTATTCTGCCACCAGGAGCACGTTGTTCGATTAGTGCTATTTTTTCACGTTATACTATATAGTATTATATTTAGGATTAGGTACGTTTTTTATTGGTTTTGTAGTACGATTTATTATTACATACAAATTGTTTTCACAAGTTGACTTTTGACTTATAGTTGCTAACCTAAGTTGATATTGAACACTGTCGGCCTGATCAAGGCAACTAGACAGTGATCGCTACCCGGGCTCCTAGCGTTTTTTTTTTCCACCGTAGATATACTGAGTACATAGGTACATTATAGCTTATAAATAATTGACACACCAACTAACAATCAGATTTTTCCAAATAAACAAGCAATAGTTGGTAAGATAAGATAAGAAAGAAAGAAAACATCAGGACACCCTTGAAACTCTTGTCAACTATTGTCAACCTTAGGGTTGACAATAAAAAAAAAATGATGTATTATTTTATAATATATATATGTTATATGATGGTATAATAAAATACGTACATAAGAAGTTTTGAAAAATCACTTATTAAAAATGGCCACTGGGATAGCTGTAGTTAACACTCACTTTTCGCGAGTCCGACTATAACTATAATATGGGTATGCATGTTGCTATACTCATATGCTAAATTTGTTTGTAGTTAATGTCAGGGGGAAACTGGTACCAATTCGCAATATATTTAATACTCTAAATCAGATTTATACATTCATAGGAGCTTCTTTGAAAAGGTTTTCGGTATTTAAAAATATACAGAAGGAATCAAAATTATTCAATAGTACTTTAAAATCACTTAGTGACACTAGGTGGAATTGACGAATTGAAGCTATTTGGTCTGTTATAAATAATTTTAATTCTATTGTTTCAACCTTAGAAAAAATAAATGAAAAAGACTATTCAATGATCTGATGCCAATTCAATATTAGTGAATATTCAAAACTTTGAATTTCTTTTTTTTTTTAAAGTTAATGAAGTTAGTTTTTGAATTAACCAACAACATATTATCAAATTTCAAAAAAAAAAAAATGCTGATTATTCAACTATTTCAATGTTAACACATGCTACTCTTATGGAATTACAATTTCTTCGAAATGACGATCGTTTTGAAAAAATTTGGATTAAAACAGAACATCTTGCTTCCAAAGAATCTATGCACCACCTGTTATTATAAGAATCAAAAAATTATCTACAATAGGTGGTGGTGAAACTTTAACTGCGAGAAACGTTGCAACTTATTACAAATGATATATCAGTGTACATGGTCTCTGTACTACATATAAAATAACCCATTTTTATACCTTATATTGCTATCCAACATCAAATAGTCTTGTAGTTGAATTAATAGATAGTGTATAGCAGCGGTTCCCAAATTGTGCGTTAAGGTCGAAAAATTCGGGGGGGAGATTAGCCCCCCCATAATTATGCCTTAGTGCGTATACCCAAATATCCATTTACCAATACACCACTGATTATATGTTTTCTAAACTTATTCTAAAGCCTTAAGTTTATTAACATGAAATAAACTTTGCCCCCTCCCCATACAGATTACCCAAGTTACGCCCATGTTCTTCAGTAACCCATAGGTACTAATAATGGTTAACAGTTGTTTTATACTAAGATGTATTACTGGATATGGTAAAATTTTAAGTAAACAAAAAAACAAGTGGATTAAAAAATATAAGTTTATTTAAAGCACTCAAAGTAAGAAAATAAAAAAAATTTTAACATTATTTATGAAATTAATTTTCTTGTTAAAATATTTGTTTCATATTTAATTAAGATTACAGAGCTTGTTTAGAATTAAATTTAGATACATAATAATATGGAATTCAGATCTTTAATTTTTATGGATCAAACTTTAAAAAAACCGGTTTATATCACTAATATAATATATTAAACGGTTCTTATCAGTATCAGCTTACTTTGAATAAACGACAGTTACCTAACTGGAGATAATGGCCAAAAGAAGCATCAGGCACTTAGGCGTAGCAAGAAATATTTTTCTATAAAAAAAATAGGTAGACTAGATAAAATAATACAAATATTTGAATGAGAATCCATATTACGTTCTTTAGGCTTAAATCGATTTTACTACCAGACGCGAATTTGGTTTTTATTTTTTTAATCGATTTGTTTTTTAATGCTGAAAACCGTGGTACGCCAGTTCGACGACTTTAATCGCGATTGAAAAACGCTAAGATAAAATGAAATGGTTATTAAAGCAATATAAAATTAAAAAACATAAAGTTAATGTATATTTAATATATATTTATATAAATGTAAATACCTAATTTATATTATTTTTATAAAATATAATATTTTTAAAATTTAATTGTTATCATCTGAAAATACTTCATAATCAGACTCCTCATTATTGCTCTAATTAACTTAATTAGGTACACACGTAGAGGAAATCCTCAAGGAAAGACTTCGCCATCACACGCTAACCACACGTCCGGTAATTACTCGAGGATTTTGTCATTTTCATACTACCTACGTGTGAACTTAATCGCGTACCTACTGTTATTGGACGCATTATTAAGTACTCTCGTTTAAATAAAATAACATCAACATCTATTGATGCACTAGACTTAATGGATTCTTTTATTTTTTTGTTTTCCTTTCTTTTAAGCACTTCTCATATTATTTATTTTTTTTATTACGCTGTCTTTTGTGGCATTTGGTTCAATTTCCTTTTGTTTGTTGACTAATTTGGCGTACGCAGAATCATTTTTGTTCCTGTCACGGTAATCTTTTGATTTGATGTTTCAAAGACAAGGTTCGCTTTCATACAATTTAATGAATTCGTCAATAAATTCACGGCTCATTTTAAATGGGTAAGTACACACGGGTCACGAAGAGGAAATGATAAACTTTAAATATTTATAAACGTTTGGTTGCGGTTAAAACAAAATTAAAATAATAGTGATATCGCACGAATCCTCAAGGCAGACCTCACAGTGCCTCCACACGTGCGAATTTAAACTGTACAGTCTGGCCTGCACAGTTTTTCCTTATTGAAATTCGAAGAGGATTTTCGGACTGCGCAGGCTGACATAGGCCTCAAGGCCGATCCTACACACGTGAAGGAAATCCTCTACGTGTGTACCTACCTTTATACGTTTCAATTTATTGTCCATAATTTAATAATAAACGTTTTTATCGTAATTTATCAACTGGTTAAACCGATTGTTAAGTTGGCCTTATATCTATATTGCAGTGGTTATTATTAACCAATTGGATAATGATTTTCCTTGAACCGAAAATTAAAATAAACATTTTTATCATTTTTCCCTGTTACCTAGCCCGACGTGGTTTTGAACAACAAATCGAGGGTTATTTTTGATTAAAACAGTTCGAGCGAGCGCAGCGAGACCTTACCAGGTCTTTAGGTGTACCCAAAATGTACAATAACTTTAAAATTAAAAAATCCAAAATTTCAACAGGGTGCCAAAGTAGATAGGTTAAATAATGGCTGTAACTTCATAAGTTAGCGTTTTCGCAATTTTTCTTTTGATCGCTTTCAGCTTTAAAAAACAAATCGATTTAGAAAAAAAAAACGAAATTCACGTCTGCGGTAAAGTCGATCTGTTTCCAATTTCTACCAGAAATCTTGTCCCGATATGTACGTGTGGCACTATTTCTGAAAGGAAATATTGTGTATTATTGCAATAGAGTAGAAGCTGCGTTCATTAATTTGAAATGATAAACTTGATGCTTTTTTACTGACAGCTGCCGACAGTGACGTGCCGAATTAGGTTTTTTTGAGGCAATTGCCTCATGACTAAAATGGGTGGGTAGATAGCTGACCAAATATATCAAATAAGTTTTGTGTATTATATTATAAATATAAGTATCAAATTACGAATATGACAGCTTTTATTATGTAGTTAATATAGCTAAATAAAGTTTTATCTGCAATTATGTGTAGTTCATGTAAAAATCCATGTTTTAATTGAGTAGTAATAAATTGTTTTGTTTTGTTTCAAGTACGAAAATGTTCAGCACGCCGCTGGTTGCCGATTTAATACTACCTAATAACAGTGTTTTACATTTTCCATGTAAATATCACAAGATAAAAGTTCTTACATATAACTTATTATATTATTGTACGAATGCGACAGTATTTAATTGTTTCTAACAAAAAACAAGATACAGTTAACACAAAGGAAGAGAAATGTTCTAAATTAGTTAACATTGAATTATAAGATTCAAAATTCACTTTGTATCTTCTTTCTTAGTCCGAGTTATCTATGTTTAAAACTGATTTATTATCTATAGTTTTTATCTGTATTTGTGGCATCAATAATAATAAATGTGTGATAACCACGGTGATAACGGTATTATCTATAAACTAAATAATAATTGTGTATTTGAGTATTATTAAAAAAACAACAGGGACCACACGTGTTCGCTTCATAGAGTGCATTTGCATGACCATAGATTTATATTGTAATTAAACTGTACACCCTACAATGTTCTATCCATAACATCGTCCGTCGTCCGTTTGGCCTGACTTCCCGAAACGGTTAGTAGTATACAGTTTACGAATTCGTAACCATGTCGATAACATCTGTCAAACGTAAGCGAAAACGCAAGAATAAGTTGGTTGGACAGCCGTCGTCCAACGTTCCGGCGATCAAACACAAACGTTCCGACGAGCTACCGTCCTTTCCTAAGGGCGACAAATTAAACCCCGAAGACTACATCAGACTTAAACAGTATTTGAAGGAGAAAAAAAATCTTTTGAAAGTAAGAAGTTATTTTTTTTCATCCTGTTTTTAAGTAAGTAGTTATTGTTGTTTTATGGTAATTTTTTTTTCATCTAATATTTTATAACATTGTTTTTAATCTAGTCTCATATTTGTACTAATAAAATTCTGAAAGTATTATCTATTCAATTTTTGATTACATACACTGTACATTGTTTATAAACATTAGAATTCCAATTAAAATAAGTAAAAATTAATAATATTCTTCTTAATATTAAGGATGGGACAGTGTCTGAAATATTATCCTTACTGGTTCTTAGTCTGTTCTAAAAATTAAGGACTCAATTATTTATAGTATTTTCGAAATGTATTTTGTAGTTTTTTATTCTCTTAATTTAAAAGAAATGGGAACAAAAATAAAAACAAACATTCATAGTCAATGGATACGTGTTTAACAAAAAATTAAAATTCATTTAGTGAACACTCCATGTAATTTTTAAGAATTCATATCACATATTTTTTATATTTCATCAGTGTACAATTTACAATATCTATAGATTTTACAATTTAAAGTTTTGATGTTATTACATACAGCATTTTCAATGATTTTAATTCTAAAAATCAATGGTATATTTCTAGATGTAACAATTCTATTAACATGAATTAGAGAGATATCAATCATGAATACACTAGTATTGTTCTATTCAATTTTGTACTTATTATCAAAAAATAGATGATAGCATTATTAAATTTTAATATCAATTTTTTTTTCTATACATACAGACATTCCCAAGAATATTACTAAATGCTCGTGGACAATTATCACAAGTAAATGATTGTGGTTACAGTGAGAATCCATTGTCACCTTCCGATTTGAATGAGTTAATTTTATATTCTATTTATGGGCCGGGTAAATATATTCCAAGGTAAGTTATTAGTGAAGTAGATATTGAATAAGCATGAAAAGAAATAAAAATGTATGTTAATACATTATATTATTTATGTATATTTTATACATAAATATGTTTTAATTTTGAAAATAATTAGTTATCCAAACCAAACCTCTTTTAGGTGGTCAAGTTTAGAAATGCAATGTAACTTAAATCAAACATGTGTTTTAATAATTGATGGCTGTGCAGTAAAAACTGTAGATGATTTTTTAAATTTTAAAAGTTCTCTACCAATGTTTTCTAAATATAAATTTTTACCACCAATTGAAATTGAACTTCCACCAAGTTGGTGTGCTGACTATGGTAAGTATTAAATTAATTTAGATCTTTCAAAAATGTATTTTTTTCTAAAAGAGTTTCTTTAATATTTGGACAATGCTTAAAAAGTTTATAAACCAACATTGAGAAATGTTTTGTTTGTAGTATAATGTATTCATTTTTAATTATATTATATATCAAAAAATGACAATTACATTTTGGTTTGAGTTGGTACAATGAGAAAGTATTTGATTTTTCTAATCGGTTTTCATAATAATTGGGGGGGGGGGACTAAAATAAAAACTAATATATTTAGAGCGTTATTAATTTAATTATTTTTAATATTTTCAAATTTTATCTTCTAACATTAAATTTGTTCTAGATATCAATAAAGGACCTTCCTTTTCTATAAGTAAATTTTTATATCTTTCAATATTTTTTTTTTTTTTGTAATTTTTTAAGAATAATCTTAGTTTGCAATATTCATGGAGTACTCATATTTGCTTAATTAGTGAATTTTCAAAACATTCTGTCAATTTTCGAGTTATAATTTTTAGACATTTTTCTAGGTTTTTTAAACATTTTATTTATTAAATACTATGGTATCATTATGGTTAAAATTTTGTTTAAAAAAAAAAAAAAAAAAATGAGTAATGTAGTAGTTTTTTTTTCTTTATATTAGCATTTTAAGATCATATTTTGATGAAAATTATAAAAATTACATCTTTTTTAAATATGTATAACCCAACTTCACTTAGAATCATTTGTTGTTAGTAATGGTTTATCATTACATACAGATATAAATCAAATAACTTTATGTATTCTATCTTCCCACCTAAAACAGTGGCACAACTACTCCCAATATCAGCTCTTAATTTAACTTCAACTGTATTTTAAACTACAGTAAAACTGGATGTATTGTGCCATGTTTTAAACTAAATTTTATTATAACCAACGCTAGTTAAGTAATATTATAAATATAAGTAAGTACCTAATATTATTTTAACTGAATAAAATTTATTTTTTCAAAATTGAAAATTAGACATATATATTATTATGTGATGTAATACAATATATAACATAAGTATATTATATATAACATACTTTTTTTTTTATCAATTTCTTCATTTTTTTAATTTCACTGCTTAAATTATCTTAATATAAATTAATTTTATTAAATATTAAATAATTCTTTTTGGTGTTATATCTATAAAGGAAGCAGAATTTAGTTATTACATTGATGGTTATAGGTAAGGGGTGGTACACATTGGTGTTGTTAAAAATGTAAAAAATCAATTATTGTTCCAATATGTTTGAATTGACATAATTATTAATTAAACTTAATTTGAACTTCACTTAATCAAAAGTACTACAAACACAGTTTTTTAATTTTTTATAAAATTCTATTTGATTTATAAAGTTACATAATTTTTTAGATGAACCGACCATTGCTGACTCTAAAACTTCAAATGCTGATAAATTATTCTCAGGCTCAACATTCAACCAAAATGGAAATGTTGATGTTAAAGAAGTTTGTTCAAGGACACGCTTACTTCTGTCTTTACACCAAATGATGATTCACTGTTATCCATTACCTACTAATAAACGCCAATCTAAAATGGATTATAATAGTTTTCGTTTTACTAAAAATCATTACTTACCTGTTACTGATAAAAGTCCGATGTTTGCAGTTGATTGTGAAATGTGTTACACGTCCATTGGTAGAAATGAACTTACTAGAGTTTCCATTATTAATGAACAATTAAATGTATGTTTCTATAATATTTATTATATAAAATATAAATCTTTTGAATTGATGTTTAGGTAGTATATGAATCTTTCGTTAAACCTTCTAATAAAATCATAAATTATTTAACCCAATATTCGGGAATCACAGCATTAAAACTTAAAGATATCACAACGACTTTGGAAGACGTGCAAGAGGATATAATTAAAATATTACCTCCTGATGCCATATTAGTAGGACAGTCATTGAATTGTGACTTGGATGCATTGAAGGTAATTATAATTCCCAAGTCTCAAAAACTGTATTACAGGAACACATTTTAACTATAATATATTATTTGTAGTTATTTCATCCATACGTTATTGATACTAGTATAATTTTCAATTTGAATGGAAACAAAGGATCTAAGAGTAAATTAAAACTTTTGGCTAAAGCATTTTTAGATATGAATATCCAATGTGGTAATCTTGGTCATGACTCTGTTGAAGACAGTCGTGCAACTATGTTACTTGTGCAGCTAAAGTTATGCAAATGTATGTTTTTACAATACTAATTTAAAATTTATAATTTTAATGTTATTGATTTTTATAACAGCGCTCACCTATGGAGATGCATATTTAGTTGGTCAACAAAGATTGGCCCAATTTGTAAATTCTAAGACAAAAATAAATGTCAAGCATATAGAAACATTTAAAAAGTTCTTGGCATTATTGAAGAGTGTTTCAGAAAGTTCAGCCAAAAGTATATATATTATAGGTGGATTTAATTTAATATGATATTATATCTATTAATTTAAAATAAAAATATTTTAGGTAAAATTCATTTAAAAAGAAATCTTGTAGCAGCATATGAAAATTTATGGTCAACAGCCAAATTAGAAGTTGAGGAACACACTACCAACAAAGCTGTATTAGAAGCTGTGTGTAAATCAATGGAAGACACTACTAATCGTTTTTGTATGGCACATATGCAATTAAAAAATAAGAATAATTTAGGCCTAGTAAATCGGTGGTGTGAAAAGTATTGGGCAGCCATGTCTTCATTTGCACTCTGTGCTGTTCTATTTACCGGCTGCGGTGTCGAAGGCAAAAACTCAGTATGCTTGTTGAATGTCAAGCAACCACCTTTGAACCATTTACAAGATTGTAAGTTATGAAATAATTATAACAATTAAATTAACAAGCAATAGTTAATTATTTCTACTATAAATTTTGTTTAATTAAATAAAATACCATATATTTTGTTTCATGTTTAATTCATTAGTGAAAATAAAACATGATGTTTATGTTATATTAATTCAAATAATTGGTTTTTACCTTTTAAAATAGGTAAAGAACATGGTGATTGCTAAGTTAACTTAAAGTACAATTATTGCTGGACTCCATCATTATTATTGAATTTTTTTTTTTTATAATTTGAAAAACCTTATTTTACTTCCATTAATTTATACAAAATATAAGTATTACATTTGAACAAATATACTGTATGGAAATCAAAAAAAAAAATCAAATAGATATAAATAAAATAATAGTGAAAATAAGGACAATTTGGTTGAACAGATATTAATAAAACATCTGCTGAGATAATTAATGTATCTTAATAAAAACTATTTATCCCTGTATGTACTTTATTGTTAATTGATATGTGTGTATGAGCAAGCTTTCAATTAAAACATTACTGGTAAGAACCAACATATTTTGTTATAATAAATTATAATTAAATTCATTTCTTTGTTACCGATTTTAAATTTCCAATCAAAATTAAATAAATGGAATGATAAATAACTGAATCTTATTAATTGAGAACTAAGCAAAAATTTTATTTTGATGAAATTAATAAAACATTTTAACTTTAAAATTAATTATTATTAACTAGTTTGTTCTTTTTCTTTATGAATATTGAGTTAGACTATATTGTTATAATAATAAATACTAGTTATAAGTATAAACTTTATTTTATTAAATTATCATTACTAAACACAATTTAGAATACAATGTATAAACTAATTAAAATAGTTGGTTTTAATAATAATCGCAATTGAATTCATTGAAAGTAAAGGTGTATAACCCTTTTATAAGATCTTCATGATACATACATCAAAACTAGAGTTTTGATCTAGTCAATGGGTTTTCAGTTGGTTTTTGTAAATATGCTAATCCACCAGGAAAAACAATATTTAATACTTCCTCTAAGTGATTGACTGGAACAATATTTAAATCAGCCTGAAAAAATATAAAAAAATAAAAACGGTTTTAAATAAAATAATTTGGAAAAAATAAACAAAGAAATTTAAAATAATTTTTTTCAAATATTATTAAATGATTATTTTTAATAGTCATTGTATTTTTATTGAGACTTGAGACTTGACTGTATTTTTATATTTATGAAAGGGGAGAGCCCATAACAATATAATGTTGTAGCAGAGTAACAACGCCCGATTTGTCTTTGCTCAGAATTGAAAATCTGATATAAATAGTCATGAAAAAACATTAAATTCTGACATTCAATTTGTATTAAAAAATATCACTTAAATTAAAATGAAATAAATTAAGTTGTATTTTATTATATAAATACTTTAACATTTTCAGGTAAATTTATTGTATCTTTCATGTTAAGTGCAGGTATTATGACAGTTCTTATAGATGAGTTGTATGCTGCTAAAATTTTTTCTTTTACGCCACCCACCTAAAAATAAATAAATTGAATTTTGAAAAGCACAGATCAATAAAAAAAAGAAAGAAAAAAAGTGGTAAATTGAATGTATTGCATACAGGTAATACATATCCTTGTAAAGTTATTTCTCCAGTCATGGCAATCATTGATTTTAAAGGTATGTTCCAAAAAAGTGATACTAATGCACAAACAATAGTTATCCCAGCAGATGGTCCATCCTTTCTATGTCCTCCTTCAGGAAGGTGGACATGAACACAGAAATGATTTTTATCTAATTCATTCTATTTGATATAATATTAATTAATTAATTTTACACTTTATTTAAAACAAAACAAATGCATGATTTACGTCTTTCGCAAATGTCTGTATCCAATTAAGTGCTATTTCCACAGATTCTCTTAAAGTTTGACCAGCTAGACCAGTTAAAATCAGTTGATTATCTGTTCTTGAATATGATTTGGATGTCTCAATCATTTGTACTTTACCACCTACCGGAGTCCATGATAAACCAATCGCAACACCAATTCTATTACAGCTTTGTTCTACCAAATTATTTTTTCCACCATTCACAGTATCTTCCTAGAAGTGGAAACTATTAAATTTAAACAAAACAAATTTGTATTTAGTATTTACACCAAAAATGTTTAATAATGATTCAGGAGTGATCACATAGGTTTTTGTTTCCTTTTCTATGTTTTCAACTACGTCTTTAGCTATATAATAATAGATTGTTTGAAGTTTGCGTTGCAAGTCACGTACACCAGCTTCATAAGTATAGTTTTGAACTAATTTAAAAAAAATATGCAAATTATACTGTATAATATATTAAATAATAGAAAATACATACTTATATCTTTAATGGCAGTTTTTGTAACAGTTATCTGTATTTCATTCATTCTATGACGTTTAAATATTTTAGGAATTAAATAATTGTCTGCAATTTGTATTTTTTCCTCCTTTTAAACAAATGTATTATATTTTATTTTGACAAATAATTATTTTATTTTTTATTTATTGGCATACCAATGTGTATCCTTCTAAATAGATAATCTCCATTCTATCGCGTAATGTCTGTGGTATATAAGCTACATTGTTTGCTGTCGTAATAAACATCACTTGACTAAGATCAAATGGCAAATTGATATATGAATCAACAAATGAGCGGTTCTGTTCGGGATCTAAAACTTCCAACAATGCAGCAGCAGGATCACCACCAGACCCTTTATACTATAAAAATAAATAAAAAAATAATAATAATTACTTATTTTTACATTAAAAATTATATTTTAATGAAAATTACTCAAGTAAAAAAACTAGACTTCATACTATAAGTAGACTACTGTAGTAAATAAAAGTTCATAAAAGTTTAAAATATAGCAAGGTGTATAAATTTGATTTCAAAAAAATTTGTCCGATCATTTTGGAAATTTTACCACGTCTAGGTAAGTCCAATATACGTATTATTTTCAAGTTTCTACATGTATTTATAACCGAATTACAGCAAAAACTCTATAAAATTAAAATTCCTTAAAAACTCAAGTTTTGGCGATGATACTGTAAAAAAGTAAATCCAAAAGGCAAAAAAAAGGTAACTTTTGATTTTTCAAATAAATAATTTTTTCAGGTAAAAAATATCCTGTTTTATTTAAATAATAGAGTCGAAAACCAAAAAATGACCTTTTTAAAGTACTATGTAGACAACTTGAGTTTTCAGAAAAGTTGCTATTTGTAAAAATCTGACAAGTTTACTAGGAAAAAACGTATCCACAGACTAGAAGAAAAAAAAGAAAGAAATAAACAGCATTGTAAAACTAATAGCTCCCTCCTTACACACAGAATCTAAGATTAGATGACCAACTTTATTTAGAAGTTATGGGTAAAATAATTTTAATTTTCTGTAATCCATTTTTTAAATAACTGTTAGAATTTAATATTTTTTAAAATGTGCAATTTTTAATAGTTAATACATTAGTAAAATCAAATCTCACTAATCATAAATACTTGTAAAAATGTTTTTGTATTTAAACCAAGACAATTTTTTTTTGAGGGTTTTGAGCGTTACCAATTAGATTCATTATATTTATTAACAGCTAACACAATTTTATTTTTTAGGACCAGAAGAATTTTCGAGAAATCAAATTTTATTAACAATTTTGTAAAAAAAATGATTTATACATTTTTAAATAAATCACTTTAAAATAAAATATAAGAGCATATTTTTAGTGATATTATAGGGTTTTTAAGTAAATAAGTGCTTGAATATTAAGTATTTTTTAGAGCTACAAGTCCTCTATTCTAATAACAACAATTGAATTCTGATATTCACTAGCTCAAAATAAAGATGGCCAATGGCCCACCCTTGTATAAGGCTTTGAGGTTTACTCTTAGGACACTATCCTTCTTGAAGTAGTATTAGGTTTGGGTTTAAGCTATGTAAGCGAATATTCCCTTCATCTCACAAAAAGGAAGGCGCAGAGGCGCTTAAGTTAGTGAATAAAGCAGATAAACATAGCAAGCCTTCCTCCGTCTCTACGTAGTTCATAGAAAACTACAAGTTTAAAAAAAAAAAAAACTATTTTTTTTTTTAGCTATTTTGATTAATTACAAAAATGTTATTTTTAAAGGTATTATGTACACTAAACAAAAACTTTCAAAATAAATATAGTAGCTAAGTTTAAATTTTATTTATGGATTAAGTATTAAAATACACAAATGTTGTAAATAATAGAATTTCATTAGTAATTTTCTTTTTAAAAAAATGAGTATTACGGAAAATCCCAAATATTTTTTTTTAACTTCTAACTGGAGTTTGTCATAATTTTTTATTTTTTTATTCTTACTATGCATTTCAAAATGAATAAACCATTTTCAATTTAAATTTAAAAAATATGTTGGTTCTGGTTTTTTATGGCCTGGCCGTCAGAAAAATTATATGGAATATAATATCAAATAATCTATTATTCATATAATATGAGAGAAAACAACATGCTATATAAACACAATTTAGTTTTTTTATACAATTTCATTAACAAAAGTGACTTGGAAACAATAATTGTTAAATGTGATGTAAGGTACATTTTCATCTATCATTGTTCGCGTTTTATTGTTTAAAATAGATTATCAAAATTTATTCACTCGAATACCAAATAAAAATGCTTGTATTAAATTTTAGAAACTTAATTTATTCAAATAACTTGTATTTACAGGGAATTTCTCGGTGGGTCCTTCTTATGTAGGCCTTGATTTATATACAGTTCTCTGTTCCTATCTCTTTAAATTACCTATTGTAGCTTTGTGATTTCTTAGGTTGGTAGGAAGGTAGGTTGCTACTTAATGAATGTTTATAAGTAAGTCCTATTTAATAATTTCCCTGTACAAAAATAGAACTAAGTAAGCGCTCGATCCTATCTAACTTCCAACATACAAAGGCAACATACATGGCACAATATCTGGCTATGGCTTTTTTACCATAGGAATATTATAAATTTTACATTGAATAAATTATATTTAATATAGTTGTTAAATTATTACCATTTTATCTATTTCATCCAACAAAATTAAAGGATTTTTAGTTTGTACTTCATTGATAGCTTGAATAATACAACCTGGCATAGATCCAACATATGTTTTTCGGTGTCCTTTTATATCTGAAAAATGATTTATACCACCCAACGATATTCTAAAAAAAAAGTATTATTATTAATTTAATAATAATAATAATAATAATAATATGTATGGACCTTTTAAAAGATCTATTTAATGAATCTGCAATGGTTTTCGCAATAGTTGTTTTGCCAACACCAGGTGGTCCAATAAAACAAAGTATAGGTCCTCGTAGTTTTGGGTTCAATATTCTTACAGCAATAAATTGTAATATTCTATTTTTCACCTTCTCCATACCATAATGGTTTAATTCCAATACCTGTGTAGAGAAAAAATATTTAAAATTTAATTGTAAAACTGTTTTAATTTTAAAATGGCCAATACATTTTTAGCTTTTTTCAAATCCAATGATTCCTTTGTAATTTTGTTCCATGGCAAATTAATAACATAATTGATATAATTTAAAAAAACAGAATAATCAGGATGGTAACTATTCATTTCTTTAAGTCTATTGAATTCTTTCATAATCAAATCATTAATTGGTTTTGACAATTTTGCATTTCTAAGAAAAATATTATAAATATAAAATATATTAATAAATCTATAATATAAAATACTTAATAATAGCTAGATTATATTTACTGAATTGCTTTTTCAACTTCTTTTAATTCAGTTGATAATGATTTCTTCTGGATATTCCCTCTATTGCCAGTAGAATTTAAATATATTGTAGAAGGTATTGGAAATAAACCGGTTTTTAAAAATTTTGAATGTTTGTTTACTTCTATAACATAAATAATAAAATATGAAATTATTTTTATATTCCCTCAATTTTGCTTCATTATAATATATTTCACACTACATACTAATTGTTTCTTGTTTTAGCAAATCAATTATAATATTTAATAGTTGATTTAAATTTGTAGCTCTTAAAACTTCATAGGCAATAGCTGGAGTTAAAGCCACAATATTTTTTAAACACATATCCACACAGTCAAGTAAGGCATAGTTTTTTAAAATAATCTGTAGAAATAATAAAAATAATAATATAATATAACATAATTTCAATTATTTTTTCTTAAACCTTTGGGTTTGAAAAAGTAAATGGTTGCAGTGTGATTTTCTCAGAGTATGTCATCAAGTCAATAAATACTTTTTCAAATTCAGCTTTGAGTTTAGCTTTTTCATTATCCTCGCCTAAATTATAATAATATGTTATTATATATTATTCTTATGATGATTTAAAACTTACAGAATATATGTAATTAAAAATTATCAACAACTCACCTTCGAGCTCTTTAAAATTATTAATAGCTTCAATGCTATTAATTTTAAATGGGTATTCAGTAATAGTTTCTTTCAGTTTGAAACGACATAGTCCTTGAACTAGTATAAAAACTTCTTCAGGCACCGAATCAATTTTGATCAAACTTTGAATCAGACCTGCTGTTCCTATTACATTGTCTGCCTAATATTATATGTAATAAGGTCATTAGTTACTGTTTTTATATGAATATAAGTAGATTAATATTCTTTACCTTTTCCAAATCTGCTTTTGGTATTATTCCTATCATATGTTTTGATTTTGAGTTTAAATTATCTTTAAGTAGATACTCCAATAGATTAGTACTGAAATATATTAAAAATTTAATATAAATTCATAATTTTATATATTTAAAGCATAAGAGCCAAATTTAGTCAAAATACTGAAAATATAATTCTATATTCAATTACCTACTCTTTATAAATATTAATTATTTACATGTTTTTTAATTGTATTCAAATATCTAGAAGGAAATCTGAGGAAGAAAATTATATATTACGTATATGAATAGTAAAATTTGCATTTATTTTAAACGTACCCAAGTATTTCTTCTTTTTTTTTTTTTATTAAGAATGTTAGGAATTTATAAATAGCTATTTCTTAAAATACAACTAAACTTGAGTATCTACTTATGTTTTATATCATTTTACTGAAAATTTAATAGCAGATGTGATTAATTTTTAGTTTGTAAGATTTTTACCTAAAAAATATTTCCATTACCTAAAATAGTGTTAAAATTGTATAATTTATAAACAAATATTATCAGTACCAACTTATAATTTATTTTTTTTCCGTTTTTTCTCCAAACTCAAAAGCCAGAGATCAACCTTTATTTTTAATGTCAAGCACTGATTTGGTTTAAAGTTGAAACTAAGTTGAAATATTACTTTTGTTAATAAATTTGAACGTAATCAATTAATTCAGTTTCTGGATAAATATCTAACTAAGTACAGATTGTATTGGATACCCAATATTTTCTAAACATAAAAAAATTATAAATGTATAGATATATAATTAAATGAAATGTTTTATTTAAAAATAATTATTTTCATAAATGTTATACAATAACAAAAAATGTACCATAAGAACAACCGATTGCTAAGAACTAATTACTTAAAAAATAATAGTTTATATACAATTATTATATTCTTACTTTTCTTCAACTAGTAGTTTAATTTTCAACATAAATCCAGGAATTAGAATTGGGGCTGTGTAAATAATTGGTAATGAATTCGGAATAATCATTTTATATGAATAATTATTGAAATACTATAAATAATCATAGGCCGTAATAGGCCTACGTAATGATTAAAATCTACGAGTAGAAAACACTGATATTTTAGTTATACTATAGTATAACTGAAATAATAATAATAGTACTAAATTAATATTATTTTAGAAAACTTGCTTACAAAACACAACTGTAATATTTAATTGTATATGGAATGAACAATGATAACGAGAGCATACAACATAACCTCAAAAATATCGCAATCATTAGTGATAAGCAATTTTCCGTTTGTTGATGAATGGTACTTGTTCGTAGAACGATAAGAACCTTTCTCGGAAACCCGACCCGGTCGCATAATATAGCCTATTTATAGGTATTATAAAAAAAACTGCACACAGAACACACGAATTAAAATTCTACCCGACGTGGTTTAGCATAACAAATGAGGGTTTATTTTCAACTATTTCTATTTGAATTTATTTTTCAATATAACATTCTGTTTTGTGCATTTTAATGTATAGTTTATTCTTACACTAATACGGGATGGTCCAATTAAATAATTGTATAACTTTTGAAGTTGTAAAAAAGTGAGCCATCTCTATGGAATGTAAGTGATCCAAATTACAAATTTCGGAACCATGTTCATGGTGCTTGGGAAATGTTTGACCACACAGCCGCGCGGAATTTTACGCGGTATATACACGTCACGTGACGCCCAACGCGCCATGTTTTTTGATTCCAGATTATGATGCCCAGCGCCATTTGTCACCTAGGCTATGTTTACAAATTCTTATCATTTTTTTCTTATCAAAAAAAAGTTTCCAGTAATGAGGTTCATATTGATTATCAATGACAAATAATAGGGTGCAAAATCAAATAATATATATTTGCATAAAATAATAGTACAATTAGGTAGTTTTTAAACAAATATATATATATATATATATATATATATATATCACTGATTTGAAAACAATAAGAAATTTAGTAAGTTTGTGGCATTTACTTGTAGAAAACGAGCTTAAAATGTTTTTTCTAACGATTTAAGTCTAACATTCGGGTACTGTTTAGTTAATAAAGTAGTTAATATTAACTTATGCGGTCATTCTAAAATACTTACATTAGGACAGTCGAATTCACTAAAAAAAGGGTTTGATCCAGGAAAAAGTATTTCCAGTCGGTACGGTTTACTTATTGTAAAAAAATAATGTAATATATACACCTACTCAATTATAATATATATTATATAGTCAATATAGTCTGTATTATGTAATTCATAAATATATTTATCTGTGATCAGGACAGCATACAAATGATAAGTGTTTGTAAACATTGCCTAAGGGACAAATGGCGCTAGACATCATAATTGTATAAGGAGTCGGCTATCTAGTTTATATATATATCTCTGTGGTAGGTACCAAATACAAGTCGACGAATTTCTTAATATACCGGTATAAAACGATTTGGTATACCGATATAGTTATTGAAATATACCGATATAATCAAACGAATTTCTAGAATAAGCATCAATAAGGACCAATATAATAATATAGTAATTTAATTCACATCTGTACGCGTAACGATTGACGTACGCGCCAACGAAAACCGATTCTGAGCGAGAATATCACGCGTCGCGATTTTCCATCTTTTGGCATGATAACCGGGAATACAACGCGACGAGTCGCCAATGTTCCCGTTTGTTTAGTATAGAACTAGTTTATCGACTACAACGGAAAAGCGATCTCCTTAACGCGTAAATGAAAATTAATCATGCTGTACGTGAAAGTTCCTATACAACGATTTTGATTGAAGTGAGAGATTTCTGGTAGAAAAGTCGTTTACAGACCAAAAACAAAAAAAAACACGTAATAGTAAAACTAATATGTTCCTCGGGCGTGCCGCTGTTGGGAAGTTGAGAAGCTAGGGCACATTAAGTAGGTAACGAAATACGAGTTTGAGCAAAGTTCAGGTATGTTGTGTAATGATTAACATACGGCGTAAAATAAGACCAACAACTTATTAGGTTATAATAAACAATTAAATGAATATAGAATAATACACAAAATCGCACACGGTACCAACAATTTGTGGACGTGGTTTAATTCATCGTGCAGCAAAACCTCACGGATGTACGATGCGTCCTGAACAATCAAGATACATGTTAATTGGCTTTTTAATAAACAAGAACAAATGACGGTAATGTCGTAGAAAGCTGCAGCGAAAGTCGTTGCCAGTGTCGGCCGGTCGGCGGCTGGTCCGGCGGAAATATGTTGAGTTAAAGACCACACAATGACGTAGGTTAGCGGCCGTTCTGGACGGCACTCTGCGACGAAAACGTGCGTGAAACACTGGCCGGTCACGGGGACCAGCAGGCGGTCAAGAGATCCGCCACAGGTTACCGAAATTATAAGGTTAACGATTAACTCGGACGCGGACACGATAAGTTGCAACGAAACCTTTTTCGCCCCCAGCCGGGTCCTGGCCATGACGGCCGTCCCGTCTTCGTAGACCGTCTGGTACTCGCCAAAATCATCGTAATTATTGGTGCGCGTACGACACCGGAGTACGCTTTACGGCGTGATAATGTTCCGCGAAACTGAAACCGACGGGAGCTACGTTCGCGGTCGGCCATCGTAACGGCTCCGAAACTTTTACTTTTGTGTTGCGTTTTGACGGAAATGTCAACGAGTATGTGCAAAAAATAACTATTTTCTGTTTCACAATCGTGTTTGTTATTCGCCGGATCGCAAATTTCGGAAGTCTGATACTATAATAATAACACGGTTGTTGTTGGTTATTAACGAAAATAATATTGACAGTCTATTTTTATTTTTTTTGTTTCGGCTACGTCGCACCGCGGATTCGATCGTCATTCGCAGTGGCGTACCCGGGAAATTTCAGCGGGACGGGACGTGGCAAAAAAAATAAAGAATTGTAAAATCGTCTTATCTGCGTGACTTGATTCTAAAAAAAATATGTTTTCACGTCACTAGAAAAAAAAAATGTCCTCATTAAAAAATATTATGAGATAGTAAAATTCGTAGTTCTATGGAATTTTTTTATTTTATACGGTGTATGGTATTAATCCTGCCGTAGGTCAGTATTATGATCCGTAGTTCAAATTATGGTCATCTTTTATGTTGTTCTAAAAAAAATCTCCGAAATAACACAGAAGAATAAATGGTATTTAAATGGTTCAAATTGCTAGGTCGCTAAAAATCTGAATCGCTCTGATCAAATTCTATTTTGCATTTTTACTTAATATTGTAAAGTTTTTTTTTTTGAATTTTTAAGTGCTACCAGAAATTACCCATGACATTGATTAAGCAAGATTTCTGGTAGTAAAGTTATCCACAGACAGAAAACAAATTCAAAAAAGAGCTGTTATAGCTGGGTGTACGTACGCCGCTGTCGTACTTGGAAAGTTTGAATACTGAATACATAGGGTTAATTAATTTATATCACGTGTGAATCGTAAACAGATTACGCGTGAATAATAATAATTTTTAATTTAATTTAATACGGGGCAGTGTGACACGCGTATTATCGTTTTTAGTGATTTTAATTTTTACTAGTTGACATTTTGACACAATAGAAAACAACTTTTCATTTTATCGATTAACTAGACCAGTGGTTTTCAAACTTTTTTTTAACCACGGCACACTTTGCTTTTCACATCTTCACGGCACACTATGACGTTTTTTTGGCATTGTTTAATTGTTTGCATAAAACCAGAGCTAATAACAAAATTGATGAGTCATACTCAAACGAATCATAATCAAAAGAGTTACGACTTTATAATTAATGAGCGGATCACCGTAACTAGTGATCCGTCACAATTTCAGTAAAACAAAAACCGCTCACGGCACCCAGTTTGAAAACCACTGGACTATACTAACAATATTTTTATGCCAGTTTTGGTGAAACTTATAGAAAATTAAGTAAACATGTTTTGGTGATTTAGTAACAATCTACTAAAGTATTAGCAGTACATATAATTACTAAACTGTTTACATTGCCAAAATAAGTCTATTGGCCTATTTGGCCTATTGCTAACGAAATAGATACGAGTTCCGAGCGATGTTCGGTTAAACATGTTTGTTTTGAAATGCTATCATTTTTACGATTTTCGTCAATATTTGGTTATATAAATATGAACTATGACAATATGAATTAAACAACTTTATGTATCCTACCTTCCCACCTACAGTAGTGGCGCACCCATCAGCATTATCAGCTATTTTTATTATTACCTTAGTAGTTAATTGTTCATAATATTTGCATTCAAAATGCTGACTTATTTGTCAAATGTGAATACCTGCATCATTTTTATTTTATGAATGTTCTATTGATCGCACATATTTAAATATTATTGTATTATTAATATTCGTATAGATATTTTCACTGAATTTGTTTTTTTTTTTTTTTTAATTAAGTACTCGTGCTTGCAGCTGATGTTACAGCTGATGACGCGTGACGCGAGTACGTTTATATGATGGCGTTAAAATGTTTATATGATTGCGTTATTCTTATCATGTGAACACTTTAAATCAGTTTATAAACATCAAACCGTATTTAAAATTAAAACGCTCGCATTAGGTAGTTTAAAAATTAAAACCGTTTTATACTTTTTAAACGGTTTATCATATGAACAAAATACAAATGCATTTCTATTGAAACCTAATTAAACTTTATTATTTTACAATTTTTTTTTTTTTTTGCGTTAAATATTTAATTATTACTGCTGATACCCTAGTACCTACACATACATTATCGCAATTAATAATTAAACTATATTATTCGGTCATTTTGCATTTAGTAGAATTTAGGAGATCGATATTATTATTATTATGGGCTTATGGCATTACGCGTTGATCTACTAATGTTCACTCCATTTTTTAGTTAAAGTTTGCATGTATTTAAATTCTGATTTTTGGAATCTTTAAGTATAGTTAAAACCGATAATTTTGATACCAACTGTGGTTTATCAAATGAAAACCTTTATAAAAAATTGCATACATTGACGGAGTAGGTACTACTTTAAATACATTTTGGTGTTAACATTTTTAATTTCCATTGTTGACGGAATTTGAATACATGCAAAATTTAACTAAACAAATGGAGTGAGCACGCTTAGTGAATCAACCTGTATAAACGAGTGTAAGATATATTAAGCTAATCCGTTGTAGTACATTTTCAAACTATTTTAATGCCATCATATAGACGTACTAATAGAGTCAATGCTTTTTTAAGTTTTGCCTGTCCAAATTTTGCGTATCCAAGTTTTATTGCGTTTCCTATTTGGCATTATGCTTACTTTAAAGACTTAATTGCAACCTTCCAAGACATTGAACTAAACATGTTTAAAACATAAATTATTCCCACCTCATTCCCATCTGTATAAATAGCGTAGCAGTAGCGTATACATTAGTGGGCCCCGGGCGTAATTTTTTTCATCCCTATATAATAGTAAATAGAAATTATACTCATTGTCACCAAAACAATACTGTGACTAATTTTGACTAAGTATTTATGATTTTTTTTTCAAAAGATGGACTTAATACACTTTATCACCTTGAAAATTTCGTTTTAATTTTAAAATAAATAAATTTACATTTACATCATACTTTTAAATTATGTAAATACATATATTTGTAATTTTTATTTATATCTAACACATTTTTATAAAAATATGAAATAATTGATAAGTAATGTAGCCTATGTATGTACATTTAATCAATGATACGCTTATAATATTATTAGCTTAATAAGCTTTTCACTGCAGGTAACATATGAATTACAATCAATTAAATTGATGTAAAAAACAAGATCTATTAGGCCTACTTTACATACACATTTAAATTGATTCAATTTTAACCATAATTTGTCTACCAAATACTTGACAAACACCGGTGTTCCACACATGTAAGCCCTAAATAAATTGTATGTTCTACGGTGGTTGCCTCGGTTGTCCTTGCGGTAACTGTGCGCTACTGATCCTTATATAATATACTATCACCATATTGATCTTTGCTTCAACTTTTGTTATGGTATGTACAATGTACACTACTTATAGGTACCTACCTAAATTCCATAATTTGTCCTCTTATCGTTGTTATCTTACCATTTTATGAATGTAATATAAACTAAATATAATATTATATTTCAAAAATAAATGAAGTTAGGTTATATCTATTAAGAATTAGTATTTATTATAAACCTTCACGAGTGTATCTATAGAGAATAGCGTGTAGAGGCAGAGATGAGGGGTTATATCACCCCTAGCTTAAAAATACAAAAAAATATGAGTACTCGGATTTAAATTATCAACTCCTATAGTTCAATTGGATAGAGAAGACGATTTTACGATTTATTCACGACTGGTATTTGTTACATCCCTTCCTATAGAAAATTCCTTGGTACACCACAGCCTATAGAAATAGATATTATGTACCTGTATACAGTGACATATTTAGGGGGTGTTTTGGGGGTTAACACCTTCTCCACGATATTTTTTTTAGTTCTATTCATTAATGAAGTATCGCAAAATATTGTTAACGAACGACGAAATACTGTTTTAAAAATTTCTATCATGGATTAATAATAATTGGAGATTACAAAACGATAATAATATTTTTTTTTTATAGGTTTATACATTGTGAATATATGAAAATACAAAATTAATTAAACTGATATGAGAAATTACTCAGTCAATTTATGTGTAAAATTAGTTTTAATTTATTCAGTCAAATCATTTATATTTTATTTCTGTCATAATTTTGTTATAATCAAAAATGTAAGTAGCAATTTTACAAGAGAATTACCACTTATAATGTTTTAAGGTGTATTATAATCAGGTATGAATTCGTGATGAAGATACGTTAATATTTGTGGAGAAAAAATATTGCCTGAAGTCAGTATACTTCTCGAATACGCTACCGCCTGTATAATCATTAATCAATGGTATTAGGGAACGAGTCTCATGTTTCTATTGTATTCGTTATTTTTTCATGGGGTATTTTGTTAAAATAAAATTATTGAGATATAATATAAATTATAGGTATACTTATTATTACGGTGAAAGGCATAATTTTAATAATTATAATAAAATGATTAGATAATATGTAGAATACATAAGTTCATAATATTATGTAGTTATCCATATCAAGTTTAACCAGGATTTTTTACACAATGCGGTCCATCCACTTTATATAGGTCCTGACATTTTTATTTTTTATTTGTATAGCAAGTATATAAATTAAGCAGCTGTTTTGTTTACCAATAAATTACATAATACGTATCCTATGTATGCATAGTTGGATATTTGCATTTAGAAAGAGGTTTGAATTTGGGATGAAAAATCTACAATGTTTATCAGGTTTAGCTGGTAGTGTCACCGTGTAGTAAGTAAACAAGTAAACTGGTCCTACTGCATTATATAGGTGCAGTACCAGAATACAATATAGGTACCTAATAATACATGGTGCATTGATGGTACATCAAGACTATATAAAACCAGTAATAATTACAGAATTCCATATTCTTATTTCACCAGACGTCTGAAGAGAGGTTGTGAGTTTCATTCCTTTCAAAGAACGATAGCAATTGATCGCCGATATGTTATCCAAAACAATAGTAAGTAATTTATTTACAAACTAAAAACATATTTTAGGCTTCCATTTCATTAGTTTTAATTTAAATTTATACAATTATCTATTGTTACATTAGCCTACTTATAATTATGATATATATATATATTGATTAGTAAATTAAATAAAAAATATTATAAGTAAAATAAACACTACAATACTATTTCTTACTATTTCTGCTTCTTTTTTTTTCTTCTGTGAACAATTTGTGATTTATGAAAATTTAACAGGCGATTCATTAAAAATCGAACTATGTGGTAAAAAAAAAATAATAATAAATTCAGTTTAACGTAGTACATTTTTTATAAGAGTTTATACATTAAATTTTAACGAAGATCGTAAATATTACCGTCTTACAAAACATGTATAACCGAACTTCGGTCCGAATAGTTTTTTATTAGTAATGGTTTATCGTTACGTTAAGATATAAATTAAATTCCCCTCTATATTCTACCTTTCCAACTTTTCATTTATACAACAATAGCCCACCCATCATGCGAAGTATGGTCTTTTTAAGTTTATGGAGGTTACTCGAGCTATCTTATTTATTATGTTTATGTATAAGCAGAAATGTACAACGATAAAAAGATATTCATAGATATAATAAATCAAATAATACAATAAATATTAATTATTAATAAAATTGTGCCTTAGTAAATTTGTTTGTTAATACATTTGAAATAGGTTAATAATGCTTCTATATAATATAGTTGACATTTTTTTATTATGTAGGTATAGACTGTCCATAAACAGATTTTTAACATTTTCCTTTATTCTATTTCAAAAAAATATAACACTTATGAATTGTCACTAAAGCTGAAGGTAGGTACATTTGGAAAGGTAAATAAATAAAATTATTGGACGTAATATAGATAATTTAAACGCTAGATTAATAATATAACTGTATACCTACTATATTTTGTTATATTTTTCTAAATATCTATCTAGTTACTAGATAGTTTATCTAGAGTTTTTACAAAATTAAAATTATTTCTGTGGATATTCTTTTGGATATTTGTTCATGTTATAATGACAGATTTTCTTGAATTTTTTTTTTATCATAGAATTATTTTATTATTACGGTAATATGATTAGTTATAGTTAGTTAGGTTATAATAAAAAAAAAAACGACTAAGCTAATAGTTAATGTTAATAAATATAGTAACTACGTCAAGATAAAAATGTCCAGGAAAATAATAATATAAATTTATAGTTACTTTTTTTAAAATTTCCTAATACTAAAATCATAGATGTTATTTTGTACTCTAATATTTATAATTACATTTATAGATTTTAACATTTGTACGCACATCCCATAAGCCACATGCCCATCTTGTTTAATAAAGATATTCACGTAAAACTACATACATTTTCGTTGAAATATATGATAGCTTTTTATAAAATTAATTTCTAACATTTTATTTTTTTTTTAAACTAGTCAAGATAAAAGTTACCAAAAAGGTGTCAAAAAAGTATCTTCTAACTTAACTTTATAGAAATGTAGGTCAATCAACAATAATTATAGTCCATTATTGAAATTTGCTAAATTATCATAAATTAATAGTTAGGTACCTGCATGTTTTTTTTTTTTTTTTTTTGCTATCATAGGCACCTAATCAATTAATAAATTATTAAATTATTAAAAAATGTAAATAATATAATATTAAACCTAACGATAATTTATATATAAAAAAAATATTTATATTTATACTTATATAATTTCACAATTTCATAATATATAATATTATTTATTCAGTTGCACTTTTTTACTAAAAATTAATTATTTTTCTATGAAAAAATACACTTAATTTGAGTTGAGGTTGTTGTTCAAAAATATTTACATGCCTTAATCTAATATCTAATTATTATAATTCATAATAAAAATGAATAAACAATTGAAACATAGGTCATAGGCAAGGGTGGATCGGCCTATCGAGAAATCAGGAAATTTCCTGATATCCGATAGGTCAGGTCTTCGTGTGAGCCTCTATATTATTACTTATATAATTTATAAAATAAATATAATCTGATATTTTTGGTTATCTGGACGGATGGTCGGGAATGGTGGTGCCACATTTTATGGTACCTGCTTCGTAAATAATATTTGTTTAAATATTATTGTCAGAGTATTAGGCCACAAATGAAACATATTTTTTTAAAGAGTACACGGAGATTAAGCCACAAATGTACAACACAAAAATATATAATTTTAATTAGATTTTAATATTTTTTTTTTTAATAATAATAATATAATATAAAATTAGTCAAAAAAAATATTATTTAAATTATTTAAAAAAAATTATTTTTTAAAACAATGTAACACAGATTTCACTAATTCAAATCTGGTGTTTTTCCTTTCTTCGTTTTTTTTAATTTCATTATGAACATAATGCTTTCGAATTAAAGTTCGTTTTCTCAGTTTAACTACACTTGAAATTTTAATTTGAATACAATCAGTAACTATAGTAGCAAATCCTAAAAAATCAATATAATTGAATATTGAACAGTGAATACACTGTTAATAAGGCATGTGATCGCTTCTAGTAAAGAATTATAAATATTAAACTCGGATGTTTTATTAAAATCTAAAATATATTAAAATATAGTGGCCTAATCACCGGGACTACACATTATAAATGTAAAATTTTAATGTAAAAAAAAAAGTTCATCGTGGAACAAATCCCAGACACTCAACCGGTGGTGTTCGTCAATTGTGTTGATGTTGGGACACAACCTGTATTACATTAATCAATTGTGCCGGATTATTTTACGCAAAAAAAGTAAAAACAATAAATTATAAGTGTTAAACATTTTATGGATGTTGTTACTTGAATTATATTTTAATGTCGTTGAAAGTTTTTGAAGATCGTTGCAATATGCAGTATCAATTTTAACTTTTCTAAACAAATATATTGAAAACAAGAAAAATGCATAGATATTGTATAGATTTTTATTTACGGTTTTTTTTTTTTTGTTGGCAGGCATTTTTGATTTTTAATCTGTTTTCTTTTTCGACGATATTCATTCTCTTGTATGATTGAAATTGAATCATTTTCAAAACGACAAAAAACAAAAATATTTAGATGATGTGAATAAAAATATTTTCCAAATGTTCAGTGAAACTACTCACAGGCATCTTTAGTTCTTTCAACTGATATATTATACGATGCTTAAAGTTACGATGAAAAAGTTGCATGTTTAGCAATATATGTATCAACGAGATATCACAAGATATACCTACTAATTTGCATTTTTATGTATTTTTATATGATCAGCGCAGTTGACGTATATTTTTTTTTATCCCATCATTGTTCTTCTTTATCTGCGATTTCTGGTGCGATTGATATGTTCCCCCATCCGGACTACCAGTGATTTTCCAGTAATCGCAATTCGGTTATCTTGACTTTTACCGTATTTATATTAAATCAGGTCAAACAAAACAAAAATAATAATACACCGACCACTTGTATACGGTTGACTACCTACAGGTATCGCAATTCAGTTATTTTGACTACCATAGGCGAATATTTTGGTCCTCTGTTGCCCGACGTGGTTTTGCTAACAAATCAGGGTTTATTTTCTATTAAAATCCAATATGAGCTCGCGGGTGGATAGCAATATTTTTGGCTGGTGGATGTATGTATGTAAATGTACGGCTCGCTACGAATATGAGCTCATATTGGACTTTTACATGAAAATAAACAATGATTTGTTGTTGTTTGCTAACATGTGTTAGCAAAACCACATCGAGTAGGTAATATGGTGTCAACATAGCTTCGTTAGTTCATATCGGACTTTTAATCGAAAAAAAAACAAATCTGGATTTGGGTACTTAAACAGGTAACCGAGATTGTGGTAACCGAATTATGATTACTATTTACCAATCGCAGGTAGTCCAGATAACCGAAAAGTGCCAATAGGTATTAAACTGTATTTTTTTGAATGTTGTTAATAATTAGTGTTTTGCGATAATATTATGAGTTCCTTAATCGGACCTTTTAAAAAAGAAGTAAGCTTTACATCACAGAGAACTACAGGTTCTAGTATTTAATATTTTAATCATTAATCATTTAAAATATACCTATTGGTTATTTTTGTATTAAATATGCCTCAAGTCTCAATTCATAGGTATATAATTTACTAGTAGTCTGGTACTGGTATTGGTTTATAGAGTTTTCATATATAGGTATAATTAGGATCAATTTATAAAATTATTCAGTCGGTACTTAGGTAATTTAAGAATAATCAATTAGTTCTTATTGAATTTCCGAGTCTTCTCCCAATTAAAAATTAAAAATTGTTTGAAACAAAAACCTAACAATTTGTTTTCTCATTAATTTCACTCTTCATCATAGAAAAAAATATAACAAAATAAATAAATATATATATATATATATATATATACATATACTCATAACCCATATGAATGTAAATATTATATTTCTTGATACCTGCGATACAATATTTATTTAAATTGTGATTATTTTGTGAAATCGGTAGATGAATTTTGAATTGAATAAAAAAAAAAAAAAAACTAGATGATTTTTAAGATAATCTTATATAATTATTCGACAAATAAAACCTAAATAAAGGTTAGGTATTATATATTATTATCTATTCTATTATCCTGTATTATAAATTATCGATACATTTCACTAATTTTAAAACATCTCATAAATCATTATATTTCTAGTTGAGTCATATCGTATCTTGTATAAATAAAATAACAAAAAATTCATTAAAAAAACAAAAATCAAAAGTTTTATTTAGTTACATTATTGTAATAACTGAATATTATGTTTTATTGCTTCATGTGTATGCATACCAGGGTATTTATTTGTATGTATGACTTGTACGAGTATTTGCACACAACATGCATTTATGTCATTGAAAATGACTTATTTATACTTTATAGACGTAAACCATTAAACTTGCTGTAAAATATATCATTATGAAAGTAAAAATATAAAAATGAAAATAAGTTAAATATAAAATATAATATGTTACCTACTTAATTGGAGACACTGTTCGTATTAATTTTAGATTCTAAGCCAAATAAAGAATATATATTAGTTTTACGGTGATATCTATTTTATTTTTCATTTATATTTATTTCTGTAAACAACTTTTCTACCATAAATCTTGTTTGATTTTCAAGTGTAGCATCTGGGCGGTACTTTAAGAAGGTAATTTTTTGATTTTTCAATCGGTTACCATAATAATTGAGAAAAACCGAGAAAATTTACGAAATGTATTACTTTTAATTCTGTTTTTTTATTGCGATTCAGTTAAAAATATTTTTAGAGACTTGAAATTTAGACAAAATACCTATATTTTTCTTTTCTAAGCGTAGTAAAATTTCCAAAACATTTGAGCTATTTTTTTTTTTTTTAAAGCTTTATTTGAAAAATTAAAGCTATTTATAGACATTTAAATTTACTTTGTGGATAAAACTGCTAGACCAAACCAAAATGCATTACAATTTAACAGAAAATTTATTATAAGTTGTACTTTGTAGTGAAAAAATTTTAAAATCAAATTTTGATAAAATTTGTAAATATGCTGACCTTTCAAAACATATATATCCGAACTCCGCTCAGAATCATTTTTCATTAGCAATAGTTATTCGTTACATACAGATATCCATTAAATTCCCCTCTATATCCTACCTTCCCAACTTCTCACCTACAATAGTGGCTCACCCATCATGTGAAGTATGTCCATATTTTTTGTATATTAATAGCTAACTATTTTTTATAGTGTAATTGTAGTCGTGTAAAATCAGCATATCATGTATTATGAAATAAGTACCTATGTGGAAATCAAAAATTATTATATAACATTCGTTAATCATAATTTACAAGTATATTGCACAAGTGGCCTCTCGATAACTTAAATTTAATAACTAGTATAAACTACTATTACATACAAATCGTTATGTCATAAACCGAAATGATTAAATTTAACAATATTTCATTTTAGTTATACATTTATTTACAAATGTCATTTTAGTGATTTTATTATTGTAGGTAAACGTTGGAAATTATTAACTGTATGTTATGTGAGGATAATATCATTATTGATTAAGTCAATTTAATGAATTACATAAATAATGTATACACTTATCTGTAATCTATCCGTGTACCTACCTACATTAAACAAATTAAGTGATAACACTGCTGATGGATACTTGTAGGTGGGAAGTTGGAAAGAGTTGGCAAGCATTGAAGAAAAAAAAACGTACACAGATTAAATTATAATTTATTAATATATTGTTACTTTAAAAAATCAAAATTTTGAAGTGAGAAATTTTTAACATATACACAGTAAACCATTTTCATAAAATATTGTTATTATTATTGCTAAACATTAAAAAAGAAAAACAAACCTCAAAATATTGGTATGTAAAATTTAATTTAATTTTAGAACTCGTTAGAATGATTTAAATTTGTATGCTAACCTAGCAATTTTTTGTAGTTTAAAGTACCTAGGTGACTATATGCACAACATTTTTCGTGTTATTTTCATTGATTTTTCAAACAGAATAAAAGATAAGTAAATTACTTTTGGCTAATTATTGGTGTAACGTCAATATTTCAAAAGAGTATAAAATTATGAAAAAAAAATGTTGAGAGATCTATTAGGGTTATTACAAAAGCGAATTCAGTTTTTATCTTTTAAATTCTGAGTGAAACGAAGAATGTATTGGTTTTACAATGGGCTCTTATGAATTTTAAGTGGAACGACGAAGATTATGGTTTTACAGAGATATTTATTATTTTTTTTTTTATTTATGCAATTTTTCTAGCAAAAATGGTTGGATGATACTAGGATGGTATTATAGGGAGTTCATTTTCTTATTTCCTTGAAGAGGTTTACCAATAAATGGAAATACCGGGAAAAAATGTAGGCATAATGGGAAAAATATTAATCAAATACTATTAAAAAAAATGTTTAATGCTTATGTAATTATTTTACTATAATATGACCTACATATTGTTGATAAACATGGCTAGGATTTGTATGCAACAGCATGTTTTTTTTGTGACTTCTGATTATTGATTTTGTCAGTAATGTCCACGAATCACCTCATGATGAGATAAATGGTGGTGTTTTTATTTTGCATGTTTTTGCATATTTTGGATAAAATGCATATTAATGCATATATCGAATAAAATGATTATTATTGCATATTTCGATTATAAAAATGCGAAAAATGCATGTTTTATAGTATATTTTGTAATTAGTATTTATAATTTAATATTAATATTTCGTATTTAATTCTAGCTCTGCTGATTAAAGTATAAAACTTGGTTTTTTTTATCAAACACCAATTTTATTTTTATAAATACAATCCTATGGTATAATAGGTATGCGATTAAAGATTAAATAGTTTGACGGAAAAAGATAAACACAATTAATAAAAGTTTTCACGACGAATCAGATTCGATAAAAAAAGCTAAAGAATTATATGATAATCAAAATTTAAAAAATGATTTAGCATATATTAAAAATAATTTTTGCTTTTTATCCCAAGTTATAATTAAACTACAAAACAANAGCATGTAACACACGTAGTGAATGCGAATTATAAATTTTATTAATTTTTAAATTATTTTATTTTATTTTTAAGACAAACAGCCAACCTGTATTTCAATAGATAAATATTTTTTTTGTAACTATATTTTTGTGTTTATCTTATAAAAATTATAATGCATATTTTTGCATATTTTGGTAAATAAAATGCATATTTTACAATTTTTTATTGCATACAAATCCTAGCCCTGTTGATAAAGCAACACTATCAACCGAACACCGCTCAGAATCATTTTTCCGTCAGCAATGGTTAATCGTTGCTTATAAAAATATGAGTACATTAAATTCCCATCTATATCCTACCTTGCCAATTTTCCACCTACAATAGTGGCTGCACCTGTCCCCGTTTCCTAGGACAGCTTTTTTTTTTATAAGTGGCAAATTTGATTCTCTTAATATTTTGTCAACAATCATCTCTGCTTGTTTTGCTTTTAGGTAAACTTGACGTTGCCAAGTATAATGAAAACTATAGGGAAAGTCAAAAAATTACCTTTCCAATTTATCCACTAGATTCAAAATGATACAAAAAGTACACATCATAGTAGAACTAGTACATTCCTTTCTATGCTCAGAATTTAAAAAGTTATTTTTTTTTATTGATTATTTCCAAAATTGTACTATGAAAACTTAATTTTTTTTGTTATAATAACCATACAATTAATGTTTTAACTCAAAACTCATGTCAGAATATTATGAAAAGTTTACCACGCCTAAAAAAGTCAAATACAAGATTTCTGTCAAAATGTCAAGTCTCTAAGAAATATTTTTAAAGGAATCACAATAAAAAAACAACATTTAAAATAATAAAACAACTATTTTAGTAAACTTTTCTGTTCTTTTTACTTTTTTTTTCGTTTTTGCTCAGTTGTTAAAAAAAAGTAAATCAAAAAAGACGGATATACTTCACACGTGGGTGGGCCACTATTGTAGGTGAGAAGTTGGGAAGGTAGAGGGGGAATTTAAGGTGTACGATATCGTACACGTATATCTTGTATGCAATAATGGCGTCGTGCACTATTCGCCCGTGAGTTTTCTACTCAATACTTTTTACGTGCTATTTCCGCCCGTTATCGTATAATATTTACCTGCTGAAATTATGTAAGGTGGACAATCCGCTCGAAAATTTAAAATTATAAATTAACGTCAATTTAATTTATTAAAATATTGTAATAATACGATTAGGTATACATAATTGCTATAACTATATAATATATACTTTACATACTAACAAGAGGTTGAGAGTGAGAACGAAAAAAATATTTTTTGATTATTTTGACTATTTTGAAAGTAAAAAAAATAAGAAACTGCTACTGATTTATTTTTAAACAAATATTAAGAAGTACTGTCCATGAATATTAATTGTATAAGGGCATTATAATTATTTCAGTTGGACCTATAAAGTTGGAGTTTGCACACGCCTATAATATGTCTATTACAAAAAAAATAATATATTACTATAGAATATTCGTGTATAAAAAGATATTTATTTTTGTATTGCAGATTTTGTATTGTTTGTTACTTGCGGTGACTTTAGTTGCAACAGCCCCGATTGATTCGGATCCAACTGACACCAAAAAGAGAGATGACATTCCGTCCACAGGTGATCCAGATAACTTTATTATGAGGATACAATTATTACGGTTTATTGCATTGTCATCACTTTTTGGTTAAATATGGTTCCATTTAAACATCGACTGAAATAATCTTTAGTATGAAATATTTTATTATGTTTTATTTGTACCTACATAAGTTTATCATAATATATACATTTATTTTTCTTGTAACTTCTGGTAAGAGTCACAAAAATTGATTACTACCATGACACATATGGCCATTTGAAAATTAATCTTAAATAATACTTGTCTTTTGCAGTGGCTTGTTCCGGGCATATATAATAAACATATTACAACAAGCAGAAATATATTATAGTTGAACTGTTTATTTGTAAAATTAATTGTAAATAAAAATAATTATATGTTTACCTATATTGTTGTTGACATTTGTATTATTATTATTGTTTATTTCTTCGAAAAGATAATGGGTCCTACTGAACAGATTAGTGTTAAACTGTTATACACTAGCTGTTTTTGTATAATAACTAATTATAATAATCACATACTACATGTACTTCTACGGTTTACTTCACCTCAATATTTTCGTTTCAAATATTTATTATAGGTAAGTATCCTAGTAGGTAACTGAAATAATTACCTATACATATATAAGACTATTAAAGACAAAAGTTTAGCGTTTTACTAAAATACTAAAATGATCATTAATATTTACCAATCCATCTATCTAAGTACAAACAATTTTTGAGAGAGCATAATGAGAAACACAGTACCACTACCACCCTAAATATTATTTTTATAGGAAGTTTAAGTAACGTTAAAATATAATACCTGTACCTGCTGGTATACTGCCCAGTAAAATGTTAACTATATAGATACACTGTGTTTACTGTACACTGAAAACTGTTTTTGTGTTAAAGAATAAATATAATATAGTTTGGATAAATAAGGGTTTGTATATTTAATCTAAAGTCTTTAAAGAAGCACTGGGGGTGTTGGGATAAAGCCCCTCACTGGTGTGTTTGAAATAAATTGTCCAGCTCTTTCTTGAGTAAAATATAAAATTGCGACTATGGCATCCCACGAGGCCCCTACAACCGTTTTACAAGCCCGAGACATAAGGCAAGTGCTACTTCTAATGGCGGGCCTGCACTTTTGCACTATGTAATAATGGATAGTAAATCAAACCAAAATCTAAAGATTATTATTAGGTACTTTATGAGAATAATTAAGAAACGTTTTTATAAAAAAAATAACATTAATAAACAAGTACTTAAGTAAACAAAAACTTGGACAACAGTAGTTTTTTTATTGTTAATTAGAAATTATACTGAATGTCTAAATACTCTAAATGATGTTTGAAAAGTAATTGAGTAGTAAGTACTACTGTACTAGATCTCGTGTAACCCAGACACCATTTACTTCGTACGCGTATTTACCAACCGACCTGAATTGTATAGGTAGGTATAATGCTTAATGGGAAGTGGTGGGGTTCACCGGGCAAACCAATGACAAGTGCAGTGTGTTTGTGTGTACTTGTACGTGTACGTGTGTAACCTAGGAAAAAAATAGTAACAAAATATTGGTTAGGTGCAGCTAACCCCACACGAGTTATGTTAAGTTCAATTATTGCAAGAACGAAGGTATGCTTTTTTAAGTCTACTAGTTCCTCTTCTATTTTTCAAAATATAATATTCCAATACAAGACCACTAGTATAAATTTTGGAAGCATTAAAAGAATTATCAATAAATCAAACAAAGGCTATTATTTACTCGCAAACTAGTCAAAATTTTCTTTCAGAAAATATGCTGTTCTTGAAATTTGGACAAAAATGTCTGGTAGAAAAATGAAACCTTAAACTCTTTAAATAATGAAATTGTTGCGACGTAATATAAAAGAATCTTATTTTTGGTTTTCCCAATTATTATGAAACTGCTTTAGATATAAAAAAAAATAACTTTCTCTGTAAGTGGATAGATATCAAATAGAAAAAAATTGACTTCTTCTCATTTTTCAACTGGAGTAAGATTTCTGGTAGAAAACATCGTTTGCGAAAGTTAAAATAATTAAACTGGGATGCCAAGTTGCTATAAATATTAATCAATTAAAATTTTTTGGTTTTTCCCGATTATTATGAAAATTACTTACTTATTCTTTGTTAGTGGCTACACATAATCAATCTCTTGTCGTTTTTCGTTTGGAGCAATATTTTCGTTAGATAACATAGTTTAACAAAAATCAAAAACAATGAAATCAGTAATGCTGTGGCGTACCGTAAATATTTGCTGTTTTATCTATAATTTTGTTTCTGGTTTTCCACAAAAATTTTGAAAATCCCTTAAAAAATCAAAAAATGACCACTTTAATGCATCAACTAAACGGCCAAATTTCCTTATATAAAAGGTATACTACTCCTACTAATATATATCGGAGCAATATTTTATTTCGAAAAGTTAATTGCAGACAAAAAAAAAAATACACATATAACCAATACGGTCCGAATATTAAAAAAAGACTACTTTCTTATTTTCCTAGAAATTACGAGTATTACACATTTGAAAAGGTGCAAAGTTCCGTCAAATTGTCACTGAATATATAGAATACGACAGAATCAGAAAAATGTGTTTTATAAAGTTTAGAAATTTGTGTTTATTATTACTTATATTATTTACGGAATAATTAATATGTCATTGAACAATTTATGCTGTCTGAACGTGTGGCAACCCAGTCATAATATTAATACATAATATATTTTGTAATAGTTAGTTAATTAATAAATTATTAAAATTTACAATTAGTTTAATTGAAGTTAATATTTTTATACTCTCGCTACATATATATAATCATGTAGGTATAGTGTATAGCCTAAATTAATACGACACGCAAATTGCTTATATTATTATATTTATAGCCTACTCGCAGTATTTTATTTTAAGCAATTTGTTCGGTTATACAAATTTGTATAAAATATTATATTTAATCCACTTATCATTGAAGTTTTTTATTTATACCTATGTCATAGGAACCATACATTTTTTTTTCATATAGCTGTATCTGTAGTGGAGTGCTATATAAATCAGGAACGTAGTAGTCTGAAACGTGAGAATCCGGAATTTAATATTCCGGAAAGTAGTAATCCGAAACGTAAAATCCTGGGAAAATATCAATGGTTTCTAAAAAAACTTTGTTATTATAAAAACGTTAAAAATTGTATAATACAAAAGAAGAAAAACGAAATTCGGACAAGTAAGCTAAGTAGTCAGGGAAGTAAACACTTTGGATCTAAGAGGTTGGGCGAAGAGAAAAGGCCAGTGCAATAAAAAAAAAATTTAATACAATCAAACTATGCTTACAACTATTAGTTATCTTTATTGAATCACAAAAGATGATAATAATAAATTAAAACAACATCTTCAATCAATTTATTTTGGGTAATAATTAAATATTTTTATTTTGGGTAATATTAAAATTAATAATATTATTAGGTACCTACTATGAATAGTAATTATTCTAATAATAATTTATTTATTATTAATTTATGATAATCTAATTTACCCAATGTAGAATATTAAAATATTTTTTTATAATATTACTATATTAGTCAAACATATACCTATTTATATAGACAAATAGGTACATTATTATTCATATCAATGTTCAGTTTAACTAAAAGTGAAGATTTAAGCACATAAAACAAATTTGACAATGAATATTTTAAAATTATGTTTACAATAATACATTAAACTTTCATAATTAAATACAATTTTATCAAAAAAGGCTCAATGATAAACACTCGGAGATTGCTAGACTTATTTGTTTTTACAAATATAAATTGAATTAATTAAAAATGTTTTTATGAAATCGTCATTTGTACATTTATAGCTTTGATCACCATAAATTAATGATTTTATAAACTTAATTTGGGACATTTTTCAAAAACTTTTAAAATTCACGCTGTTTAATAACGTGTATTACTTGATTTATAAAAAAAGGGTGTTCCATATTATATAAAATAGGTATAGAATGTACATTATCTATGTGTGAGATCACAATTTTATTATTATTAAATTTTTTTTTTATGTTGATGTTGATAAGTCACGATTTTAATTATACGTTGAAGTTTGCGAGGCATAGTTAGTCAGAGATATGTATGGAAGCCATATTTTTAATTAAAGGGTTACTGTAAGGGTCTATAGTTACGAGTGGAAACGGCTGTAGAACAATATTTCACGTGTTTATTGAAATTATTGACTTCATTAAAGATTTGAACACATGTAAGTTAAAATGTAGTGTTATACCAGTATGAGAACACGAAGCAGTAAATTTTATTTTAACATTTCTGGATTGGATGTATCATGATAAAATTGTTAGACTAAACAGAAATGCTTTAAAATTTGTCAGGAGATTTATTATAAGTCATACTTAGTAGTAAAAAAACAAAATCAATGTAATGTAGTTTTTTATACTTATAAGAGTTAAAATTAAATGTTAATGAACAATCGTAAATATTATGGTCTTTTTAAACATGTAAAACCGAACTTCAATTTGAATTTTTTTTCATTAGCAATGGTTTATCATTACTTCCAGGTTTAAATTAAATACCTAACTTAATGTATCCTATATACTTTCCTGATTTTCCACCTACAACAGTGGCGAACCCGTCTCAAGGACGTCCTTATAGGGAGGGCGATTGGGGTGATCGCCTCCCTCCACCCTTGAGAGAAATGGACTTAAATTGGCATTTGGCATAGTCATTGGTCCAGACCGAAGAAGATATAATTAAAAAATTATTTATAATCATTTTTTTTCTTATCGATCATTAATATTAAATTTAACTATTTTATTATATCATATGTATTTCTTGTCCAAATTTCAAGTCTCTACGAATAATTTCAACTAAATTATAACAAAAAAACAAAATTTAAAATGATACATTTTGTAAATTTTCTCGGTTTTCCTAATTATTATATGAAAACCGCTTAGAAACATAAGAAATGACATTTTGGCACCAGATAAAATTTCCTTTCAGAAAAAATATTATACTTGAAAATCTGGGTGAGATTTCTGGCAGAAATATATTGTCAACAAATAAAAAAAAAATTTAAAAAACATCATTGTGAAACAAACACATTCCTTGCCTCGTTCATAACCTAAAGTATTAATAAAATAAAAAGTAAGTATCTGATGATTGATGAAATAATACATACAAAGTGACATTTTAAGAAGTTTTTTAATAGCTTGTTAACTTTTTGGTAATAAGGTGGAAATAATAAATAAAAACGGTCGCCAATGACAACCTTCTTTTTAATTTTTCAATATTTTTTTTACTTTAAGAACCAGGTTTTTGTCATTATCGCGAATATTCATGAGAATGTCAAAAAATGATCACTCTAGAGTACCACCCAGAGGACATTTTTTTCCAGAAAAGTTGCTATACTTGATAATCGGAGTATGCTTACTGGTATCAAAAGTACTCACTTAAAAAAAAATAAACATCATTGTAAAACTACTAAAGCTAATACATTCCTCGCTTCGCACAGAACCTAAAATATTAATATTATAAAAGTTAGTACCTTATAATTGATGAAATAATACAGATAAAGTGACATTTTTACCGAAGTTTTTTAATAGCTTGTTAATTTTTTAGTGATACAGATGAAATACATATACGTGGTAACTGCCAATGAATCCATATAAATACATAAACCATAAAATACACGGTTGTGGGTGAGTTTTCCAGGAAAGTGTATAGAACTAATTATTTATCGTTGAATTGTGTATTTTATGTGCAGTTTTTTGATCTATCTGATCTCTTTAAAAAAATAAGAACTCGTATACAGAGTGCCCTATAGTGTTATTTAAGAAGTAACTTTTGTTAATATTTATTATTTTTTTCAGTAGAGTTTTGTATAAGGGGGACACAAATGTTGAGAAAAATAAATTTTGTTTTCATCTCTTAATTACTGAAAACAAGTTTGATGTAAAAACAATTAATTTTCAATAACATATTACACGATAAGGAATCACAGTTGGCACGGCAATTCCTTATCTCCTATTGAATACTAATTGTTTTCACGCCTATTTTCTATACATTAAAGTTGTTATAATTAAGAAACTATTAATCATGTATGAATGTATATTACATTCAAATTTTAGAATATATGTATTATATACATATATTCTAATATAGCCATATAATGGCTATTTTGAAAATTTGTTTCAGTAATTAAGGGATGTAAATACAAATTTAATTTGTCTCCACATTTGTGTTGTCCTGACACAAAACCCGATTGAAAACAAATTTCAAAAAAAAAATTCACAAAGTTATTAGCATTCAGTCAATACTATAGGACACTCTGTATTTTAAGAAATATTATGATCATGTTGCCTTGTTTTATACAGATATTGTAATACCTATAAAGGAAGATACTTATATTTGTTTATTATAACATTAATTTAAATATCATCATTCTTCAGAGTTTAAGTTTCAATCAGAATTGTTTAAAATCTAAAGTTTGTAGTTGGTTTTATTCACTGCAACTTACGTATAATAAATTCGCACAGTAATATTGTTCTATAAAATAATATCGTTACAATGTTTTCAATTGTACCTTGTTTTACCGTATGTGCAACTTTAAATTTTAATATAGGTAATTCAATCTATTAAGGTTTAATATAATTTTAACATGTTATGTATACCAACAACAGATATTCCAAATTTAATTTGTTCTCAGCAAGTCATGCTTATTCATTCATGTTATGATTTATAATGTACCGTATAATTGTCTATAAAGTACGTTAAGATTATAAAATAAAACACTTAATATAATAATTTTATATGCTGTAGACCTATAGTTAGGTAATCATCGTGTAGTATCGGAGTATAATTTTTTTTCTTTCAAATCATTGTTACTCAGATTATTGTTACCCGTTGCGGTTCTTTGACCTTTTATTATAAAAATTCATGTGACAACTATTTTGTATAATTTATTAATAAAAAATACATTATTTTTATTTTATAAATTATTTTTCAGAAATTAAATTATTTTTAATAATTATACGTGATTTTACAATAATTTAATCGAAACCTTATAAGAATATCCATTATTATACATTGCAGTAAAATCAAAATGACGGATAGGAAGTAAAAAAAAGAAAATATTGACTCGTGCTTAAAATGTAAAAAAAAAAAAAAGAAATAATAATAAAAGAAATAATATGAGAATAATAATAGTAACAATTAATACGGAATACCTATATTATAATGACTATTTTGCAATAAAGTATTAATTAAACATATTATATTTATAGTTACAGTTAATATTGATTATATTTTATGTTATTATATTATTTTTTTTTAAATTTACCTCATATTAATACGCGTTCAGAAAGGATGCAATAATAAATATAACACATGATAACAAAACGTTTACGTCATTATAATATAGTAGTGTTGGTGCGGTAGTAACGTAACATAATCGCATGGCCATTCACTGGGGAACCATTGAATAGAACTGTCGTTGGATAAGCGAGTTTCTGTTACGCCATCACGTGGTGCTAAAGTTTAATTTATAAAACATAATACAGTGAATTATTTTTGATTTTAAATATTTATTCTTCCAGTAATTTTAAATCGTGTAAAATAATCAATTTAATAAATTATAAAAAATGTCTAACCAAAAATATTGGATTCTAACCCTTGACTTTGTATTGCTACTTTTGGGTAAGTAAAACTTATTAAATTTATAGTATTATAATAATACTCTATTACAGAACATCTATTTTCTTTTAATTAAAATATAAAATAAGGTTAGATGTAGATATTGTATAACTAATTATATTATATAACCTATAGATAAACAATTTCATATTAAAAAGTACTTAGTGTGTTTTATAAATAATATAAGATAATTGATTTTTACATCAGCAGAGATGTATTTTTTGGAGGAGGCTTGAGAAGCTCGGGCCCAGGGTAGTAATATTTTAGAGGCAGTACATTTTGGAGATCATTTTAAAACAATGTATTTGGCTTATAAAATAAAATAATAATAACAATTATTATGTGGTTATAATTTATCACGAAACATACGTTGTGATAATACCAGGGGACATAAAAAATTCTCGAAGTAAACATTTAAATTTGATTTTAATATTCTTAATTCTAATTTAATCATTAATCATTGATTTAATAAAATGATGACTATATATTTTATATGTACCTACAATTTTTTACTAATAAGTATACTATTAAGTAAGTAATATACATTTGTATGATTTATAATAACTGTGTTACACGTATGATGTGTATCAGTGTATATATTTTTTATATATACCTGAAGTCATTGATCAATACTTGATAATGTTTTTAGATTCTAAGTGTAGCGAAGAATACATTCTTTTCACCATGATATGTTTTATTTTTTTTTTTTACAAATATACTACTGACGACATTTGGGGTGGGCTGGGGAGCGTTTACATGAGTATAATACATAAATGTAATCAAACAAACCCGATTTATTTAATAAACATTTAAACTCTTTTTAACGAAATCAAATATTAGAATTTCTATAATAATAACATCTTGTTTCAATAGCAAACATAAACAATTCAAAACAATAATTTTAATATTTAAACAACGAAATATGCTGGTAATTATCAAATCGATATGATGTATTTTAAAATATTTTAATAAATGTCCAAATTTCAAATTTATTCAAGTATTCGATGTTTTAAGTTACGTAGCAAATTAGTGTGATGTTTTGAAAGTAGTATACCTAAATAATTGATTAGGTGTCTAGCTTTTCTTTGTCAAGGTTGACATGACCGTGAAAAATCATACTTAATTTTCTGGCTTTATAAATTAAAATTTTTATTTTTTATAGTTTTTTGATACTGAAATATTCATTACATGACTGCTCATTATACTTATTATACTTATTATGTTTGTGTAAATTTCACTATAAACAGCATGTATAAATACATCATATTTTATTTATTAGTAAGTAGGTACAGTTAATTAAAAAAAAAAAATATTTTATATAAATTTTGTGTTTCTAATTCATTGAGTTTTTATAATATCTATGGATATAATTTTAAAGATTATATATTTTGTAGTATTTTCATAAATTTAACTTAGTAAGTGTAAAACTCGTAAAGTTTTACTTGGCACGATTGACCGGATAATTACCTGAGTAACGCGTGTCTATTAACCATTCGTCCCTTAAATAAATTATAGCAAAACATTATAATTAATGTTTTAAAACATTTCTAAAATGCCAAAACGGACATGACTCAAGTGTTAGATATTCAGAATTAACTGTTTTGAATTAAACAATTTTATTTTAAACGAATGCTCAGAACGTATAAGCCAATACTTATAGGTAAACTATAGATAAATACAATAATTTGCTATTAATAGTTATAATAATTTTATGACCTGCATCTAATTCTTGGTTCGTCACGATATTACTTTTTAGAGTTGTGCATAATTTGATACACAATTTTATAATTATTAACTGAGGCATAATTTTAAATTACCAACTTGGATACGAGTTAGTTATAAGCATTATAACAATTAATATACAACTACTATTTTTAATAGAGTAGATAATTTACTTTTAAAATAAATCGATTAGGCATTTATTTAGGCGTTATTTTAAGACCAGTGATGTCTTAAAATAGTAAACTAATCCATAACTGATTTTATCAATAATTAATAAATAATAGCTCTTTTTAATATTATTTATTTATTATTATAAACTTTTTGTTTCGAATACATTCATAAGTTTATAGGCCAAAGCCGAAAGGGCAACAACCTTTAAAGTGTGTTGGAAGACGATGTGCTATTGTATTGATTTAGTTTGCAAAAAAAAAAAAAAAACAAGACGAAAAAGAAAACATATAATTTATGTATTTATTTTTATTGGCAATGTTTCAACAAAATAATATTATTAGTTTTAGTTGTACTATCCAGATATCGATGAAAAATTCTATTAACCTGTTTTTCTTTTTGTTATTTCTGGACAAAATATCACTAATAATGTTTATTGTTATTTTAAGAAATTGTTTTACTTATATTATTTGTGTAAAAATCGGGTTTTAAAAAAGAATACATTTTAAAATATTCCTCTTGAACAGTTTATAGTGATATAAATATTTTAATATTAGGTAGTGACGTTGATATTGCAGTGCGTCTAACTTCCTGCAATTATAACTATGTATACGTACTTTAATATTCAGTCATGACGTAGTGCATTTATGACGTAGGGCTCGTATATATTAAAGGAAGTAGGCAAGGTACAATTCGTCCCGGAAAAACGAAGGGTTATGCAGAGTTCGATGAACATACGTAGGTTGGTAGGTATAAAATTGTTATTGTGACAATTTAATTTTACGGTTACTTTTTATATCAGATACATTATAGATATATGCTTATTATATTGGCCGGATGTGGTCTATTGAATTTACAAAAAACAATTATATTTACCTACGTGTATTATTTTACATTTCTTAGTATAGTTTAAAGATTAGAGATTTTTAACTTTTCCAAAGTTCACAGTAGGTATATTTAATTGCTCACGTGGTTCCTCTCCTAATCCGGGATACACATAAAAAAAAATGATATATTTAAATTTCCTGCATTAATTTATAATAATACTTACCTCCGTCTGATTGTATTCGTTTTAACAATAAATTATCTACCCACTCTTGAACAGTTTTTTATAAGACAATATAATCATTTATAATATACCTAATCCGATTATATTTTATAGATACCTTAAGCCAATAAGTTCGTAGTAATATAAAGTTTATTTCAAGTAAACACACGTACATTCTATTATTGTTTATTATATTACAGTAGGTATTATGCAATAGGTATAAACAGTGTACAGTGTATATTATACACTAATATAAAATATTTTGAGATATAAGAAGGTCGATATATTTATCAGTTTTATGTGTCGTGTGCGGTGTGCCTATAATATTTTATCATCATCGTGCATTTCAAGTATTACATCGTAAATGTAAATCCACTCATGTCATGTGTTCTACATTTATTTTCTCGGTCCTCGATGGGTCAGTTATTTGTTTTCGACGCGTACACATTATACATAATATGCCTAGTACATACGTACCTATATATTATATATTTTTTCAAAAAATATTGAAAAACGAACACGTATCATGAAATATGAAATCTCATCTATCTAGATACGTACGTCTATTAATTATTAATAAATAATAATAGATACTTAACTGATTTCAAAAAAAAAAAATATTACATTAAATTATATTATATTAGCTTTTATGGATCTTCTGGTTTAATTTTTAGATTATGAGTGAAGCGTGGAATATATTGATTTTACTATGACCTGTGTGATTTTTCTATCCGTGTAGTTTTTTGAATAATTGAGAAAAACGGGGGAAGTTTACGGAAATAACGATTTTATTTTTTTAAATTTTGTCTTTTTTTTTTAGAATTCGGTTAAAAGTAATCATAGAGACCTGACATATTCAATAGAATACTTATATAAAAACAACTAAATCCATACGATTACTCATCGAAAGTCAAATAATAGACATTTCAGACTTTGGTACATTAGTAAGGTACATTATTTATATGCATATTTATGTCCGTTGAACTGTAGATGGAATTCGGTGATAAACTGATTTTTAGTTTGAGTCCCATAATACACAATAGCCAACACACAATTATTTATTTTTTTGATATACAATATTATACATCCACATATTATTATATTTATACATCTTTTTGTATTCATCTGTGCCTGTATACTGATTATTTTATAAACAGCTCGAAATATCCATTATAATAGAAATGCGATTTTCATCTAATTTTGTTTTTTTTTTCTCAGTAAGTATACATGTATAACAGTAACACACAAGTACTTATCACACATGGATATAACGTTTGACAGTACAATACAATAAATAACAACAATAATGACTATAAAAATTACTGGAGTACGGTCGTGTGACCATAAATTTCAAGATCAGACTACAATAGAAATAATAATATTGTACATTTAAAATTACCTGTCTTGGATTTTGGATCGTTATGGGTACAGAAAATAATGACATTTAAATATATTTATTTAGGCGTATTATTATAATGTTATAACTTATAATAATAGTAGGTACTTATTTTATACTTAGTTGAACTCAATGATAAAAGTCAATAAACACAACTACAAGTACATTGTGATAATATTTTTAAAAAAAATATATTAAATTTGGTGTGTTTTAAAATAACACTCTTGGCAAGGGTCTTTGGGATGATTTAAAATTATGTTTAAGTATTGGAAATCGATGGTCGGATGGTGTATTTATATGTGATAAATCAACAATTTAATACGAATATTTGAATTTTTTATTTTATAATTATTCTATTTAGACATTTAGTTAGGTATGATTTCTAATTTATGTAAATTACAAATGTATTATACTTTTTTGTTGTAACGTAGTTAAATAAAATATATTTTATTTTCACTCACGGTATTCGTGTATGTGTGTGTGTGTGTGTGTGTGTGTGTGTACATAATTATGAATTTCGGAAAAAATATTCGAAACGCAAAAGATTTTATTAGTATCAAAAGAACTCTGTCTGATACTCGTATCATTTTTGTTTTACATTAAAGGTACTTGGTTTATAAATGATTAATTTGTCTTAAATGCATATGCATTTACTTGAAAATTAAGAATCGCCATCAATATCATATCCTTAAATTAGACCCTGACTCTTTATCGTATATACCTATAATGTATATTGTATGTATTATAAAATATAAAGTATTGAGTATTATGTACTAAATATTTTGTGTAAATAATAATATTAATAAATTATACTGGCTACTCCAACTCTAATTCTGTTTGTAATAGGATGACAAATAGACATTGTTATTTTTCATAGTAAAACCTGTAAAGATGTACCGCTTTTGAAGTTACCGTGCCCGAAGTATAAATAATATTGTTACTTGTTAGTACGTTATATTGTACTACGTTTTTCTAAGAATTTTAATATAAATGGATTATTATGTCAAGTTTTATAAGAATAAATGCTGATAATTGGAACATGATATATTACATATAATGCGTATTTAGTATTATATATTATATAGGTACCTATATATACACAGGGTACCAGTAATTTTGTATTTACGTTGGAATTTAGCCAAATTTTAAAGCTTATACTGTTTTAACATTATTTCTCAAAAATAAAATGGGCCACCGTTGAAATAGAAATATATTGCATGCGTGTATTTATTTTTTATAATCACATTTACCATAAGGCATAATGGCAATAGCAATTTATCAAAAATAATTACTTCGAAAGTATGAAATAGTTCCGGTCGATTGAACATTATTCCGTTTAGGCGTTTTTTGATTATTGGAGACTATGTAAACAATAATTCACTATAATATAACATATAGTTATACCTATGAGGCATGGACTATACCTACGTATATGTATAGTTAATAATGTGATACCATGTTTATCAGAAAAACACTATAGTGTTCCAGTACCTGTGTGTAATACATTAATATATTAATATATCGCTTATAAATTATTAACACCTGTTCTTTACTTTTCACTATATATACATGGGTACCTATTTATTACGTTGGTAATAATAATAAAAACCCATCATATTTAATTTACGTAATAATATATTTGTAATTATAGTTTTTAATATGGGTAAAATATTTGGAAACCGAATAAAACTCTATGAACTTACTAAACTTAAAGACTAGACACTTTCCCTTTTGATAAATATTAGTTATTGCATTTATATGTTGAACATTAAACATTTATTTAGCAAACATTAAAAAATATTTTTTTTTAAATTTTGCCTGCTCTCTTGAAACGTCACCTATGAAAATATGATCATATAGGTATAGGTAGCTAACAATCTATACAACAACTATATTATATTATACATGTATTGTTATTGACCATTGAAAATTGTCAATGATGTTCGTTTTAATTTTAAAAAAGTATGTGTGTACCTACATTAAACATATTTTATACCTCCACTGTACCGTTTTTATCAGTACCATGTATGCAATTGTTAAAAAAAAAAAAGCAATTGGACAAGCAATTTGCACATTATATAATCTATTTTTAATTTGAGTATATAAATAATTATAATATTTATTTTGTTCATTCCCATGAAAAAAATTGTTATTAGATAATATTAAAATTATATACATTATGAATAATATGGATTAGTATGACCCAACGTGGATTGTACGGGTAATTATTTCTACGTGACCGGTTAAGATTATGTATACTACATTAATATCATTATTAATTTGTTATTATACTATACTGAATCGGTAGGGGTTTTTTTTTTAACAAATAGGTAGTTGGAGATTATTTGTTGTTCTATTTTCAATTATTTTCAAATGACATTAATATACAGGCAATCAAATATTATTATCCCAATTATTTTATCGTATATATATATATAATTAGTGTAACGGACCTATGCATGTGTAGGCAATCGGTAAGTTATCGTATGCGACATTTTCCAAACGGTGTATCAGAACTGGTATATTTTCTGTTCTCGTTACCGTTCGGTTAGGACCTAATATGTAGTATAACCTATAATAATACGCGTAATTATGCGATGTTCTGACGGTTCGTTCGCCTCTGGCCGTGTACACCGTAGACCTATATAAGTTTAAACTTGTATATTATTATGGTGTGTAGGTCTATATTATGGTTTACATTATAAATAATATATGCAGCATACGGAACACGGAGTACACAAACACAACAATTACGCGATTAATGTCACACCGAGCGGAATATACCCGCGTGTGTGTGTATAGTGGCGGGCGAGCGGCGGCGGCGGCGGCGGTTGTTCGGTTTGGGAAAAATGACGATAAAATTAAAATGTCCGACGCGCGGTAAAATGTTGACGGGATTTATTAGTCTGCCGCGGTTACTGTGCGGCGGCGTTTAAGAGCCGGCGCGACATACCCACTAGTATTACATAGTACAGTCCCGTTAAAACATTACAGTATTAATATATTACGATACACGTATACTATACGTCATCGTAACATTTATAATAACAATATATCGTGTGTGACATTATTATGCGTACAGATAGGTACCCATCTACTACTCGGTTAGGTACTCGCGCGTATGTTGAACTTGGAGGGCGACCAAAGTGCCGTGGCATTGCAGGTCGTAACGGCATTGACATTGACTCCGTCGGGCAAAAGTCAATGTTAACACACATTGTGGGTTCGTAATAATAATGTAATATTACAAAGCCCCCGATGTGTATTCGCATGTCGTTGCACATTAATAACAATTATTATTATTATTATTATTTTTTTTCGAAAACGGCCGTTTATGATGTACAGTGTTCTAAAACGTAAATAATATAATATAGGTATTATACATTGTTATAGGCACTTTATTTTAGACGTTTGTGGTTTCGTAATATAAATCGCTAACCTACAATATTATATTATATACTCGTACATTATTTGGTCGTTCGGTTAACATATTTTTATCGCTCACATCATAAATTACGTGGTATCGAGAACGATGTTTTTTTTTTATCGCGAATCAATCGTTTTCGTAACATTTTTTTTTTTTCAACCTAATACGACACATCCACCTCAAGCGTCGCACCTTAAACAACCGCTCCCGCCAATTACGCTACCTTCTTACATCAAAACATCTTAATCTCCAAAATAAACTTTTTATTAGCTATATGCACCTATGGCTTACAATTTTGAGGGGATTACCCTCTAATATCAATAAAATACAAATTTTCCAATTCAAATATCTCCGGTAAATAACAAAAGTTCCATACTATGTCTCCAACGATACTTTTCATAAAGACCTTTCCATACAAACATTTATAAACACAGCCAAAACCTTCTACAAACGTCTTTAATCCAGTACCCACAATCATAGGAATCCGCTAATAGCTGAACTCTCCACCCACACTATCCTTGGGTATCCCAGAAGGCGTCTAAAGCGAAAGTCGTATCGAGACTTATTGGCTGACTAACTATCACCAAAACACACCCTGAAATATCAACAATGGTTGGTCTCTTCGCTCACGCCTACTGTCTCGATATTTGTGCTTATTATAGATATTAATTTACAGATTGTACAATACTTAAATAAAAACAAAAAAAAACCTAATACGAGTTAATTAATTATCTATAATAAATACGTTTTTATGTATATTTTCATTTCTCCGTTAAATTTTGAACCCTTAAATAAATGAGCTCAAAAATAATGTTGTTTATTGACCACATTCAGATTCTGAGCACAGCGAGGAACGTATTACCTATAGTTATGTTGTATGCGATTTTTTTTCTGTCGGTGTACAATTATTCTATTAGAAATCTTACTTCAATCAAAAAATGACAAGAGATCTTTTTGTAGAATAATTGGAAAAATTGTTTTTTTTTTTTTAATTTTTTAATTTTTTAATTTTTAATTTTAATTTTATATTATAAAATATTTAAATTTGTATTTTATAATTATTTTCCAACCTCCTCGTCTACGATATATTTACCAATTATTGATACAAATGGTCAAAATAGAGTTAGAAGAGAAAAAAAAGCATGCGTCATAAGTATATAGTAAAACGAATACATTTCCATGCTCCGCTCGGAATTTAATATTTAAAGCTTTTCTTGAAAATTATTTAAGCTACGACCTTGAATAATAATAAACTAAAAATATAATATATCAATATGCATGATTTAAATTTCAAAATTGTATTGTTTTCCTAAACTTTGTATTCAACCTACAGTTGTGTGAATTTTTAATATTTTCTAAATTAGCATAGGTATATTTATTTGCATTATAGGTGCTATAATTTATATGTTATTACCATTTTAACGACTATGTCGGTTATGCAACTTTTGTATTATACATTTATACATTAAAATAATATACCAGGTGATTCATTTAAGTGGGAACACTCATTATCTCGGAAAGTATTAACTTTTTCCTGAATTTACAAATCATACTAATGATACTCCAATACTCTCCTCCAACCCAAACTTAAAAGTGGAATATCTTATCAACGGATCAACGGAAATCAAAAATTTCAACACTAAAATTTATTTTAATTAATACTCTATCTATTTATGGAATTTTTAATATAGGTTGCCATTTGAAAATCAAAAGTAGGTAGTGGTATTACCTCAAAAAATAAGGGTGCAAAAAGTAACATAATATAATTGAAGGGCAGTTTGTTTCTTAAGTGTTCTAGAAAACAAATTCCGGAAAAAGTTAATACTTTTCGAGATAATGATTGTACCCATTTAAATGGATTATCGGTACATAGGTATGTAAAAATAAACATAATGTCGATAATTATTGTGATATTTATTCTAAAATAACCTCGATTATAAGTATTGTTCAAACACACAATGTAATATCCATGGGCGTTTATTAGGGTGGGGGCAAGGAGAGGGCATGTCCTCCCTTGGCTTTTTCGTTTGTGTTATACAAAGTGTCGTTAAAAATCAAAATAGCATAGGCGATTAGGAAATGTGGAAATATTATTAAAAAAATACAGCGTGTCCCCCCCCCCCGGGTTTTCGAAGATGTACGCCCTTGGTAATATCACATAGTTTTTGATTTTAGACATGAATACGTTAATGTATGTTCTATGTAACTAAAGAAAAAGAGTGTATGATACTATTATCTAACGTTGTATTTCACTACAGATTACATAGGTAGAGGTACCTATACTTGTATATATTATATTATATATATAGTCATGTTATTTAGTTGGCTAGATCAACTACATTATTCGACACATATAATTAACTACAGTTGGACGGACATAGTCAAAAGTGTGTAACGTGTTTTACAATACATTGTGTAAATCTATATCGTTGTCTCGTTTATCACTCATTTTTTAATTAAGTATAATACTGAAAGTTCCACGTACCTACTGTAATAAAACAAAACAAAGTTAGAGTTTTTTTAATTTTTTAATTTGTATGTGAAATCGTATAATTTATTTTGGTCATATGGAACGTAACAACTTAAAATGGCTATGCAAAGTAATTTTTCGAATTTTGATTTCCATAAAAATGAAAACATACTTATGTAAGTAGCAATATATATTATGATTTTAAAATAAAATAACATGGCAAAAAATATGTATATAAGTAACTCAAAAAAATGTATGAGTAAAAGTATAAAAGTATAGTGTATAATGTATTAAGGTATTTACTATTTAGTAGTAGGTATTAAATGACATTTTTATCCACTTTCATATCTACGGATACCGGAACCAAATAGAATGCAGTGCTACCAACGTGAGCTAGAACGATGAAATTCGAACTATACCTTGTAACAATATGCTGTCAAAATTGTATGGCTTGATGTGATACATAATATGCTTTTAAATTATTTGTATAAAATAGAGTAATAGGTACTATAATTAAATTATTTAATAAATACTGATGCAATATAATGAAAATTGCAATAGATTAAAAGACGGACATACTTTGCTCTTTGGGTGGGCAACTGTTGTAGGTGAGAAGTTGGGAAGGTAGGATATAGAGAGGAATTTTATATATTTTTGTATGCAACGATTACTTATTGCTAATGAAAAACGATTTTGAGTGAAGTTCAGTTATACATCATATTTGAATATCAAAATTTGATATTAAAAATCTTGAAAAAAAAAAAAAAATACTACATTAAAACTCAATTTTTTCTTATTGACCAACTAAGTACAACTTATGATGAATTTCCTGTTAAATTTTCAAGCATTTCTGTTTGGTTTAATAAATTTATCCGGTTCAGAAATGACTCAAATGTTTTGAAAAATGTTTTACCACGTACGTCTAAAAAGGCAAATATAATGTTTCTATCTAAATTTCAAGTCTCTCAACGAATATTTTTGATTGAATTACAACAAAAAAATAAAATTGAAAATAATAAAAGCATTATCTTTGTAAAATGAAATTGTAAAATTAAAAAATAACCTCCTAAATGCAATAACGAAAGAAAATCACCTTCGAGAGAAGGTACTACGGAGGAAAATTGCTGCTAGGATAGTTCACAGAAAAAGATCTTTGAACAATTTTTCTTCCAGAAATTTTACTTCAATCAAAAAAACGACAAACCAGATTTTTGTCACATTTTGGATCTAGTACGCATATTAAGGAGGTCCTTTTTTAATTTTCCAAAGGGTTTTCGAAATAATTGGGAAATCCCGAAAGAAAATTATAGGTAAAACGGCAGTTATTTATGGTGCGCCGCGGCGTTACCGTTTTCATAGTTTTTTTTTATGTTTACACGATGGTTTCTACCAGAAATATTGCTCCAATCCAAAAATAACAAGAGATCTCTTTTATTCCTTATAATATTTTGCAACTGATTAAGTAAGGTTTTTTTTTATGTTTTAAGTATTTTTTATAATAATTGGGAAAAACCAAAAAAGACGATTTTTTTCAAATTACGGCATAACGGTTTTATTATTTAAAATGTTTACGGCTAATGTTTTCTACTATAAATATTGATCCAATAGAAAAACAATTACAGACCATTTTTGTTCCATTTTTAATTTAGGTGGTGAATAAGAAATCAATTTTTTGATTATTTTAGTTAATAATTGTTATATAAATGATTATTGGAAAAAACCGGAAAAAATTTAGAAAAATGGGAAAATTTACGAAATTTTCAATTTTATTTATTTGTTATGATTCATATAATTTATAAAATGAAAATAATGTATTTTATATTGTTGAATTGTATAAAATAGTTGTCACATGGTTTTTTAAAATAAAAGGTCAAAGAACCGTTACGGGTAGGTACCTACAATAATCTGAATAATAATGATTTGAAAGAAACAAATTACCCTCTAATACTCCATGATGAATACCTTTAACTACAGGACTACAGAAAAACAATTATTATTTTAAGTGTTTTATTTTATACTCTTAATATACTAGTCAATAATACGATACATCATAAATTATAATATAACTAAGCACGACTCATAATTATTGTAAGTAATGATAGTATAGTGATGTTGTGTACAAATAAATTTGGAATATCTATTGTTGATATACAACATAATATATTGAACATTAATAGATGAATTTAATTACCTATATTAAAATTTAAAGTTATACATACGGTAAAACGTGAATAGGTTCAATCGGAAACATTGTAATGATATTAATTTATAGAACTATATTACTATATGAATTTACTATACGAATATTTTGTAGTGAATAAAAACAAATACAACAGACAATATTCTGATTGAAAGTCAAACTCTGATGACATTTAAACAAATATAGATAACTTGCTTTATAGGCATTTCAATCTGTATGAAACAAGGCAAATGTATCATAATCTCCCTTAAAATATACAAGTTCTTATTAGTAAAAGTGATCAGAAAGTTCAAAATACTGAACATAACACACGCTATTTTAACGATAAAAAATTTGTTAAACACACTTGATTAGAAAGCCCATACAAAACAGTGTATATTATGGTTTATGTACTTTTATGAATTTATTGGCAGTTACCACGCATATGTATTTCAGCTGAAAATTCACTAAAAAATTAGCAAGCTATTAAAAAACTTCGTTAAAAATGTCACTATATCTGTATTATTTCATCAGTTATAAGATATTAACTTTTATATGATTAATATTTTAGGCTTTAGTAGTTTTATAATGATGTTTATTTTTTTTTTTAAGTGAGCCCTTTTTATACTAGAAAGTACTCCGATTATCAAGTATAGTACCTTTTCTGAAAAGAAATGTTCTCTGGGTGGTACTCTGAGTGATAATTTTTTGACATTCTCATTAATATTCGAGATAGAGACGAAAACCTGGTTCTTTAGGTTAAAAAAAACTGTAAGTTTAAAAATAAAATTGTCATTGGCAACCGTTTTTATTTATTTTTTGTTATTATTAAGTTTTTATTATTTTAATATTTTTTAAACAATCATTGTTGTCATGGAAACCACAAATTGTTGTAATCATTTCACTATAATTTGACATATATTGTTGACAAAGCAACACTATCAACTGAATTCCCCTCAGAATCGTTTTTTGTTAGCAATGGTTTATCGTTGATTACAGATATATTACCGTCTGTATCTTACCTTCCCAACTTCTCACCTACAAAAGTGGCTGCACCCACGTGTGAAGTATGTTCGTCTTTTTTTAGATTCCGAGTGTAGCGAATTTATAATTTTTATAAAGATGTTTATTTTTTTTATTTTTTTGTTCATGTCTGTGGACACGTTTTTTCCTAGTAACCTTGCTCTGATTTTTACGTTTAGCAACTATTCTGAAAGTTGTCTGGATGGTACTTTAATTAATCCTGTTATTAATGATTCAGGTCATTTTTTGATTTTCGACGCCATTTTTTAAATTAAAGCAATTAAAACGTAGGCAAAATTACAATTTCATGATTTCATTACTTTATAAAAACACGGACGACATTTTCTACCAGAAAAAATGATTTAAATGAAAACTCATAAGGTACCTTCTTTGTTGCCTTTTTGATTTACTTTCTTACGGTATCATCGCCAAAACTTTTGAGTCACTTTAGAGCTTTTAAGGAACTTAAATTGTTTTGCTGTAATTTGGTTATAAATACACGTAGAGGCTTGAAACTTGGTTATAATATTTATATTGGACTTACCTAGACGTGGTAATATTTCCAAAATCATCGGATGTCTTTTCTTTTTTTTTAATAAGCGTTTTAAAGTCAAATTTAAAAGGAAATCGCAAAAAAAAATTACGGTACTTTAAATTATGTATTACCGAACTGCGCCTTCAATAGTTTTTTGTTGAGTAATGGTCTATCGTTGCTTACAGATGTAAATGAAATAACCTTATATATTCTACCTTTCCAACCTTTCCTCACCTACAACAGTGGCCGCTCCCATCCCAGTACCAGCTCTTTTTTTTTTTTAAATTTACTTTTAACAATTTAATGATAATTTACAATATTTTGATTACAATCAAGGACGGTAAGATAAGCGTAAAATACATTTGCATTATATTGTACCATAAATATTTAAATAACAATAGGCAAAAAAAAAAAGTTGTCGATATGATAAAACAATTATTATTGGGAAGTATTATTCTCAATCTTATAGTTTTTATTGTGAATTATTGAAACATTAATTTTGCTTAATAGATCATAATCGTTAACATTATACATGTTTTACTCTTTAATTTATTTAGGATTCACCACTTATATATTGTACAATGTACATGAATATAGTGTATTAATATATGTATTTATGATTCAGAATTTATTTAAATATAGATACCTAGTACACTCTAATCTTTATAAAGTACAAATTCAAACTTTTATATCCAATATAGGTAAGATAAGGTGAAAATAATATTTGTTTTTAGTAATAATTAAATACTATAACTAAGTATATTATAATCTTTATAAATGTATTACATAATAGTACAAATATTAAATACTTTAAAACCATACGACTTGTGTAATAGTTAATATAGTTTAATAATTGTATTTATTAGTTAGGGTCATAGTATTAGCTACTTAGACAATATAATATCAAAACATTGGATTATAAACATTTTTCTTTTTGATATATATTGGTATTGTATAACCAATACAGGTTTTACAATGATGTTTATTATTAATTTGTTTTCTGTAAATAATTTTTCCACCAGAAATCTTACTTCGATTTTCAAGTGTAATAATTTTTCTGAAAAAACATTTTATATGGATGGTATATTAAGGATGCCATTTTTAAAATTTTTAAGCAGTTTTCATGATAATTGGGAAAACAATAAAAAAATTGTAGGAAAACGGGAAAATTTATGAAATGTGTTATTTTTAAATTTCTATTTTTGTTATTATTCAGTTAAAATATTTATAGAAACTTGAAATTTAGATAAAGAATTATATTTACGATTTTTAGACGCAGTAAAATGTTCAAAACATTTGAGATATTCATGAGTTGTTTATAAAAATTATAATTTTGGAATGTTTTTTTTATTCTGTTGGTATACTGTGGATAAAATTGTTAGACCAAACAGAAATGCTTCAAAATTTAATAGGAGGTTCATTAGAGGTTGTACTTTGTGGCCAAAACAAAAAAAAAACATGTATAACCGAACTCCGTTCAAAATCGTTTTTCCTTAGCAATGATTAATCGTTGCGTACAGATATACATTAAATTTACCTCTATTTCTTACCTTTCCAATTCCCAACTTCCCACTTACAATATTGGCCCACTCATGATTCATCGTGCAAAGTATGTTCGTCTTTTTCCTTATCAATTTACATACGATTTATTAAGTATTTAAATGTTATTTAAATAAAGTTTATATTTTGTATTCAGCAAAAGTAAAAATAAACAACTATCTTTGTGTTAGTAAACAAATATCAGATGAAAGATATAACCTATTTAACAATCATTAACAATAATAATAATAATAATACATGTTATGTTTATTTCTGTAAAAGTTATCGTTCCCCATATTGTCTCGCTTCGGTAAATAAATTTGGTATTTTTAAAGTAATTTTTGATTACATAACTAATTATTGCAGTTCTTGCACAAAAATAATCATATGTTGTTGCTATTCAATTTTTTGAAGTTGAAAGATATACTAAAGAGATGCGAACAAAAATTGGGGTAAGTGCCCAAGACCCGTCCAATTAAAAATAAAAAAAAAGTTTTGTTATTTTTATTTTTAGTGCTATTTATTTAACTATTAATTCTCGTAATTATGTATAAGCATTTTTTTTTTTTAAAAACCGAAGATGTACATGCTATTTCTTTATTTATGATATTTATATGACGATTGATCAGTAAATGGTTTGTATACGAGTTTTAAATATATTTTAATCGTTGTTAAATATAATCTGATAAAAGATTTCGACTGCAATAGCACCTAAACAAATGACATGTGCGTGCATAGTGCAGATATTAACCATGATTGTTTACAACCGGATAATAAGATTTAAGTAATAGGTTGGTTTGTCTATATTAAGTGTGACATTTTGACACATTTTAGTTGATTATTATGGATGATTAATTAAAAACAGAAACGTAGGCATCGACAATTTTTTGAAGGAGAGAGAATAAGAAAAATTAAATTTCAATATACAATCAATTAAGACCTATTATAGATCTATTATATAAACTCTATTTCATTCAGTTCAAAAGTTTATATCTACTGATGTCAATTGATGGAAATCATCGAACTCGAAGCACAGTATATATATTATTAATATTGATTTATATGTTTCTTTATTTTAAGTCTAGATCTTATATTATTTTCTTGGCCAAAACAATAAATTCGAAATAATTCTAAATAAAACTTAACTGCCAATTAAAGTTATTTATGACGAAATTCAAAATAGGCATATTATTTATACTATGGACGCATCATTGAATAATTCGCATCAATCATTTCACTAAATGAAATAAAAACAATTACGTCAAGCAGTTTTTGTTGAAATATGAAATTTTTACACTGCGTAAGTAATCATTAACCCTAATAAATGAAATTCTTGAAATTTATAATAATTTGTAGAATAATTTGTTGTTAGAATTTATGATATGCTACTTTAAAGATTAGTTTTAAATTTGCCTGACAACACTAAAACCATACAAGATATTTTAAAATACTTCAGTTACTTGTAATCTACATTGCAAGTAAAAAAATCGAAAATAATTCAAACCATTATTACGTAAGTTTTCCCGTGTTTTCCCATTTATTAAAAAAACTACAAGACAAATTAAAAATATAGACATACTTCGAATGATGGATCGGCCATTAATGTTTATGAACAATTGGAATGATAGGACATAGAGGAGAATTGAATTTATATCTGTAGAAAACGACAAGATTTAAGCTCATTTCGCTGAATCATAATAAATACTATACCATAACTGAATTTTGTTCGTTTTACGTTAAAAAAAAATATTAATTTGTTATTTAATTAACTATGTATATGATATAACGGTAGTAAAAACAATATATTTATATATATATATATATATATAAAATCAAAAAATTACCACCCCGATAAAATTTCCTTACAGAATTACTGCACCTGAAAATTGAAGCAAGATTTCTGGTAGAAAAGTTGATCATGGATAAAAAATGTATAAAATAAACACCATTGTAAAACTTATACATTCCTCACTATATGCTCTAAACCTTTTCAATGCACCAACAAGACAAAACTAAATTTACTATCTGAAGCTCTCCATGAAGTTGATGGAACAAGATTTCTGATAAAAAAGTTACCTTAGAAAACAAGAATGAAACATCAATATATACTATAGAGGTACACTAAATAAGTATTCCTCGCTACTCTGAGAGATTAAAAAAATTGAATATTGATTGAACATTTTTAGCGGAACAATAATAACAAGTGATAGAATGAGTAAAAAGTTTTACTGAATTATTTTTAAGATGATGGTTAAGTCAAATGGATGATAAATTGGAAATCTTCGTGGGTCATAAGTTTACTATCTAACCTGGGAACCTTCCATAAAATTGTGTTACTTCATATTTAAACACATTAGGTTTTTAAGATCGTTGTTTAGATGCATAGTATTTTAAATGAAGTTTACAAAACATAAGTGTACACGTTTTATCAGTTATAAGGAAAATCGATTAAAATTATTGTAAAATATATTATATTTCTAGCTGTTAGCTGACCTGATAATGTTTTTCTGTTGCTAGATAATAGTGTAAATGATAATAATACTATAGTTTGTTTGTGATAGCCAAAATACCATCTGTATTACCAAGGTAATCCATGAATAAACAAAAATAAATAAATAAATTTACATAAACAATTAGATATTCGTATCAAAAATATCTAAAAATCCCTATATAATTCACGGGATTGAGAAAAATACTTTATGTAAAATTTTAAAATGATTGGTAAGGAGTTTTTATGAGTTGAATCTAAGCCTAAATCAGCATACAATTTCTAAAATGTCTCGGTCAGCTAGTTAGTTCCGTTTTTGGTTCTCAAGTGCTCTTTGGAGAACATTTGTTTCGATGAAATAACACCGATTTATCCAAACGATTACGTCCATACACGTTGACCGTTTTCGAGATGTAAGATACTGAACAGAAGGCTCTCTTTCGTATATGGGAAAACTAAAAATACGTCAGATAACTTTGTTGCTACTGATGTATCTACCTATCTAGAATCGTGCTATTTTTTCAGTTTTATTTATAATTTGTACTTCAAATACGGCCAACAAGCCAAATCACAATCTTTATTAATGTATTTGTGAATTTTTAACGATTAAACGATTTTAATTAACGTGCAGTGATATCATGACGACGTATTGATTGGTGGCCTGGAAGTTTTTATTTCCTCCCAATTCAGATTACATGTAGATGTAATAAACAAATCTGGACGACTGTAATTGCGTACGTAAGTCATTGCAATAAAAAAATATTAAGGTCATTAATCGAGATGAAGACTATCCTATCTTTTAAGTTGGATCAAATCACACGCATTATCTTATTAAAATCGGCCGAGTAGTTTCAGTGTGCATTGCACCCCAACTCGTCGTACGCGTGATTTTTATATGTAAAAGATAGTATAATATATTAAAATATTAAATTTAAATGTGCCTCAAAATTGGTTACTATACAACTTTAAAGTCATCGAAGAAAGATTGTTTTGTTTATTGATTTTTTTTTATTATTATTATTATTAAAAACTAAGTGTCCTAGTAGATGAAATCTGGACACGAGGACGACCCATAATATGAAAAAAATATAATGTCTGCAGTTTAATGCTTTCCATTTAGATTTATATAGGTTGTCCACGGTAAGAAACAGTTCACTATGGGATACTTAACTGATTTTTTAGTCAGTTTTGGACTGTTATAATATTTAAATAAGCATACAGTCACGTCAACGTTATGCAAATATTATTTATAAGACGATTTATTTTGATAAACCACCTTTGAAAGAAATCATGAGCGTACCCAGGAATTTTTGATAGTAGATTTGTAGCATATATTAATAATAAATAAATCGTAGAATCGTTTTCTTTACCCAACTCAACGACGGGAATTTAAAAGGCAGAACAAAAAAAAATTGTTTAATCAACAAATCAAGTTTTTCTGTCTAACTCGGCTGTATATACACATTTTAAGATTGAATTACTAAATAAATACTCATAGTTGTGTTATAAGCCAAACCCAATGTGACCCCTAAACTGCATACTTACGGCACTGGAAGTAAATATAGTTGATCTCGTTCAGAAACTTTGGAGTTATACTTATATTTGTAAGAAAATATTGAATAAATATTAAGTGACTGTGTGAAATCTGTAGAGTTTATATATAGTAGACTATAATATCAAAAAAGATAAAATGCCTAAGCTACATTAAATATTGTTTATCCAGTTGCAATATCATATTTTCTAATGGTAATAATAATAAACTAATAACGCAATTGATGCACTTAATGTATAGTTGAACGTTTATATTTTAAACTGAATATTGTACCATTGTTTTTTTTTTTCAAATGGGATATTAATATTTACAAAATGCAAATACGAATTCGTGAAATAACTTAAAAACTCAATATAACACAATATAACTGTAATAATGTATCTTATAAGAACCTGCATTATTACTGTAAACGATATAACATTTTTGTTTTCCAGTATACGAGTTTTCATAATTCTTGTAATATGATTTGGAAAAAACAAATATTGAGTAATCGTTTATTATTGTTTGCGATAATTTAACGGAAATTCAGTTGTTTTTTGTATTGACTACTGAGTAAAGACGATAAGAAATGTTAAAGTTCATTCGTTTCTATTTCTATTTCCATTATATTTAAAGTAGGTAAACAGTTTTTTTTTTTTTTAAGATTTGTTTAAGTTGAATTTTGGTTGTAAGTTGAAATATAAATAATAGGTACATTAAAAATGTTCAAGAAAATCTATAGAGTGCACAAATTTGTAATGTTTAATTTTATAATATAATTTCATAGTTATAGATATTTTATTAACCTTAATAATTTAATAACATTTTATTTTGTTTGTATTAGTATTTACTATTTAGATATGTTATGGATTTACTGTTACTATTAAGTATGTATACATTCTTAATACGAATAAATTAATAAAATTATAATCAATAAAGGTATTTTGGTGACTCTAATTTTTAACTAAATTAAAATTATGCAAAATTGTATGATTATTAACTCATAAGTAATCGAAACATAATATACATCTTTACGATAAATGAAAAATATGGAATTTAGATACATATAGTAAAGAATTTGCAGATATAATATATGCAATTAAATAATCTATAATTGATTTATTTTTGTTCTTTACACAAGATTACGATCCCCATTAGGTTCAGTCAACCCAATAAATTCATGTTGATAAAGCTCCGATGTGAAATTATATTTTGCATCTTCTTTTTTAGCAACATATAAAATCTTTTCCAAAACCAGTGTTTTTAATTATTATACTATTTACTATTTTCTATTTAATTTGAAAAAATAATTATTATTTTCATATTTGGAATTTTGCATCAAACAGTGACGACGCGATGACAGAGAAAATAAAACATTAAAACCGCTATTTTAGACCACAATATATTTTTCATTACAAATTTATTTTTAATTGTTTCAAGAATAATTTAAAAATAAATACATTTATTTGTAATATAAGTTTTCAGTCAAATAATTACGAAAGTAATCTGTTTACTATAAAAAAAAAATCGTGAAACTTTAGGATATTTAAATACATTACTTAGATAGTGAATTATGTACCATTAGGTATATGATACATTTATATTAAATTGATAAAACTGCAAATTTAATTTAAAAGCTTGACAATTCGTTTTGTTTTTGTTTTTATAATAGAAGATTATTATGTGACATAACTGTCATCGATTATGTTTTTTAAATGAAATTTGAACGTATCAGTTAAATATTACCAATTCATTTTAACTGATTAATCAAAACTGAACAAATAATAAATGTTTAGGGTGTTTGAATACCTGTTTCAGTATAAATGACTGAACGGTTGAAAACTGTTCACAGTGATTTAAATATGGTTTCCGGTAATTTTTAGTGATCAACATTGTGTCATGAATGTCAAATTAAACAAATCAACACATTTTCTGTATTTTATTCAGCGTTCATTTATTATTATATTCAGTTAAATTTCTTTATTTTGAATGAACCACATGAACAATTTATTCAGTATAGAAAGTATATACCAGTATCGGTAGAAAATTAATCATTCTTATTCTAAATAATTTAAATTTTACAGACACGTATGAGTAACCCAACTGATTATATTGAGTATACTCAATATAACTTCTACGTTGTACCTACTGTTAACAAAGATATATATTATTTTAAATTTGTCTATGGTAACACAATATTACTACAGCGAATTTTATTTATGGCAAGTAGGCAAATAATGCATCATCATATTAATTTGTGTAAGTAAATAAAGTTAAGTATTATATTGCATTGCATATTTATGAATGAAAATCTATAGTATAATTATATGTACATGGTACCTATATGTAGGTATGTAATCAATAATTACTCATTATACTGGGAAACAGATTTTAGGTACACTCTTAAAATATTTTGTGGTATGGTTTTATGATGATACTATTCATCGATACCTACTTATGTAAGTATTGAAAATATTATAATATAATATAGTAAAACCACATATTTCACAGGCTTTATCGCAGATGGTACCCATTGCAGAATTCATACGTTTCTATTTCTTAAAAATATTATTCAAATTTATTTTTTAACGAAATGACCGAATTTTAAAATTAAATATATTTATATTACTTTTAGAGATAAATATGTATATGGGTAGGTATTTAGATTATAGGCCTAATAGTTGTTAGTGAACTAAAACCGCTATATTGTAATTAGTTATTATTTATTATGTTTTGAATGCTCATACAAAAATGAAAAACAATAATCTAAAATTCCAAATAATTCAAAAATATATTTATTTGCATAAAACATATAATTTAATAATTGGAACTCGGAAGTTGTTGCATTTGCATGTTTTTTGTTTCGGTTTATAAAATGTATTGCTAAGAAAGCTATAAATTCGTTTTGTAAAATGACGAGTAAAATAACAAAAATGTTTGCCAAAATTGCGTAAGAAATGTATTGTCTGTAATCAGCTTAAGAAATTTGATATCATTAAATTATTATATATAATTATTGTTAGATGATTAAAAATTAGTTTAAAAATAAGTGTTCATGTATGAAATAATTTTGAAAGGCTATAACGGAAAAATTGTTTACATAATGTTTCCAATATCATGTGGATTAATTCATTATAGATTTTAAACTCGTAAGTACTTTATGATCATTGGTGTATCTAGGATATTTTTTTAGAGGTAGGGAGAATCTTCAGATTTAATATCAATCTGATTTCTTGATTAATCTTAACACGCCACTGTTTATAATTGAAATTATATTAAACGTAATTCTATGTACATTTGTTTCAACTATAAAAATATAAATAAAAAAGTTTATAATGATTGAATGTGTTGGTACCTAAAACTATTCAAATTGTACTGGTCTAATATGTTAATATTTGATTATACTTATACCCATCGACAGAAATGTATTACTTAATAGTACACCTAGTTTAAAACTATATAGAATTATTTACACTTAAATAAAAGCTTTATTATTTATTAGTAATAATTATATCTATCAATACCTTAGTTATCTATTGTTCCTAAATTTAAGAGAATCTATTTTAAATGTTCAAATCAAAACTAGAAGGAATTAATGAAATTCATCGATTGGTTTGATTGGGAATATATTATTGTTTTATCTTATAAGTTAGTTTACCTCGTTAGTTATTTATCTAATAAATATTAAAAATACAAAATATAAAATTACATAAATTGTGATAAGTGTAAAGATGATTTTAGATTCTGATTGGAGTGAAGAAGCTTTTATGGTTTTACAAAGATGTTTATTTTTTTTTTCTGTGGACAACTTTTAGAACACTTGATTTTTACGTGTAGCAACTTTTCTGAAAGGAAATTGGTGTGGCGAGGCACCTTAAAGAAGTCGTTTTTTGATTTTCTTCGAAGTTTTCTCGATAAACGAGAATAACTGAAAAAAAAAACGGAGGAAAAACGGGAAAATGTACGAAATATATTTGTATATTATTCCGGTTTTTTTTCTCGTGGACAACTTTTTTACCAGCAATTTTGCTTCAACTTTTAATAATAGCAATTTTTCCAAAAGAAAATTTCACAACGGAGGTACCTTAAAGAGGTCGTTTTTCGATTTTCTCAGGAGTTTTTTTAGCAAATGTGAAAAACATAGGAAAATCGGGAAAAATGTAGGGAATCTGGAGAAATAGGTACAACATTAAACAAATATTATCAAAGAAAATATATAGAGCCTACTTAATTATTTTATTATAATATGGCATATATATTGTTGACAAAGCATCACTATCAACTGAACTCCGCTCAAAATCGTTTTTTCGTAAGCAATAGTTTATCGTTGCTTAAAGGTATACATTAAATTACCTATAACGGTGGCCGCATCGGTCCTCATTATCCTAGGACGTCTTTTTTATTATCTACATGATTTTGCAAATTTTGTACAGCGCAGTTGGCATTATAGTTCTTTCGACGTATTGTAAAACAAATGGCAACAGTGATACTTTTACATAATAAGTGTTATAACTTCATATTTTTAGTTGTAGTGTTATTAAAAAAATAACTATATATAATATCTATAAATCTACATATCATTCAATAGTGCATTCTTCAATTTTAGTTTTGATTGCAATGTGCTTAGTCGAAGCTGGAACTATTCCACATTTCCAAAGTATTGGTTTTTTTTGCGGAGATCCCAAAATTAACTACGAGTACAGAGGTGATACGGTGGAATCCCATGTACTTGTATTAGTTACACTAATAATTCCATATTTAACCGTGAGTTGTAATAACTTAAAACTTTTGTTCACAAAAATGTTTATGCATCGCGTGATATTGTAATGAATATACCAAATACCAATAAATTGTACTAATTTTCATATTGCTATAGGTGATAATAACCGAATATTTCTCTAAAGATCAAAACAAATTTGAATCTGGACGGTACGAATGGTTTAAGGAATCACTGCGGTGGTACCGGCAATACATATTAGGACTGATATTTGTGTTATTTATTACGGACGTCGGCAAAGTGTTAATTGGCGAACCTAGGCCACATTTTTTAAGGACATGTATTCCAAAAGAAGCTACAAACTGCACTAATGAGTAATTTATTTTAACTAATAAAATATAAATAAATTATTTATTTATTATACTTCGTATACCTACTAATATATTAATGTAGTATTTAAGTGACTATTGTAGGTACTTATGTTGGAAGCAGTGGCGCCGAACAAATATGACAAGTAAGGTAAATATCCCAGAACTTTTTAGGTGAGTAGGTGGGTGGATCGTGGCCCGTGGGTGACTGTTTTTATTATATAACTAGTTTTCCCACCCGTTGTTGTCCGTACCAATTTTTTATTATTTGTTTTACCCATATTACTTTTTGTTATTGACCGTGTTAGTGTTGAATGAAAACAAAAAAGTGGAAAGTGGGTAGTCCATATTTGGTGGACTAAAAGTGTTCTGTTGTGACATTTTTTCATACCAAAAATATCTAAATATTGAATTTTGAGGGGAGGAAATTTCAAAGGAAATGAAGCCTAAGGCCATCTACACACGGACCTATTCATTAGAAACTAATTATTGACCGCAAATCACTAATCAGACCGCTTTGAGTCACAACGTATGTTATTCAATAGAACACAACAGATGACGCTACTGGTTACTAATCAGTTACTAACGCGTTAGTGATCAGTTCTAAGTGATTCAACTGTCGAGTCATTTCCAAGTTGCGTCACGTACTCTCGTCAAATTGTGTTTTATTTTTAAAATACAATTTTTTTTAATTTTCTTCTACTAAAAAAAATAAAAAGATTAACGAACAGACAACTAACATAAAGTTAATTGAAGAAGTAGAGAACCATCCCATTCTATACAACTTTACTAAAAATGTCTTTTGATACATAGAATATAGATGAACCCTGTGTCGTCTTCTATTTATTTAGTTGTGGTAATAATAATATGCAATCATCATTTCATCATCACTGGAATTATCCATGGTATTGAAAAATGCTGATACAGGTCCTACTTCCATAACCAAACAGTTAATAGAATAAATTAGTGATTTCGATCACTTTTCAGTAGTTTTGTGTGCGAATCTCAGTCACTAATGCGTTAGTAATCGATAAATCACGAACCAGTTTAGTTTCTTTTGTGTAGCTCCGTGTGTAGAGGACCTTACCTAACCTATCGGGGAGCAGGGATGCTCGGCAGTGGGAGATCTCGTGTACTGTATTATAGTAAAAAAGTACTTGAAAAAATCTCTTAAAAAATTTATAAAAATACAAAAATAATAAAAGGGGTTTAATAGCCCTCCCTTTAACGAATTTAATTTATAAATAAAATTGTATAACAGCACAAAAATGATTAATAAAAAGTAATTTTTTTATATAATACATACAATTTTATTTAAAAGAAATTATTTTGTATGAATCAACTTTGTAGTGTTAGGAAATTAAATTGAATAAGTTAGAGCCATCATTGGGAGGGACTTTTAAACTCCTTTATAATTTTTGTTTTTTGTAAATGTTTGTAAACCCTTTTGTCAAGAAATTTTTTGATGTTTTAAAGCGTCTTTTTGTAGACAATAAGAGAATATATTATCCGGTCTCTAGTTAAAACTATATGTATTATGTATAAAAATGAATTGAAATTGTGTCAGTGACGCATTGACGCCGTAATTTGAATACTATCCAAATTTCCAACTTGCCTGGAAAAAAATAATCTCTGCGAGTTTCGTAGGTACGTAAATATATAATTTAACTGTAAATTGCGGTCAAATAACTGCGATGAACATAAACTTCTCAAAAAACTCACTCAACCAACTCAAAACTGGATAAACGCTCAGATCGAATGGACTGTGTATTAAAAAATGAATAAATTAATTTTTCCATAAACACCCACACCAGTATGAGGATTTAAATTTGATTTTCATCCGTGTTACCACGGAAACCCATAATTCAATAAAAATAATTAAATTTTTGAACTAAAATTACCCATGATCTGAATTTTAGAGGATGGTATTTAATAAGGGTTAATTTCAATAGCCATAAACCTTCTTCGGACAATGCGGAATAATTTGCAAAAACCGCGTTAAAATCGGTTCAATTGTTTTCAAGTGATTGCGTGACCAAGAAAAATAGGGGTCCATTTTTATGTATAGAGATATAGTGTAATACTAAGTAGTATACAGACAACAAGACTCAGTATTTATAGTTGAAAGATTCTTCAATGCAGTATGCCAATTTGCACTATGCACTAGACTAGCCTCTAATATGCACTATGTACCCTTACCACGGCTATAGATATAAATGATTCCACGTCAGCCTATGGTAGGGAACTCAGTAAGTTCCCACACGAAACATAGTAGGTAAGCAGATTCATATGTACGTTCCGACAAAAGAAAATATACCCGTACGTAAATTCTGATACGAAAAAAAATATACCCATGCATACATTTTTATACGAACAGAAATAATAATTTTATACAGAAAAAACAGAAAATAATAAAATAAACTAATTTTGTTATTATTTAGTGACTAATTACATAGAGGACAATAGTACGTTATAAAATCAAAAAGCAACTAGATCCAAAATGCAACAAAAAAGGTCTTTTGTCATTTTTTAAATAAAGATATTGATCTATTTCTTATAGAAATCATAAGTTATAAAAACATAAAATCATGAAATCTTTACGCCGTAAATATCTGTCCTTTTTTCTCACTTTTTCCAAATTACTGTGGAAACTGCCAAGAGAATTAAAAATTACCTTCCTAAAGTACCTTCCCGGTCAGATTTTTTTTTAGAAAAAGTGCTATCATTATAAATCGGAGGAAAATTACTTGTAGAAAAGTTGTTTAGGAAAAAAAAATCGTAATATTTTAATAATATATTTCGTACATTTCCCATTTTTCTTCCGGTTTTTTTCGATTTTACATATTTGATGAGAAAACTCCTAAAAAAATTGAAAAATGGCCTTCTTTAAGTACCTCCTCACGCCGATATCCTTTCAGAATAGGTGCTATATCTATTTATCATTAAGTAATGTTTCGTGATATACAATTACGAACATTTATATATACATATATTTCATTAAATATTTCATTATTTAGTATTTTACTAGTAAAATAATTATATATTAAAAAAAAAAATATATTGAACGTGAACATTAAAAATATATTTCGTGAAAACAGGTAGGCTCCGAGACTGACCCCCTTAATCCGATTTTGGTGGGTGGGTAGGCGTTATCTTCAAACAGGGTTTACCCGAGTGGTTTAAAAAAAGGTTTGGCGCCACTGATTGGAAGTGAAGGCAATGGAACCAAGCAATCTTTTTTCTTTTCTAAATTTAATATTTTATCCTTGCGTTAAACAAGTTTCTGATAATATAATAAATGATACTACAATGTTATTATTACAATTATTATATCAATATAATTCAGGGAAATGACTACATTTTAAAACATATACTAATATTCAATATTGTAATAATAGTTATTAAAATTAAATTTAGGTATATCTACCATTATACGTGTATGAATAAAATGGAAAGCACATATTTCGTAAGAGATGCTAGCAAGTCGTTTCCATCGGGTCATGCTTCCATTTCCGTGTACGGATCAATTTCTTTGGCTGTAAGTATACTATTATAATTCAATTTTACATACTTTTTTACTTTCATTATATGCCTACCTAAAATTCGTTTCGTATTTTTAAATTTTAATAATTTAATATTTAAAAAAAATCAAATCTGCTACATAGTGCAACCTACGTGTAAATAAATTCGTTAGTGTACTTGGTATACTAGAACCATATCAAGTAGGTATTTACAACATAATTGTATAGTTACAATACATTTATTGTTTAGGTATAAATATAAAATAATATTACATTTTAAAAAATAATTCGTAGTTTTTGTTTTTTTTCAAAACGTGTGTAGTATTCGCACCACAAAAAAATAAATCATTATAAATTACCTATACTAGTACACAATGTTTAATATACTATATAATATCAAAACGTTATCATCATGTTAACCATAGGCCATATGACTATGGATTTATACCTTTTGTCCTTTTCTCAGCTCAAATTTATACTCCATATTCGTTATATTATAATATATTTCGCTCTGTAGTATATATATATTTTTTAAATTTTTACAGTGGTATCTACAAAACAAATGTAAACCGCGTTCGTTGCTATTAGTGCCGGTATTGCAGGCGATCTGCATGCTATGGGCCATGTTCTGTTCCCTAACTCGAATTACAGATCATAGACATCATTGGTGGGACGTGTTGGCCGGTTCGATTATTGGAATTGTGATAACCACTTACATGGTAATACCTATAAATAAATTGACGTATGGTTATATTATTAATTTTTTGCCAAAATCTATGTGTAGTGTCACCCGTAGGATGTTTTACTTGGAAATTCAATTTTCTCTTTTGATTTCGGGTTATCTTTAGTAAAAAATAATAATTTAATGTTGATCATAGTTTGATTGGTGCCGAATTTCACTCCACTATTCATTTTACCGGAAAAAGAGAATTAATATATTGATTGAGCGCTCGAGTTAATAGCAAACCCAAGTTCCATTGGTTTCAGGCGATTTTTACCTCCTACATATTTTTAGTTCCAGTGGTAAACACTGAAACTACTGCATGATTCGACTAATTTCTCTTCCAGTCAAAAAGTTGATTTTTATAAATTAATTTTCATATAATGATTAAGATGTTAAATTTATTTATTATATCTTAAGCAATAGTATATACTAAACGACAGATCCAGAGCTCTATTTTAGGAAGAGCAAGGTGTAAATATAGTGCTAAAAATAGTAAATAAAAAGACCCTGTGAACCAAAACATATACTACTCCACTACTCCGCGGTGTTTGAGATGAAGGAAAGAACCCGTTGACCCCCTAAAGCCACCACTGTTAAATTGCTCGATATTTCGTATTGTTAACTTTTTATTAAAATACAATTGTTTTTACAATTTAAGAAACAAGCAGCTATCAATGTTACATTACTATTATTTTTGGTCATATTTATTTTTGGGAGTCAAACGACTTCCTACTTTTAATTTTCAAATAGTAACTTATATTAAAATGTCATAAAAAGATAGAGTATTAGTTTAAATATATGTTGTATTGACAGTTTTGATTTCCGTAAACCCATTGACAAGATATTCCTCTTTTAAATTTGCGTAAAGAAAAGTAGTGGAGCACTATTAAATTACCTACCCTACGTCGTGTTACCACACAAATGATGCTCCAGGTAATCCTTTCACCTCCAAAAATTATAGTGACAAAAAATAAGAGCATTTTAGATTGTTCTTGAATTGTGAATTTCTTTATTTTTAAATGTCAATATACTTTGCGAAATGTCAAGTGTAGCCACTAAAATATATAACACTGAACATTCGATATACATATTTATTATACATACAAATTAAAAAAAAAAAAAATCAAAAACAATATTTCTCTGTAAACCAAATAGATATATAAAAACTTAAGGGAGTTATACATGGTTGCAGTCAGTATACAGTATGATGGCTTGGATAATTATATCGGCATTGATTATACCTCCTAATTAAATTGGAACATAAAATATTTTATTTTAGAGTTGATGGAGGCATGGTTATGGGTCAAAGGTAGAAATTAGAATATATTTTTAAAAATTGGATACCACTTTATTATCTGCAGCGATGTTTGAAAATATAAAATAAATAATTTATGTTTTAATTAATTTTTGTCTTCACCAGGATCGGTTGTTTGACAGACAAAAAAATGATAATAAATCGCATTCGGCCACAGAAACTTGGTCCAACGAGACGACGGACAATGGTTATTTAACTGGAAGGTTATTGAACGTTGTCACCGACGGTAAAAATCCATCTCTGAATTTGTAAATCTCGGTAAAATACATATATCGTAATCTTAACGAATGTGATTCCCAGTATTTTTCCCGAATCAAATTTCTCGAACAGCTTTTTTCCCGAGTGGAATATTTCATGAATAATACTCATACTTTCCGAAATCACCTTTTCTGAATTCCTTTACCCGAATGTTATTTTTCCGGGATACGGAGGTAAAAACAAAAAACAAAATACGAACAAAAGTATACTTTTATATTATGATACATTTTTCGATGTTTGGACATTTTTCCCAATAGTCATATGGTAAAAACCATTTTAATAAACCTTTATATAAGGTATATATATTTTAAATCCTTATAATAACTTGTAAAATTTCAAATGATTTTTGAAACTTTAACACTTGTGTTTATTAAATAACAATAATTAATTTTAATAATACATTTTCTTCGAGAAAACAACATTCGGGCAAAATATATATTAAATAGTGTTCGGGAAGTATTTCATTCGGGAAAAAGTTTTTCGAGAAATATAATTCGGGAAAAAGGTCGGAAACTAAAATAGGTACTCACTTTATATACGTATATTTTTACACTGTACAGAATTATTGTTTTAAACGAAACACGATTTGTTAATATTTTGTCTATATGATAACAGTATTCTTGTTACATTCTTACATTTGTATTTTTATATAAGTATCTTGTATAATATACACTTAAAGGTGTTTCGTTTAAATTTCGTAAATTGTTTTGTTTATTAGTTTTTAACGTTTAAATTATGATAATTATCCCATTTGTTGTCTTAATTTTTGCTACATATCTATATATTTATTTATAATTTAATATTTGATATAGATAGCTACGTAAAAAAATATGAAATTTGATGTATGTATTGCTAACATAATTTGACCAACAAAATTAGTTGAACAGAACACCTTTAAGTATTAATATACACGCAGTGGCATTATGACGCTACAAATCAGAACATTGATTAGATTGCGTAGATACCTATGCATATTTTAATTTTAGTCTATTTTGATTAAATGTTTGCATATTATTCGCAGCTGTCACAATTGTTATAGTTATTTTAGTTTGTTATAACTATTTTAATGTTTGTTATCGTGTACATATCACTATTATAATATATTATTATTATTGTAGGTAGTTGTATAGGTAATAAATAATAAGTATATTATTAGTGGCGGATCCAGAGTGTAATTGCCTCTTCCTCGTTCGTTTCCAAATATACTCTTAGCCCCAAATTTACTCTGAGCTTAATTTTCATCATAAATATGTGCCTTATATGCATTTTTTGAGCCTCTTTCCTCGTTATCTTGTTCTGGATCTACTCCTGTATGTTATATTCCTACTTATTTGAATAGGTAATATTATATAAGTACTGAAGTATCTATCTAAACCTACCTACTATATCAAATATACATGTCAGATTTGTTGTGTTAAACGTGATAACGTAATATACATAGGCACATGCACTTTTGTTAATTTTCGTTAAACATTTTACAGTTATTATAATTAATATATCTATTTACGCAATGTTCATTTTTTATAAAACAGTTTGTGATGATTAGTATATAGGATTTTAACTTCAGCTGTAAAGTCGGATTACTTACTGCACCGTACTTGTAGATGCGGTTTAACCTTATATAGCTTTGTATTAGCTAATTGTTTATTATAGCATATTATGATGTTATGATTATATTATATTATTTATATGGTTTTATATATTTATATTTGTATTGTGTGTGAAGTAAAAATAAGAAGTATTTCGAATAGAATATAAAAGTTCCTTTTCAATCTGTACAGCCCATATTTTGTGCTTTAATATTATAATTATAGACCATTATAAATAGAAATAGACAATTATTTTAGTTAGCTCATTAATCCTATATTGAACAATTTAATAGAAACTTTATTCTATTAGCATAAGTTTTGTTTCATAATTCATATAGCTATATAAAACAGAAATGAATGAGAGAGAAACATATTATACTAATTAAATTGGTAAATTTGACTGAATGGATTTAAACGCATTTTTTTTATATACAATACATTAACTATACAATTCAAAATAAATAGGTACTATTATTAGGGTTATTATTCAATCGTATATATATATATGAAATATTACACAATTAGTTTAAATGTATGCTCAATGCGAATCCCGACTATGTTAATGTGCATTGGATATCTGCAGACAGAGCCGACCATCTGCACCCAATGTTGACGGTTAACTATTAAACTAATATATTTTTCAACTCATTTAAAAGGCCATTGAATAGTCACGGTGTAAGAAAATTTAAAAAATTCAATGATACCTAGTGAGAAACAATATATAGGTACCTATTGTAGATATTGTATCTTTCTACATACCATGCATTCACTATTACAGATAGGTATCTGTAATAGTATACCTACCTATTAATTTAGCTTGCATAAAATCACAATTATAAATGACGAATTTAATTATAATTCAATATTATAGTACATACTTACAAGATTATATTAAGTATAGGTACATATTTAGAATTTTTTTATTAACTAATTGCAATTGTACAGTTCATAGGTATAATTATATAAGTTCATATTAATTAGGTCCATTACTTGGACTTGGTTGTTTATATTATGAATTATTTACAACACAATTTTGGGAGGCCAGTCATAAAATTATAGTTATTAGCTCTAAGATATTTGAAAAATAGGATTAAAATACCCCGAAATTTAATTATTGAATCCAGAATAGGCAGAATAGACAGATGTTTCGGGCATTCTATATTACCATTTTTCTGATTTTTGGTTTGTACTTAAGATCTTAACTAGAAGACTTACTCTAATAAAAAAAAATCATTTTAGAGCTCTTTTGTAGAATTTTGAATCTAATTAGTAGTCATTTTTTGAAATTCCTTACATTTTTCTTCAGGAGAAGCTACAACAGAATTTAGAATCTCAACCTAACTAACAGACAATATAGCACAATGTGGCATTTAGATTTAAATTAAAGATTAAACACAAATAATACAATTTAAAGAAAAGAATATTTTCGAGGGTTGTAAGTAATTTTTCATTAAAAATTACTAGGCACTTACACAAAAAGTTATATCCATTTTAGTTTTTGTTTCTTTAAATAGCTGTAACCTTTTTTGTGTGACAATTTTTTAGAATTAGTAATTTTATTTTTTTATTTAAATATGTAAACGCCCCGAAGGCAGTGGTTGTAAGAAAAATAGTGAGTAAAGCAATTAGTAAACTACAGTGAAATAGAAGATCATGCTAAGTATGGTTAAGAAGATGGTTGCATCGTCCATAGGATGTTGATCTCATGGAGAGGTTGATTGTGGCTATAAGACGTGAGGTGCGTCGGAATGTAGAAGAGGGAGTAGTTTCTAGTGGAATATGAAAGAATGCTTCAATGTTCAGACAATGTTCAGTAAGTCAGGAAATTAATCAGACTGAATAATGAGAAAAATGTGGACTATAATTCGTGTAAAATTGAGCCCTCAACGGAGGTGGTGAATGGTGAGATTTTTTTCACTCATTAATATCTTGTCCTACTTTCCACTGTAAAAGGCTAAATTTAAAAAAAATTGTTTCTCTTCTGTTCACATACATTTTTCTTATTCCAATGCCCTTTCTTCCAATAATGAAATAATAATTAAACAGGTTTATTACAGATTAATTAGTTTTGTTCTTCAGATTGGTATGACAATTTAATGAACTATGAGTTTTATAAGCGAATTTAAGTTGTAAGTCTAATTGCTGAGAATTTATATTGATGTTTCATTAAATAAAAAAATATCCCTTGTCGCAACAAAACTATGATTAATTTAGCTTTAGAAATAGAAATTAAATTACCTTGCATTAAATCCTAGTTTCCTAATTACTAATATCTAACTTTATCAGTAAAAATATTGGTCTTTCGAATGATGGATAACTAGGATAAGTAATTCAACTACTTTATATTTTATTAAATTATTATGATTTTAGATTCGGAGCGTAGCGAGAAATGTATTGATTTAACAACGATGTTAATTATTATAATTTTTTTCTATGAACAACTTTTCTACTAAAAATTTTGGTCCGATGTATCAAGTATAGCACCTTTTCAGAAATTGAAATGTACCACCTCAATATTTTATGAAGGTGATTTTTTAATTTTCCAAGTGATTTTCATAATAATCGAAAAAAAAACTGAGAAAAATGGGAAAATTTACGAAATTAATTGTTTTCAATTTTGTTTTATTGTTTTAATTCAGTTAAAAATATTCGTAGAGACTTGAAATTTGGACAGAAAACTTATATTAATTTAACCTAATCTCAAAACATTTAAGCTATTTTTGAACTATATATAGACATTTTTATTTTGCGAGTTTTTTACGTAATTTGTATTCAGTAGAGTAGGTACTCTATAAATAGACAGAAATGCTTGAAAATTTAACAGGAGGTTCATTATAAGTTGTACTTTGTAGAAAAAAAAGTTTAATGGAGTATTTTTTTTTTAATGAGAATTTTAATATCAAATTTTTGACGAAAATGTAAATGTTACGGCCTTTAAAAACATGTACAACCAACTTCGCTCCGAATTAATTTTCATTAACAATAATTGTTTATCGTTGCGTACAATTATAAATTAAATTCTTCTTTTTATCTTAACTTGTCACCTAAAACAGCCATGCCCACCCGTCGTGCAAATTATATTCGTCTTTTTTAAAACAGGTTTTATTATCTTAAACTTTTAATTTAAACATAATAATATAGTGTTATAGAATACTTTTAAAAATAATTTATTTACTACTTATCTGTGTAAAATACTTTTATGCATATTTTGTTGTAGCAAAATTAAAAAAAAAATTTTAAAAAACAGTCCATGGAATTCAAGAAGTGAGGGTCGATCTTCATCCCACAAATTCACTATTCACTATTTCACTAAATCACTGAAATGCATCAGACAAATGTGTATATTGTATATTGTTGACAGTTGACTAAATACTAAATATTTAAATGTACCTAAATGACTAAATTTATGTATTTTTTTTTTAGTAGATATATTATGTTATATAATATTTTTTTATAATAGTAGGTATTATTTTAATTATTACCTATTGATTGTATATAATGTTATTTAAATTTGATAGATGATGATAGTTGTTATGATGTTGGTACCTACCTAAGTTCAAGTGTACGATATTAATTTATTACGTGTAAGTGCTTAAAGATAAAATATAGATAATGTTATATTAACGAGACAAAAGATTGTCTGCTACACTGCTACAGAATAAAAAAATCGTGGTTGTCAATTTTCATTGATTTAAATAGGTATACATATATACTTACCATAGACAAACACAATATATTATAAATATAACTTATAAGTTATAACTCACGTTTTCATTGTTTTGATTTTTTGGATATATTTTCGAATGCCATATTAACATACTAACAATCAATCAATATTTTAGTAATTATATTGGAAAAAAAAGATATAATTAAAGGTACCTAATAATGATTATATATAATGAATAAATAAATAATTCAGTGATTAATTTTTAATTTATAAAACGGAAACAACCACTACTGCTGGCTATAAGTTGTTGCTTACATAGTTTTCTACAGGTGGATATTTATTTTAAAGTCTAATATTATATGTGTTTATTTTCTTTGTCAGTAAATTACTTTTTTACCAATTATCTTGCGCATGATTATAAACTTTTAGAGCGGTGGTTTCTGATAGAAAATATTATCTAGTTAGTGCAATGAGAAGATAATTTTTTTATCTCCCTTGTAGTATTCCTAATAATGAGAAAAACGTTGAGAAATTTTTTCTTGTTATTCAATAAAAATTAATTGAAGAGGCTCGAAATTTTACTGATACTTATACATATTGACTTACTTTTCAGACATAGTACAATTTTAAAAACATTCTGAGCATGTTTTAGTTATTTATAGCTATTTGAAATGTTTAAGTTTTTTATTTGGTTTTATATTACAAAAATTATTTTGGTCCAACGAAGAAAATGCTCCAAAATTGAACATAAAGTAGGTACCAGTATTATAATGGTAATTGCAATAAGCGGTTCAAAATTAATGGTGAGCGTGATGTATTAATTTTTTTTTAATGTGTGTTTAAAGTTAATATTTTAATGAATATGCATTTTAATAAAAATACAAAAATATGTATCCATTATGCGTTCCACTTGAAACAAATAATAGAGGTACGTTGCAATTTCGGTAAAATTAGTTGAGGTACGAAGTCCCCTTGTATCCCCTCTCCAGATTAGAATTCTGTTCGTGACTTTACACTTTTCGTCTTCAAAGTTTAATATGATTCTATAAACTAGAAAAGGCCTAGAAACCCTGATTTATAAATACCCACACGAATAGGTATGCATTATGTATACTATACATGGTACTAGCGTCGGTTTTTCAATCGCTCGATTTGTTATGTTTAGACTGTGTAGTGTAAAATAATAGTGAATAGTGAAGTATTATCATAAAATAAAAATGTAATAAATTACCGATATATTGTTATTGGTACACTTGTAACGGATTAAAATTACGCGCGGCCTCTCACAACTGTTTGTCAAACAACTAAATTAAAGCCAACAGGCTATAGATTATTATTATCATATTTGTAGCGTTTTAATTTTGACATTGTTGCACAATCATCATACTATTATATACAAGTACCTACGACCATTATAATTTATTCCGATTTTTTCGCGTTAAACGACTGCAGTGAAACATTTTTAAACTTTACACGAAACGCTGCAGTATAACATTATTAAATATACACCTATTATACGTATAAAAAAAAAAAAAAAACTGCGATCGTCGTCACCATGGAACAGTGGAGAGGTCATAACGCGATCGTGACCGGTGCCGGTTCAGGCATAGGAATGGCTACGACGGTCGAGTTGCTCAAACACGGCGTGAACGTGATCGGATTAGACATACAGGCAGATAAGCTCGAGGTTTCTTCGTATTTTATTCTAGTTTTAATTTTAATAATTTTTGGAAAAACTTATATTATATACTCACGCTGTATAGGCAGTATAATATTATAACACTGAAATTGTATTTTAATTCAACGCCTGCAATTATCATACGAGTAATTTATTCAAAATAATAATATGCCTAGCTATATTTGTAAATAAGTAATTTATAAGTAAAGACAATCATGAAATTGCACATGTATTATAGATAATAGCATAACATATACGAAAACATTTTTTTGAAAATTGCGAAAAAAAAATTTTCGATTAGATCAAGTTTTCAAATAAAAACCTGAAATGCAATTTAAAAATCTAAAAATGAGTACTAGAGGTTTAGAAGGTTATAGGTGTAGAAGACTCCCGTCAGCTATCAGTCGTCTGTCAAGCGATGGTCACGCACGATCCAGTGGCTTACACACGTCTCAGTGTGTGAGCTCAATATTAGACGACCGTCCGAATCTGATCTCTTAATACGAACTTTTATATTTTTCCTTTATTACGAAAAGTATTTCAAATAGTGGCTTTTATAAATTCGGAATGATACACAAAAGCTCGTATGAAGTTTTTGATTTAGGTAAGTGTCCAAGTAAAAAACCTGAAGTGTTATTCGAAAATCTAAAAAATTATACTTACTATAATTATAGGTTTTTAGAACCTCGGTGTAGAGCCTCTATAGTAAAGGGTATCCTATATATACAGTCGTCTGTTGCGCAATGGACACGTACGACCCAGTGGCTCACACAATATAGATATTAGACATAATATAATATTTAGTTATAACTAAAGTTTTTACAAACTGTAGTTGATGATAGATCTTATTGTCGCAACCAGGATTTTTTTAAAGGGGGTTTCACATGTCTCTATTAAAAAAAAACATATTTTTAAACACATTTATGTTATCTCAACACGGATGTGGAGGGTGTTCAGACACCCAAAACACCCCCCTGGTTGCGCCACTAATGGGCCCATCACACACATCGGTCCACGGTCAATTTTATGGCCAATTAATTAAAACATGCAGTTTATAAAATCAATAACGCAGATATATTACGTACTAAACGATTCCGTACAGGTTTTATTATATATTTACATAAGATGTAACGTTATATTAAAATTGGGCCATTGGGGTTTCTCCAAAATGCAGCAGGTAGGTATAGTGTATTACACTGTATATTAGAGAATTCTCTATGGATTGGTAAACTCCAATTTTTTTTTCTACAAGATAACTTGATAAATTGATTTGTTTATCAAAAAATTATTATCACTTACCACGTCACTTCATTCAACCGTCGTCGTTTTAATGTAGGTGTCGTCGGCCCAAATGTAACGACGCCGAAGCGCTAAATCGTGGCGGCTAGAGAATGCAGTCTCGTTGCTGTGAGTGTGTTCCGCTGCTGCCGGTGGTAAGGGGTGGTCAGCTGACCGCCGTGGTCGTCTTGATAGCCCCGAGGTGTTTGGCACTTCGCTTTATTCCACACACCACAGATATCCATACGAAATGTTTTATGAACCAGCACTATTGTCGTGACAGTCGCCCCGCCTTCACGTGTATCTTCGCCACTTTCCGCCTTTGCTGCTAAACGTTATGGATTCTCCTTGCCTTTAGAGAATATTCCGCTCTCACACATACGTCGTATTTGACTATTAATTGAATTGGGTACCTGCATGTAATATTATCTAAATAAAATAAGTAGTACCTACGTAAATTATTATGCTAGAGGTAGTCTAACGGGTGATGACGTAGATACAACCCCCACATTACCACATTTCCCTTCAATATTTATAGTGAGATATAATATCTATTTATCTATATATTTGTATAAAAACAAAAATACCAATGATGTGTTTTATAATAGTTGTTAAAAAATTATCCTTATTTCCCTTCCCCTCCCATGACAAAATCATTTGACCACCACTTTTGTGTGCTGTATAGGAGCTTGCGGGTTCACTGGGATGCACATCATCGACTTCAGTTGGTTCAAACGACAGTCGTCGCGGGAAATTTCATCCGAAAGTCTGTAACATCACCGACGAACGAGCTGTGGAAGAAGCATTCGGCTGGGTAGACTCGGTTCTCGGTGGAGTCAGCGTGCTGATCAATAATGCCGGCATCATAATGCGAACTAGTCTTTTAGGTGAGTTTCACTGGAAATTAATAGGCGTGTTCCGAGGGGGCGTGAAATTCTGGGGCAATTTCCCTCCTGAGTTTTAAATTCCTATGTACGATATACCTGTTACATTTAAATGTTAGCAGCTTCATAGAAAATATAATCGTCAAAAAAAACAATTTTATTTTTAAATTTTTTTTTATTATGATATGTACTTATTTTTTTTTTTTATTTGTGAACAACTGTTCTACCAGAAATCTCGCTCCGTTCAAAAAATTAAAAGGGACCAATTTTGTTTAATTTTGAATGCGATTGATGTATTGAAGATTTTATTTTTTGATTTTCAAAGAGGTTTTCATAATAACTGAGAAAAACCGGAAATAAACGATAGGAAAACGGACAAACATAATAAAATAATAATAAATTACCTATATATTTAATAATTTTAAAAGAAATATTTATTCGTACCTAGTATAAACCGGACAAAAGTATGTAAACCTTTATAATTAAATTTTAATTTTGGCGATTAAAATTTTGCAATTTTCACAAATGCGCAATAAGCGTTCTTTGGGTCTGGGGAAAAATGTCCAAAGCTAAAAATGTATAGCTAAATTATAATATTATTCCTTCCTATATATTATGCCTTATGAATTCGTACTTACTCTACATATAAAAAGTACCTACACTTGCAGGGCCGTTCTGACGATTATCGTGAGGTCTAAAATCACACATCATGTGCATGCATAAAATACTATGGTCCATTCAACGTCATTTGAAAAAAAAAGTTGATACATATTTTTTTTACTGGTTAACTTGACTTTTCTTTATTGTGTGTATAAAGCGCGAAGCCTGTCCAACGATGATGTAAGCGCGGGGGCGAGAGTCCCACACACTTGACACTCACTTCGAAAACTATAGATATATAGGTTTTTAAAATTTTAAAATTTTAATTATTTAGGTATTATACAGTTGAATTTAATAAAATAAAAGATCTGCTATTTTCTTTTTAAATATAAATATTTGTTATGTTTCGTGGTTCTCTTGAAGCAGGTTGAATAGTTCCCTAAACATAATCACTGTTAAAATGATTGTGATTAGTTGGTGCAGTGGTGGTTTTTGAACTTCTTTTTCGATGGGCAGTCCTTTGATATTAACTTACAATATATTTAACAACAAAAAATATTTATCCAATAAATTGTTCAATTATTTTATTTAACATAGGTACTTATGTTACCTATTATTTCTTTACTTATCTACATTAGTTTTCTCAACCTATGGGTTATGAGGCAATATTGGAACGCGAAATATTTTTGTTGAGTCACGATGAAAGAAAAATATTTTGATTATAATATAAAAAATTAGAAAAAATAAAACAAATATTAGTAAGAATAATAAGAAAATAAGAAACATAAAATATTTTGATATGAAAAATGAATTGAAAAACTTGTATTATTTAATGACGATTGTGGGAAATTTCGTGTGTTATCGGTCAATCGCTAATAAGGCTTATGCCGTGTGCCCGGTCTCCTATTGGTGTCATCGCGTGAAATTCTGCAAGAATATGTCTGCGTGTCGCCTCAAAGAATTGATATAGTTCGTATAATGTCGTAAATTAAAAAAAATAAATAAAAATTATCGTAGATAATAGAGGTTATATAGAGGCAATAGTGGTTCAATAACCACAATAACAAAAACATTAATAAATAATAAAATATTCGTTCTTTGGACCTCGTATAGACTATTCCTAGGTTAGCTTAAAATAAATAACTTAAACGGTTTATAGGGGTATAGGTAATAGTAAATCACTGTGAACAAAATACGATTCCTATAGTGTGGAGATGGCAAATAAATATTTTTTTTACTACGTTAAAATCAAATGTTTTTGTTTCTTTAGTTTTGACTGGTAAAAAAAAAAAAAGTGTATCGATATACAGTATAATTCATGGCACGTAATGCGTAGTAAATAATACAAAAAACAAAAAAAATTTCGATTATCATACAGCATAAAATAAGAAAAACAACTTAAGTAGGTTATAATAAATTACACAAATTTACACGTAGTACAATATTTAACGTGATTAAATTCATTGTACAACAAAACCTGACGGATGTTCAATGCGTCCGGAGCAATCAAGATACATGTTAATTAAAAAACAAATGACGATAATGTTGCAGACATCTGTTGTAAACATTTTATATTAAAAGACTAGAAACGCCAAAAAAAAAAGAAGGGGTACACATATCATTGGGTGGGTAATAATAGTTTTTTGGACTTGCCGAGTGACTTCACTGCGCGAGGTCCGAACGCGTATCGAGCCGCAGCTGGGTAACACCTTAGCTACACGTCTGAGCCGCCACTCGAAAAGAGGCACCGATCTGACCCGGATCGTGACCACGTCATTGGGTTGGACGTTTAAGGCTGGGTGTCTGTCCGTTTGGCCCGCTCTTGCATGATGTGTAAGTATTCGGCCGACCAACGGCGCTACAATAACTGATGACACTGGTCCAGGAGCTTCGAACGGCCACGGGTGTCCAAAGTGCGGGGAAGGATTTTTAGTAACGGTTGGTCCACCAGGAAGATTTCATACGTGAAATATTTGAGATTTGAGGTCATGCGGATCGGTTGATGCCGGAGTTAGCGGTCGGGAATTGAATACCGCCTCTACGCGGCATAACACCGTCGCGAGTTCCTCGTAGGCGAAGGTGTGTGCACCCACGATCCGAATCGACAAACGCTTCAAGGACCGTACTGCTGGTTCCCACAATCCACCGAAATTCGGAGGGTTAGGTACAGGGTAACGCATTGACGGTGATAACGACTTGCGGCGTGGTGCTATTCGCCAGTTGACGGGGCCGCCGGTCGGCGCCGATAAAGTCGGTCCCGTAGTCCGCGTAGACGTAGACAGCTTCAAATGGATCGTCTTGATGTTTAGCCACACAAACACGGAGACAGTTTTGTACGTCCGTGCCTTTCGTGACCAGTGTTCTCGCACCATGACGGGCCCTGGTGTAATCGATTTCAACGCGTGCGAACGCGCGGCGAAAAGCCTGCACTGCCGGGTGATAGGCCGCGATAAGGCCGCTCACGGATGGTGGGTGGCATGGATATGGGAACCTAACCTAACCGATCTTTGGCGTCCATGACATTAGCTTATACTCGAACAAAGAAAGATTTTGTGAACCATGTTTAATAGGAACACAAACCGGACTACCGTTTAAGACGAGAAATATATATTCAATATTGAACATCTTAGAATTTTCGGTTTAGATACATTTGTACACATTCCAACAGAAATGTGAACCAAATCGAACAACAAAACTCGAAAAGGGAAAATGGTTAAATATACACAAAATGGGTACAGAATATGGTTACCTGACATAAGAAGAATAGTCACAGCCAAGGATATTGTTTTTAATGAACCAATAGAACACTGAATCGTGTTTGTTATTCGTCGGATCGTATATTTCGTTACGTGGATACTATAATACGACTTCATAGTCAACACGGTTGTTGTTGATTAGAAACGAAAATAATATTAGCCATCTATTTATTTTTGTTTCGGCTACGTCACACAGCGGTTTCGATCGTTATTCACAGTGGCGCATCCGCAGGGGACGTGAAAAAAAAGAATTGTAACATCGTCTTATCTGCGTGACTCGACTACGGGAGTTAATAGTAATTAAAAAAAAAAAAAATTCTAATCAATACCATCAAGCTTTTACTTTTAACTTGGCTGAAATATGTGCGTTTCGAATTTAAATTACTACGTCTAAATATTTTTTTTCATGCCAACGGGTTAGGATATAACCCTTAACCTCCCCCTCCCCGCGTACACCACTGATTATTTGTAATATATAGAATTTTTTTTTTTTTTAAAACAATTTTCAATGGACAAACTGTATAGGTGTAACTACTGACGGTGCGGCATCGACGATGAGTAAACATGTTGGTCTGGTACGACGTAATGAAGAAGTAATTCCAGATGCTGAATTAACGCATTGTATGCTTTAGAGAGGCACTTGTATCGAAAAAGAAATGTTTACTGACTTAAATGACGCTCTTAAAATTATTAATTTTATTAAATCTGGAGGATTAAATAGTAGATTACTTTTTTAACTCTGTGAAGATAACGGACAAAATGTTAAATCACTTTTATTTCATTCTGAAGTAGGTACGTTGAATTTCTCATCAAAAATATCTATTTAGACTGTTTTAACTTCGGCATAAAGTGTTAGAATTTCTCAACAATAATAATTCCGATTTGAAAACCTATTTATGTGAGAGTAAATGGTTAATTATGTTAGCATATTTGGTAGATATTTGTTTGTACCATGTTTAATGGTTTAAATTTATCGATGTATAGTAAAACGTTCGACATTTTTGACCAGTTCAAAAAAGTGCTTCATTAAAAAAAATTACTATTTATAAAACTAAATTAGAGAAAGGAAATATTGATATGATTTTAGTACTTAGCGAGTTTCTACACGAAGACGACTCACCGAATGTCACTTGATATTAAACACATTATTTTACTACATTTAAACCAATTACCTATTGCATTAAATAGTTATTTCCAAAAGACATTCGTGGTATTTTCGATGGATTGCAAATCCTTTCACTGTTTCAATTGAAGAGTTGAACTTCAATACGCTTCTTGAAACTCAGATTATTGTACTTTCTCGTGATAAAACTTAAGAAAACAAATTTAAAAATGAAACTATTATTGATTTTTGGTGTGTAGTATATAAAATAAATATTTAGAATTGTCATTAATACGATAGAAAAATTATTAATTTTTCTTATTACTTATTTATGAAAAAATGATTTTAAACTATGACCAGTATTAAAACAAAACAAAGAAATAGATTATATGTCACACATGCAACAAAACTCAGAATCAGCCATCACACTAAATCTTATTTAAATCATTTTATCATCATATTATATTCATTTTTTGTATTTTATTTTTACTTTGAAATGAACCTAAAATAATTTTTATATTATTAACATAATTAGCAATTGGATATTAAATATTTCATTACATTAAAATTAAATAATAAAATTGTTTATAATACAAATTTATTCATATTACTTGTATTATTGATACTATTAATTATTATGTATTAAGCTATTATGACATATTTGATTTCATATATATTTTTTTCAATGTGGGTCGCATATCAAAAAATGAATAAATGTGTGGGGTACCTTAACAAAAAGGTTGGGAACCACTGATCTACATAAATGTACCTACCAATATTTTAATTAACAACAAAGTTTAAGTTTAATTTAAAAATTATAACACAAAATTTAGTTATTGTATTCTAAATTCTGAGTCTGGAGGGGGTTCTGGACCCCTCTCCACCCCCGAAAAGCATCCACTGAGTAAGTATACCTACACAGGCTGATTTCAAATAGGAACCCCCCCTTTTGAAAATCAAAAGTATGCACCTATTTACGGTATATGAAGTAGGGCTAAAATATTAAAAATGGTTTCAAAATAAAACTTAAACGATTCCATAATGATTGGAAAAAACAGAAATTAAATTCACTTAAAATTCTCTGAGATAACTGCTGGTTCATGATAAAAAATTACTCTGTATTATTATTACAATTTATGAATATTTTGTATTTCGGTCATATATTATTTTAGATGGAACATTGAAAGACTGGAATTTTTTCATGAACATCAATGTTTTGGCACAATGTGTGTGTTCAAGAGAAGCGTATCGATCGATGACTAAGAACAATATAAATGGGCACATTGTTCAAATAAATAGGTAGGTACATACCTACCTAATATTTTTTTCGTCATACCTATACCTAGGTGCTTAATATTGTATTAATTATTCTTGATCTTCTAATCTACATACAAAAATTTGAATGAAAGCATAAAAATAATACTGTCATAATAACCTAATCTTGTTTTTGTGTTTCTGGTCTAGTATTTGTGGTCATTCTATTACTCCATACTTTGCTCACAAAATGTATAACGCTTCTAAAACGGCTGTCACGGTACTGTGTGAAGGTCTTCGACATGAACTCAGTCTTGTCAATTCCAAGATTAAAGTCACGGTGAGTTTTAGGAACTACGAATTATTATTATTATAATTTTAATATGAGCTCAAATAATATTTTAAAACCCAGGAGCATCTCCACAAAATCTGAATGTTTGCTCCTGGGGTTGTCACGATAGGGGAATTCCTGGTATTAGGTACTGATAATAGCCGAGCAGAATTTGTTTGGTAATAAAAAACTAAACACAAAAACCAAAGGAAAATAGTTCAAAAATATTGTTTTGGTCATTTGTGAGATTTAAACTCAGAAGTCATAAATGAATCTTTAATAATTTTCTCTTTACCTATTATTTTAATGCCAGTTTCGAGTATTACAAAATGACACCACCCCATTACGTATAGGCACTTACTCTATGATTCACCTAGTCGCCACCATTCTCCTCTTTTCCATGATCCAATTGCTCCCCTAAAAAGGATTTTCAGTTGAGAAGTAAATGGAAAACTCCTTAAAACTTTCATTGTTAGAAAATGGAGGTGACTACCATACTTAGTATAAGGTATACCTACGGTGCCAATAAATTATTGAAATTTATATATTATATCTGAGAAATTGTTTTTTCAGAGTGTAAGCCCTGGCAGCGTGGATACGGATATTTTTAAAACAGCAAATTTTAAACCCTCTTCACAAGTTATCAGTTCGAGACCAGCTTTAAGACCGGAAGACGTAGCGGCTGCTATAATTACGACATTGGAAACTCCTCCACATGTGCAAGTCAGTCTTTTTTTTCTCATACTAGGTTCATAAGGTATTTACTTATACCTATATAGGTAGAGAAATTTATTAAGATTTATTATAACCTTAAGAATAGTGGCCAGAAGAGATATCTATGCGAGGGTATATGAAGTAAACAAAGATGTGGAGGATGAAACAGTAGATTTGAATTAAAATCAAATTATGAAATTGTTATACATTTTGTAGTTATATTGTTATTTTGCAGATAGCTGAATTGACTATCATTCCAAATGGGTCAACTATACAATCCCATGGGACACCTGCTCCAGTGAATATATGATAAAATATAAGGGATATTCAATCAACGCTATAGCTAGTATACTTAACTTAGATAAACTTACTTAAATAATTACCTATTGTGCGCTGTTATAAATAATAAAAAATGATTTTATGTACTTATAGGTATAGTATTTAGACCGATATATTTAATATTATTGTGCATAAACAAAATAATATTAATAATAATAAACAAATTATAATAATTATTTAATATCTAATTGAAAATAATACAAGAATACCAATATAATTATCCACTTTTCCACAATCTTATTTGAAAATTCCCTAATCATCCATCAATCACTAATGACCTTACTGTTATTCTGAGATTTTACAGTGAAGTATTTTGCCAAAATATGATTAACCTAACCCACTAAATGATAATAAAATAATATATTAGCAGCAGAATTATCTTTAAAGTGGCAATTAAAAGGTTTTTTAAATTTTACAAAATTTGGACCTTCTTTATCAGCATTATATTATAAAAACCAACAAGAGTTGACAAATAAGAAAAATTGACGATAGATGTTCATAATCTTATATAATAAATAATAAAATTAATATTCTTATTAGTTTAGGTTTTTTAATTTAAATTAATAATTCATATATTTATGGATTTTTAAAGGTTATAATTTGAAATAAAGGTAGTGATTTCACCTCTCCAAAAATAAACTTTGTTTTAGAATTTCTTAAAAACAAATTAATACTTTCAGATAATGATTTTCATGTTATGTTGATCATTCTCTACATATATTATACAAATCAGTTAAGAATTTATCTATCGAGCAAACAAAAACTTAGTGCTACCATGGCTATGAAGGTGACCACTATAATTATTACTTATTTTCATTAAGGTTATTTTTTCCATAAAGAACCTTTTTTGATTAAAACATATTTAATTGTCAAAACGTTCAAAATTTAAATTTAGGTACTTATTGCATTTAATTTATATTATATGTTTTTTACCACTTTGCACTGGCACTATATTTTTGCTATCTGTATAATTTTGATACCAATAGTTACTGGGAAAAATGTATATTTTGAAATGAATATAGGAAAAATAAAAATAAAATAAATGTATGATTGTATTATTTTAATTGTTTAAATAAAACGAAAAGGAAACAATCATATTGATGTTATTTTCTTACAAATCAAAATTATACAATTTTGGGTGCTGCTGCCTTCTTTCTCATTTTAAGTTCGGTAAACTTGGCCATCAACTTTGTTTTTTTATCTTTTCGGGTTGTCGCTCGAAGAATTTGCTCTTTAGTACAAATATTTCCCTTCAAAGCATATTTTTGGTTCCTTAAGAACTTTTGGCAAACCTGTAGTGTAATTAATAACAAGTATTAAATAAAATTAAATATATACATTTCAAGTTAACTTACACCACGGCGGGATTCATGTCTGAATTTCTTCGGCCTCTTAATTCCATTACGATGGTCCTTACGATCTATAGTAATAATAATACAAATTTTGATTATTATGTCGAATAATTTATAAACTGAACCTCTTACTTTGATTATGATTAGTATGATTCTTTGACTTGGCCATTATACAAGTAGATTAACTAAAAACCTGAAAAAAATAATTGCATAGTACCTTAATATTTTTGTAATAAAACTAAAATATATTTATTTTATCCTGTAAGCTTAAATTAAAAAAACCCAAAATTATCTCAAATATATATGTAGCGTTGTAAACACCAAAACCAAATATCTAATACCAAGACAATCCAAGTATTCCGATCACGAGCTTTTAATGCTATCCTTGGTGTACTTCTGTACATTTCCAAAAAAATCTTAATCCTCTTTTTTCAAAACTATCTTCTGAGAATCTCTCCGAAAATTTACCCAAATCGCTAAAAAATATACTGGTATATATACTAAATAGACCTTTTAATTTGATTAAAATATCTTTTACTCTGTCAACGGAGTTTTAATCAATGAATGGTATCTCCGCACATGTTATCACTCACCAATTTTTTGTTATTTTAAAGTTGATTTAATGTGGAACAATTATATAATCCAGTAAAATTATTTTTAAAATAGCCAATGTAATAGTTCCATGTTAAATATTATAAAAAGAACCTAAATACATTGAATATGCTCTATATACTTTAACACAGCGGTTCTTAACCTGTGGTCCACGGCAGTCTTAACACATTACATAAGTCAATATGTGACATGAGTGAATTATTACGATATTTTTGGATTATTGTTTTATTTTTATTTTTTTTAATTTTATTATTAATATTTATATATTAGTTTTTCTTGTTCATACAAATTGTACAGGCTTACATCACTTTAGTCGGCAGTTGTAAATTTACCACCAATAAGTGCAGTTGACTGATTGTATTCAATTATAGTTTTATGCCTACATAATTTAGGATTAATACGTGATATAACTCAAATCATCGTAGAAAAATATTTAAGTTAAAATGGAATGTTGGCCAATTTAAAAAAAAAAAAAATTCTGACATTGATGATGAAAAGAGTAAGAAGCTGCAAATAGCTTAAATAAAATTGCATTGTCAAATGATACAATAAAAAACGAATTGATGGTTTATCAGGAAATATTAAAGAACAGTTGTTGAGAAGAATTAATAAAAGTATAAGATTTTAGTCTCCAACTTGATGAAAGTACCGATATAACTAATAAATCAGTATTACTGTGTTATGTAAGATACAAATACAAAAATGTATCTATAATTTGCAACATAAAATAATTATTATAATTTTAGTTAGGATAACATGAGATGTTTTGTAAAAAAAAAGGTATTAGACAAAAAATTGGTGGGGGGTCCGCGATTTCTAAAAATCTTTCATCGGGGTCTGTGTTCTACAAAAGGTTAAGAACCACTGCTATAATGTATAAAAACCTATTAAAGCAATAATTTGAAATACATAACATAAAGAATATAAGTATGTATTGTAAAAGTTTCAACAAGAAGGTTTTAATCCTACTCTGCAACTTTTACTATTAAAGAAAAAATATGCAAATATATTAATATCCACTCTTTACTTATTACTTTTAAATAAAGGATCTATATATTTTAATTGTAATCTGAACACTTGGTATGTTTTATTGAATATTCTAAGGAAATAAAGTACTTATATAATAAATGTAAAAAGTGAATTATTGTTTTAAAAATGCAGTATGAACTTTTTTTTAAAAAAATTAAGTCATTTTTTAGATATAAGTAGATTAATTAATAATTAGAATGAACAAATTATATTAATATGGCATATAAATAAAATGCAAAATTTGTTTGTTCAATTTTATTGTTGTCCTAATTAAAAATAAATACCATAAACCAGTCTTCACATAAGCACAAGTTCACGAGAGTACATAATAAACCCAAAATTTTACAACCAACCATAAAAAAGTAGAACATATAATAAGTGATGATGACTAGATACCACCATAGATAATAATACAGTAACAACCAGGTGTGGCTATCAGGTTTTAATAATCCATATTTTTTTCAAATATTTGCTCAAGATATTTATATACAAGGTTTCTAAAATGTTCAGATTAAAATTCTGCTGATAAACATTTTATAAATTGATATTCAATAAATTTAATTAAAAGACAGTAATTTGTAATATGTCTACACCATTTTAGATTAAACATGGTTAAATGAAGTATATTATATTACAATTTGGTTGTTTTAATATCAATATTAATAGTATGTAATAATATAGCCAGTGTACATAACGATTAATTTATGCAAGAAGAAAAAAAGGAGTTTCAAATTTTGTAATTCTAGTTTTTCTTATCCCAGATAATCTGTGTCCTAATAATATAGCATATCGTCAACAACCCAGCAAAACATTGAAAGTTCTTTTTTCGTGTCTGTGTACAACTTTTCTACCAGAAATCTCACTCTATTGAAGATTTCTAAATTTCTGAAATTCTAAGGAAACGATATTTATTGTACCATTTCTTATCAAATTGGTGTAGTAATTTTTAAGTTTTTTTAATTATTAAAATAACAGTAACAGGTAATAGTTTGGTAAAATGTATTATAATTTACTTGCGAAGTTTTGCTGGGTAACTAACGATATTTACTAATTAATAGAAATATGTTCTTATTATTATATTAGCTAATAAAATCAAACAAGATTAATTTATTAAATTACATAACAAACGTTACTACAAAATAGGAAAAAAATTATTTGCCATCAATTATTTAGTAGATATTATAATATTATAAAATATTGAGTTATATAGTATATAATGCATTTTGATTTTGAAGTAAATTAATATATCAAAATGTTTAAAAGTTAACCTTATACCTTGCCCATGTGACAAGGTTTGTTTATATCATGCAAGTTGAAAGTATATAATTTAAATTAGTTTTAATTCAATAATAATACATATATGTTAATTTTTTTAATTTTAATGAAACTCATTAAGATCAAGAAAAATATTCAATGAAAATAACTTAAAATAATTCTATAGTTACCTTCAGCTGCAAACGATGAAGAATGTGTAAACGAAAATATGAGTACACAGTGTAGGAGCAGATCATATTCACTTTCCTTAACATAACACGACGCCATTCAGGACATTGGAAAAAGTGATATGATAATTTCAAAGAAGATCGACAAACCTGATATTTTGTTTTAATAAAATCTTAAAAATGTTAAAGTGATTTTAATAATTAATGTATTTATTTTCCTACACAAATTATTTATCAGAATTACAAACTAAAGATATATTTAGTTTATGTTATAAATTATATTTATATTCAAATTATATTTTTATTTAATTTATATTTTTATTTAGATGTAAAATTTAAACATAATTTCTTTATTTCACATCATAGACATTGCAACACTGCAATAAAACGTCACTTCTTTCTGATAAAAATCCAAGAAAAATCAATTTTATTTGTGTTTTGTTATTAAGTACGATTATTTTTTTTTCGACTGTTATTTATTTTCTGTTTTACGGCCCACACCGAGAATATTGGTCGAACGACGAGGTTGTTTTAACGTAATCTACAATTGTTTTGCTAATATTCAATACAATTAGTAATTTTAATATTGTTTTCGGTAATATAATAGCCACTTCCCTCATATAAGTATTCAGAATGGCTACTTTGCCTTCCCCAAATGAAGTGAGAAAAATGATTTATATATTAGTTAAAAATTAGACACATAAAAAAATTAATGAAATATATTTTAAAATACTAAAATACTGCTTTAATATTGAATGGATTACTATGATATGTTGAGTTATTGTTTTTAAATAGGGTGAATTGTTTAACACTTATTTGGCTCCACCCTAAAATCAATTTATTAATATTTGTATTTTATGTTTTATACTTAATTCTCAATCTCAAGGTTATAATTCAGTATACTTGTATTGATGTATAATGCTGAATTTATTTTATATGTGATTTTGTAGGTAGCCGGAAGTCATTTTCCTATTTATGAAGCCCTCTATAATATGGTGAGTAACTAGGTATATATTTAGTTTCTTAAAAGTAAACAATTCTATTAAAAACAAAATGGATTTATTTAAATATATAACAAGTAAGGATCAAGATATTCTATCATTATAGTAAATTAGATTAAACAATGAGTCACAGTAATTATATAAAAGAAAACATTTAAAAATATATTATAAGTATAATTGAATTTTTTTCTTCAACAATATAAAAATACAAATTGAAACATAGTTAATTTTAAAGCTCATAGTATAAAAACATGCATCTACCATGAATACATGAATAAATTATGTAATTTTAATGCTCAAAATATAATTCACGGTTTTAAAATACATGTTTTACATAGAATATTGATATACCTATTTATTTTAATTAAATTAAAAAATAGGTATGTGACAATAACTATTAAATATTATAATTATAATGGGTATAAAGGAACTAGTTTATTGATAATTATATCTTATATTATGCACTTGTGTTCAATATAATTGTCAATTATTATTATTATGCCTATTACATTTTATTGTAATGATAATAGCCCAGAAAATAGTCAACAATATTAAATTTTATAATTAAATTAAAATTAAATATTTTATAGTTTTAAATTTTTACTTATTTATAATGTTATTTACAATTGGTTTTTGTTAGGTGGATCCTACTAATAAAGGAAATATTGGACCACTAGACGCAGCAAATTTTCTTAAAAAGTCTGGTTTATCACAAGGTTTACTAAGTCAAGTATGTTAATTATAAGTAGTGTGTTTATTAATATTAAAATTAAAATTTAAGAGATACCTATTTAAAGTTAAAAAAGATTTAAAAAAAAAATAAATACACTAATTCCATTTACTATTATGTTGTTTGAGTTTTATTTTATTTTTAAGATTTGGGATTTATCTGATCCAACTGCTACTGGTTTCTTGACAAAATCAGGAATTTTTGTGGCACTCAAGTTGATTTCTTTAGCACAAGCTGGACGAGACATATCGATGTTAAACATCACTCAACAATCCCCACCACCTAATATGGTATAAGTCAAATTACATTTTGAAATGCTCTAAAACATGAATTCAATTACATACACTTTCTAGTGTATTTTTATCATTGTTATGTAGAATTACATTGAATTTTGTGGATACAAAGACTGTACATTTTATAAAGTAAAAACAACCAATAATGCATTGTCAATTATTTTATATAATAGGGTGAAGCGTCAAAGCAATTAGCATCTAAAATACCAACAGGTTTAGTTTCTGTTGTGAGCAATATGAATGATTGGGCAATGAAGCCTTCTGAAAGAATGAACTATGATAAAATGTTTGAATCATTAAGACCTGTAAATGGAACAGTTGCTGGAGATAAAGTAAATACAATTTATTATATTTATATACAATTTTAATTATAATTTACCTTTTAGGTTAAAGGATTGCTAATAGATTCCAAATTGTCAGTAGATACATTAGGTAAAATTTGGGACTTGGCTGATATGGATAAAGATGGAAAATTAGATCAACACGAATTTGCCGTCGTATGTTTTAATTAACTAAAAAATATCATACTTAATCTTATTATTAAAAATTAATTTTGCTTAGGCTATGCATTTAGTTTATAAAGCTTTAGAAAAATACGCTATTCCCAGCATTTTGCCCGGAGAATTATTACCTCCAGCAAAAAGAAAAACTTCAGCTGTTGCTAATTCTCCTGTACCAGTGTTACCAGTGCTTCCTTCTGGGGTTACTTCAAATCTAGTCAAACAACCACCAAAAGTAAGTTCTGGGAAAATATTAATAGAAAATAAATACACAAATTATATGGTAAATTATTTTTTCAATGATTTTTCAAATCTGTATAATTCAGTGTGTTTTTACGACAGTGTATTATTTTTAAACAATTATTTTTGGTTTAGTTTATATAATACAAAAAAATAATATTGTTTTGATTAAGATAATCCCAGACGATTTTTGTTTGTTTTATAGGCAAAATTTGAAAATGATTTAAATTTGTATAGTAAACATTGAATGCTACAGCGTATATTTGAAAACTTAAACATTTATGTTCCACTTAAAATATTACCAATTAACTCTATGCATAAAATCATTATTTTATTTTTTTTAATATATATATAAATTACATATACATACTATTTTGATTACATTTTTACTTACAAATTCAACCATAATCTAATAATTTGAACAATTTTAGAATTGAGAGGTAATTCATTTAATTAATTTTAAATAAAAACAATACCTGTATGTTGGTAGTAAAATGTCAGATTATTATTTTAAATTATAATAATTTATATTTTTTTGAGATTATTAATTAACAAAAATAACTTTCATTTTAAATAATGAAATTCTCCCTACTAATCCATTATTTATGAAATATTTTGGATCTAATATAATAAGGCTTATTTTTAATATTTTTAAGATTTAGACATCAGAGTATTACTTTGTCTACGGGCATTTAAATTTGTTTTTATTGGTTTAGAGGCCAATTACTCCATCTATTGGATCAGTGTCATCACATGCTACATGGGTAGTTACTGCTGAAGAACAAGCACGTTATAGTTCTATGTTTTTGGAATCTGATGTTGACATGGATGGTTTTGTATCAGGGCCAGAAATCAAAGATCGGTTTCTTAAAACTGGTATTCATCAGTCTATATTAGCACTCATATGGTAATTTTATAAAAATTTATTTATTGGTACTGTTATATTAATTTTAAACATTTTAGGAGTTTGTGTGATATTAATCAACATGGAAAGTTAGATATGGAGCAGTTTGGTCTAGCCATGTGGTTAGTAGAGCGCAAACTTATGGGAATTGATCCACCAACTGCACTTACTCCTGAAATGATACCTCCAAGCAATCGAACTACTACTGCAGCTTCTACTACAGTTCAAGTAAGAATATTGATGCATTTATATTCATTTTTATTAAATTATTTTTTTACAGTTAAAAAAAATGCATTGTTAGTTTATAGCAATGCTAAGAATATGCAGCTTCTCTATCGATGAATATTTTAAATCCCACCCATGCAAAAATTACTAAAATTAAAATAACTCCATATAAATGTATATCTTCTTGAATTGCAATATTAAACTCCTTAGTAACTTTTATTTGTACTATTCCAGCTATATACTCATTTTGCCAACATCTATAAATAGAAAAGGATTATAATTTTTACATAATTTTATAAAAAATGACTAATTATTAAATAAATTTATTTTTGTTTACGTAAATATTTGTTCATCTTCTTTGGTTATATTTTCAATGACAAGTCTATTTAATATATCAGTTGTTATATGTCCTTTATTTGTTATGACAGTCTGATTATTTAATCTCCATTCATATGGAGCGTCTGAATTTAAATTCCTTTTAATATATTAACACGATAATCAATTGTAAATTATAGGTAGTTAACAATTATTATATTAATTATAAGTAAAATAACTTCTAACCCTGGACATGTGACATATAGATGTTCATTTAAAAATACAATAATTACTGATGTTTCAACTTTTGGCGGTAGATCGGGTATTGTTTGCAATGGTGAATATATACCAGCTGAATTATTATATCTTTCTTTTACTTTTCCTTGAAAATCTTTTATTTCAAATATGTCATTATTATTACATTTCAGCTTAAAACAAATACAATTTTAATATATAGTGATTAAAAAATATGTAATATTATTACTTTACAGTTTTTAACCATTATTTTTGTTGCTTTGTTCTTTATTATTTTATCAGAGTGATATAATAAACCCAATAGACTACTTTGACACGGTATACCAGTATCAAAAACATTCATCAATGTTTCTAAGTACTGTATTTCTTCATGTTTATAATTTTTCATTGACATATTATATTTTCTATTTGCTTTAATAATCATGCTGTCTAGAGATTAAAATATATTTTGTAGTAATAATTTGCAATTGTTTGTTAAATTTAATTATGGTTTTGAGTTATACAGTTAAGTCTCTTATTTGTCTTATTCTTTACATTCTACTAATTAAATTCCTAATATTTATTTAATTATTTAAGTTTTAAATTATCATTATTTATATTTCTTATCTTTTTAGAGAAATTAAAATGTTTGCTTTAAATATTTACTAAAAGTTACATATTGATATAATAGTTCTTCTCCTTTGCATCTTTTATTAACAACAAAGTCTATCGCCTTGGTCCAAAATCTTTACATAGCCTGGTCCGCCACTCCATCTTGTGGCATATACAGTTGTCATTATATCACTCTTAATTATATCAGACCATTTATTTTTTTGTTATCATTTCTCATTAATTTACCAAAACCACTCTTATAGCCTCACACACTTTGATTTTTATATTTAAAATGCACTACTGACCCACTTGATTGTATCTTATGACACAAAAAAAAAATACTATACATAGTTCAACTATACAACTAGGTATAAATCAACTGTATAAACCCTACTTTTATAAGTCCAATGACCATTAAAATGATTGTATAGTACTATATAGTTAGGTTTTTTTTTTTAATCAAATATTTGTACACCATTTCTTAATATTTATAACATGATTACAAACTTGATATTATACTAATTCATTAATATAAATTCAATAGTATAATAAACATTTCAAGATCATTGTTATAACTTAAAACCAAAGTATAATTGTATTTTATTCATACTTTTTAATGATACAAAACAATAGCCTAATTTTATTTGTTTACCAATCACATCACATTTGCTACATGATGACCACCGAGTCCATAAATTCCAAATTTTGAAATTTAAGTTTCCTAAAACTATATCTCCATATGTTGTATTGTCAGTTTTTGTGTTGTTTATCTAAATAATTTTTTAATTTTTATACTCTGTTCAAATTTATTTATCTTATTTACTGACATCGATTACAGGTTCATTATCATTAATGAGTTCAATAAAATATGGCCCTGCTTCGCTATTGGCCAATTTACATTGATATAATCCACTTTTCGATTCATCTATATTAATTATAGTTAAGGATAGGTCTAAAGATGAAACACGAAAATAGTTATCTTCTTTTATTAAACTTAAATTGTTTAGATTTCCTAGCCATGAATAATACCAAACATTTTTATGCTTTAAATCCTTAGGAGAAATACATAATTCACATTCCAAGCTGTAAATCATTAGGACATGGAACATAATATTTGTTTTGTTTTATAGTATTAATTAAAATTACCTTAATGATGCACTTCTAAATGTAGTAATAGCCTTAGCTTGGAAAATATTATTTATATTAACACTTTTTGAAAGCTCTTTCAAGCATTTATAATATAATTCCCAAAGTATCTTATTTTTATTCAGTTTTTCCTGATCTAAACCTGGATAATCAAGATAGGAACCTGGTTTTGATCCTATTTGAGAGTTTTCATGAGTTTTATTCCAACTTTCAACTATTAAAGTTTTTGAATTTTTTTTTATTTTTTGCCATTCGGATTTAAAACCAATTGACATTACGTTTGTTGAAAATATTGTAGCTATTACCAGTAGAAAAATTATTATGTGTATACATTTCATAATTATTGAACTTTTTAATTTGATTATAATAATTGAAATCCTTGAAAAAATTAAAACAATATGCATATGTAAACAATTTAAATTTAATTATTTCATAGAAACCAATATAATTTGTAATATATAGGTATTTAACATAATAATATATTGTTGCTATATTTTTTTTTTATCCCAATATAAATAAATAATAATACAATTTAGAATTAATTTGTGTTTTTTTGTAGGCCCAAGAAAAGCCTCCAGCATATTCAAACCCTGAATTGGACATGATTCAAAAAGATATTGATGAACTAGTCAAAGAAAGGCTTATTCTGGAAACAGAAATTGCTCAAAAAGAAGCTGATTTAAAAATACGTTCTGGCGAAGTCAAAAGTTTACAGGTTATTATTCACGTTTTTTTTTTATTTTTTACTAAAATATTTAAATTGATGAGTATAAATATTTAATAAAATTATAATGTAGAATTTTTACAAGAATTACATTTTTATATTAGAGATTATGAAATAAGAGAGAGATAAATTGGTTTTATTGTTTGTTATTTATTTATTTATTTCACTTTTATGTTTGAAAACAACTTATACCTATATAATTTTTTGAGTTGGTGCATTGGGGAGATCATAAAATGTCAGAAAAGTGGAAAAATGTATGCAATAATGGTTTCTGTTATTTTTTTACCATGTTCATTTATTATAAATTGGTTTAAAATAATGTTATTTTTGCAAACACTTATATTAGAACTTTATAAACATGGTAATATATAATAAAAACCATTAATATAGGTTTGTTTATTGATAAGATTACATTTTGTCTTGAAATATAATTTTTTTAATATCTTAAACTTCATACATATAATCAGTAAATTTTATTTTTTCAGGGAGAACTTGACACTTTATCTGCTACTCTCAAACAGCTGGAAAATCAAAAGGGTGAAGCTCAAAAACGTCTAAATGATCTCAGAAACCAGGTAATTTAATTTTAAATAGAATATTATGATAGATGTTTGTACTATTATTTATTTTGTAACTATTACAAAAAGAAAAAGTGCATTTTAACTAATTTTAGAGTAACGTTTTTTTAATTTGTTTGCATACTAGTAATTTAACACTTATTTAAATAATTATCTGCTTATTTTTGTTTTTTGGTTCTCCTTTTAACTTGCATGTACAACATGTTCACCACTTTAGACTCTATTGGTAGACAATGAAATAATCAACTTCAATCAGAAAATAAAGGCTGAACAAGTACAGGTATTTTATCCTAAATCCATCCTTAGCTTATTTTTATATTTAGCTGCATGTAAAATGCTTAGTTTTTAAGTTATAAATGAAAAAATAGCAGAATATTTTGCGATTCTCTGAAAAATATAATTTTTTTGAAGACAACTTTCTTTATTGCATTAATTAAATGTATGTCACAATAGGAAACTATTTATAATAATTAACTCAAAATTAGTTTTTACACTAGTATACAAATAATTGTATCTTAAACAAATCAATATAGTCAATAATCAGATAAGTTTGAAAAACCTTAATATTTATTTGTAAGAATTTTCATATTTATAATAACAACATACATATATATATAATGATATATTATATATTTTAAATAGAAATAATATGATCTTTTTATAATTTACTCGACCTCCTGGGTATTAGTAATCTGCTACTATTCTGATTCCATTACTATCTCTGACCGTGTGCAATTTGTCTTCTTGGATCCTCCTTTATTATTTTCTTTCCTCCCTCTGGTGTTCCCAAAGGTGCAGTCTTGTTACTTTTAATTTTTATTCTTTTTGTTAATTTTGCTACTTTTGTCTTCAAAAATGCCGGGTTACTCTTTTTTTGTCGAAGACCAGAAGTTATTCCTCTGCATTAACTCCCACCTTAACTGTTTTCTTCTACAGGCTGACCTCTATAGATTGGCTACTTGGGGATTATCTCTATGGGTTTGTCCCTTAATATCCCTAAGTGTTTGGTAATGACTCTTTTCCGTCTTTTATTCTCTTTTATTACCTTCTTCTACTGTATAAATGACATTCCCATTAAATATGCAGGTAATTCCATCTGTGACCTTTTTTTACTTTGTCTAGCAACCTAGTAAACCATATGTCTCATGATTTTTGCCTTCTTACTCCTCTCAAATCTCTTTGTGCTCTCATACGTTCTATCCTGGAATAATGGTTCAGTTATTCAGGTCTCAAATACATCTGTCGCTGGCAACATGATTGAGCATGTCTAAAGGAGGCTCCTGGGTGCGTTCAGATTTGAGATTCTTTGGATCCCCTCAATGATAATTCCCCTGTTTTGCTTTTGTTAAATCTTTTTAGCCTCGCTGATAAAAGACATCTGGCTAACTTTCTCTTTCTCTCTAAATTTCTAGTCAATCAAAGTGATTCACTTTCTTTACTCTTGGATATCAATCTGTGTTCTTTTACATCATACTTGTTCTTTACTTCTCTTCTATATCTCTCTTACTGTTTCTAACTTCCCTTTTAATGCCTTAACGATCCATATCCTCTGTCCGGCTAACCTTAAACCCGCTTTCTCTTTACCTTAGTCTTATCTAAGTTATCATTGTTGTTGTTATTGCTATTATTCATATATAATATATTAAGTTAAATAATTTATTACCTTATAATTGAACTTGTTTGTATTTAAAATAAAATAATATGTAGTAAACTAACATATTATAATTTGAAAATTATAAATGTTAATAAAGTCATTTGCAACCCTCTAATAAGCAGAGATTGTGGTGGGGATTGTACAAGTAAGTATACATAGTATCATTTACATTAAAAAATCAATAAATGTCTATATTGTTAAGATTAACATGTCTTAAAAACAATTTAATAGTATTTTATGTTAAAAATTAAATATATTAATTTGTTAAATTTTACATTTATAAATAGCAATAGAGAGAACTTTTAATATCAAAATGTTTCTTATACTATACTCTATTTAAATTAAGAACACACCACCTTTGCTCATCGTGACAAAGTTCTGACTGCTGCCAGATCACCCGGTTTCTTTAATTCGGCAATTATCTTTTACGATTGTGCGCCGTCACCGATCTCGTTGCTGTGCGTAATACAGTACTACAAGTTCTAATATCATAATGAGAATGGAAACGCACACGTGATTTCGTCTGCCGCCTATTCAGTTCTTATTATGAATTGAGTATAAGGACATGGATACTAATACTTTCCTTAAATCTAGTTGAAAATTTGAAATGTTATATTATATTTTATACTAAAATATTTGTATAAAAGAGAGTTTTCTTACTGGGTACATTTAGTTTTTACATGTAAATGTAGTTGTTGGCATGAATATTACGTATACAAATTGTTTCCTTACTAATATAGCTTATTATTATCATGAAAATGAAACATATTTTTAATTTTTAATAGATATATTATTAAATTTTGTTTATAGGTAGACAATCTTCGCAAACAAGCCGATGAACAAGAACTTACTTTAAAAGTGCAAGAAGCAGAGTTATCTTCTAAAAAACAAGAACTTGAAGAACTTAAAACTCTAGAACATAAACTTGAGAAGGATCAGACTGAAATGGGCAAAAAGTTAGATGAGCTAAATAACATGTTACAAAATTCACAATTGCAAATAAGTCAAGTAAGATAAATTATATAAAATTTAAATATTGTTTTCTAATGTTTTTATTTTTATTAGATAAAAAATAAAGTAAATCAATTGGAGGAAAATAAGCGTCAAATGGAGGATACAATTGAGTCAACGGAAAAAGCATTAGCTGAAGGAAATATTTATGCTATCCCAGATTCATTATTGACATTTAATTTAGAATTTCGGGATCTTGAATGTAGTAGACTCCTAGGCAAACTCGTTAGTTAAAATTTGAAAATAATTCCATATTATTGTTATTATTTTTCTTTGGTTCAATGGTTATCACCATTGCCATTTTTAATATTCTAGGTGGATAATAAAGATTCTTTTGAAAATATGAATGGATTTACTGTAACAAATGGACCTCATGATGAAAGCTCTTTTAAAACTGGTAATCAAATTTTATAATGTATTATAAAATAAAGTTTTTTTTTAAAGACATTCTAAACTAAGTACATTTTTAGATAAAATGACAAAAATTGAATATTTGTTTATATAAATAAACTACATTTCAATTGGTAATAATTATTATAGGTGTACATGTGTTGTGAAATTTCAAAAATGTATATAAAATTAAAATTAATACTTATAAATATTTTAGGTGTTAAAATTGATTTTACTATCCATGGATGAATTCATAAATTTATATTGAAGAAACATTTTAAATTTAAACATGTTCTTCATACTTTTTTTTGTGTTGTAATGTTATAATTTGATAAATTGTCTTCAAAAAAAGAGAGGGTAGAAAAGGACCATTTGCAAGTGTTATTTTATCAAAGTAATATGATTTAAATATGCAATATATATCACAGAAGTTGTACAATACACAAAGAAAAACTCAGTTGTCAACTAAATATTCCTCTTCCCACCTGCCCTGCCCCCATGAGAACATCTATGCATACCCGCCTACTTTTTTCATTACTCAATAGACAATTTTATTCAATATTCTGCAATTAGTTTAATAATAGTTTCAATCAGTTCGGTATTGTTTTTATTGTTTTATTTTGAGTTTTAATATGATATTTAATGTATCACAATATCAACTTTTTATCCATATTGCAAACATAGAAATGAAAGTCAAACATTTATGGATAAAAATCCTGGGTATATATTTTTAGTATATTATAAAACTAGAATACAAGTTTTTTTTTTTTTTTTGTGAATAATGGGTTCTAAGCAATTTTAAATAAGTTAAATTCCTTTAAGAATGTCTACTAAAAAATTCTTAATATTTAGTATACATTAATTTAATTTATTAAATAAATTGCATACAATATTTGTTTTTAGATTTTTTTACAAATAATGATACATTCTCAACAAACAATAAAGTGGTGAGTACAGTTATTTATTTATTTATTTATTTAAAGTACGGATTGGTAGCCCAATGGTTACAATAAAAAATTATCTTATAGTCATAAAATAATACTTTGCTGCTTTTATTATTATTATTATTATTTATTTTTATGATAGGATGCTTTTTCAAACGATCCTTTCACTTCATTTGATGACTCCAGAACCAGAAGTGAGTTGTCTAATTAAAAAATAAATGATTGATTACCATAAATTTTAAATTTCGGTATTATATATTCAAGGTCAAAGTACTGATCCATTTGGCGGTGAAACCAATGCATCCAAATCATCTGATGTAAGTTACATGGCTTTATTTATATTTTAATTTTGATTTCATTTATTATTTATGTATTTTATAAATATCAATGTTGATTTTAAATTTAAAGAGACATGAAGATAAAGATGCATTTGGTTGTGATCCATTTGCCATATTGCACGCACCAACAAGGCCAAGTTCAGCGCCACCTCCACAACGACCTGAAAGTCCAACTCCAGCACTTCCTCCTAAGAAAGGTAAACAGCCACCACCAAGACCAGCTCCTCCAAGACCCGCACCATATCATGCACCTACGTCCCATACCAGTTCTTCAATTAGTTCAGAGTTTGCTGATTTCTCAAATTTCAATACCAAGGTAATTTATTATATTAACTTAAATAATATATATTTTATTATATTTCCATTTCCTTTATTGATTTTATATATTTTGTCCAATTCTTCTATAATATAACCCAAGCTATTTTCTAAAGGTGAATTAACCATTACTAATAAAAACAAAAATTGTCACTGAACATTTTACATATAAAAATCATTCATCAGATATATCTTTAACTGTTCCATCTGTTTATTGATTTCAGATTCTCAAGTACTATAGGCAATTTTATTTTTACACACTTACTTGGACCATAATTTATCACTATATATATATAAATCTTTAATCAAATTCGTACAGAAAAAAAATTGGTGAACACGTCTATTACATAATGATATTGTGATAAGGTTTTAGTTCAGTCTATTTTTCTTTTTCATTTACAGTACTGTTGTTTTTACTTTATTTTGTTTCTTATTTTTTCAATAATTTATTTGATACATTAATAATAATTATAAAAAAAACATCTAAAAAAACCTGCTCTTCTTATTGAATATGCACTCCCCTGCTTATACTCAATTTGTATGCAGCTTGTAAATTCATATTAACACTTTCATTTACCCAAGTTAATTGTTAATATTCATTCAGTAATTAAAAGTAATTGTAAACCGTTAAAAATCATCATTGGACTAAGAGTAGTTAGTTAATGTCTGTTGTGAAGGATATATTTAGACAATCTAGATTTTAATGAAATTTTAGAATTTGTTGAAAAAAAAAACATCACCTTTAATGAATAACAATGTCAATCAAATAAAATATATAGCATGAACATTTTTTTTTTAAAAATTTAATTTTAATCACTAATATTGAGGACCGAGTCAATGTATCACGCAGACTGTATAGAACCTGTTTAATTTTGGTTTAATAGTAGAATCACCTATTATATTATTATTGACTGGAATGTTTCATTTTAAATAGATGCCTGGGTATATTAGTATAAAACCGATGGATGAGTTACTTTTTAGTGATTCGAGCGAAGATAAAATATCTACAGGACTGAAAGGAGCAGTTGAATGGTAGCACTACTGATAATTATTACTGGGATAAATATCTGATGAAGAGAGCAAGGGAGGTTTAAAGACATATGAAAAGTACTTGGGGAACAGATTCGCAGAGTCCTTAGGGCAGTTAGCAGCTCTGTCATGGAAATGGACTGAAGGAGGGAAGGAGAATTTGTTTGCTTTTTCTCTAAAACCCAAATTAATTGAATTCTAAGTAGTCTGTGTAAGGTAGATTTTGCTATATTCCCTGTTTAGTAGGACCAAAACAGACCAAGCGGGTATAACGTCCTCTTAGGGAATTTTAATTTTAATATTAAATTACAGTATTTGAAAATACTTCGTTTAAATAATATTTAGTATAAAAGAGTTTATCAAAAATCATGTTAAAATACACTAACAAAATTTGGTTTTGGTTATTGAATCATAATTTGAATTTCTTAATTTAGTTAATGTCACAAATTTAAACTATAGACATAAAATAATTAACTAATAATAACTTTCTCTATATCAACTTTCCAGTTCTTATTTATTTTACATTTTATTGATGTTTTTGCTGTCTAATAACCATACATCCTATTTAATTTTCTCGCATTAAATATAATTAATTTTAACTATTATGTACAATTTACTAATTTATTTATTTTATTTTTTTTTTGTTATTATTTATTTTTTAGAAATAGATATGATTTTGTTTTGTTTTTTTTTCGGTTTTTTTTCCATTCTTAGTTTTCACAGGATACTAAAACAGTTGCACAATCAAGCAGTTTTGAATTTACTGAAGACCCATTTAAAGACTATAGATATGATGATCCCTTTAAAATAGATCCATTTTCGGATACTGGCTTTGAAACAGATCCTTTTGGAGATGGTGCATTTTCTTCAGATGACTGTCAAAAAATTAATCTCAGTGATGAACAACTTGCATGGGAAGCACAAAAAAAATTTAGAATGGAAGAAGAAAAAGCTCGTTTAGAACAAGAAAAATCAGATTTTGAAATGGCTCTAAGACTTAGTAAAGCAACAACTTCAGATAATAGGTCTAAAATTTTACTATAATTTCAAATAAATTATGTAAACTGCAACTACCAAAAATTAAACTTTGTATTAAAATAATATATTAATTTATTAGTTATTTGGAATTGTAATAAATAGGTTTATTATGTACCTATTTAATGTTTATTTAATTTTTATTATTTAGTACCTAACATTGTACAAATTGATACATTCTTAGTAAATTTAACATACAATTTTTGTTATTAAATTATAATCTTTTTCTTTCCCTCTCTTGCTTATAACTTAAAATACAGTTTTTATCAAACTTATGTAAAAAGTGATATAAAGAGTTACAAATCTACAGTTTTGTGCTACTTTTAAACATATTGACAAAGCATATTATATGATGATTATATATGTTCTTTTCTGATTCTATATATCAGAAATTTCTGATTTTTAAATAGAATTTGAAATAGAACTTTAAGTTAACTCTATAGTTTTAAGTTAAACATTTAACCAAAATTAATTGATGTAATCTATATTATGCTAGCGCAAGATGAATTTAAATCTGTTATCGGATTAATAATTAATTCACTTTAAAGTACTTAAGGTTGAGCACATGTGTATGTACTTGAACTAGAATATCTATTAGACTATTTACTAATCTATATTGTTACCGTTAACAAGTATAATTATTTAATATACATTTATTTTTAGCTACTAGCCAATGTATTTAAACAAAAGTCCATTAATAGATAGTAAATAAATTTTGACCAAAATAAATATTTGCAAAATTGTAGTTCATAAATCACTGCCCCTGTATACTGAAACACTTATTATGTTATTATTATCACATAATAATATAATTATTACTGTTAACTGTTTACCTATTAACTATCATTATTTTATTATTTATTTGTATCTATAATATTATACCTATGTGGAAATTGTAGCCTATATTTGTTACCATGTTAATTGATATTTATCTCATATTTATCTCTCTTCATTTGTTATCTATACTTATTGTAATATTATTACTACACATAATACAAATTAAAATATTCTTAAAAACCATAATTCTAATAAAATTCTAATTTTGTCTCAAAAACTAATCGTTTTTAAGCATACAAACATTTAATTATGCGCAAATTAATAATAGCCATCATTTATGTTTTGTTATATTTTTATTGGATGGCTAATATACTGTTGTTATTTTAAAATATTGTTATAAAACATGTTTAGGGGACAATTATATAAAATAATTGTTATTTATTCTAAATATGAGCTTTTGAATGTATTTGTACATTTTTTTTTTTTTTACAACTTAGGAGAAGTATACAAATAATATAAGGTCATCAAACATCTCAATGATTTCTTATTTAATTCAAGTAAATAACCAAATAAATATTAAATTTAAAATTGCCATATTTACCACACATTTTCATATTTAAGATTATTATTATTTTACTGTTTTCCAGTTTATATAGAATCGTATTATATGACAATTATAAAATACTGTTTATTCACTGTTTTTACACATTTTGTTATCCTTATCCTATATAATATTAACTTATATTAATAAGATTTAGTTGATAATTAATTATTATTGGCTACAGTAGGATATTTTAGCATCATGACAATATATTTATCGCTGGAAACTAATAATACTTTTCTGCATTCCATTGTTGATAAATGTGTATAATAATAATAAATTGATTCATATTAATGTATGGTTTTTTTTTTATCATTATTATAATGTTACCTAATCAAGGTTATTCAAGGTAATTGATGTACCAAAGTTCAATTTAAAATACCAAAATATTTAGTTATCATTAGAGAGATTTATATGATTTTACATATTTTGCCAGTTTCAGTTTCCTTTCTGTGCGCCAGATAAGTCCTGTCCATCCAATTCTTTTGCTCTTCATTATTGCTACTATATCTGGGTAATATCTGGCTATAATATCTAGCTGAATCTGTACAATCTATTCAAATTATCATTGGATCTGCATTCATATTCGCTGGTTTCCTTATTCTTTTTGGAGCCAAATAATTGTCTTAATATTTTCCTATTAAATAATAGAATTTAGAAAAGTTTTTCACAACATTTAAGGAGTATCCTGTGATGATACCAATTTTTTTTTTTGTTCTACCAAGTATGACTTATAATAAACCTCTTGTCAAATTTTCAAGCATTTCTGTTTAGTCGAACAATTTTATCTACAGAGTACTTATCAAATAAAAATTACGTACAAAACGCAAAATTAAAATGTCTATAAATAGCTCAAATGTTTTGAAAGTTTTACCAGGTTTAGACTAATTAATGAAAGTCAATATTTTAAGTTTTTATAAATATTTTAAACTGAATTAAATTTAAAAATAATAAAATAATAATTTGTGTACATTTTCCCGTTTTTTTTTTTTACGTATTTTTCGGTTTTGCTCAATTATTAGAAAAACTACAAAGAAAATAAAAAAAAACAATTTTGTTGGTCACCAACAAGATTAAAAATTCAACAAAAAAAAAATCTCTTGTTATTTTTTGATTGGAGCAATATTGCTCTGTAGAAAACATCGTGTTAACATAATAAAAACAATAAAAACGATTACGCCGTAGCGCGCTGTAAATATTTGATGTTTTATCTATCCATCTATATATATATATATGTTATATCTATATGTTTTTTTGGGGGGTTCTCCGATTATTTCAAAAACCCATTGGAAAATTACCTTCCAAAACCGATGTTATAGTCAGTATTTCAGAGCAATTTTTCTTATAGAAAAGTTGTTCACAAACACAAATAATACAAAAAAAATCATATAGTAAAACCAATAGACCCCTCAGGACTCTTACTACGCTATCATGCTCACATAGAAACGAGCGTTCAGGGACCCTGATCTGTTAGTGGAAGCCACGTGGTTCCTATCAAAAGGATGAGCTATCTGAGACTCATCCTCGAGTCCCATATCACCTTTAGCGGTCACCTCCGGATGGCCTCTGCCAAAGCCAAGCTAGTAGCACTAGGGATAGGATAATGGCTTATGCCCACCCTTGGTGGGCCGTCTCAGCCTAAACGTGCGCTGCTTATGTCGGTTGTAAACAACATTTTGTTGTACGCCACTTTGATCTTTGCTGACAAAGCGATGAATTACTCTGTCACGTCGCCTTGACGAAGACCCAAAGGATGGCCTCCTTTCGGATCACACGAGCCTACCGAACGGTCTCGGCTGATGCTTTTATGCTTCTTGCCGTTGCCCCTCCCGACGACCTTTTGATTCTCAAGCGTAAAAGGATCAGGCGCGCAATCGAAGACTCCGATAGGACACGGTCTTTAACCGAAATCCACAAGGTTGAGCGGGACATCGTGCTCACGACGTGAGCTAATCGATGCCGCAGCAACAAGGCAGCCTGAACGCACGAGATAATTCCTGATCCTAAATGGTGGGTTCTGAGACGTCCGAGAGACTGGACCTTTCACATCACCCAAGCTCTATCGGGCTACGGGTGTTTCAGATACTATCTCCACCAGATGGGATTAGCTCCTGATTCAGTGTGCTTCTACTGAAATCACCCGCAAGACACTGCTGAACACACTATCTTTCATTGTTCCCACTGGGAACCAATTTCGGTAGGCAACGGAAGCTTTTATGGGTGGCAGGAGCATCTCCCCAAGAAACGTCCAGGACCTACTTTGCGGCCCGGTCAATCCGCTATCCAGGGAAGACGTTCCGATAATAAACCATGATAGGGGTGTAGTAATGTTAACACAGAACCACTACTGCTTTAGGTAAACTGGAAAAAAAAATCACACTGTTTATAATATATTTCTGAAAAGACTGTTTAGTATTAATTTAAATAATTATTTTTATATTTTTCTTTCTCACGTCTATATTTTACCTTGTATTTCAGCTGGTAAAGTGCATTTGTTCCAAATTAATTAGTATTGAAATAATTACATTTATTAAACAAATTTAATTAATATTTAAAATGAAATATTATATTTTGTAACATATAAATATATATATTATAGGTAGTTTAAAAACTCAGTAAGCATGCCAAGACACATTATATATTATATTACATTTGTATTTTAGTTGGTATCTATTCAATTTTTTTAAATTAATTTTTGTGTAAAATATTATATCGAAATGTATTATAGGTATTAATGAACTCACTTTTTTAAATTTTTAGGAAGTTAAAACTACCCCATTCCCTCTTATGTTCGTCCAAATTTAAAGTAAAAACATTTTAAGTTCTCTTAAATTCAAAATTTAAACTTCACCATTGGTTCGAATTAAAACTCAAGAACAATTTTGTTTGACTGGTATGTATTTTATTGACGGCCTAGATACATTTTAATTTCTCTGGATGAATTTGATTCTCATTTCGCCTCTTGTTGGATATTGCACGTTCAGTTGTTGACACAGCAATTGTCAACATTCAAAAAATGTAAGTTATTCATGCAAAATTCTTATGATTTTTTGTGTACTCATTAAAGCGTTAAAATGTCTTTATCTTATTATGATCACAAACAAATCACAATAGGTGTTATAACCAGTAGTCCTTATAATATATTTATTATGTATTCACGTAAATCGTATTCAACTATTTGTTTTGTTTTGTTTTTTTTTTTGTCAAATAAATAAAATTAGAAAATAATTAATTTGTTTACGAGGGGTACGGTTTACTATAGGCGGTAGCAGGGCGGGCGGGTATTATTTCGTAATTATTTGAACCACCAAATCAAATATCTCGAACCGCCTCTCGCTGTACACGATCGTACAATAAATGCACATCTAATAACAATAATAATAGCGTAGTGATATATTATACGTATAAATTTGTACTCGTCACGTTGCATATTATAATTTCGTTACAGGAATAAAACAAAGCAGTTATCACAAAACGAACGATTATACGTTTTAAAAATCGGTCGACGGCCGTGTTATTTTATAGCGACACGGACAGGCGCCGCAGCGCGCCGGTCGTGCGTGCCTATATAGTATGCGTCAATCGGATGTGTTTCCACCAGCAGCCACTATAGCTTACTACGACTACACCCGTCACCAATACGCCCCGCGTTTCAGTCAACTCGGGGACCCCATATCGATCGGTGTTGTTCCCAACGACTGCCACGGTATACGCCGCCGTCGCCGCCGCCGCCAGCAGTTTGCGTATTCCGATCGTCACGGTGATGGTGTCCCGCACTCGCTAAACGACGACGTTCCCCAGTCAACGTAATATCATCGTTCGATAGCAGGGGAAAAAAAAAAAAAGAGAAGATGATTTCGGCCAAAGTCCTCGTTGTGCTGTACCTATACGCGTGCACCGTCCACGAATGCGTCCAACAGGACAACGGGCCGGTCAAAACGGCTCTGTAAGTACCCACCTATAATACTAGCACTATACATCGCCGCTATTTCAATAATATTATTATTATAAAACTACCTTTATTATATAATATTACCTATGCACGGTCGTAATAAAACGTAATGAAACGAATAACGATAAATCCTGCCCGCCCCACGATTATTGAGCATGTTGTTATAAAACCAGCTGTAATTATTATAATAATATTATGCGTATCCGTAATAACTGTATCCCATTGTGTTTTTGCGTCGTTTTCCACAGACTGCAAACGTGGGCCGACAAATTATATTTCGAATTGTGGAATTGCGGCGAATACATAACCAATCGGAAATCACTGCTAGCCGTAAGTGTTCACCAATTTATACTTTTTTAATGCGAATTTAATACAGGTGTATATCTACCAGTATGCAGTAGTGGCGCCTGAGCTCGGTGACGAGGGGACAGTGGTCGGCCCCTTATTCAAAGCTTTGAGGGTCAAACATATTATTTTGCCTTCTCCCAAAATATATAGATACAGTTTTATGAGTAATAAAAACAAATGTTTAAATATTTTATTAATTATTAATTCTATTAACATTCATTAATTTCATTAATTATTTTCTCACGAATAGAAATATAAATCATTCGAATTTCAAATAAATATTATTATATTATTTTATAACATAACTGATATTAAAGTTTCAAAAATCAGCCGAAATTGATTATTATTCTGTATACATTATCACTATTCACCACACAAATTATGTAATTTGATATTTATTAATCTATAGAAACACTGTATATCTACAGAAATTTAATAACATTTGGTTTTTAATTTTAAGTTATGTTTGTATCCAATGATGTGTTTAAGTCGGGACTCAAAATTAATGGCATTGCAATTCTATTTCACATTTTCACAAATTCAAAAAGTTTATCATTATAGCTGTCCATAAATCATATAAATATACTAGTATACTGCATACATTACATACATTACATACATTACATACATTACATACATACATTTATTATATAAGCATTGAGCATTTAAAAAAAAATTATGTGTTATAGTTGTAATACATTTTATATTTTGAGTTCTAGTTGGAAAAAACAGATAAGGGAGGTGAGTCCTTCCTCTACATGCATATCGCGAGAAAAAAACAGGTCTCAGAAAATAATATAAATGGAAATGCAATTATAAAAAATATACATTTTTTTTAAATGTGTGTATTCTTGATTATGTTCGAAATGAAAAAAAAGGCTGATGAAATTACTGTGGAAGTTATTGGGGGAAACTACAACAATTTTAGCCGTTCACCATTAATATAAAAAAAACTTACCTGTCTACCTGCTTTAAATGTTTTTATCCAAAAATCTTAAAATTAACATTTTTAAAATTAGTTCAGAGAAAATCTATCTAAAAATTAATCTTTAATATTATTTTTATCATACATAATAACGATTGAATTCCAACATTCGGTCGCGAATAAAGATGGTATATGGCCCAGTTTTACGTCGCAAAGTTTAGGTTTACATTCAAGATATATTTTCCATACATCCGACACTTTTTTTCAATTATTATGAAAACTGCTTATTGAAAATCAAAAAATTGCCTCCCTCCAATACATCAACTAGATCCAAAATATAACAAAAATGGCTTTTTGTATTATTTTGATTGAAGCAAGATTTCTAGTGAAAAAAGTGTTCTCAGACACAAAAAAAAAAGCAGCATAATAAAACCAATAGATCTTTTGCTACAATTAGAATTTAAAATGTCATAATACAAATGTATCATCGAAAAATCGAAAACTACACATAACAATAAAAAGAGTGGATTCTGCTGATGGATGTCACACTATTTTAAATGGAAAATTAGAAAGCTAAGATACATAAAGTTATTTAATTTATGAGTGTAGTGGTGGATAGGTCCATCGAGACTCCTTTTTTGACTAAATGAACCCTATAGGGATGGTATTATAATCGTGATATGGATGGCAAAGATTACAATTTTTACTGGGCCATAGGTCTTACGATTGCTAACGAGAGACGATTCTGAGTGAATTTCGGTTAAACATGTTTTGAAATGCTGTAATCATTAAGATTTTCGTCAAAAACAGAACATAAAAACCATATAAAAAAACTACTATATTACCCTTAATTTGTTTTATTTTTGGACAACTAATTATAACTTATGTTAAACCTCATGTAATATTTTTTTCAACATTACTGATTGACTAAAACAATTGTATTGACATGAAACCAAAAAAAAAAAGGTGGATGACATGGCGGGTGGGCCACTTTATTGTAGATGCAAAGTTGGGAAGGTAAGATATAGAGGGGAATTTAATGTATATATCTACGTTATATTTACGATTTGAAAATAATAAATTTCGTAAATTTTCCCGTTTTTCTGAATCATTATTAAAATAGTTAGGAAAACTAAAAAATTACATGCTTAAAATACTAAAAAGATAAAAATTCCTTTCAGAAAAGGTGCTACACTTGATACATCGGAGCAAGATATCTGTTAGAAAAGTTGTTCATAGTATAAAAAAAAAAGTAATACAAAAATAAATAAAAAAATATCCTATAAATACTTATAAATAGCTCAAAAATCGTCGGAATGTTTTGAATATTTTAGGACTTAAAAATTATTTTCAACCGAATTATAACAAAAAAAAAAAAAATCGAAAATTATGAAATTTTTATTCTTGTAAATTTGTTCGTTTTCCCTATATTTTTTGATTATTTACCTACAATTATTATAAAAAAAACTATTTGAAAAATCAAAAAACTACTCCTAAATGAAGCAACTAAATCCAAAATGTTACACAACACCGTCTTGTAATTTTAATTGGGGCAAGATTTCCACTAGAAAAGATGTTAATTGATTAAAAATAAATCTCACATCCATGTAAACCAACAAATTCATATAACTACCTACTTAAAGGGGTAATTAAGGCGGCGCAGATGTTTTACTATTCAACGCATAAATTAATATGTGTTTTAGATTCTGAGGTTTAAATTCACACCATTTCTGTGGAAATAGATTCACTTGATTTTCAGCCATTCAATACTATTCTCTAGTTATTGAAGTAAACGTTTGTTTTGTTGAACATCTGATTTCAATTAAGTCTTTATCAAAAAAACTAATTTGATTGATATATATATATTTCCTTAAGTTCGAATTTTTGCATTCTCTTCTTTTTTATTGTTTGAATTTTTTTTTTCTACAAACTACATCGTATGTTACTTATTATTGAAAATAATGTAGTTAGTATTTTATTATATATTGTTTTTTTCTATAAATTATTAAATATTAATACTATAGCCGCATCCACTACGTCGTGCCGTTACATTTTTACTTCCCCTGCTATTATATGCCAGATGTATTGTAGTCATTTTATAATACTTTGAGAGCAACTGGTACATTTTCCTTTAGGTAATTTGGACTAAATTGGTATAAAAGAGTTTCTTTTGATAGCAACTGGTACACAGCTGTATCAGTTCCTAATTTTAATTTATTTTTAATGTACATGCGGAAACATACATTTTGAAAAAAAAAATCATACAAATTGATTGTACGCTAAACCAGAATGGTTTCAATCTATTGTAAAATGTACAATCTAAACAATAAAACATTACAATATTTAATTATACAAACAGTATGCATTTTACTCAAAATTCAATCTGAGACTTGTATACAATTTAGAAGTAATGGATTAAAAATGAAGAAGATGTGTGAAAAAAAATGCTATTTCCTGGGTAATACTAATATGAAGTAATAATTATTATGCGACCAAAACTCGTGCGCACTTCTCATAAGCCATGGCCGCAACTCGTACATGATTCAGGGATCGAACTACGATTCATTGACGCCAATTTAAAATACGTTTCGTCTAATATAATTTGTTTCAGCTTAATTACAGTTCGGTGGTTTTATTGTCTGTTGTTTTACGCGTCCCTCCGCAAAATATATAATATGTTTTTAACATAAATATGTGCTTTTAATAAATTAAAAAGATAATATCATTAAGTGAATTAGTATATATAGTTTAAATATATAATTATTAATTACTATATTAGTACAAATAGTAAATAGTGAACTATTTAACTATTTGTGTCACGCTTGGCATGGGCTAATAACATTTTAATGTTTTTTTCAATTGAACGTAATAACTTACAAAAATTCAAATAATTACTATTAAATGTATAAACAGTGTTTTTTAAGTTTCAAAAATTAAGCTTTATATGCATGACGTCCTACAGTGCTACAGTGTTATTCTTATGCTAATAACTCTATCAATATTCATTTTATTTTTCAATTGGGTTTTGTGCAAGGAGGACACATATGTAGAGAAAAATTAGGGGTGAAAATAAAAATAAAATGTTTTCTACATATGTGTCCCCCTCGCATAAAACTTGATTGAAAAAAAAATGTATATTGACAGAATTATTAGCATAAGAATAACACTATAGGACACCCTGTATTTTAAATTCACTTTTAGCAAATATAGAAAAATATTAATCTAACTGTTTGTCTAAATATCTCTCATAATGTATCTACTTACTTATTAAATTATTGTTTACCTACTTATTCAAAAGGTTTCAAATTGTGTTACATAATAATAGGTTTAAAACGGTTGGTAATCAACAAAGTTAAGTAAAATATTTTTTTGTAAAGTTTAATGAACTTTTATACTCATAACAATATTTTATTCGGTACACGATTTTGAAATCTGTTAAAAGATTATTGAACAAAAGTTGTTTAAAGTCATTGAATATTTATTATACAATTTTACCGAAAAATCTATACCACCCCCTGAAAATGTATGACGAATGATATGATATATTATGTGAAATGAGTTATGGGCCGATTATGAGTCATCTTGTTGACAATAAAATAAAAAATATATTCTGTTATATAAATAACCGTATTTTAACGAGCTACAAAATAAGTCATCATTAAGCGTATTTTCTTAATTTTTTCCCCAGATGTAAAAATTCCTAGATCTGACCCTGCCTTTGTCGTATCTTCTTGGAAATTTACGATACCCTTGCGGGGATGATAATATGAAATAAATACTGATTCCAATCACATGTAGTTTAGTTCGGTAAATGAAGATTCTGCCACAATTTATTATTGAGTTTATTGTTAATTGCTTAATGGTTTATTGTTTTGGCCTTTATAGATGAATTATATTTTTATAACTTTATAACTTTAAAACTGCGAATCAATTTCAATGAATTTTTTCCGGGCACGGATTTCGGTTAAAACCTAGTTTTATGTATATATAGGCACCAGGTTTTGTGTTAAAACTGGGTTTTATGCATTAAAATTAAAGGGCACCGGACTCGAGTTAATATCGGAGTTTATCTATTGATGGGTACCGGGTTTCGGGTTAAAACTGAGTTTTAATACTTATCAAAAATGTATTACTGTTTTTTGTTTTACTTGTAGGATGGAGTCTTCATTTATAGTCAAATACGAGACACTTAAATTTAATTTTGATGCATTGATTCATTGATTTAAAATAACATATTATAATAATACTATTTTTGACTTTAGTGCTGTAAAATTAATGAATTAAACCACATTATTATTTTATTTTTATAAATATATGCGTTGTAAATAATCTTTTCTTTTAAAATATATTATATGATAACCCAAATTTTAGTTGTTTTATAAGGGTAGACCTAGTTTAATCATGACCGGGTTTCGGTTTATGAGTAAAAACCGTGTTCGCGAAATATTCAGACCCTGGCTTTGGTTTTAACCCGGTTTTAAAGCCTTTACCGGATTATGGGTTTCGGGTTCAGCCGGGTTTTGATTTTTTTTCGTGGTTTTGGGGTTTTAAACCAACTGGTTACATTCCCTGCTTTAAAACCTGATATTTTTTAGTTTCCTTCGTAAACAAGTTATACTTTAGACCCGGACATTGCGCCACGTTTTGTCGCCAGTCATTTAACGGTAGTTTTGAACGTTGGAAGGGTCAACATTTTTTCATCAAATGATTGTACTTATTTATGTTATGAATGATGTTGCAATCTTAATAAAGCGGTTGATCTTAGTTTTAGATTTTAAGTGGAGCGAAAAAGCTTTTCGAGTTAAAACACTTTGAAATCAGTTTACATAAGTATTATGTTAAATAAATCGAAATTGTATTTTCCATATATTAGATGTCGTATTCTAATGATGCGTACTAGGCCTAATCCGTGTTATAAAAGTATTTTTCCTATACTTTTTTCAAATAGAAAAAATTGTCCTAGACATTGTTTTAGATGTTTTAATTTGTACCCACTACCTTATACAATAATAATTATTAAAAGCACTTTCCTTGCAAAATACAATTTTTTACCCTGTGATATACTTGTGGTCGTGTTGCTTAGTAAATCAAAGGATATTTGCGTTTAATAGTCTTAGAGAGCATTAATAGTAGACTATAATAGTGGAGACTATAATAAATATAACTAATTTTATAAAATATAAGTAACGTATATCTGTGAGACATGGTCGACGATTCAAGGGGATAAAGAGAAACTTCTTATCTTCGATAAGATCTTACCGATAAAAATATATGAATCTATCAAAAATTTATTAAATGGGGACTATGAAAGAAGGCAAAATACCAACTTGGAATCTCTATACGATAAACCAAATATTAAATGTTTCCTGAAAGCCAAGCGTTTAGAATGGGCGGGCCATGTATGGTGTGCTGAAGAAAGCATAACTCGGAAGGTGTTGATCAATAAACCAACTAGCAAGTGTCCTAGGAGAAGATCTTGGCAACAGTGGTAGGACACAGTCAATGCAGATGTAAGAATGATAGACGGAACAGCAGGCATCGAGATCACTATTGACCATGACGTGTGGAGGAGGTTAATAGAAGCTGCGAATGGCCTTGATGGCCCATGAAATATTAAGTGGTACCTCTTAGCGCGAATGCACTGTATATTATAGTCAAGTTGGGTATCTGAGACATGAAATTGAAATTTTCAACTTTGATTGCTTATTATTCTTTGCTTGAACTTGTAACTTGAGAAATAATATACCTACTTTGAAAATTATTTAAATAAATGTACGTTTCAAATTCGATATCAAAAATGTATTTTGTTTTAACTTAATCTGTAAATTAAAAAGATGTCCTAGGATAATGGGACGGGTGTAGCCATTGTTATACATAATTTAATGTATACCTGTAAGCAACAATAAACAATTTCTAACGAAAAAACGATTCTAAACGAAGTTCAGTTGATAGTGATGCTTATCAACAATATCTATGTCATTTTGTAGTAAAATAATTAAATAGACTTTAAATATTTTCTTTAATAATATTTGTTTAATATTGTACCGATTTTCCCAGTTTTTCTACGTTTTTCCTGGTTTTCTCATGGTTTATCCCGGTTTTTCACATTTACTGGGAAAACTTGAGAAAATCGAAAAATTTGCTCTTAAGTACCTCCCCACGATTTCCTTTCAGAAAAGGTGCTACACGGAGAAATCCAAGCAAGTCTTCTGTTAAAAAAGCAGCGTACAGATAAAAAAAAATAAACATCTTTGTAAAACTATAGGCTTCTTCGCTCCACTCAGAATATAAAAAAACCAGATACATCCTTAATATTTTTATTTCTTATGGCGAAATAAATATTTAGTGTAATTTAACAATATTATAATTCAACCATTTACCACAGATCATATTATTTAATCAAAATAGAATACATTGATTAAATTTACTACAAAGATATTTATTGTAAATTATAATACAAAAATTGTATAGGAGTTGTTTATTATTTTTAGTATAGAGCGTTAGAGGTAAATAGGGAGGGGCTAGAAGGGCTTAGCCTTCCCTGAATCATCTCAAGTCCTACCTATAATATATAAACTAATTTAACCTTTAATATTAGATTTAAAATCTATTGGGCTCAAATCCTTTGTATATATAATACTAAATAGAATTTATAATATATTAATTTTTATTTCAGTTTTCGGACTAGATAATTATTATATATTTTTCCAACATAAACTTATTATTAAAACATTTTATTTTAATTTCAAATGTATTCAATTTTGATTTTATTCAAGAATTCTGTGTTCCTAAACTATTTATGATACCTTTTGAAACAATTTTCGTTGATATACGTATAAGGCTGAAATAAGGCATTTAAAAATTATGTTTTACACTTGGTCACTCTTTAAATATTAGAATTTACATTGTTTCCTAGAAATATAACAAAGAAGCCAGATTGGAAGCAAGAAATGGAACATTATTGGTAGAAAACATTTCAAGTGTCATTAAGACAATGATGGATAAAAAGCAACAAGCATTAAAAGTAAATATATATATATATATATATATATATGATATCTTATATTAGACATAATAAAATTTAAAAAAGCTATCCTAGGATTATGGCGAATGCAGCCATCACTGTATATGTGAGAATTTAGGTAGTTAGTAAAGGGGAAATTTAAAGTACCCTGTAAGCAACGGTTAACCATTGCTAACAAAAAAACGATTTTGAGCGGAGTTCGGATGATAGTGTTGCTTTGTCAACAATATATATGTATATCATACTATGGTAAAATAATTACATATGCATATATTTTCTTTAATAATATTTGTTTAATATTGTACTTATTTTCCTTTTTTTTTTTTTAAATAAAGTAATCACTTTTAAATGTAAGTATTATTTAAGTACTAACTATAATGAAGAATAGTTCTCTAACTGCAATATGACGCATTAATATTGATTAAAAAAATAAATAATTTATTACCTATTTATAACAATTTAAATCTTAGGATAGCCAGGATAGAGCTATAAATCACGGCTATATATATACATCTATATCTATATCTATAGCTGTGTTGTAAATATAAATATTATGCGGGAGAAATTTTAATTATATTATTTTTTTATGAGTTTTGATGAATGCAGACAATTTTGAGAAAGTACACTTTTTTGCAATCGCTGAAACACTTGCTTGGGATTAAGCGAATTCGTTTTAACCGATAGGAATAATAATTTAAAATAGAACTATTATTTTTGAAATACAAACTTGTTTTAGATTGTTAAATTTTTAATTTAATTTTCGTTTTTAGAGAATTTTGGAGGCCGTCGAAGGAGCCGCAGATTTAGCTCATGATAAAGAGGTTCCAAGCCTTGATTATAAAGTTCGATTTGCTAAATTAAATTGTACAGCTGAAAATACAACTTTATTACTAGATGATCTCCAAATCAATACTCATTTTTATAATACTGAAGTAAATTTGAATTATAGTTCTGTACATGTACCAACTTATGTTTATGAAAGAGGTAAGTAAATGTATTATATATAATAATATATTGCTATTATAGGTACTTGTCGGTTATCGCTACTAACATAGTAACAAGAAAATCTATATAATACTAATAGATTACTATATTATATAGATACTATATTACTATAATACACTCTCTACCACTAACCATGTGTTCATTATCACGGCTACTAAAACTAAAAACGATTCTGAGCGGAGTTCGGTTATACATGTATACCGTAATGTTTACGATTTTCGTCAAAATATGATATTCAAACTCTTATTAAAAAAATTCTACATTAAACAATTTTTTTTTTTTATATATACTAAATACGACTTATAACGAAATTCCTGTTAAATTTTCCAGCATTTCTGTTTTGTCAAATAATTTTATTTTTTTTTAATTTTAACGTTGGAATAAACTTGCTAGTTGAAAATTCGTGCACAGAAAAAAATAATACAAAAATAAACATCATTGTAAATCCTCGCTCAACTCAAAATCTAATTTTGGTACGTTCTACAGTCTACTTTCTTTCATGTTCTAGGCATACCTACTAATTTAGTATCCAACATTACAATTTTAGAATATGATCGAACTAATTAATTTATATAACGTTAATTTATTGTCATCAACTCTTTTATTTATTGTATACAACATTTACAATATGTTAAACAAATTGCACTTTAATGTTCTAAATACAAACCAAGATACAAATAAATAAGTACATATAAGAGGTAGCTTCGTTAATTGACAAATATAAGATAAAATAGACTGAGATTGTTTGGGTATAAGGAGAGAGAAATCAGAATTAGTAAGAAATGTTATGATAATTGATGTATTTATTTAATTTTATTATTATTATTTTTTACAAAATAGCTATTTTTAAAAGGTTGAAAAGTTAAAAAATAAAGTTATTTTTTTCAGTAATTAAGGGATGGAAAAAAAACGAAGGTTAACGAAAAATCGACGGTAGTCTCGATAACTGACAAGGACCTTATTGTATAATCAATGATCATTAATTCTATGATCATCGAAGATCATTATTTATTTATAATTATCAATTATCATTATAATTTTAATTTAAAATTTGCTGATTCTATTTTATAATTAAGAACTATGGTTCTCAACCGTTACGTCGCCAAAATAATTGTGTTTGATATTAAATTTTAATTTTTACATTCTTTAATATAAGTAAAAAAAAGAAAAAAGGTCATCAATAAAATAACGTGGTCAAGTGTGTTATCATTTCTATGGGGCTAGATTAGGATGTAGTCGTAAAAAAAAGGTTGAGAACCATTGGTTAAGAATATTCCGCACATCCGCATGGCCACATCTACTACCTCCGATGTATACACTATGATATATAATAAACGTATGACCATGACAAAATAGATAATAATTAATATTAATATTTTGTCATGCGTATATTTGTGTTCAGTAGTGACGATTTTGTGTTAATAGTTTCAAATATGATTAAAAATACGTATCACATTGTACGTATCACGAATCTGACGAATGATGGCGTTCTTTTCTGGTTAATAAATTAACAACGGGTAATGAATCAAGATTCAAGATTTAAATAAGAATTATAGGTAATCCACATTGTACAAATACTACAGAATGGTACTGTTCTTAATTTTTTTTATCATTTAGCAATTTTCTTGAAGAATTTTAAATGAATTTGATTTCAATTTTTTTAATTTTTATGGAATCAATTAAGATTTATTTTGAAACCATTTTTAATTTTTTACCGCTACTTCATTTACCTTAAATAAGTATACTTTTATTTTTTTCAAATAGGAAACCTGTATGAAAATGTCTATACAAATATTTTCTATTCGAATATGTATCTGATTTATGATAAAAAAAATCACTTTGTATATAATACGAATCTATAATTGTCCACAAACCTATGATTTTTATTTTTATTTTTCGAATGTTCTGTAATGTGCACAGTACTCGTTTTAATACAATGATAATTAATACAAATGTCTTATTATATCCGCTCATTGCATTTTGAGGCAAACACCACTATTGAAATACAGAAAAAAGAGTTAGAAAAATATAAATGGGAGAAAGCTTTATGCAATACGTTAAAAAAGAGCCATCACGTATATGCTTCTCATTTTAATGAAATCCATATAATAAGTGGTTGAATTTTAGTTTAAATAATTTCACTTTAAATTACTTAAATTTCTTAAAATATAAGAGGGTGTCAACACACAATTTGTTTTATATATGCATCTATATTGGTTATTAAACCTTAAATAGGTGCAATGTTAATTAAAATAAATGTTAGTGTTGACATTTTTGATTTCCGTCAATATGTTGATGAGATATTCCACTTTTAAGTTTTGGTTGGGGGTGAGTAGTGGAGAATCATTTGTGTGGTGGCACGGCGCATGGCATTTTAATAATGCACCGCTGCTTTTCCCCGATCAAAACTTAAATTGTGAATATCTCGTCAACAGATTGATGGAAATCAAAAATGTAAACACCAACATTTATTTTAACTAATATTCCATCTATTTAAGGTTAGATGACCAATATAGGTTGTCATTTAAAAATCAAAAGTAGGTAGTCTTTTCAATCCCAAAAATAAGAGTGACAAAAAAAAAATGATAATGTAACACTTTAGAATTATTTGTTTCTTAAGTTTTCAAAAAAGAAAAATTTTCAAAATAATGAGTGTTCATCAATAATAAAATCAATTAAACGGTATATGTTATCCTTATCATATATACTGCATTTGCCGGGAAAACGCAAATCACGCGCCCATCTACTTGTACATTATACATATTACTACGGTGGTGGGGGTAATGTCGTCATCGGCAACGACAACAGCGTATGAAACGAAGTGCTCGCGTTGGAATAGTGGTGGGAATACGCAAAAAAAAATGAGCTTTGGGTGTCACCTAGTTGCGTTCCCTCAACGAACATAGGCGTGCGCGAATTTTTTTCGTAAGGGATGTCGGTAAGTAGTTATATTTAAAAATAAATAAATTTTTAACACTTTCATAAAGACATAAATCAGAATTTTTTTTTTAAATTTTTTTTACAGGACAATAAAGTTCAAAACAATAGTCAATAATATGTACTATAGTAAAAATTATGATAATATTGATAATTTCCGCGCGATTAAACTATCCGACTGCTCTATCGTTATTGGTAATCTGCAATTCTGCAAGGTAACGTAAATGTGTCGATGTGATATTTCAATCCAAAACTCCCATTATCACTAAAATGTACTTGATGAAAATCACGATTTAAGATATAATCTATAGCCGTGATGACAATTTAAAAAAAAATAAGCTTAACTGTAGAAATTTCTTTATTGATTACTGTTTATAACAAGGTATATAAATTAGTAAAGAACAAAAAACTGGTCCAAAGACCGTAAGGGATGCCATGGCATACCCGGCATCCCCCCCCTGCGCATGCCTATGTCGACGAATGCAGTATAGTTTAATAACTCATTGTTCGTTGCCAGTCCATTTTATCTTAATTCGTGGAGTAAACTGAACTATGATATTTTAAGATAAGACCAACTATCTAAGCAGTTAATTGGTTTTTATAGACTACTTTTATTTGTGAAATATTAACATTTAAAAATTCTGATATCTAATACTTTATCGTATAGATAATTTTTTTTTTTATATAGATTTTATTTTAAGGATAAAAAGACTGTTCTGATGAAGTATCACAAATAGTACAGTAATTACTTATATTTATACAATTAATACCTTTCATAGATTTTGTATCACATCTTAGAATATTAACATCATTACCTTTAATCATTTCATATTAAAATGATGATGGAAAAGTCATATTTTATAATATAAACATAAAATTGTCAAAACGTATAACTAAATTACTGAAATAGTATTAAAAAAAATTAGTTTATGAATATTAATATTAATAATATTATTATAGACGTAAAACAGCCAATAAATATTATATGCTCAAATGCCTCCCCTCTCTACAACACGCTTACGATTTATAAGAAATCCTTCCCCCTGTCACTCATCCATCCTTTCGTTTCCAGTCTATTCTTAATCCGTGATTAAAACTAATAACACAAAGTTATTCCTAGTCCCTACTGAACTCAAATTTGCTTTGTCTGATCTTTGTAAGACGGAGAAAACACATGCGGGTGTGGCGTTCTCTTAATTTAATTTTTAAATATTTTATGCATTACAATATAGCGGATGACGTGATTAAGGCTATCAAATGGTCAGAAAATCTCGATGCAATATTTAAAACTAACTATGAAAGTGATCCAAGATTGTCATGGCAATATTTTGGCAGTACAACTGGTTTCATGAGGCAATATCCAGGTACATATTTTATTCCTCTTTTTAATTTTATAAGTATATTACGGTTATCCATTCTATTTGATTAAATATAAGTACCTACTTATTTCATGAAATGAATACTTCTAGTTTATAAATCACATGCTAAGAAAATAAATAACATAAATATAGTTTAGACCCCATGATCGTTTATCGATTTTATTTTTCAAAATGCGTGTTTTAAACACGGATATAAATCTATAGGATCTATGGTTTTAAGATACTGAATTCACTCATCACTGGGTCTCTTAAACTTGTGATTGTTAATAGAGCCACGTAGGTCTATATGTATTATAAAACGAAAATAAATCTAAAAATATAATGATTTACACTTGTAACAATTACAATTACACCTGTAAAACAGCAACCTTGTCGATCATTTTGTTTGGATCCTCTACCGGAATTGTTCAAATTTACGGAAAAGTATAGGGTACAACCCAAAGAAATTTTCTACTTGGTAGAAAGCAGTTATTCGAAAATAATAAGGACAAAAAATGATGAGAATAAATAATAAATTACTGAAAGCGTAATTTCTATATCTTTATATTTTAAAATTGTAACATTTGAATACTAGTCCACCGTGGACCAAATATGGTCCTAACCAAAATATTGTTTGGAAAATATTCGAAAAAATGTGGGAGTTTAATAAACATATCTGTGTTTCGTTCGTTGATTTTATGAAGGTCTACGATTTTATTCATCGACCGAGCATATTCAACATATTGGAAGAATTCAAATTCACACAAAAGATAATTAATCTCACTATAGCCAGTCTGGAAAATACTTAAATAAAAGTTAAAATAGTGAATTTGACTTCACCACCGATCAGAGTGATCACTGGATTAAATCAGGGAGATACATTCTCCTCTGTGCTTTTTAATATAATACTAAAAAAAGTAATTGGAGAGATGAATTGAAATTCTTGGGTATTCAGCTGACGTGACTATCATAAAAAATGATATGGAGACGGTGAAGAACTTATACAATAAACTGATAGCAGTGGCAAGCAAAGTAGGTATAATAATTATTGAGAAAAAACAGAATTCATGAAATTCAGCCGTGAGAATAGGACAATTAACCAAGTAGATGGCCATTTTTTCTATAGAATATCGCAAAATACCTAGAAGTCTTCTTAAGTCAGGATAATGAGCTAAAAACAGAAGTATCAAGAAGAATCAAAATCACTAATAATTTTCATTTTGGTATTGGACTTTTTATAAGATCTAGGGATATCTTAAAAAACCTTAAGATTAAAATGTATATAACATTAATGCGGCAAAAAATAAATCCCGATTTGTTACGCGGAACTACGTCAGGTAATATATTGCACCGTATACAGTATATTAATATGTGACCGGGAAAGTTTCCGAAAATGGATCTTATCGTTTTTCAAATAAATGCCATTCAACGTATTCAATGATTATTAATTTTAAGAAAATGATAACGAAGAATCCAATTCCGAATTTAATGAATAAAATTATGATATAACCATATATAATAACTGATAATTTCTACATGACTGTACCGGATATACTGGTACAAATGTTTAAGTAAAATGTTTAATAAAATATTAAGACATTTAGTATGGGTTCTTATATTTCATATTTAAGCACTCTACCAATTTCTTGCTCTAAATGCAGTGACAATTGCACAAGCTCTTCAAGATCGTGCGCAATATCTTTTGTTGATAAAGGTATCTATTTTAAATGTTTAGTTTATAATTTTTTAATATGAGTTTCATAAAATACTATATTAATATTATTATTACATATTTTTAATAGTATTATAATTAAATATAAAGTGTAAATCGTTATCAAAGAAAAAATAATTGATAATTGTAAAAATTATATTCCACGTGGTTTATGATTTGACTGCACTGAACAACTATTCGGGCAATAAAAGTTACCTGCTCAAAGAGTACACATATGGAAAACGCTATAACAAGTTATAATCATGATTAAGACTACAGATTAAGATATTATATAGGATACACAACGAGAGTCTATTATCAACAAACTATTGTTGATGAAAGTTCTTTTTCATTGAATAAACACAGAGTGCTAAAAACTAATCAGTGGCGAAAAGTTTAACTAATCCAGTTATTAATTCTTATATTTGGTAGTATTTTTGAGTTTTTAATTGTTAACATTTTCAGAGTAGCTTGTTTCTTAAATGTTCTATAAAATAAATTCTGAAAAAATGTAGTACTTCTCGAGATAATGAGTGTCTTACGATAGATTGATCACTCTGTATAATCTTTAGTTTAACTAGGCTTTTTTAAGTTTTTAACTAGTACCTACCTATTCGAATTAGACCATCAATTAACCGGGTAGTGGTTATCGTTGAGCAATAAAACTTCTGACGTCTTGCCCAACAGACTAATTATTCAACACAGTTCTTAAACTTGTAAATTAATTTTTATTATTTTCAGCATCAAAGTTAAACTAACATATAAAATAAACACATACTTTTCTAAATAATTTCATTATGTTGATCACTCAATCACTATCTATCAGGTTCTATCTCAGATCAGGGATATATTGGTTTTACTATAAAGTGTATTGTTTTTTATTTCTGTCTGTAAAAACTTGCTCCGAAGTATAGACTGTAGCATCTTTTCTGAAAGATAATTTTCTCTAGTTGGTGCATTGTAGTTGGGTCATTTTTGATTTTCTTAGGTGTTTTCGAAACAATTGGGTAAAATCGAAAGAAATGTATAGGTAAAACGGTAAATATCATGGCAGGTCGCGGCATTACCTTTTTTCATTGTTTTTAGTGTGTTTAAATGATATTTTCTACCAGAAGTATTGCTCCAATACTAAAAATGACAAAAGATCTAATTTGTTCCTTATAATATTTCGCTACAGACCAAGTAAGTCATTTTTCAATATCTAAAGTAATTTTTGTAAAAATTAGAAAAAAACAAAAAATTAAAATTGATTAATATTTATGGCAACGTAGCGTCCCGGTTTAATTATTTTATATTGTTCAATTGAGTTTTCTATCAGAAATATTGCTCCAATCAAAAAGCAACAAGAAATCGATTTTGTTTCTCATAACATATAGCCGTTTTACAATGATAACACTTTTTCTGAAAGAAAATTTAACTGAGGTGATACTTTAGAGAGGTCATTTTTTGATTTTCTATTGATTCTATTCTGATTTAACTATTTTTAATTTTTAACTGCATACATAAAATAACATAATATTTTACCTTGCAATAAATTTATGAAGTAATATGTGAGTATGATATTTAAACTAATTTATCATCAGTATCTAAAGGCCAAGCCTTTTCATTTTAGTCATTCTAGTCTGTCACTAGCTGTCTTCTTGAGTTCTTGATAAGAGGTAAAATTCATTCAATCGAAAATATCTTCTACTGTACATTTTTCCTTACGTTATGTTGGTGATGAACTGATTGTTTCTTACCAACAATATTAATTATCAAAAATAAAAATAATTATAATAACAATAATCAACAACAATAAAGCATTTTAATATAAAATAAGCGTGAATAAAAATAACCAGCATTTTAATAAGAATAATAATAATGAAAACTTTATTAATAATAATACCTAATCAGACGAAGCTGTCCTAGAATAATGGGAGTGGGGAAAAAGACAACGGAGAAAAAGAACAACAATTTTAAAATATTGAAGATAATAATTGATTGTTAAATAAAAAAAAAAAAAAAAAAAAATGAAATATTAAAACACTAGAACACTTTGACACTAGTGAATTTTGACATACTAAATTTAGTTCACTCAAATATTAGCATGAAAGTATGGATAGGTCTACATAGGTAATTTTAATGGATGAAAAGAATGAAAGATATTTTGCAACCTAACCTAACGACTCATTAATTTGAAGCTTTAATTTTTTTTAAAATACTTTTTTTCACATAATTTTTTAAAATTAAATACCAACAAAATCAACATTATTCATAAAAAATATATTTTTTATATTTCAATATTTTTAAAAAACATATCTAATAAACATTTTTTTAATTTTCATAGTTAATTAATATATTAAAAATTTAAAAATTGTTTTTTTTCCCTTGATATTTTTTATGGATTACCGAGCACTTGGGTGCAGTAACTGTTATAGGTGAGAAGTTGTGACGGTAACAGAGGAGAAATTTAATGCATATCTGTAAGTGACGATGAACTATTGCTAACAAAAAATGATTCTGAGCTGAGTTCAGTTGAAAGTGTTGCTTTGTCAACAATATATAATCTTGGTTTGTATTTAGAACATTAAAGTGCAATTTGTTTAACATATTGTAAATGTATACAATAAATAAAAGAGCTGATGGCAATAAATTAACGTTATATAAATTAATTAGTTCGATCATATTCTAAAATTGTAATGTTGGACACTAAATTAGTAGGTATGCCCAGAACATGAAAAGAAAGTCATTTAAAAATTAAAGAAGTCATTTTTTGATTTTTCCAGGAGTTTTCCTGGAAAATGTAAAAAACCGGGATATAACATGGGAAACCGGGAAAATCGTAGAAATACTGAAAAAATTGGTACAAAATTAAACAAATATTATTAAAGAAAAAATATAGAGTCTATTTAATTATTTCACTACAAAATGACATATATATTTTTAATAAAGCATCCCTATCAACTGAACTCCGTTCAGAATCGTTTTTTCGTAAGCAATCGTTGCTAGGTATACATTAAATTCTCGTCTATATCCTACCTTCTCAACTTCCCACCTATACCAATGACTGCACCCATCTCCATTATCTTACCTTTTTTTTTTATATATATATAATAGTTTTAAAATCAAATTTTAACGAAAGTCGTAATTATTAGTTTTTACGGCCTTTCAATACTTGTACAGCCGAACTTCGCTTTTCGTTATCAATCGTTTATTATTGGTTACAAGTATAAATATAATAACATTATGTAACCCACCTTTCCCACTAGTCACCTACAACAGTGTCCTCACCTGTCTCCATTACAGTTTGTTTTTTCTTTTGTATGTTCATAATCAACTTTTCTATGAGAAATCTTACGCTAATCGAAAAATGTCTTGAGACCTTTTTTCTGTTGCATTTTACATCTAGTTAGTAAGAAAATTTTATTTTGAGTTTACAACCAATATTCATAATATTTGGGAAAAACCGTAAAAAAGCTTGAGAAAAACAGGAACGTAAACGGTATTAATGATTTCGTTATTTTCGATTTTAGTTTTTTGTTGAGATTGGTTGAAAACTATCGTAGAGAACTGACGCTGATATTTTATATCAGCTTTCTTAGACGGGGTAGAATTTTCAAAATATTTTAGCGATTTTTAAGCTATTTATTGACATTTTATATTTGAAAATCGTTTAACGTAGTTTTTATTTTATAGGTATTTTATGGATTAAAAGTTTTAATTACAGACAAATGCTTGGAAATTTAATACGATTTTCATTATAATTTGGACTTTTTGGTAAAAAAAAAAGTTGATTTTACGCTATACTTTAGGTAGTCGTTTTTTTAATAATCGTTTTAAGATCATATTTCAACGAAATTCGTAAATACTACGATATTTTAAAACATGTATAGCCAAATTTTTTTCAGAATCATATTTGGTTGACAATTGTTTATCGTTACTTATAGATATAATTAAATAACTTTATATTTTCTATTTTCCTATTTTACTACCTACAACAGTGACGCATATAATACATTAGCAATATCAACTCTTTTTGTTCGTTACATTATTTAATTATCTGCAGGTTCAAAATATTTCATCACTTTATTTATTGTGTAGTATCCATTAGGTGCACAGTCAATACCTGCATACAATAATTTCCCTGTAGGGCAATATTTATCATATTTTCTCATGACTATACTTCGGTATTTATTTTATTTTATTTTTTTTTTAAAATAATTATTGATGTACAATTTGTTTAACATTTGTAGCAGTGCAATGGAAGACCAAGACGGTGAGTGATTTGTACGACTGCCGAATGCGACCTTGGTATGTAGAAGCAGCAGCTAGTCCTAAGGATATGCTTATTTTAGTTGATAATTCTGGATCAATGACGGGACAAAGCAAAATCATTGCTAGACATGTGATAAATACATTATTGGATACATTGTCAGTAAATGACTATGTGAATGTTCTTGTATTTAGTAATGTTACAAATGAAGTTGTACCATGTTTTGAAGGGTTACTTGTACAGGTATGTAATTAATTTTAAAAATTGAAGAAAAAATACACTGCATCTGAATTCTTAACTTAATTTTCCATAATTCTCAGGCAACACTAGCGAATATTCGAGAACTTAAATTAGGCGTAGCAAATATTGGTGATCCAAATAATATTTCAAACTTTACTGAAGCTTTAACCAGGGCTTTCGAGACACTTGAAAAAGTACACAATATTTAAAATAACCTAATAATTAATTTTCATTATGAAAAATTTAAAGAAATTGAAATTTTATCTTAAATTTAGTACCGCGAAGGAAATATGGGAGCTATGTGTAATCAAGCAATCATGTTGGTTACTGATGGCGTACCAGAAAACTTTTATGAACTTTTCAAATTATATAATTGGAAGAATGGTACAATGAATATGCCAGTAAGAGTGTTTACATATTTAATTGGTCGAGAAGATCCAGAGATTAGAGACATGCAATGGATGGCCTGTGCAAATCATGGTAAATATGCAATAATTCAATTATTAAAAATACTTAATTATGTCAATTAAAATTAACAGTTTAAAACTATTTTTATTAACAGCTTATTTTAATAAAGCTCATCAATAAAAGAGATTATATTTTTATTACAGGATTTTTTGTTCATTTAAGTACTATGGAAGAAGTAAGAGAAGAAGTAGTTGATTATTTACCAGTAATGGCCAGGCCTTTGGTATTACATCAATCCAATCATCCTGTTATTTGGACGCCATTATATGCTGATGTCACAGTAATATTCATTCAATATTTAATAGTAGTTTTAATTATTTAATAATATGTGTATTACTATTGTTTGTCATATATTATCTATCTTTTTTTTTTTTCTTATATCTTTACACCAATACCATGAAAAAAAAAAAATAATAATTACACCTTAATGATTTTTTTAGGATCCAAAAATGACCGATTATTTATGGGAAGAAGAAGAATGCAGACAACAAAAAGAAGATACATTAAGTTATAAAGCTCGAAAGGGTGAATTTTTTATTGATGAAAATAAATTAAGACGAGAAAGAGATCGAAAAAAAAAAGTATATTGAGTTTACTTTATATTGAATCTAATTTATTATACATTGGTTTATTTTGTTTTCAGGAATTAAATCAAAACTTAAATGTAAATAGACAAAAATTTCATAATTTGATTACTTCTCTTGCGATGCCAGCATTTGATAAAAAAACACATAAGGTAAATTTACTAAAAATTATAAAACTTTGTCTTAATTTCAATATTAATTAATTTAAAAAAAAAGAAAACCCAAAAATTGATACAGAACTCATTCAGAAAAATGAGAAAATCTCAACATTGTTTTTGTTTAATAATATAACATTCAACCATCATTTAAATTATAAACAAACATCATATATCTAGGTACCTACACCAATTACCTAAACAATAAATTATATATCAATATCCGTTAATTGAACATTTCAAAATAAAAATAATGATATCTAAGATAAGCAGCCAAAGTAGTTGTTAATTATATGTTACTCCCAGAATGTGCCAGGTCATGCAATATGCACTTTTTTGCTAATTTCATGGAATGGGTATGTAGGAATATGATAAAAACTTAATTTTAGTGTTGTTAATAAAATATTAAAAATTCTTATTTGAGATTTTAGTAAATAAGAAAAATATAATAGGTCGAATGCATAATTATATATAGCACACTTGTAAAATTTGTTAGTTTAAATCCTAGAAAGCTGTTATTAGTTTTCAAAAATATTCGTATACTTACAGAAAAGGAAACACTAAAACATAGGGAAATTATATTTGTGTTCAAAAAAACTTATTATACTAGAATGATATTTTTTTTTTTTACCTATTGTTCGATATATTGATGCAAAAATGATTTGTGATGTGTTTGCACAAGGTAAACAGGCGGTGCGCAAATGACACATTGCCGTTACTGCACAAATGATAACTGCCGAGCAAATCTTATCGGTAGTATTAAAGTATTAAATTGCGTTAAAATTTATTCAATCAAATAAGATTCGATTACAAATATTTACCGATCTGAATTCTTTCTATACAATTCTATATGAATGTAGATATCGTGTAATATAGTTTACATTTATTATGATTCCCCTATAAATAAATACAAAACGATATCTGAGTTCTTTATCTTTCAAAAATAATTTAACTATTAAACATTTATTTTTAAATAACAAAAAATAACTTTTAATTTTGAACACTTCGGGGTACTCATAAGCCCGGCAGGCCACTCCGCCCCTGCATATGTATAAAAATGAATCCTTATTTCCCTTGGTCATCGCATCACGTGAGAACGACTTGACTGATTTTGCTGATTTTTTTTTTTATATTAGTAATTTTCTGGGCAAAGTTTTTATGAAAGAAAATTTCTAAAAAGTCAATTGAATAAGTAGAAAAATTGCAAAAACTTTTTAATGATATCTGGGCTTTGAACTTGATATCGTTGCACTAACATTATAAACGTTTTTTCTCAGTCGTTTTTATACACTCTGCGGGAAGATCTATTGTATAACTGACGTACTTTATTTTCATTTCTTCATCTCTTTGTATAATATGGTAAATATGATAAATGTCGTTTAACAGCTGCATCGGTCGGCATCCATCGAAAAATGTTATTTATTTATTTTAATTTTTGGTACACAGTGTATTCGATCTAAAAGTTTATACAGTTTTGAGTTTATTGATTGTATTTTTTAAGAGGGTTAATTTACGCCTTATATTAAAAGTTTAATTTAATATCAATTTTCGGTAAAAATTATGGAGGAGTTTAAAAATCCTCCCATTGATGTCTCTAACGCATTAAATTTAATTTTCTAACACTACAAAATTGATTCATACAAAATAATTTCTTATAAATAAAATTGTACGCATTAAAAAAAAATTAATTTTTATTAATTATTTTTATGGTGTAGGAAAATTATGTTTTTAAATTAAATATGATAGAGGGGGACTATTAAACCACTTTTATTATTTTTGCGTTTTCATACATTTTTTTCAAGGCTTTTTGACGTTTTCCAATTCTTTTTTGTGAATTTTAAAAACATATAAATCTGATATCTATTTATGACAATCGAGTTATTAATTTTATATTAATATAAATTGTCGGTAAATACGTACATAAAGGTATAAAAGAAACGCCGTGCCATCTGCAAGTAACAACTATAATATAGTACACGCGCTCTCCCACTACCCAGTGTCCCTATTCCCCAATAGATTAGGTTAGGCTTCATTTCCTTTGACATTTCCTCCTCCCCATAATTCGGTGTTTAGATATTTTTGGTATGAAAATCACGAAAAAATGTCTCAATAGAACACTTTTAGTCCACCGAAGGTGGATTATCAACTTTCCACCTATTTGTTTTCATTCAATACCGACACGGTCAGTAAAATTAGTATAGGTAAAACAAATAATAAAAAATTGGCACGGGCAACAACAGGTAGGACAGCTAGTTAAATAATAATAATTTATTAAATTAATGTTCAAACAATAAACCAACAAATAACGTTTAGAAACTCATCATAATATTATCACGATCTTTAATTTATTGATTTATTATTAAAATTTTTATTTTATTTTTGGTTTACGGTCATTGAGACCATACCGCCAAACAAATTTCTCTCCATCTATCCCTATTTTCTGCCGCTACTCTCCATGGTATCTCTGGTTCAATGCTTTCTTAAAAAGAGACGCCTTTTTACACAGTCTTCCCAACGTAAGCGTGGTCTTCCGAGGGGTCTCTTACCAACCGGGTTCTCTTCGATTGTTGTTCTGACAATGGATCCTACTTTCCGCCATGCATGTCCTGCTCAGGTTAATCTTCTTTTCTTGATTTCGTTCGCGATGTTCGGGCTCTGGAATAGCTCCTCGAGTTCTTTATTATGACATTTACGCCATTCACCTATGTTTTTGTCGAGGATTCTCCTTTCAAATACTTTTATTCTGGTTTCTTCTGCTTTCCTAAGTGGCCATGTTTCCGCGGCATACAGTACTATGGGTCGTATCGGGGTCGTGTACATTTGTATCTTCAGGTTAGTCAATAATGTTCTTGAGCTCAGTACTTTTCCAAGACCAAAAAAACTTTTGTTACCTTTTTGTATCCTAGCACTGACTTCCATCTTCAGGTCATTATCTTGTGTTAGCAAGTACCCCAAGTACTTAAAATGTGTGACTCTTTTGAATACACGACCTTCTACATTTATAGATTGACCTTGTTGATATTCTCTGTCCTGGTGACTGAATATCATGTACTCTGTTTTTTCGTCGTTTATNCTTTTCTAATATAAGGTTGAACAATATTGGTGATAGCGCATCCCCTTGTCTTAGGCCTGTCCTTACCGTTGCTGGCTCTGACAATTCCGATGCTACCTTTATTTTGATTTCTGTATTTTGCAGAGTGGCCTCAATTAATTTTATTAGTTTATTTTGTAACTCAAACTCTTTTAATATGTTTATAAGGCTATGTCAGTGAACGGAATCGTATGCTTTTTTGAAATCCACAAATAGTATACAAATGCTTTTATTGAATTCCCATGATTTTTCTATGATCTGTCTTAGACTGATGATTTGATCAGTTGTTGATCTGTTGGATCTAAAACCACCTTGATAATCTTCCAGAATCTCTTCCGCAATGGGTTTAACCCTATCTAAAATGCAATAGGACAATATCTTGTAAACCACATTTAAAAAGGCTATTCCTCTGTAATTATTACATATTTGTGCGTCACCTTTTTTATGGATTGGGCATACGACTGCAACATTCCAACTTTCCGGTAGTTCTTCCTTCTCCCAAATATTGGTTAGTAACCTATGTATATGTGTTAATGAAACTTCGTCCAGCATTTTCATAATCTCACCTTGTATACCGTCCTCACCAGATGAACAGGTGAATTATAGTTCTTCAGTCGCCTTATTTGTAGTTCAACTTCTTGTTTTGAGGGTGTTGTACATTCGTTTAGGTTGGGTTCTATCCTTGTCCAAGTAAAGGTTTCTATGGGGTCGTTGCAGTTAAGAAGATGTTCGAAATACGTTTTCCATCTCTCTACAATGTCTGATCGGGCAGTAATTAGTATTCCATCTTCCTTTACTAGGAACTTTTCATATTTTTTGTAACCTCCCTTTAGTGTATTGTTTTTTTTTGTATAATTGGTGTGTGTTTTGTTCATTGTGATATTTTCCTGCTTCTTCCAAAATGTTTTTCGTATAGACTCTTTTTTCATACTTGAAGATTCGACTTGCTTCTTTTCTGCTTTCATTATACTTCGTTTTGTTTTCTTCATGAGAAGGATCATTAAGGTACAAGTTTCTAAATTTTTTCCTTTGATTTAGGGCTTTCTCACACCTCTCATTGAACCAAGGTTTTTTGGTGTTTTTTGGTTTGCCCAGGACTTCAGCTGATGTTTCTTTTATTGTGTCCTGTACTCTCCTCCACATATTATTTGTTGAGCCTATACTATTTATATCTAATTCCCTGCTGCGTTTGTGTATCTCACTTTTAAAACGTTTTTGGCAAACTTCATCTGTTATATTATGTCATATTATTAAAATAAAATTCATAATTACCCAATTCATGAAATAGGCAATTTTACACCTGGGATGTAATACACACATATTTTCTTGATTACCATATTATTTAATTTAATTTCTATACCTTACATGTTTAAACACTTTTAATTAACAAAACTAATTTTATTAAATAACTAATTAACATGTCATATGCACTTTTAATATTAAATCAAACATATTTTAATAGTAAATTCCAAGAATTTACCATAGTAAAACAAATTGTTTGTTTTTTATTTAATTAATATACCCAGCTTAATAAATCTTATCATTTTATTTCTCATTGAGTATTTATGTTACTAATGAGTTTATGTAACAGTTCCATTAGTGTATCACTAATAGGCCACAAAATGACAGAAACCGAAAGGACAGGTAGAGAGTTTAAAATGAGAAGAATTAAGAGGACGTTATACCACTTGTAATTCACCTGTCAGAATTGTTTTGCGCGAGAACAAACTACTTGGGCTTTAGGCCCTCCGCACACGAGGCTATTGTAACGCGACACGATTCTTGCGCGATTTATGCGATATATGCGATACGAGCGATCTGTGCGATTACGAAGGCGCACATGATGCAATTGTCGTGCGATTATTATTATCGTTGTTTATGTATTATTCGGTTATTATCAGTCGTTTACTGACGTTTGCGCAGTTCTTTGGTTACCTTTTTTTAAAATGTCAAGTTCGTTTAATGACGAAGAAGTGATTGATACGTACTATTTGTACAAAACGTTGGTTTGTGGAAAAAAGCAAGAAAAGAATCTTCGAAGGAAATTTTGGAAAAACTATAAAGTTCAGGATGTTTTTCAGTTTCACCAACAAATTTAATATTGAATGCCTCCATAGTTAAAATTATGTATAAATAAATAATATAATATAACGAAAATAAAAATGTAATTACGCGTGATCCATGTGACGCGACTGCCAAGCGATCAACACTGCCGGTCGCACATGTCGTCCATCGCTCGCGTCACAGTCGCGTCGCAATCGCTTCGTTATCAAATTGCGTCGTTAGTGAATCCCCATTCGCTTTGCTAGGATATCGCACGTGGCAAAAATCGCGTCGTGTGTGAATCGCCTCATGTGCGGAGGTCCTTAGATTTAATTAAGAAATCAAATTTTCATCACAGAAAAAATAAAACTTGTACTGTGTAACATTGGTTAACGAATTCTTTCTTTAGAGGTACTAGCTACTACAGCCTATAACTATAGGCTATGACTATAGTGATTATAGTTATTATTACAAAATGTGACAAAAATAGAAATTATAGTAGTCATTAGTAAAACATTATTTATATGAATAAAATTTACTATAGTACGTTTCACAAAATTTAAGACTCGACTGTAGCGCGACCGATGGTCAAAATTTTGATTTCAGTATGGTTCAAACTTTGCAATACTTTGTATATTGAGCATTATATGCAGCAGTTCAATTTACGTGCCCTTTTTAGTGCACATATTGAGTAGCCCTACTGATTATAGACCATCAGTAACATTGCCGTCGAGTTTCTAATTTCGTGAGCGCACTATAGTCACATAGTTTTACAAAAACAAAATTAGCTGTGAGATCCGAGATTGTATAATATTATCATATTATATACAATTCATAAAAGAATATTATTGACGTTATGGGATGTGCATACTGCATAACAAAACCGTTTTTGAAATAATAAAACGCGTTCCTGCACTCGCATAAAAACGATAATACGGAGAACCAGTTTCATCGATAATGAAATAGTGGGGTTTACAACTCCAACTCTCAAGCGTTGCACGCATAGCGGTTTTGGTATAACATCCTCTTAATAAAAAAAGGTAGTAAGGAATATAAAATTAGGTATCTTTAAGAAGACGTCTAGGAAGATCAAAAAAGAAATAGATAGACTTGATTAATAATATGAGGATTGGTCTATTCGATATGATATGTAATAAATGGGGATTGAGGACTATAATGTACTATGATATTTACGGATAAGCTTGAAATATATTGTAGTAATAATATATTACATAATATCAATTCATAACTAAATACATATTATAGGTTGATTGTTTTCTTATACCTACTTATCAGTATTATTATACACGTTTCGTATTAATAATTGTTGTATTACGAAATAATATGTTAAACACAAAGTTAATACTAAACAATGTTTAATAATTATTTCTCAACAGAATATCACAATAAGAAGGCTTATAAATGATAACTACTGGGTTTGGGAAACAAGAGAGGTATTTAAAAATTCAGCAGGTAGTCTGCCATAATTTTTTTGGTCATTCTTAGAAAAATCTTGTTATTCATATTTTTATAATAGTACGATATTTCGTTTATATTTTGAAACTTTGTCTTCTATCGGAAGTCTCTACTATCAACTATTTTGTATTAGTAATTAAAATTAAGTGTCGTCAAACATCGGTAACTCATTGGATAGTTTTAAATGTAATTAATTAGTATGCATAGTGTTCTCGACTTAGAATTAACATTTTCTTAGATAGAACTTATAAATAATGACGGATAGGAATCTATATGTTTTAAATTTAACTTATGTAAGTACCTATTACCTATAGTTAGTAATAGTTAGAAATAAAATTTGATTTGTCTTCGAATACGTGCTATGCTTTAAGTTATACTTGGCCTGATTGAATGAAACCCAATTCAATTTTTCCAAAAGTGTTTTATAAATTTTAGTCTAAAGACTAGCGCGTAGAAAATCAATAGTAATTTGTATTTTAAGTAAATTGTAGATGTAGGGTGCGTTCGCTTTAAATCCTCGATTCTCGATGCTTTCAGCGCTCAAGCTCACAATTCAAACCTGAGTCTCTCGCTTGCGCTCTATCACAGTTAGCTACTCAATACCTAACTTTTAACACTATGTCACTAGATTTTATCAGTCTAGCTTCCTTGGTTTGGATGGTTGAAATGGCAGTGTATAAATTTGAGGGGATGGTGCGGCACTCGGGGGTCATGTCATTCTTCCCTTCCAGACCGTACATGCGGACTCCACTGCACCGGGGCGAGAAGGTCCCAAGGGATACTCCGACTGAACCTGTGTCTGCCACATGGTAGTCATAAACCAGACCGGTTTTTCTCTGCGAGAAACAATTTTAAGCAGCCGTTCTCGTTTGTGAGAACGATTTGTTTGTTATTTTAGTTGTAAATTAATGCTCTGATTTAGCTGTATTGATTCTTCAAGAGTTTTGCGTAGTGCGTATGCTTGTCCATCCAAAACATTCTTAAATTCTATTCGAGTCACTGACATTTTAAAATTCGTAATTAGTCTGAAAGTTCAAATCTGTCAAACTAAATTGCGAGACAGTCTGATAAGTCCTAAGTTTCCAAAGCGAATGCACCTATAAGAAACAAAACCTATTAAGTTTATATAATTTAAGCCTGATATAGTAGACAAATATAAGTTGTTAGTATTGTTTTATTTTATTGTTAAAAAACTTAAGATTAGGTTATAGCTAGGGTGGCCAAGTTACATTTTAAGAAATCTGGGATAACATATTTCTAATTTACCTATTTTCATATCAAAGATAAATAAGTACTTATACAAAGGTGATATAAAAATAAGACCCGTAAGTATGCCCATCGTGCTGCCACGATCAATATAAGAATTTGTATTAAAACCGTAGCGTCCCGGAAAATCCGGGATGAATGGTCACCCTATCTATAGCTGGTGTGTGATTTTGAATATGGTGACTGCATATTTTTCAATACCTGTGAAGTAATTAATTTGCATGTTGAATGGTTACAGACTAAAGTAGCCAACTTACTAGGTGTTGTTGGAACTGATGTTCCAGAATCTGATCTACGAGAAGCCATGTCACCTCATATAGTAAGCAAATAATATAAGTTTTCATTATGTAAAATCTAATTTGTATTTATACTTTTCAGTTGGGTGTCAATAATTATGCATTTATTGTTACTAACAATGGATTTATAGTTACGCATCCAGATCTCAGACCTGTGGTGAGTAAAATTAAATTTCTATAAGTTAATATTATATAAAATATGAAAAATAAAATAAATAAGTTTAATCAAAATAAAATTGAATCCAAATTTACAATTACTTTATATTTTAAGAGGTCCGATGCCAGCATGTTTTTTTAACTTAAAAACATGCTTAATAGGAAAAATGTCTCGTAGAGAGGTCAAATTTTGTTGAATTTTTTATTTTTTTTTGTTAGAAAGTGGAAGGCTTCAAACTTCATTGAACTCCGTTTTTCAATATTTAAATATTATACTTTATAATACACATTTAAAAAATATCAAATTTACACTCTTTTTAAATAACTTTGTAAACAATTATTTGAAATCAAATTAAAAATCGAAGTTCAATGTGGTTTGTAGAATGTTTTTATCTATTGATTGAAATATCATGTTTAAAGTGAATCATTCCTATTCCCACTAAGTAATTTTCGTCCGTTAAAACAGCTGTACTCCTTTCTCTAAATGGGTATTAAATAATGTATTTATGGACAAATCTTATATTTAAGGGAATCATTAAAATACTATTTTGTTGTTCCAAATTGTACAAAATTCGATTTACTTAATCTATATACCAGTCTAAAATAAATACTGTATATTCATATTTTTATTCATGATAAATTTGTAATATTGCAAGGGAAAAATTGTTTTCAATAAAAATAAAAACTAAATCATTAAATTAACATATGTGTGTACAATTCTTTAATTTTGTATTAATTATATTCACCAATAAACACTTTTATAGATAATGAAACTTTTATTTATTCAAATAATTATTATAAAAGTAAACTATTTTTTAAAAAATTATTGTTTTAGTTTCAAGGTATTTTAAAGCCAAACTATAATAGCATAGATCTAACCGAAGTAGAACTCGTTGAAACCGACAATACTGCAAGGGTTTTCAGTGAAGAATTACTCATGGTTAGTATAAGAATAAAGTATATTATAGTAGTTACATAATTATTAATCTTGTGACCATTATCGATTATCTATACATATATATATATATATAAGTATATTATTATTATATTTTATTCCAATAATATTATAAAATTACTTCCATTATCATTAACCAAAGAAAGGATACCCTTGGTATCCTGGGTACGTGTACGGAAAATATCTAGGACGGTATGTGTTTATCATAGAAAATGGGTATATCATCAAAGGACTTTGGTAGAATGATGATTGTTCGGCATTCATGTCATCCATCGCAGTGGATGGTGTTGTCACTGGAACGTCTGCGGACACTTGCTCAGCTTTAAGTGTTTGATTGTCTTCTGAACGATTGTGTTTGACAGAAACTTCATTTTGTTGAGCGTCATTGGTACTATTTTTTTGAAGGGCTAATGATTCGTTTTGTTGTACCACCACTTTGTTATCAATCGGAACCACGGGATTATCTTTTTTGAGAAAAATAGTGTTGATGTTTTTGCATTCAATGATGGGAAAAATAATTACAGCAGCTAATACACAAATCATCTACAATACATAAAGAAATGATGAATAATATTGGCATAAATGGTTTACATTTGAAAAAAAAAGTATACAACATACATATTTACGTACACAGTAAATAACAGTACCTATTGCATATATTTATATGGAAGGTAAACATAATAATATTTTGCTTATAAATACATATCATCAGATTTAAGAAGATATTTAAAATTTAATTAGGTACAATAAATAATAATTAATAGGATATTTACTGGGGATGTCTAAGAATACTAGATTCCCCAGAGCCAAAATAAAAATCAAATAAGATTAATATTTCTGGAGTACTGTTAAGTAATAATAAAGTACAGCGAATTTTCGTTTTACTATTAAGTTTCGAAGATGTAGCTAAATATTTAATGTGATAAAGGCAAGCTACCTTTATAATCAAGATTTTATCTCTCAGATCACTGTTTAACGGTGGATTAAAGTTGAGCGAAGAGATTATTAAAATTTATATAGGTACATATAATATTGAATCTTCTCCTTTTAAAAATGTCCAGATATATACTAAAATATTTAATTTTAAAAAACTTTTGAAAAAAAAAAACTGATGCGAAGCTCAAATTTATTTTTCAGATCACTAAGTACAACTTGTAATGTACTTTTTGTTAAATTCTCAAGCATTTCTCTTCAGATATATAAATTTAATAACAGATATCTACCTAATAAAAATACACACAAAAACACAAAAATATCCAGTGCCTAAAAATAACTATAATGTTTTTAAAATGTTAACACATTAACAAAAGTTCAATATACCTAAGTATTTTATGAAAACTACAGGTCTCTACAATAATTTTTAACTGAATAACTACAAAAAACTTAAATGGCGTATACTTTGCCGTATTTCTTACGTTTTTCCCCGGATTTTCATTATTTTTAATTTTTTAACGAATTTTTGAATTTATAAAACAGATAAAATTTCGTTTCAGAAAAGATACTACACTCTATACATTTTAGATAGAAAATATGTACACAGATAGAAAAAAAAATACATATCTTATATGATATAGTTGAAAATGAGTCATTATAGTAAACTATAAGTAGTTAGATATAGTAAACTAATAAATCCTTCGCTACGCTCCAATGCACCGAATCTAAAACATATAGTAAAACTAATAAAATCGATGGCTAAAAGCCATCAATAAGTCACTGTTATTCATGGATAATTATTAAGGTAAAATATACAAGATGATTTAGTTTATAGCATTCATAAACTGAAGAGTGGTCGTGGTCCTTTTTCATATGCAGTATATTCTGTTGTATAGTAGGCATATTCTGTTGTTTACTATATAGTATAATATTGAAAAAAACTATTCTAATATGTTTTCCTTTCATTTTCAATCAACAAAATCGAAATAAAGGACCCAAGATATAAAAATTACAATAAATGTTTAAATAAATTACCATGTCAACTGAAAAATGTAAATCATATTTGTGGCTTTGTGGTATGGTATACAAATATCATAGTTTTTTTACTAAGTAAGATTTTTTCCGAGAATAAAACACATATTTATAAAACTAAAAGCATCGCCATTATATTTAGAATCTAGAAACACAATCAGAAACCATCCTTGATTTTAATTGGTAATGATCGAAGTTGTATGGTCGAAACTAGAAATTGTGATAAAAATTGTTTAATTCAATATGTCTGGATTCCATCTATCAATTAGATATCATTGATTAATTTGAATTCAAATTTAAGAAAATAATAAACACCAAACAAACTGGATGTAATAATGCCCGTAAAAAGGAGTGATTTTAAACCCAATTCCCTCATAGTTTGTATATTATCTACTGCAAGTAATAATAGGCAAATTCAAATGAATTAAGTACTCTCTAACAGTTAAATTCAGTTTTACATGAAAAACCTGAGCTCTGAACAATTATTTTTAAGTTATTTATTATTATTATAAACAATATATATATAAACAATAAAATTATGAATAATTTTTACTTACAACGCTTCGAGTCATTATTGAATATCAAATAGTTATTTTAATCCCACTGCAGAATGAGTATAATGTGTTTATTAAATCCACAGAAGTACAATGCAGTTGATATTTCGAACACAAATAATGTTCTCTAAAACTAGGCACCTTCTTATATACCCACCTACTTCTTCACTTACCTATAATATTATTATGTTAGGAATATTTCCAGTTCATCATTGTCACGGTCACTAGGGATTATCGACTAAATATCATTTGAATTTAACTAAGCATAAAAAATCAATTTTATGCAGTTTTTTTTTTTTGTTACGTACCGAAAACTAAATGTTTTGTCTTTTTTAATTTGTACAGGTTCGTGATTATATCATCAATCAAACAACTGGTGACAAGAACCTTAATGTGAAATATCATTACGACGATTTAGTAAATTTTAAATAATTTTTTTTAGTTGATATAAAATCCATATTAATATTTTTATTTTATTAGGCACTAATTTTCATTTTAAATTATGTTTCTAAATTAACTTTGACTTTCTGTTTAATGAGTTATGAATTTCAATGGTTGTGAAATAAAACTATAATAATTGTGTTATTCATTTTTAAAGAGACGCGCGACTACAGCAAATCGACATTATTATTACTCGGTTGTGGAAGGAACTCCGTTTACAGTTGTGGTTGCTTTACAAGAAAAACACTTTTTGTACAGACTCAAAATTCCAGAAAAATTTCAAAATCTTAATGCAACAAGTATTTTTATATTTATTATTAATTCAAAAATATACATACACAATTTAACAAAACTTGTATTTTACTAGGATCGTCTCTTATGGATTTTTTCAGTGATAACGATTGGAGAATTCATCCAGATTGGTAAATTTATTTCAATCTATACATTTTTGAAACCTCTGTATCCTAATCTTTAATATAGATAAATTAATTAAATGCTGGGGAAAATGTAGAGTATGTTTGTGTTTAATTTTCAAGTGCAGATTTAGAACGAATTAGTAATAGGAAAATATAATAAAAATAATCTAGTAATATTACAAGAATAAAATCTGAAAGGGAACTATTGCATTTAAAACAATTAAGCCACTCTATTTCCTTTTGGTCGTTCAAAATTGAAATAAATTAATAAAACTCGCAAGGCAAATATAAAAGTCTCATAAAATTATTATTATTTAATGGATTTCTTAATTGAGCACCTTTTGATAAACTTATGTAAATCAACTCATGTTTATTTTGATTTGACTCAGAAATATTATTAATATAATATTTAGACTTTTAATTTTTAAACCAAACGTTTAATGTATTTTACGTACATTATTGACTTGTGAGAAATGAAATATTCTACGTAATTTGTATTAACCTTTTAAGTGTAATAGTTCAAATAGTCAAACTATTAATTACAATAATTACGCTTTAGAAAAATTTCAAATTTAATATTTTTCTAAAACTTAATAAATACCTAAATATCATATTTACTATTTATGTTGAAAATTATAATTGTTGTAAAATGCCTCAATAACTAATGAAACATGATACTTTCAGGCTTTATTGTAGATATGAATATGATCATATAAAATTTAAAACCCGGGAAAAGGAACTTCTACATTTTTTGATGCGAATCAGCCAAAAAAATAATAGTTGGAATAAATGGCCTCCTCCAAGATTTTACAGTGAATCCTACTACTGTAAGTACATTTATTTTTAAAATTTATTTACGTACCTACCTAATAATATACCACAAAATATTAATACTAATACTTTCTGTAAAATTATTATGATTACTATCATTTACAAGTTGTAGGCTGAGTTATCATTTATTTTCACAGCAAACGGGACAAAAAAGCCCGAAGAAAAATTCGAATGCAAATGCAATTGTGAGTTTAGAGTTAATTTTATTGCATGATCGAGCTTGATCACTATGTTTTATGCAAGTTAAAGATGTGGGAAAATAATATTTTGTTTGTTTTATAAAGTATCAAAACTTATAATTTTTTATACTAATGATAGTTCTTACTTATGTATAATAATATAATAACATGTTATAATCAACTTATAATAAATTGATATAACCTTTACTATAACAAATTTAAAAATTAACATCTAAAATGTTTTACATTTACATTTATATTTTTGTTGATTAGTATCACGCTCATTTCCAATTTATGTATAAATCAAAAAACTGGCAAACAAATAATTGACGTGACCTATTGAAATATTTTGTGTATTATAAAATATTTAAACTAGCAAAAAAAATTATGAAAAATACATTTTTTAAATTATTAAGTAGAATGACTTGAAAATTATTTAATTTATTAAATAGGGAATCAATCATCAATTTCATTTTTTTCAATTTTTCATATAATGAGTATACCCTCTTTAATGGATCATCTTGTATATACAGTCAAATTCACGTATAACGATGCCGTATATAACCATATTCCGGGTAAAACGATTCCAATCAATGTATTTGGTTGGTTTTATATGTTATGTATAATACTTTTATTCGTATATAACGATATCGGTTATAACGATAATCCGGATATAGAGATGTTATTTTAAAACGAAAATTGGTTTTTATAATAACCCATAGCGATTAATAATATGCATGTACATTGTACGTTGTGTAGTAAATTTGATTTCGTCCAAATCGATAATTCTTAATCTTATCTGTAACAGATAATGTGTCTTATACGACCGTATTGTATACAGAGTACCTACGTTTCTTTGTCGTTTAGTTGCCGTTTTGATTGCTATCCGTTTAGACACGATCCAAATAAGTTAAAAATGTCAAATAAAAGAATAAATAAATAAGCTCTTATTAAAATTTATATAAATACCTTGAATGTTAAAATATGTAATCTTAAATAAANTACGACCGTATTGTATACAGAATACCTACGTTTCTTAGTCGTTTAGTTGCCGTTTTGATTGCTATCCGTTTAGACACGATCCGAATAAGTTAAAAATGTCAAATAAAAGAATAGATAAATAAACTTTTATTAAAATTTATATAAATACCTTGAATGTTAAAATATGTAATCTTAAATAAAATTAAAAAGTAAAAAATATGTTTAATAAATCAATTTTTCAAAAAATCATGTTACTTTTTATGATCCGGATATAACGAAGTTCGGTTATAACGATCAGATTCCCTAGGTCCTAGAAGATCGTTATAAGCGAATTTGACTGTATATGTTTTAATATAATTATTATTTATTTTTTCGAGTAACTTTACTGGAATGTAAAATTGGATAATTTATCATTATTTCTATTAAATACATGTAGTAATTATATAAATAGGTACTAAATTTTCATTGTTTTGTTATATTTGTATTGATATGCTTATTATAATCAATTGTTCGAGTATAACCTTGAAGAAAAATGAAGGTCATACAAAATTACTTTACGAAACCATTTATATAACTAACACAACTACAGTTAATTGAAAATGTTTGTATTTAGAAAATATTACACTAAAAATAATATTTAATTTCTTACATATTCTTTAAAATGTCCATTAAAAACGTACACAACTCTTTAATTAAACTCTTAAGTTCTAGTTATCAAATATGTATAATTTAAGTAGTTTGTATTTAGTAATTTGGAATATTTTTTTTATACCCCAAAAATATTAGATTGTTTTGCCTTTATCGAAAAAAATCAAATCAGTTACAGACACTATTTAAAAGTTTAAACTTTATAGTTTATTATAAACTTTTAAATTTATTTTAAAAAACAAAATATTCAGTTCCGTTTTCTTTTTTTTCAAAGTTGTAAGATATCAGCAATATCTAAAAATTACAGTTTTTTGCATTCACTGATAGATTCTCATAAATTTTGGGTATTATAACAATCAAGCTACAGCTTGAAATTTGGAACATATATAATGGTAGTAAGTTTATACAACGAGAAAAAGAGAGGAAGGAGATCAAAGTCAATAGCAACTTCGCGTATCCCTAAAAATGAAATAAAATAATCATGCTTCTCATCAATAAATTAATTATGATTTCGTATTATATAAATCTTCTGCATCTTTTCTTTCTGTTAAATATTCAAGCATTTCTGTTCAGTCTAACAATTTTATCCACAGAGTACGTATTGAATAAAAATAACCTATGTAAAAATTCGAAAAATTAAAATATATATAAATAGCTTAATTATGGCTAAAATGTTTTGAAAATTGTACCACGTCTAGAAAAGAAATTTAGACAAATACAATCTAAATTTCAAGAATCTATGAATATTTTTAAATAAATCACAAAAAGAAAAAATTAAATTAAAAATAATACATTTCGTAAATTTTCCCATTTGCTCTATGTTTTTTCCAGTTTTTCAAATTTTTATGAAAACCCCTTGGAAAATCAAAAAAATTACCTCTTTAATATACCACCCAGATAAAATTTCCTTTCAGAAAAGTTGCTTAATTTAATACATCAAGGCAAGATTTCTGACAGAAATTGTGTACATAGTATGAAAAAAAAAGAGCTGGGGACGGGTGTAGCCACTTTTGTAGGTGGAAAATTAAGAAGATGGGATACAAAAATGTATTTAATTCATATCAGCATGCAACGATAAACCATTGAATTCGGTAAGATATCTTTGGAAATTCCGTCTTAAAACAATTATGGAAAAAAACTGATGCATTTAATTCAAATTTGTTTTTTAGACCACTTCGGTCGCGCCCTACTTATCGAAGAAGTTAGTAGAAAATGCGAGGCATATTTTTTTGGTGGGACAGGATATAGGTATAGGACTTTTTATAACTTCATGATAATAATAAATTTTAATTAAACTATACTCAAGTACTCGACTTTTGAACTCGACTCGCCTTGAAAAAATGAATACCCAACTCAAATCGACTTGATTTCAAAAACCAAAACTCGCTCAACTCTAGTCATTAACAAAGCAAGAACAAATTATCACGTTATCCGACAAACCAGTGTACATCTCTTAATTGTCATCCATCCCCTTCTTGAGTTAATTTTTAAATATGCTTTACTGCTTTCTCTATGATCCCTTTAAAATATTTGTATCTACTTACAATATATATAATATAATAAATTTAATGGTTAGTTTTTATAAAATACAGTTTGATTTTAAAAGGCTTTATATAATATTTTTATACTTTGTGTTATGTACAATTTTGCTTTAATATTGTTCGCTTGAATTACACCTCAACAAAATATAAATGTTTTGAGTAACCAATTAAATAATTATTAAAATATAAACATATTATAGCATATAACAGCATGGCTTAAAAAATAACTACTTGAAGACTAGAACAACTACATACTTAAATATTTTACTTTTAGGTGATAAAGATCTTATGCTAAGTTTGATCTATGATGCAAGTATGACCAAAGGTATTTTTACTGAAGCCAAAAATGAAACAAAAAGGCCAAACAAGTGAGTTATATATTATTAATTTTATTGAATTTTTGCTTGATTGTTAAATACACAAATTAAAATTTACAGTGCACAATAGTTAACAAATTATTCTAAATTTTTATGAAATAACATTTATTTGGTATTAATTAAATTTTTAAAAATAATAATAAATTTAAAAATTTGATTTGATTCTGTTTTGACTATATAGTCCCTAGGTATTACGAGTATATACATATACATTTTTAAAAACAAATATTGTAACAATACCTACTTAATTTGAATAATAAATTAGTAAGTACCTTTATTTTATTAGTGCTATATTAAAATATATAAAATTAGCAATAATTACCAAAAAAATGTTAAAGTAGGTACTATTATTAGCTTTATTAGTTAATAGGACGCACTATTTTACTGACCAGACTTATATTCCCCCGACCACTTCACTAAAATTCGGAAAACATATTCCTAGTTATTTATGTTATACCTAAATATCAGCTTTCCACTGTCATTACCCTCCCTTTGTGTTGTAATTATTAGTACTAGAGTAAATTGGTTTGTTTTCAAACTTTAAAATAATAATGTTATCTATGTAACTACATCATTTTGTATTTGATATTTTAATTTTTAATTTACATAATCATTTCTTGTTTAAAAGTTAAAATAATGAAAAAGCCTACGTCTAAATTATGTTCTCTCACCTTTATATTTGATAAAAGTTCAATTTACTCTAATATCAAAATTTACAGCACAGTTGTTCCTGCTGATCTCAAATTGTCTATGTCTTACATTTGTAATCACGTCCTCTTAATAAATCAAATAAATTATAAAACTTTCCATTTTCCGAGGGACTTTATACACTGTTAAAATGATTTTGGCATGGCTAGTGACTTAGTTTATAGATTATATTTTATTGAAAAAAAAGTAAATTTCGGTTGCTCATATCAATCGTTTTCTAAAGAAGAAATTACATTTGCATTTGGTATGTTTAATCTGTAATATTCAAATAATAGTTTTCTCTTAGAAAGAGTCATGTTGATATAATATTCTCTTCGATTCAATACATTTTGTTGAAACTTGAAAATTGTTTACTCAAATTGCATTTACACGATACTTATGTCATTACACATCGCGAATATCTAGGTAGGTCTTGGATTCTATCCAAAATTCATATTCTATTTGGCTACACGTTATTATCGTTTCAGCTACCTAAATAAGTATTAACTATTAAATAAACAAATTACAATACAATGATATCTATAATCAAAAAAAGCTAAAAAACTTAAAAAAAAAATAAACACACCACAATTGTATTTTTATTTTTTTATTATTACAGATCATCTAAGTCCTTAGCTGCTACCAATACTAATTTCTTCTACTATTTTTTCCCGTTATATGCATGATTTAGGCCCCATTCCACTCTGATCTCAAATCCATTATAGCTTTTTTTGGGCGTCGTTCATAACCACACACTCATAACCGTTCAAACCCGCACAAATTCATAAGTCATTTCCGCACACTATTATTTAGTAGGTATTCTTAAGGGGTCGACCGTTCAGAACCGTACACTTTTGATTGACACTTTAAATTTGGTGGAACAGTAACACATATATTCATCTAAAATCAGATAATCGTTTAGAACCACACAATTAATCCTAATTGCAAATTCATGAAAATAAAACTTTCAAGATTGTTCGCAGATTGCTATACTACAAGTTTCTCCAAGGCTATCAAATTCATATGAAATTAAATGTATGCTGTTAATTTGAAATATTGGTAACAATACAATCATTAGTGTACCAAAAATATTAATTTCGTTTTTTTCGAAAAAATAAAAATTCCGGGGATTTATATTTGACGTTGCAATCCTAAATTGTGTATTTTTATGATGGCGACAAATGCAGATATAAAAGTATTCATTAAACAAAATAAAAATGAACATAACCACCAAGAAATAGAATATTTTTATTAATATACCTTCGTAATAATAATATCTTAAGTATTAAAAAATTAAATGAAATTATTTAATAAATAAACAATTAATAACTAAATTTATAATAATATTTTGAGTTTTGGAATATATTTACCCCACACAACGAAATATAAAAAATTCGGTGACGAACCAGTGATTGGTTAACCTTAACTATAACAGGCAAAATGTGTGTGGTATTAAACGATATGAAATGTGCGGTATTAATAAAAGAAATGTTCGGAATTGAACGACCTTTTTCTGGAAGTGTGCAGTTATGATGACATAGCCTTTTCTTATTTATGTTGTTTACGAATACTATTTTGGCTATACTATTTTCAGCTCTCCAAACATGACCTGTCTACAACAAATTCCAATCTTACACTTATCATAAATTGAACTATACCTCCTTTATTGTACAATTGTTTCGTTTGATTTTCGCTTCCGAATACAATATAATTCATTACTCTAATATTAGGATGTAGATATTTTACACATAATTTAAAAAAAAATTACTGTTGAAATTGAAAAATGTACTCATGGATTTCCAATATGTAATTGTGTCAAATATATAATAATAGATTAGATTAGGTTAGATTAGGTTATAATTGTACACTAATGGAAAGTCTGTTATTAGAGTAAGTATATAAATAATTTAAAATTATGAGTGGTACTGGAAAGCTAATAATTGTCAATGTGTCCTACAAATTGTATCCCAGTCAGAAAACAAGGGGCCTGAGTCAATGGAATTAATTGATATTTTCTATAGTTTCTCCGCACCGCTCCTGAAAGGAGGGTAATGGTAATAAAAATCTGATTTTGCATATAACATGATTATGTACCCACGGTTGAGTCTTTCAAATGTTTGCCCTGTCGGAAAACGAACAGCTTATTAAGAAGTTTATTTAAATTATTAGTATTTAATAAAAGCTGCTATTTGAAAACAGAAGTGGTAGTGGTTTCACTACAAAAAATAACGGTAATATAACATTTTAGAACTGCTTATTTCTTAAATTGAAAAAAAAAAGAAAATGTTGATAAAAGTAAATACTTTCCGATAGTGTCTTAGCGAGGATTTATCACATTGTATTGTGTAGGATAATATTTTGAGTGGAATTCGATTAGACATAATAAGTATTTAATTGAAAATTGTATTAGCTATTCGTGTTTTTTAACGAATTTTATCATAAACTTGAATCTTACATTTACATCTTATTCTAAAAATAAACTACGACATAACGATCAAATTTTTTTTACTACTAATTACTAAATATGGACGGAGGGAGGAGTAAATCTCTCTTCCTAGATTTAAAACAATTTGAAAAATAATATAGTAAATTACAATTTTTGTTTGAAATATAAAAATATAAACTAATGGTTTATATTCCTCCAAATTTTAGACCAGTTTAGAAACGAGGGTCCCGGGTTGGGGGATTAATCGATACTTTCTACAGATTTTGCTAAAGGGAAAGTGGATACCAGTAGGAAGTTGATTTTTGGATATAACGTCGATCGATAATGTCCATCAAATTTTAGTTCGGTCAGGGCACGAGAAGACTTGGCCAGAGGCATTTAGTCTGGTCAGTAAATTAAACTTTCAAGTTTTTAATTTTGAATAAAATGTACAAATTACAATTCACGCATTGCTCACACGCTTTTATATTCATACATTAATTATTTTTCACGATAACACATCGCACTATTTTCAATTTTGTGGTAATGAAGTCCAGCAGAGGTCTTGATGGGTTTGTTAACGAGGTAAAGTATTCGTATGTGTACATAAAACAATTTAAATTTTGAAATATATTTCTATTTATATGTGTTTTTAGAGAGGAATTTGAAAAAAGGTTTGGAGTGAGGTTAGCCTTCGTCGCTACTCATAGTGGTCTCACTCGATGGATGGACTTTGAAGACAAGTCAAAGACGCCACACGAAACCGATCAAACGTAAAATAACATTTAAATTTTGTTTAAAATTTTAACATAATAATAATTTCAATTATTACATTCTAAAAATATAGGCATTTTATTGAAGACAATATTTATTCTATTGAAGAAGTTTGGTATAAAAGAGCTGTTGAATATAATATGGAAAATAATGAGAGTTATGTGTATTCTGTCCCGTTTGAAAATGGCAAGTTTATTTTTTATTTTAATCTAACTTAACCTTCCAATTCTCAATATTGGTCGATATACGATATTGACTTATGTTAATACTCACCACTACTTATATTATTAATCCCAAAATTAAAATCAAATTAGTTTTTTAACTATAGAAAAAACAACATATATTATTTGTACATCTTGTTTAAGCCGCGAAAATTTATGTAATTATAATTACATTATTTTCTAATTAATTCATTACCTATAATAATAATTATATATAATCTCTTTTATTATATAGGTACTATTAAAATTGTCTTTAATTATAATAAAATCTATCCTATTATCTTGTTTTGTAAATTACTTGTTCCAAAATTGCATCATGTATACTAGACTACATTATAGAACTCGCGTAACGCTTGTAAGGTGGCTATTATTTTAGACTTTAACACAAATATAAAGTAACTAGATAACTCATTAAAATGTCCATGTTATTTAAACGTAAAACTTTGAATCAATTCCGATACTGGTTTAATATTGAGATATAGCTATGAAATATCGAGGGGATTTTTTTCAGCTTATAAAACAGAACAATTATGTTTAAGTCAAAAATAACGGTCACTCTAGGGCTTATAGCTCTGGCTAATAATTGAAGCATAAATCTCAATTTTTTTTCTTTATTATTCAAAATAATTTTTAATAAGTAAACAAAAATACCATTTTATATTTTATCTTCATAAAAACTAATTAAATTCGTTCTTGGGAACTCTAGGAGAACCTTTAATACATCCATTAGTGACAGCAAGTCAAGCAGTTTTTGTTGGTAAAGACAATAAAAAAGCTGCAGCTGCAGTTGTTGGTTATCAGTTCAGACACAAAGCTCTTCAAGAATTGTTTTTGAATATAACAAGCCAGGTTTCTTGATGATATATTATAATAGTTGTGCAAATTATTAACATAATTGATTTAAATTAATTATTTTAGTGTTATGAGGAAGCCGGTTGTAATATAGTAAACGATACTTGCCTAAACACAGATCTACATTGTTATATACTCGATAATAACGGTTACATAATTGCATCAGAAAACTCTAAAGAAACCGGTCGTTTCTTTGGTAGAGTCAAGGGATCAATTATGAATATGATGGTAGAACAAAATATTTACAAAAAGATAACAATATTCGATTATCAAGGTGTGTGTTTTCAACGAGAAGACAACAGCGATGCAAATAGTTCATCATTTTTGTTTACTGTAAGTACCTATTACCTACTAATTTTAAATAGGTACTTATTTAAATATTTTATATTGTTTTATTTTTAATGTTTTACTACGAATACGGTGTGAATAATAGGGTTAGAAAAATGACTATTGTATGGTTCTCATTATATTTAAATATAAAAAGACGGACATACTTCGCACGTGGATTGACTGTTGTAGGTGAGAAGTTGGCAAGGTACCTAATAGGAGGGAAATTTAATGTGTATGTAAAGTAAGCAACGATAAACCATTGCTAACGAAAAACAATTCTGTGCGGAATTTAGTTGATAATGAATGTTGCTTTATCAATAATATATTATGTATACCTATGTCATATCATGGTAAAATAATTGCATATGCATTAAATATTTGTTTAATATTGAGTCTACTTTTCCGTTTTTCCTACATTTTTTTCATTTATTGGGAAAATCAAAATAAAGACCTGCTTAAAATACGACTCCAGTCAAATTTCCTTTCAAAAAAGTGCATTGTAAATCAGAGCAAAATTGCTGGTAAAAATGTTGTTCACAGATAAGAAAAAAAAAATTTAAAAAATAAATATCATTGTAAAACAAATACATTCCTCGCTCCACTCAGAATCTAAAACATAATTACCTATTACCCTATCTATTCAAAAAGGTCAAATCAGGTATTTTTTTTATTTTTATGAGATTAACTAAAATTTAATGTAATTTTAATATAAATATGAAACCTATATATTGAGTACATATCTGGTCAAAATAAATAGTTAACTCGTCATGAATCCTGGACGAAAAGTCCTAAGACAAAAGGTCCATGAATAAAATGTCCGGACTCATTTTTTATTGATGGACAAAAAGTCCGAGCACATTTTTACATTCTACAATAATAACAATAATTTAAAATAAGTTACATTTTGAAAAATGTTCAATATAGATATTGATCACTCTACAATAATAAAAATAATAACAATTTTCAGATTACCATTGGAAGTTACTAAAATAGACGGACTGTATTTTTTGGAAATTTTTTTTGAACTTTTCCACCGAATACTCGAAACAAGTTTATAATAAACCATAAGTTTATTAATATCCATTAAAAACAATTTTATTTATTTTCTTTATATGGTATAAATATACTTGAAAAATAATTGATTTATTAGATGTAGATTTATCTAAATTGTGTGTAAAAGTGATAATAATAAAAAAATTAATTTTTTGTTTTTCGGATTTTTTGTCTGACAATAAAAAAAAAACGAGTCCGGACTTTTATAGTAGTATTTAAAGCAGAATACCTCAGAAACTTTTCGTTCAAATTTCGATTTAAATATATATTGACATTTTCAGAAATCTGATTAACAAGTTGTATTGAAACATATAAATTCTCATTTGAAAAACTAAATTTGATATTAGTGCAAGTTACTGTTTAAGTGTTTTAAACCATCTAAGTATCTCGAAATATAGTCTTTCACTACGTACTCTTAAAAATTCCAAATATCAGAATTTGAATTTATGTGTAATTTAAAAAGCAAATGAGATGAAACATATTTAAAAAAATTACCTTGTATTTTATTATAGATGTTTAAGAAAAATGAATTAATGGGGGGATATGTACCATTTACCCTCCCTGAATTGGTGGTTGATTTATTTTTTGACATATGCAAATTTATACACATATAAAATAAAAAAATTTCAATAGTTTACTTTTCATAAGTTGAGTAAATATATTTTTAAAAAAAAAAAAACATTAAAAACGAATAGCTAATAGGTACCTAATTTACATAATCCAGTTATTTTTTTGTTTGCCCTCACTTAAGATGAAACAAATGGTTTTTCTGTTCAATTATAGAGACATTAATAACAAAATAATAATTATTAATTATGTAAACTCTGAAATTATTGTTTTAGCCAATACACCATTTCAAAAATTTAATAGGATGGTTAATAGGACGTGTGTTATGGTTGGCTGCTAATTCTAATTTTCAGTGGATGGTGTCTCAGGCTCAAGCCATATTTGAAAGCAGTTTAGTATAATTATATTTTTAATTTTAATAATTATTACCTAAATGTCTCATTTTATGTCATAATATTGTGGTTTTTAGCATCAGACTATCAAGATGACGAAGAAGTAAATAATAACAAGTATGTAGGAACTCAAAGTAATTCTAAGTTAGAAGGTGAAGCAGCATTAAGATACGTAATGATAAACCGTACTCGTCCAAAAACTTGTGACCGTGTAGTTGATTTGTACACACTAATTTTGAATACGCTAGATAATATCGACCGCAAAAATTCATGTCATATGTAAATTATATTATACATGTTTAAAATACACTGTTTGCACATATTATGTTTTTATATCATTTATTACAGACCTTTTGAAGTGCGTAAAATAATGAATACCAATTTAATTTTATTGGTTGTTAATGATAGATGCATGACCGACAAATTAAAGAATATCAATTTTGATACAGTGCCACAAGAAGTAGTCACTTATGAAAACTTTAATAATTCGTTGAGTTGTCATAAAGCATCTAACAGGTTGCCACGATGTAGACCTAAAACTGCTTGCATAAAAACACATCCTGATGTAAGTAGAACTTTTTAATTATTATAAACAATGAAAAGCTATAAAAAATTGAATTTATCAATACTTAACCTAATTTTTAATTTGTTTTGTTTTTCAGGAGCATCTAATTTATGAAAAAAAATGTGGCAAGGGTACAATAATTACGCCATCATTATTCATTTTTTTTTATATGTTCAATTTTATATGGTTTTTATAATTTTTTATTTTTAAATCAAAATTTCAAACCTCCTACTTATGTTTCGATAATTACTTGTAATAATTATTTATTTTAAATTAAATGTTTTGTCTATTGCGTCTATTAAAATTTAACATGTGTTACAAACATTTATTATTATAATCAATTCAAAATATTATCATTCAACAATATATTTAATTTAATATTCTATTAATCAGAATATTAGATTATAATATAAAATAGGAACTTAAACATCAGAGGCGTACATTGTGGTAACAATATAATATGTAAAATTCAGTTATTGTTTAGAACATTTAATATAATGTTTTTATTAACACAATGTATAATCTATCTAAAGATTTTATTTACAATTATAACTATGATCTAAGACTTATACTTCTAAATTAAACTAAAAACTAATATTTATGTACACTGAATACCAATTAAAACTTCAGAAGAATTTAGTCCAATTTACAACACTTCCTAAGACAATAACTTATTAAATTATTCATTAGAAATATCATACATTTTTATATATATAATATTCTAATTAACCCTATATTATGTGCGTAGGTGACAGTTATTACCCAATCTATGAAAAAATTGTCCAAGTATTAAATATTTTATTCTAACCATAAGTTTGTAAATGAAATAATTATTTAAATAAATATGCAAATATTTAGTAATAATAAAAAGTAATAAATGTTAACTATTTCAACTCTTAATTAATAATTTAGTGGCAATTAACGGTAAGTAGCTGAAATAACTTTTGTTCTGTTCAATATTTTAAAGTTTTTTCCTTGTTATTACTAGAACATTGTGTTATGATTCTTTTATTTGTATTTTTTTTTTTTTTTAAATTAACGTTCAAAATATAAAATATATTTTAAAACAAAATTTTGGTATAACAAATATTTACTAATAATAAATCATTCATTTTTCACAATTTGTTGAAATGTACAATAATTTTAATTGTTTTTATTGCCATTTGCCACTTCCTAAATTAAGGCCTTTGCTTAAGAATGTGTGGTCCAAGTTCGCTAGCTTATCTCACTCTCATGATAGTCAACCAACCAGTTTTATATTGGTTAATAGCCTTCATAAAACAAAAACATAATGACATGAAGAATTAGATCTACGCACACAAAACAAAGAAATAGACATCATAATCTCATACTTAAATGGTGTTCTATGTGTACAAAAAACTTGTTAAAAAACTCAAATCCCGTTCACAGGTTTAATTGCAGATTCCCATAAACACCTGAACTTGAAATGTAATTTAAGTTCTTTTGGTTTCTATCAAAACTTGTCAAATAAAATTGTTCAAGGTGTTTTATTCCTAATATCTACATTTCGTAAATTTTCCTGTTTTCCTCTATTTTTTCCTATTTAAAAATCAAAGGAATATTAAAAAAGTACCTAACCCCAGTCAAGATTTCTTTTCCGAAAAAATGGTATCATTATAAATTGAAAAAAAATTAATGGTAGAAATGTTGTCCACAGGAAAAAAAAAAAATAAACAAATATATCATTGTAAAACCAATACTTCGCTTAGAATCTAAAATAATATGAAAAATATAAAGAAAAGGAATCATGGCCAACACTTAAGAAATTATTTTAAGAAAAAACACTAATATATTGATCAGAAGAAGTTATTTCAAATGTCAGATCTTCTAGGAATCTAAATGCACCTATATACAAATCTTAACTCATACAATACTCTGTTATTACTAAATATTCTTATATTTATTTAAATTATAATTATTTTAAAAAAAATAATTCTAGTTCAATTTTCATTTTATACAAGTTAAAGAGCATTTATATTTTTTCAGAAATACTTTCAATAAACTCATTTAATAGTATTTCATTTGATCTTTCTTGCAATTTATTGATTATGTTATCCAAATATTCTCCACCTTCTAAAAAGACCAATAAGTTGTGAAAATTTTGACATAAACGATGATCTGTGATACGATTTTGATTGAAATTATATGTTCTAATTTTTTCTGATCTAGCACTAGAACCAACCTGATTAAATGGAACATATTAAATTTGGTTAAAACAGTTGATTCAATATAATATTTACCTGTTGTTTCCGGGCAGACTTGGTGAACAATTGTTGTTCTTTAAGTTGCCTTTGATAAATTATCACTCTTAATTTTTGTAAAGCTATTTTTCTATTTTTAATTTGTGACCTGTCTGTTTGACATTCAACTACAACACCTGATAATACAATATACATTTTGAAAACATGATTACTAAGTAGCAAGTACTTGGGAAAAATAATTATATTTATATGAGATATATAACCTGTTGGTTTATGGTGCATTCTAACCGCACTATCAGTTTTGTTGACATGTTGGCCACCTGCTCCACTTGCTCGCTTAGTTTCTATAACCAAATCTCTATCATTAATCACAACTTCTAGCTAAAATTAAAAGATTGAATTAAAAAAGTTGGGTGCAGCCACTGTTGTAGGTGGAAAGTTGGAAAAGTAAAATATAGATGGAAATTTAATGTATATCTATAAGCAATTATTTACCATTGCTAACGAATAAACGATTTTGAGCGGAGTTCAGTTGATAGTGTCGCTTTGTCAACAATTTATAATATATATGTCATATTATGGTAAAATAATTAAATATGCATTAAACATTTTCTTAAATATTTGTTTAATATTGTACCTATTTTCTTGTTCTTCTTGTTCTCACGGGTTTTTTTTTATGTTTTCCCATTTATTGAAAAAACTCCTGGGAAAATCAAAAAATTACCTCTCTAATAAACCACTCCAGTCAAATTTCCTTTCAGAAAAAGTGCTATCATTGTAAATCAGAGCAAAATTGCTGGTAGTTGTTCACAGATAAAAAAAAAAAAAATATTAACATTATTGTAAAGCCATAAGCTTCTTCGCTCCACTCAAAATCTAATAATATACATATTGAGACAGTTAGCAACAATTTTAAAATAAATTATTATAAGTAATGTAATCAATGATCGGTTAATATATTATAACAAATGGTTTAAAAACTGTTTGTCCTATAATGTTTTTGTTTCTACTCCAATTATTCAATATAAGATAGTTATATTTTTATTTAATTTAATAAATTACTTCAGTTGGTTGGGGTAAAATGGCCACTGTCACAGTACTTGTATGTATCCTTCCAGATTTTTCTGTTTTCGGAACGCGTTGAACACGGTGTACACCACCTTCGTGTTGCAGTAAACGATAACAATTATTACCTGATATCATTAGGCATGCATGACGTATACCTCCTAAAGTATAATTCAAATTGATGTTAAAATTTTATTCAATTGATTTGTTTTTGTTTATTTAAAAATTACCCATATCAGTATGGATATAATCAGCAATTTCACTTTGCCATCCTTTATAGTGTGAAAAAGAACTATACATTTCAAAAAGTTCTTGTGTAAAAATCATGGCTTCTTGACCTCCAACTCCAGCTGTTATTTCCAACATTATATCTTCACATTTAATTTCATTGTTTGGTACCAAACAACTTAAAAGCTAGAAAATACTGAATGATTATAAAAATTGTACAATTTTATCTGTACAAAGGTTTAGAAACTCAAAATATTTTTAATTCTTCACAAAATCTTAATCATTTTTGTTTTTAATGTTTTTATAAGTAATTAATATTTGAATCATATACAATTCATATGAACTTACCAAATATTTTAATATATAATTCTTTATAAGGTATATTTATTTACAAACACAGATTACAATTCATATATGATTAAAATGTTACAAATCCAATATGTATTTAATTGTATTTAATAATTTGCTTTTTATTGAACAAAAATATTTAAAATATCAATGAAATATTTGAAATAAAAAAAAATTGATTATTATTTTAATAATAGTAGATAATTAATAAGGTACATTTTTAAAGTAGTATTTGTTTATATTTTTTTTCTTTGAGGCAATTTTTTAAATTTTTATCAAACATAAGACAGTAACAAAATAAAAAAAAATTATCGAACTTCAAATTTAAAAATATTTACAATTTTTAAAATTTTAAATGTTCTCCATAAATATAGAAAATATTAACAATAATTTATTTATAAAATGAAAACTAATTATCATGTCTAAAAGAATGTGGTACAACAATAAATGCTTAACTTTGTTATAAACAAAAACAAATATTTTAAGTAACAAATCTTTCCTTGATAAAAAGTCAAAATATATATAAAATCATACATACGTCCAGTTCTAGTTCTTTCAATTGCTCTTCTAGTGACCCTTTCTCTTTTTGTAATTGTGTACAAAATTCTTTGTCATTTTCCTTTTCTTGAGTAACAAACATAGTACTATTAAGTATCAATTCAGAAATTTGTTTTATATTTGAATAGGTAATAAGCTAATATTGTATAATAATAGTAATATATTATATTGACCTGTATCAAACTCATAAAGTGATTTTAAATCGACTTTTAATAAACGTATAGTGTTTATCAAGGCAGACACCTTAGGTTTAGACATGGTATCTGAATACTCTTCGGATATGAGTTTATCCAAGTATGACCGTACACCCAAATTGTTCAACAATGTACTAGGAACTCCTGGTGCCGTCGTAGATAAATGACGACACACTGGAAATTCGCATTTTAGAAATGATAATTGAAAACATTGACTAGGCCACAACGTTTTATTGCATAAATTAAATATATTTCTGATATTCAAGAACTTCATGGTCGATAGATCTTGTTTTAATTAAATACCATACAATAAATAATGATTTACAATCACAATACCTACAAATTATTTAACATAAATTGAATTGTTATGCATCCAGCTGGTTGGTTGCATAGTTAATGGCAATTTTAAGAACATTTTTATTTTTTTAACTGTTATCAAATAAGTACTATGGATATATGGCCGTGATATAATATTTACTATCATCAACACAGTATCACCTTTAATCATGGTCTTTTAGTCCAAACATTTAGGGCCAATTGTACAGTTTCGCGGTTAAACAGTGATTAAATCTCTGTGTGTTTACGGTGGACGATTAAGTCATGGTTAGTTAATCAATGATTAAAACATGATATGGTTGTTTTTATACAATATTTTCATTTTATTGTACTCATTCACGTGATACTCGGTCTTATCACCAATTATATTATCATTTTAATTATTAGGCTACATTTTAATTATTACTTTGCTCATTATGAAAAAGTTACAATTAAAAAAGATGAAGCGTACTATTCATTTTACGGAATGATCTGTTCGAAGCCTAAATATTCTTGGCCGTCTCGGAAATGCTATTAATAAGGCAGTTTTCAAATTCCTCATTTCAATTTCTTCATCAATTCAAAATCACAGTCATCAATTTCAGAATTAATTTTTTTTTAAATTTTTAGGTTTAATAAAATGTTGACGATTTTATTGGTAAAAACTACTAAAAAGACACTTGACGTAACATATAATTATTAAAATGAGATAACAGCCATCTACAACCGTGATAATAGCCGAAAAATTAACTAATCAAAATTTTACCGGCCTCGAATGGGCGGTTTACTTAACCCATCTTTAATCACTGATTAAGGAGTTAACCGGCACTGTACAACAGACAAAAAGTCGTAATCATTGATTATAGTTTAATCACAATTTAACTGTGCACGCTACAACTGGCCCTTAGTAAAGTAAAAATAGTGAACAATTATTTAAAATCTAAAACGTGTCAACGTCTGTTGATCGCCTACATCTAATGTTGCTGAACTCGAACAAGGGTGTTTTCAATTTTGGATAACGTTAATATGAAAATCCTTGTTGATATCGTTACTTTTTAAAGAAAGAAGGATTATTATGTACACATTTGAATACCTAATAGTAATATTAAATATCTTAAGTCTTTATGTAATCTAATCTATTTCAATTTGATTTATATTTTGAACACAATAATTATACGAGTATGATATTTTTAATACAATTTTACATTTTTTTTATTCACTGAAGTCGAAAATATATTCAAATATACACACCCCCCCTCAACTCTTCACACCGACCAGCGACCATACTTATTAAATTATTTATTATAGGCACGGTGTAGAGATGATCTCATTGTCATCGTAATTATAGGTAATCATATTTTTAATCCTAGTATACTATAATGTGAAATCAATTCCTGTATTAGTTACTTACCATTTTATGAATTATAAATTCTTCTCATATAAAATAAATGGTAAAAATTAAGAAAAATTATGACCTAGTAAAATAATTCAGAGCTCGGAATGGCCCATTAGTAAGTATTTAATAATAATCCTACGAACTTTTTGCCGAGTTATCTATAGTGTGATTATCAAACTCCAAAAAGAAATATACTTAGATATTTTCTATTATGTTGATACCAATCCTGGGGTAAAATGTTTGCCCATTTAATATCATTGACCTTCCTGTAATGTCATTTACAGTATTATTTTGGTGTAGCGTGTAGGTTTATAGTAAAGAGTCAATATAGTATTGTTTACCATAAGTCGTAGTTGATATTCTAAACAAACAGACATTCGCATTAGATAGGTACTTAATAGGTAGTAAGTGTCACAATAATAATAAAATATCAAAGTAATAAGCAGCAGTTGTTGATATTTAGAATAGAGGTGTATTTTCATATAATAATGTACCTACTAGGTGATCTATTAGGGCGAGTACACTCATTATCTCCGAAAGAATTAACTTTTTCTGGAATTTATTTTCCAATATAATATTATTTTATAATTTAATTTATTTTGTAAATCATAAATAAGTGGTGGTTTTACACCTAAAAATAAGGGTAACAAAAAATAACATAATTATAAAATTGTAAAACAGCTTGTTTTTTAAATGTTCTAGAAAACAAATTCTGGAAAAAGTTAATACTAACCACTTAAACGGATCACCTGGTATATGTATGCATGTTATCATTGATTATAAAATATACTAGTATTTTAAATTATCCCAGAAGTTCCCAAAGTGGTATATATAAATCCAAAGAGGATCGGGGGACAGTTTTCAGGAAAATTAACCATATTAATAAATGGGTACACACTGTTTAGTTATTACTTGTATAGACAAATACATATTTATATGTCTATACTTATATGTTATATGTGATAGATTAATCCTGTTCTGATCTCTGCTTCATGATTATTTTATAAATACTTATATAATATCATTGATTATAAATACTAGTATATTTTATAATCAATAATAATATGCATACATATACCAGGTGATCCGTTTAAGTGGGTACACTCACAATGTATATAAGTACTTTTAATATAATCATGAAGCAGAGATCAGAACAGGATGAATCTATCACATATAATATATAAGTATAGACATATAAATATATATTTGTCTATACAAGTAATAACTAAACATTGTGTACCCATATATTAATATGGTTAGTTTTCCGGATAACTGTCCCCCGATCCCCCTTGTATTTATATATACCACTTTGGGAACCTCTGAGTTAATTTATAATTAAGATAAGATTAGTTTAACATATGTAACTCGTAATTCGTGATTGTTGTACATTTGTACCCATGATTGTACAAAATACATTTTATTATTTTGAATAAACTATTTTTAAAGAATTTTCATACATTTCTTTTTCATAATTAATTATTGTTGGATAGATTACGTTTCTATTTAAATTTTGTTGATAAATGTACATATTAGGATACAGTTATAGGTCACCATGTAAAATTTCACAACTTATCACCAGTTAGCACTTTAGCTTATACTTTATTATTAATGTTCACAGAATTATATTCAAATAAATAGGTAGGTATTATCTGTGTTGTACGGATGTCTTAAAATTTGAAGTGGAAAATATCACACTTACTTCTTATTGTATTTACACAATACTAACATCGTAGATGAAATAACAAATTTCTTCATTTTGTAACGTGTTATACAAACTGCAGTTAGTGAGTTTAAACATATACACAGTTTTTTTTCCACAGTATAATCAATTAATTATATTAATAGTTTGCTTTACATTATATTAAAGTAGGTAATTATAATGTTATAACTAAAAAATATTAATATTAATTCAAGTAAAATTTATTCCTTCCGATTAAAATCAGTTGATTTCAGTATTTTTATTTCTAGTTAATAGAAATAAAAATCACATTAATTTTTTATTTGTTTTATTCATTAAACTATTGATATATGGCTGAGATAAATGAGAATTTTTCATTTTTCCCAGCCTTTCCTAAACTCAGTGTCTTTCATTGACTTATCAAACCTATATTTTTATCAATTATTTATTTTCAATGATTTTAATTCTACTATTCGTGTTTTTAACAAAGGTAATCAATTTCAAAAAAAAAAAAAAATGTATATTAAATTCTCTAATAAAAATAATGCTCAAATGTATTGATAATGTATTTAATTTCTTTATCTTAATATTATATTATTACAAAACAGTAGTATTAGTTTATGTAAAAAATACTTTTACTTTTTCTATATGATATTAAAAATATTATCTGGCTTGAAATAATTGAATTATATTTACTAATATAAAATAAATTCATTAATTTCACTAGTCATTATTATTATGATTTTACATAATCTTTATTAACTAGGTTACAAACATACATAATAATGGCAGTATACTTAAATTCATGCATATCCCTTCCAATTAATTTGACTGACAATGATTTTCAAGACCTCATACAGAAGATAAAAGATTGGACTATAATGCATGGTTAATTGTATTTTTTATTTCAAGTTTTACCTATTAATTAACTTGCACAGTTAAATGAACTTAGCGTAAATTTAAGATTAATTTATACATATTTTGCAGGAGGTGGTATGAGATCAAAAACTCAATTTTCCAATGATTCTTTAACTGTGGTACCGTTTACCTTATTACCGTCAGTTTTTCCACGCGCTGAATTTCAAAAGGCAATTGCAATACAACCAGCATTAAATGAACTCACTCATCGTGTTTCTAATGATCATGAATTTTTATTTTCTTGTTTGGAAAAGTATAACAAATTTACATTTTTTATAATTTTGTAAGTTTTTAGTAATCAATTATTGATTGTTTTTAGAACAATAGAAGTTGATGAATTTACACGTAATTTATTTAAATTATATGAAACTGTTCGGAATGAAGGTTTTACACAGGTATGCTTCTAAAACTCAACTTGCATGATTCATAATTATTACCTTTTTATTAATCTTTTACTATTAAGTGTGTAGAAAGAGTTGGTATCATATATTTAGTATGTATAAAATATTAAGTAAAATAAAGGGAAATAATGCATTTATTATAATATATTGTAGAGCTATCTTATCTTACTTCTTATATAATTATTCATATGTTGCATAAATCTTGGGAATTAATTAACTGATTTTGATGAACTTTTTTTTATTGACTTCTTTTCATCACCAGAATGATAAGCTGTATTTTATCAATATCATTTAAGCAGTTCTCAACATTTTAAATTTCAAAACAACAAGATAAGATATTCAAGTAAATGAAATATTAAAAGATGGGGTGGGTTGATTTCATTTCTAAAATTATATACAAAAAAAAAACCATCTGATATTTCCCTGGGTGAAGCAAAGTGAAGATTTTTTTATAGTTATGTATAGCCAATACAACCAATTGGTTTTATATTACAATCAATTTATTTAAATAATTATGACAATTGTGTATAGTATTACTATAGAAACGTTTTTTTTTTTTTTGTAAAGAGAAACTAGCAAAAATATTACTCACAATAGTCCCCGTATTCATCTCTGAATGTTAACCTATTTGTGCTAATTTTCATCAAAGTCTGTTTAATTATTTAGCCATCAAATTGTAAAAAATGGACTCACTTTACATATTTAGGATAGAGTAATCACATAACTGACTATTATTAATATTATTATTATTGTTGTTGTTTTTATTTTAAATAATCATAACTGTTTAAAGCAACGTTTCCCAAACTGTGGTCCGTGGACACCTGGGGGTCCGTATGTATACTGAACAGGGCTCACGAATGTAAATTAAAAATACTATATACTACGTATAAAAATGAAAATACTGATGTATGAAAGGGTAGATTTTTGTATTGGGTTCCTCTACATGTTTTGGATTGTGCCAGTGATTCCTAATAATAGAATTTCTGAATTTATCACTTTTAATGCTCTATTTTATGCTTGGCGTATTTAACGCATATGTATTTTAAAACTATAGGGAATAGTTTATACTATAGTATATGATAGTGGTGGTGAAATAATAGTTTTATGAGTGAAGACACAGTTTTTTTTTAAATATGTGGGTGGCTGGGTCAGTATTAGATAACAAAGTATGAAGTTGAATCAGTTTACTTAATTGTTTTTTAAAAAAGTTATAATACTTTTATGTATAAATATATATACAAAATAGAGAAGCATAGATTTTTTTTTATCAATAAATGAGTTAGTAAGCCAAATAATTTTGCCAAACTCACTCATGATGTAAGTTTTGTGCCACTACTGGTAAATAGCTATAAGGGAAATATATTTTTCTTTTTAACTTATAAAATAATTCAATGGGTATATATAAATTATAATAAATGATTTTAATTATCATTTTGTTGTCTTGAAATATTCAAACCTTTTACCTATAATATGACATTATTATTATGTTAACGTCAATAACATGTTTTATATTCATTAATATAATTGCCTACATAATAGAATATGTATAAATTCAATAAAAATTATAAATACCAAAGTTAAATTACTGGGGATACTTACCATAGTTATTAGCATACCATTGGCACAAATTGAGTTAGGTCAACGGCTTATTATATTGATTACATTAACTAACAACACAACAATTTATAAATAAGATTCTAAGCTAAGAAGAGTGCTTGTAAACTTAATTAATGACAAACTTTAATATCAGTTATTATTATTTTCAGTAAAATCAAAAAATAGTAATTTGTTGTAACTCTTTCGATTTTGGACTCGTATAATTATATATAATGGTTTAATAATTTTAAAAACCAAATGTTTGTTCATTTTAGAGAGGAAAGAACTTTTATGTTAAACTTACCTAAGTAGATACCACCTGAAAAAGTTACTATTTTAATATTAAAAATGCATAGAAATATTTTTTTATACTACTCCATATCCAATAATAGTAATAATACCACGTTCAAGAAGCAGTAAAAAAACCAATTGCCTGTTTCGCTTAATGTTGCAAACAATAATAAACAAAAAAATTAATTACAAAATTATTTATAAACTAATGATTACACTATTTTAAAAAATTAAAATTCTTTATAGTAGTAGCTTGAAAGATGCTAAACGATTTTTAAAATTACATCTGAGGCATATATGGCCATATTTAATATTATTTAGGGTAATTGAAGGTTCTAATCTCCTTGTCATAATCTTTTCATTATTTTTGTATTAATAATGTATAATGTACTTATAAACAATAAGAAACATAACATCTCATACCATAAACAAATATATCCAGTTACGGCCTTGGGGATATAAATTTGCTTATCACTATAATTTTTCAAGCGCTTGAGCCTGGGAATGTTGCGCTCAGATATCATGCAGGAAAAGGAAGCAAGCGGTGATTGCATCAAACAAGTTGAAATGAACACAATTGCTAGCGGATTCGGTTGGCTTGGTATCGTTTCCGGGGACATTCACAGGTCAGGATTAAACTAAACTCACCTAACTTTCTATATATCTGGACCCAATTCTTTTTTTCTTTTTTTTTTTTTTTTTTTACTGATATCAGACCTCTGTCTTTGTAAAGCCTCGGATTTGTTGTTCATGTTCTATGACTAATTTGAAAATTAGTTTTATATGATTCATGTAAAGATAAAATATTTAAAATATGGGTTCATCATGATGTATTAAATCTTTAATTAATATTTATTCTACTTGGCTGGGTATTTTGTAATACAACAACACCTATTATAATCAATAATTTTTTAATACATCTTATTACTTTATGCTTAGCTTTATTAATTTATTTTACTTATCTTTTACAGCTTAATATAACATTAATTAATTTAAAATGTATATGGATCTTGTGGTTTTATTATTACATAATATATAAATATTACATTTATACTAACAGACTTAAAGGGTATCTGCTTGCTTTATAATAGTTTTTATTATATGTATATATTTGTAGGGTATGGATGTATATACAATATACATTTACAATTAACTTAATATGTAGGAATCAATATTCCGAAGAAAAAACTGAAGTTTTCAGAAAATTTGATTATATTAAAAATTTAAAGTTAAGAACCTTGGTAAAGTAGCATCATATGTTCTTATCAGATTCGACCAAAATCTGCTCATTTTAGAGCTCCCAGTATAACCTGTGGTGTACTATTTATGTCTAATTTAAAAAAAAATATTTTACCCTGTTTTTCAATGCAGCCTGCTATAGACCAACATGTAATCATAGTGCATATAGCTGTGTTTTTAAGTCCCTGACTACTTCCACTAAATTACACATTAGTATCAATTGGCAATTTCTTCGGCTTATGGTTTTAGAAAGATGTTTATTTTATTTTTTATTTTTATCTGTTGATAACTTTTCAACCAGAAATCTTGGTCTGATTTTTAAGTATCATTTTTTCTGAAAGGTAATCGGACTGGGGAGGTACTTTAAAGAAGTTATTATTTGATTTACCTAGGAGTTTTCTCAACAAATGGGAAAGTCGAAAAAAATATAGAAAAATTGAGAAAATCGGTACAATATTAAACAATTATTATTTAAGAAAATATATAATGCCTATTTAATTATATTCTCATGATATGACATATATTGTTGACAAAGCATCACTATTAACTGAACTTCGCCCAGAATTGGTTTTTTTCCTTAGAAATAGTTTATTGTTGTTTATAGATATATATTAAATTCCCTTCTGTACCGAAACCTTTTTAAGTATATATTTTGTGCTGAAATTATTTTGTTTTAGCCATATGCATCTAGTTACCTACTGTTTTATTAAGTTATTCATATATTCAAATCTATAATATTATAAAAGTCAGTAACTAAATAACGCCATATTATGAATGAAATATAATTGCTTATTACCCAATATTATACATTTTTGGCCAGAGAAATTCAGGAGCAGGAAATGGAACATTTTTTTTTTTCAATTCAATTACTGTTTGGTGGATGATTACAACTGTTCTTGTTACAACTACGGTAATAATGGTTTCTGTGACTGGTTCAAATGTTTTGGTTTCATTGATTAAGATATTATTACAGGGTTTATTGATAATTTGGTACCCAATACTAATATATCTTTGGGAGCAAGATATAATATTGTGTATGGGATTTTGCAAAAATACCCGAGAAACCATAACTTCGAATATAATTTATTTTTTAATATTTTTAATTATTATTAAAAAGTAATTTTTCAATGTAATAATACTTATAATCTAAATTCAATTATTAAATTACTAACTATTAACTAAATTTAAATAGTCATTGTGTTATTGATATAAAAATTGTATTACTCGCTTATCTTATACAGCCAACAATTGGTCAATTTTAATTTCATTATTATTTGTTTAATACAATATATTTATATGGCTTAACATATAAGCTGGAAATCTAGGCTTTGGTGTGGTGTCTATTATAAAAACTAAGATTTAATATAATAGTCATGAACTCATAAATAATAGTTTCTTATTTCAACAAATTATACAAATTCCCAGGAACAATTGAATTTTTATAGAAGTAAATATGAGAGCGATTCCCTCGGATGTTTGGGTAAAGTAAAAAAAAAAAAAAACAATTTTATCGTAATATTACTATTCCACTGTAGTATGTATTACAATACTATTAACAGTGTTTAATTTATAAACCTTTGGGGAAAAAAATGCTTGTTGAATGGATGTCAGTATGCAATAAAATAAAAACTAAATTTCTACGCGGGTTTTACTACCTACCTATTTCTTCTGTAGAATGGTACACGTTCTTGTGTATTGTGTTGATGTGTGATGCTTTACAGTCGCGGTGTCTGGGATTATTGAGATCCGACTACTTGTTGGATGTTTGCAATTCTACCTCTGTGAAACAAGTGGAAATGAACACAATCGCTTCGAGCTTTGCCGGTTTGACTTCATCAGCCCCAACTCACAGGTATATAACACATCTGCAATTTTGGTTTAATGTTTTGAAATTATTCTGAGACTGCTATTTATAAAAAAAAATTGTATTAAATTGTAATTATTTAAGATATTACACTGTTGCATTTACCTAAGTCAATAATTAGCATACTGTTGATCAGGTATAGTATTGTACAGTATAACACGTAAGACGACTTGATAAATTTCCTTCATAGGTATCAGGCTGCCATAATAGTTATTACTATGTTTTGCACAGTGATTAGCAAGATAGACTGTGTTTATTTTCACTATATATTTATTTCTTCTTATTATATTATACATTATTACATTTTACACACATAACTGTTTATTATATGAGATCGTTGCTCCTACTGGTATTATTATTGACTTTCAATATTGTAAAATAGTTTTAGTAACAAAATACCTACAAGCAACTGTTTAAATTTTCTTCAACTGTGAACTAGTAAACTTGATACAGGACAGAGGTCTACTGTTGGACATATTAAAGGCATAATAAATATTTGAAGTTCATTTTTTTTTTTTTATGTGTGCAGATTTGTCTTGCAACAAATGGGCCTTTTAGACAAACTTTGTGTGGTAAGTATTATTCATAATATTCAAATATTTCCTTAGATTTCTATACAACTAGGTTTACAATTTACTTAATAACTGTTTTAAGTCAATGTTTAAAATAAGACAACAATAAATGATTTTAGTTGCCCAAGAATAATGCCCTGCAAGGTTTGAGTTCAGCGATCATTAAAGCTTGGGAACTATTCAATGAAAAAGAGTATGTTTGAAATGTTTATTATTTAATTATTCATTTCAATTATTTTTTTAAAATAATTTAATTAAATTACTAACTTTCATCAATTATATTGCATAGTTACAATAACATCAATTTTAAACCAATAAAAGTAATATTTAATAGATATTTAATAACAAAATTGAAAATATTTAAAATATTTTTTCTGTTAACTTTATTTTCTTATACACCAACTAAACAAAAATTTCTTTCAAAAAGGATGCTATTCTTAAAATTCAAGGTAAGATATCACTTAGAAAACAAAAATCGAAAAAAAAAATTAAATAAATCATTATGGTTACAGTTTTCCTATTTATGTTTTCCAATTATTATGAAAATCATAAAACCATCTTAGAGGACCAACTAGATACAAAAATGGTCTTATGTCATTTTTTGATTGAAATTATATTGTTTGGTAGAAAAGTTATTTACAGACAAAAAAATTTTTATAAAAACACATAGTAAAACTAATACATTCCTCGCTCTGCATAAATTCTAAAAAAAACACAGAATTAAAAGGATTCATCATAAATTGTTAATTTTTTTTAATCTTTATTTGCTTTTAAATGGTACCTATATATATATATATACTAGTACTAGTTGATATTGTAAAAATAACATAAATATAATTTCTTTAATCAAGATGTAGTGATACTTGAATTATAATTGTAATATGTTAATAGCATAGGCATATATTATATATCAATGATTAATAGATGACCTCATTTTAAAATATGGATTTCATTAACTATTTTTCAGTTCGGTTATTTTGGTTATTATTGAAGATCAATCAATGAATATTTGTGACCAACGTTTTCATGAATTTGAAATAACTCGGCAAAAGCCAGAGTTACACGTCATCAGAAAAACTCTTACACAAATTTCCAACGAAGCAAATTTATCAAATTCAAAAGACTTAATAGTGTAATTCAATAACATAATTTATTAGTACCTTGAACGTTTTACAAAAATAATATTTTTTTAAAGGCAAGGGAAAAAAGTTGCTGTTGTATACTACAGAGCTGGCTATTCTCCTGATCATTATCATGGTGAAGCTGAATGGTCTGCACGCTTGTTAATTGAACGCTCTACAGCCATAAAATGTCCAAATATTCAATATCATTTAGCAGGAACTAAAAAAGTATATATATTTTAATTAAATTTAAAAAAAAATTATTATTTTGATACCGAGTAAAAATAATTTTTTGTCAAATTAGTTTATTCATACAAATGTATTATATTATTATATGAAACTAAATTTATGAAATCACACACTAATACAATAATGCATGTATATATATTGTTGATATTTTAAATGCCATATTTTAGGTTCAGCAAGCATTAGCAACTCCTGGAACACTTGAGCGTTTTGTCAAAGATGTCAAAAAAGCTGCTGAAATACGTACAGTTTTCACAGGATTGTATGCCCTTGATTTGGTCAGAATGAATTACATTTATTTTAAGCCTTTCATAAATAATATCATTTTTTTTATTTCTTTTGTAGGATGAAAATGGTGAAAAAGCTGTCAAAATGGCTTTAGATGCTCCAGAACGATTCGTTTTAAAACCACAGCGGGAAGGGGGAGGTAATAATTTGTATGGAGAAGACATCAGACATGTAAATAGTATTAAACTTATTTGAGTTAATAAACATTTAAAAACAATAATTGTATTACCTATACATTAATTTTTATAGAAACTTATGAGTTGCATGAATAGCAAAGAACGATCTGCTTGGATACTAATGGATAAAATAAATCCACCCGTTCAACAAAATTACTTAATAAGACCAAATCAAGATTTCAAGAAAAACTCAACTCTATATGATGTAGTGTCTGAATTGGGCATCTTTGGCACTATATTATGGTGGGTGTCAATAATCAAAATATAATATGTAATTTTCGTTTTTTTTTTTAAATTATTTATTATTACAGTGATGGAGATAATATAATAATTAATGAACAAGTGGGACATATGATGCGTACCAAATTGACATCGTGTAACGAGGGTGGTGTTCACGCAGGAAATGGTGTATTAGACAGCCCATTCCTTATAGATGATTATCCTAAAAACATAATGTAGTTAAAAGAATTATGTAAACAAAAATTAAATTTTATATTTGATACATAATGATATATAGTCTTATGTTATGGTTACCAATAAATATTATTTAATTTAAATACTATTGGTTGTTATAAAATGGAAAATTGTTCATTTAAATGTTAATAAAATGCCAATTGAAGTAGTTTATTATTGATGATTTAAAAAGGTATATTTATACAATCAATTTGTTTTCCTCTTTTGGTAATACTTTCATAATTGGTCCAGTCACTGAGTAGATGCTAATTATGTTGCTTCAAATAGCCGCCACAGCTTATATTTATATTTATCTCGTATTAGAAAAAAAGAGTAGAAGACAAAGATGATGGTGGCAAACTCAACTGTATGCTCGACTATTAGTATAAATATGGAGGAAATTCATTATTAAACGATTTAAGGACCCAAGTAAATGGGACAGTTTCAAAACTTAATGAGGATATCGTCAAATGATATTGATGTGCTTATAAATTCAATGGGAGTTGCTAAAAGTGAAACAATTGTGTGAATTAAGTGAACCTATATCGATACAAGAAATAATTTATATAATTATGTTATAGTATAGTAATGACTCAAAACAAATACTTAAAAATAAAAAAACAATCGAGAATTAACTGCAGTAACTTATGTGGATGATAATCTTAAAAGCCAAAACAAATAATAATCTGAAGAACAGCAAATATTTGTTGAAGGAAGGAAAAGAAATTGACCAAAAAATCAATGGGGAAAAGACGAAATGTATGTTAGTATCTAGACAAAATCGAAGATTCTTTAAAGGTGAATGAATACAAATTTAAAATTGTAAGACATTTTAAGTACTTAGGTGTAGATAATGAAGATGCTAATAGCCACGAAGAAGTAAAAAGACGGTTCATCACAACAAATGGTTATTATAGATTGATACTATTATTCAAATTAAAATTCCTATCTAGAAAATCAAAAGTAATACTGTATAAAGTTTTAGTCAAACCAATAGCCTTGCATACACTTGCAGCACTTGTCTACAATAAAATTATATTAAAAAAAGAAAGAATTAAGGAGAGTATAAAATATGAAACAATGAAAATTTGAAAGAAATTTATAACATACCTAACATTGTTGGAACCTTGAAAGGTATGCAAACAAGTTGGATGTGGCATGTATGGAGATGGCAGTATGTTATTGCGGCAATTGACCTGAAAGGTCTATAAAAAGCCGAAGAAGAAATTTGAAAATGGGGGTTCCAAAGAAAATTAGTCCTTTTCAAAAATTTCTGAGTATAGCGCAACATAGTGTCATATAAAGGAATAAAAAAATTTTATGTACATGTGATGTAATAAAATAATTAAACGTGCTTCTACACTTGTAAGGAAATTAAAACAGCAAACTGGGCGCGATTAGTGTCCTGTTAGGCATTCTAGGCATGAAGATAACGAGGTAATGAGTATTATTTATTGCATTATATAAATTAAAGAAACATAATTGCAATTAAACATTTTGATAATTCTACTGCATTAAAATTATTTGAAATAAAAACATAATGTAAAAATAATTCGAATTAGAGAATAAAAAATACTTTTTATTTTAAGAAAATAATTTTATTTTAAACATAAGTACTTATTTTATATTAAACCCTTAATCTAAACTAATGACAAGTTCAATATTTAAAAAAAAAAAAAAATTATAATTTGTCTAATATTTTGACTTAAAATTTACAAAAATCATATATTGATCCAAGTTTAGATTAAAAAAATATTTTTATTTTTTAGTACAAATTCAGAAATTTAAATATGAGGCTGCACAAGCAAAAAAAGGAGTACAGACAAAAGGCATCAAACAAATTAAATATGTAAAAATCATATTAATATTTTGTGTACAAGACTGACACCGAAACGTCACTTAAACATAATGTATTTACATAAAGTGATATTGAGTATGAAATATTAACAAAATAAATAATTATTAACAGATTTAGTATTAACAAGTAAAAAATTACAGTTTAGTATAAACTTTGTGCATTAGTTCAACTAACATTATTATTGCGTGTTGTTCTTCTGCGTTTATTTTCAATAACCTCCTCTTCTTCTTCTCTCTATAAAAATTGTTGATTACTAATACAAACAATACAATATAACAAGCAAGCTATTTATTTTTAATACTTACTTCAACAGACATATCTAACATAGTCGAATCTTGTACATCATTATTCTAAAAAAAAAGAAAAAAAGTGAAACTTAAAATAAACAATATTATAAATTACAATATAGTTCCAGTTTTTAAACCACAGTTCTAATTAGAAAAAAAAAGTTTCAATATAAATTTCAAATTATGCAATATTTAATGAGAAATTCATTGTTGTTCAATTTATAATTTAAAAACCTGATAAACCTGATATTCAGTTTTCTGGTAAACAATTTTATTAATTAGAAAACACTAAATGCCTATAAATAACTCAAAAATTGCCAGAATGTTTATCACATCTTGAAAAAAACTAATTTATGAAAATTTTAGGTCTATACTAATATTTTTAACGTTTTCCTAAATACTATATAAAAACCTCTTGGAAAAATAAAAAAATTATCTTCTAATCAATGCACCAACTAGATTTAAAATCCAACAAAAAGTATTTTTGTCATTGACTGTAGAGAGATAAAGTGGCCGAAAATTGTTTGCACACACAAAAAGAATTAATAATTAACATACATCATAGTAAATGATACATTCCTACTAATATACTAATACATTCCTCTCTTTGATTTTATTAAAACTAGTCTGTCGGGTAAATAGCTGACAAAAAAAACCACTTTTTATTTCAATAATAGGACGGTTTATCTATAAATTATAAAATCAATGATAAAGATAATAGTTTCGCTTTTACATTAATATTCTAAAATAATATACCAAATTACTATATTTTAATAAAAATACAATATTAGAACTAATTTATATCTTTATTAATGGCAAAATTGACTTCAAACCTCTTAAAGAAAAACAATCCTTAGTAAGAGGTCCCAAAACTCAAGTCATTTCCCTCACAGTGTAAGGAATAAGCTCGCAAGGATGGTTCTGTCATCATTAGCCATTTAAAACAAAAAATGAAAATCCTGAACAGTATTGTACAAATATTATTTTACAGGTTAATTTTAATTTGTATTAAATATTAAAACGACTTCAGACCTCTTAAAGAAAAACGATTCTTAGTAAGAGGTCCCAAAACTCAAGTCATTTCCCTCACAATGTAAGGAATAAACTCGCAAGGATGGTTTTGTCCTCATTAGTCATTTATATGTTAGTAACTAAAAATGACTGACATACTTCGCAAAATTTAATGTAGATAAATCTGTAAGTAACAATGAACTATTGCTAACGAAAATAAGATTTTGGGCGGAGTTTAGTTTATAGTGTAGTTGATTTGTTAACAATATATAAACCATATTGTAGTATAGTAATTACATAGACATTATATTATGTGTTATTTAATAATATTTGTTTAATATTGTACTTATTTTCCCATTTTTCTTGGTTTTTCTCATTTAGTGAGAAAATAAAAAAATAACCTCTCTTTAGTACCATTTAGGTAGTAGACTATAATGCAATGAAAAATTGTAAAATAAAGATATGCAGTACACATCAAAAAGTGGCAAAATATGTAAAATAAAATGTTGTATTTAGGATCTACTCACTATAATTTAAACTTGTAAATTATCTAGCTACTTTTTGGACAGTTAAAAAACAACAACTTGCAAGTGTATATAAATCCGGGCCTAACAGATGACAAATTACAAGCGTGTGTGACGTCTAACTGAACTGGATGCTAATACGTTACTGCGGTCTAATATTCTTATTTGGGATAGAGTATAATGTGTTATATAGCAAAATATATAAATTATTAAGAATTTAGAATTTTTTTTTCTCAACATCTGTTTGTTTATTTATTTATTTCAATTTTGGGTTATAGTGTTTTTGATAAAATACGGGTTTTATTGGTATGGGTAAAATTAGATTCAAAGCCTTGCCAAAATTATTTAATTTACACCGGTACTCAATAATAAACAAAAACAAAAACCGATTCTGAGCAAAGTTCAAATATGTATGTTTTAAAATGCTGTAATTTATATAATTGTGGTCAAAAATTGGTCTTAAAATTACACTCATAAAAAAAGTACAAAACGCCCAACATTTTTTTCTTTTTCACTAAGTTTAACTATTAATGAACCTCATATTAAATTTTCAAGCATTTCCTGTTTGGTCAAACCATTTTATTCACAAAATACCTACTAAATAAAAAAATCTCAAAAAATAATGTCAAATGCATATAATAAGTTCAAAAATAACAAAAACAAACACCTTTATTACAATTATTTTTAACAGAGTAAATAGTTTTGCTTGCCCAATTATTATAAAAACTACACAGAAAATTAAAAAACACCTCTCTAACACACCAAAAAAACAAATTTTTTTTTTCAAAAAACATACCAAACATAAATTTTGGAGCAACATTTCTGTTGAAAAATCAAATCAAACCACAATTTATAATAAAGAAATCATTGAATCATTGCTATAAATTCTGGAAACCTGGAAGTCAGGGAATTTGTATGAAATTCTATAACTTTAATTTTAATTTAAACTTCAATTTCTATTTTTTACACTCAAAAAATATCATAGATAATATTATTAGTTCCATATATATTCTTTTGTTATATAATTAATTTTAAGAAATTTAATAATATTATAAATCCTAGTGGGTAAATTACTAATGGATATCAATATAGAAATTACTAACAAATTAGTAATTGTAATAATCTTATACCACAAATACTAGTTTTAATTAAATTATTACTAACTTACATATCTATTATTTATTATTATTAGTTATTACATAACTATTGTAATAATAAATTTATTATTATAGGTACCTCTTAAATTGTTCTTAAGGGTAATTTGTATTCTATTCATCAGAAGGAATAATTAAATTAACCAATCAATTAAAACAAATTAAAAACAGTAATAATTTAATCATTAAAAATACATAATATAGTTAATTTATTAAATAATTTGTAAATGCATGTTATCTATATACATATAGGAGATCACCCCATTCACTTATCAATGTCCAGACCAAATCGCTGGATCTATAGACTTGAAATTTTGTACAGAGGTTCCTTAAGCAATGTAGGGGCGCACCAAGAAAAGATTTTTCAAAATTCGACCTTTAAAAGGGTGGTTTTAAAAAGCAGTTTATATATAGCTACATATGTATTTTTTTTACTGACTGTCAATCACTGTTTACCGGTGTCAAGGTATCAATTATATAACTGTCCACCGCTGGTACCTATTGTGTATTGCAATTGCGGGTCGCCGATTACCTGCGACTGATTTTATTAATACCAGTTATATAATTGATAGTTATTATTAAATTGTGAATTTCATATAAAATATTAGCACTATCAATACAATTAAATTAAACACTAACACACGGCCTACGAAAATGCCAAAAAAGAAATTAATACATGGGCAACAGCTATGTCGGAACAGCTAGTATTTAATAATATAATTATTTTACAATTTTTTGTCAATAGATTTCAATGACAAATATGGTCAATTATTCAAAAAAATTAAACTAGTCAAAAGCCCAACCCTATTTAAAATTTAAAATGAATGGAGTAAAAAAAAAAAATTATATTATTTGTATCAGACTTTATTATATCAAACATCTTTTAAAATCAAGAATACTCACTACTTTAGTTTCATTTGCCCGATTGGTTTGTATATTATGTTTTTGACCACGAGTGGTTTTAGTAGTTCTTAAAGCAGCAGAAAGTCCAGTTTTCTTGCCATTATTGTTTACTTGCTAAATATTTAAGAAATTATACCCAAATATTAATGCAATAATATATTATATTTTTAGAACTTACTTTAATTTGGAATTTTTCTGGTAAATAAACCTTTACATTTACAAACATTGAATCCTCGTGCCTTTTGAAAAACATGGCAGATATTCTAATTTCAGAAAATGGAGAGGTTTCAAAAGTACTGGTATGGACTACTAACACACTCATTGCTAAATCACAAAGAGCCCACATTTTCTAAATAAAATTTAAAATAGTTTAATTACAAAAATAAATATTAAATAATTATAGTATCAAATAAATAATAATTTAATCAAACATTTTAACTAAAAATTACTTAGTTTGAAACAAAAATTGTTTAGAGCAATAAGCAATAGTAGAATACAAAAAAAAATTTATGTTGATTACATGATTTTTATCATGTATGTCAAACAAATCCAAATGTGATATCGTAGAATTTCATTATTTCAACCGATATCTTCATTGACCATTTGAAAGACGAGGTTTTAGAACACTCGAAAAAAGAGAATATAAAACCAATATAATAAAATTATCACATTCTACATATTCTTTAATGTTTTAATATATATTGTTATAATTACCGCATTGACAGTCTCATTAGTTGGTTCTACAGCATCAACATAATTCTTAACTCTTTCCAACATCTCTTTATAAAACCCAAAATTATAAGAGTCATTTTTGGTGATCAACGGTTCAAGTATGAACCATAGGCACTGCTGCATCAAAGTCAGACTTTCTTCATCTCTATTATCTTTATAAACTGGAGAGTGTGTTAAAATTGATATAGCAAACAGCAACATATAATCCGGCAAAATATGAGGTAATTGTGCCATAGCTTTGTCAATTGAACCTAACAAAATTTAAACATTTATGAACTATGAAATTTATACATAAAAGAACAGTGTATTTTTACATACATGTCGTAGATCCTTGGGTTAAATTTCTAGCATATTCTCGTCTTCTATTTATATCTTTTAATACATAATCGTAGATTTTACTTCTTAAACGTTCATCTGATTCTAGTCCAGCTAAAGCATACATTCCCATAAAATCTAATGGGAGACATTTAAAAGGTAAACCTCTCCCTAAACCTTTATGAAGTTTTGCCGCAAAAATTTCACGTACTTGTAAAACATCATCCTAAAATTAAATTTATTATGATTAAATGAAATGGATAAAACTTAGGACTTAAATAAACATTATACCATCATTAGCCTTGAAAGCAAAAAAAATTGTTCAGCTGTATACTGGTCTCCAACACCTTTTTGTTCACAAATCTTTAACATGGAACAGCCTGCTTGTAAGCGTAACCACGCTAACTCAGATTTTGATAAAATTCCAGATTGTGTAAGGTCACCTTTTTGTGATAAAAATGCATTGAACATCCTAAAAGTTTTTTGAGCGGATACTTTATCACTTTTTAAACCAATTAGCCATCTTGCCATTGATTTCATACCTTCAGCCTTAAAAAGAGAACCATTAATTAACAGTAAAATACCAAAGTACAGTAAAAATAAAAAATAAATAAATAATTGCTTACTCTACACTTGGTGCCTTTAGGTAAAGTCTCTTCAGAGCACCACTCAGCATCAGCATTAAAAACTTCACTTTTAGTCGATACTTTTACTAACAATTCTTTAACAATCTAAAATAATATTTATCAAGATATATGTAAACAATTAATTATATGCAAATTCTAGAACATGAGGAATTTACATTTTTAATTGTCTGATTTAATATTGATTATTTAGATTATAAATAATTGAATACGATAATAATTACTCAATAAAAAGTATAATTCTATTATTTTTGGAATTTTTAAAAATTTTTTTAGTTAATTTATCAAAATGTATAAAGTGAATCTTAAACGTTTCAAACATGGGTCTAGTTCAAAAATAGTAAATAGAAACTAGAAAGATAGTCAACTTTTTTTAATCTGGTGAGCGGTAAATAAAATTATTTCTTAAAAACACTTTCAGATGAAACTACAACCATATTTGTTGAGTATTTTTGATAATTAAATAATTTTAAAGTAAATTTCGCGTAGTTATATTTTTTTGGATAAATATTCATTGACCTAAAATTTGTTTTATACTATTTTTGACACTAATACAAGTGAAATAAATTATTGAATTAAAAATCAATGTTTTAATATTTAATACTTTTCAGAATAGTATAAAATGATAAAAATATAGTTAATAGTTAAATTCAGGCGCATCCAGATTGAGTGAAAAAATAATAAACAAAAATCACGAAAAATGAGTTGCATGCAAAGTACATAAAGGAGATAAAAGAATTACATGCATGAAAAGACTGAGGTATGTCCGAGTTGCATGCACATTTATCATAATTATCAATACATATCACTTTTTTACTGATTCACTATTAAAACAATATAGCGAATAGATAATAAACCACAAAATATTGATTATAGCTTAGGTTGTTTACACTTACCAGTAAATGTTTTTAAAAAAAACAATGTAAAGTGAATAGTTTTAAGCGAGAAAAATAAAAACTATTATTGTGGGACAGCAGTTATTCATTTTCTTTTCCACAGAAATTCTAAATAAGAATATCAATAGATGGACTAAATCTGTATTTCTATTATTCATATTTAAAGTTGGATGAAAAATACAATTATTTTTAGTATAATAACACCTAACACACAACCAAGATAAATTACATTAAAAAATTCAAAAGACAAACACTCAACCATAAACTTAAAGCTCTTGAGAATCCCAGTGAAAACCATGCAATATTCTTCACAGAGAAAAAAAAATATTTACACTGGCTTCTGCTGATGCAATTCATATTAAAGGAAAAACATATCACGCTCAATCAAGTGTAATTTCCGAAATTACCAAATACTTTACATTCAGCATTAGTAAGTTTAAACTTAATCAAAACTAACCAAAATGAACATTGTTTATTAATCCAGTTGTGAATACTGTGACTTTTTCAACACCTAAAAATGTACAATATTTAAGTGAATGTGGAATTATATATATTAATACTACCTTTAAAAATTTCCCTAAACTGTTCGATTGGAAAAATACTATCGATCTATCAAATCACCTGTTTAAAACTTATTACTTTTTTTTATAAAAATAGTATAAATGTTTTCCTACTCCAAGGTATATTATTTTCAAAGGACAAACAAGTGATAACTTAAATTTTTTTCCTGATGCAATTATAAGCAATGAACCAAATAAATGGTGAAAAATTCTGGCTTAGTTTTAAAATGACTGAATAATTCCCGACATGCTTATATATTGTTAAGAACTGTGATGCAACTAGGACATAAAACCCATAACAATTGCTGCATGCAAAATTAGAGTTTTCGCACACAATTTGGATGCAGCTAAATCGTATATATATTTATATATAAAAATATAATGTTATAGTAACTTTTTATTAAATATCATGGAAAAATTAAAATATTAAGATAACTGAATTTTGTAGTTTATCATGTTTAATTAAGTTATATTAACACAGACTTTCTAAAGAATAATAGTTTGTTTAAGAGGATCCAAATTTCAAATAATTTTCTTCACATGAGGAATAAGCTCACAATGATAGTTTCATGATTGTCATCATTAGTCAACAAACTATTAAATTAAATATGACAAAGCCTATAGTCGAGAATTAAAATCAAATTGCAATAACAATACTCTAATTACAAGTTAAGTAAAGTTTAATTTATTCAAATTGTTATTTAAACAAAGTTGAATTAGATTGGTGTTTAGATGATTAGAACAATAAGAAAAACCCACTTTATGAGCATACAAAGTTCTCGGCATTTAAATAAAAACTAAAATTCCATATACAATTTTGAAAGATTTTGGTAAACTAGTACGTTATGATTATATGTGGAAACCTAAATAAATTAAGTATTTTAATTTTTAAAGAATTAACAGAATATTTTTAAAATTCTCAGTACTTATATTTTGTAATATTGGCTAGTATGAATTTATACTTAATACGCATATTAAAATTAATAATGTAATAATGTATAAAATAATAATATTACAAATTTGTATAAATAATAATAGTGTTACGAATAATTTATATTTCCTTGATAACCAAATTAACAACGGTAACAATGTAATAGTACGTATATGAATGAAGGGAGCGGACAAAACAAGGGTAGTAAGGGGGTCTAAACTTCTGACTAAAAACCTAAAGAAGTGTTTCAGATTGAATCTATACAAACTATTGTAAAATATATTAAGAGATATAGTACTTATAAGTATATTATTTAAGAAGTACAGAGATAAACGTTTTAAAATTAGGTCCAATTAGTGATATGATGTAAGCATAATTGGTAAATAGAATGGTAGGTATAAAATACTTCCAATTGGCAAATTATTATATTAATAAACAGATTTAGTATTTTAATACACTCCATTTAGAATAAGAATAAATACATTTCCAAACTCACACATGTATCCCCACTACTGGCACCGCAAGGGCGTATGGTTAAGTATAGTTAGCGATTACAAGTTCAATGATTGGGATTCATCAATCTAGGAATGTATGAATGCTCATACACGAACAGATCCTTATTCTGAATAGAGTATAGTTACATAAAATAGTTAATCTTACTTTTCGAGAAATCATATTTTTGAAATGAACATTGTATTTTTCAGCCACATTGATCGCTAGATGTCCAAGAGCCACTATTGCAGTTTCATAATGTTCTGAATCAGGTTCCAAATTAATTTTGGTTTTCTAGAATTTAAGAAAAAAATAAGAATAAATAAAAAATGTAAATATGAACAAGTGTAATATTTTTTACTTCAACAATATCATCAAAAATATCATTTTTGGAATGATATACATTGACATATAAACATCGAATAGCTCCTTTTGCTTGCTTTGGAGTTCCACTAACAGCTAATTTTTTACATATTGGTATTAATTTTTCAGTAAATTCTGGGTAAGAATCACCTGTCATATTGAGAATAAATAATATTATTTTTCTGATAGGTAAATAGAATTAATTATTAAATAAATTTACCAAGTGCACTATATTTGCCAATTGTGGTTAACATGGTGAGAACTTGAGGTGCAATGTATTCATCATCATGGTGTGATAAATCTAACAATTTCTCTAGTATATCTGGATGGTAGAAATGACAAGCAAATGTATTTGACAGTACCTAAAATTAATAATCCTATGTTAAAGTTGCTACAAATTATATATTCAAAAAATAATAATTACATTAAGCAGCTCTAGTCCTATATATCCAGCTGTTCCTGGATTTACGCCAAGTTCTTCAATCATGTTTCCGCCAGTTAAACAATTTTCTACATGATTAAATAACGCCTAATAAAATAATTATTGTTTAATAATAATAGTTCTGTATAAAGTTACATATTAAAATATTTAGACTCTATTAACCATTGCACTTTAAAATGATAATTCAATTTCTTCAAAAAGTAAAATATAAAATAGTTTAAACTAGTTATAGTATGCTGTGCCTTTCAGGTTTACTAATTATAAGTGGTAATAGAGATCAACACGAGTCAGGCCAGCTCAGCACATGTCATGCTTGAACCAAGCAGGGCCAAGCCTGTACTTGGCTTTAAACTGGGTAAGGCCACAAACAAAATGAATTGGTAATTCATAAAGCAAGGTTCTCATGATGCATGGGTCATGAAGTATATAATCATTATTTATGGGAATTATGAAATTTTTTTGTCCACATGTCACATACTCAATACTAGTTAGGGTGGTTGATAAATATTGTGGTGGTAACTAAATATGGCAAAGGCTTTAAATTACAGTAAGTTAGAACGACTTTAATGAAATTAAATGACAGATTAAATTTTTTTTTTCCAAGAAATAGCAGAAGTCATTTTACTTTATTGTGGTGAGCCCAGGTAAGTGTAGCCTAAGAACTTACCTTAGTATTGGACGGTCAATGCGATAGAAGTTATAAAATTGCTAGAGGAGAAACGTCATTAAGGGGTAAACATTTAGAGGAAGCCTATATCTACTCTCAGTTGAACTATCAAACAACAAACAAAATTAATGCTTGGACTACGTGAAACTAGCTTTTGATTTTAGAGTTAAAGAACTCATTATGAAATGTATAGAAAATATTTCGGAGGGTTTATATATTGTATATATTTTGTTATCTATAAATTTTATAATAGGTATTATTTTTTTAAAATCAAAATTATGCTAGTTTTACTAAGTCTACGAAGTCTGCAGGAATAAGCATTGTTATTGCATATTGCTCAGTAGTTGGACTGAGACAGTAGATGCAAGTATAGCGTCCTCTTAAGAGCATTTATTTGGAGTTATTAATTTTGACTGTTTACTGAATAAATAATAGATAATAAATTAAGGTGACTTTAAAGACTATTGGAGACTATAAGTAGATATGGGTAATGAAGATAACTTGTCATCTGTGTATTCAGCTATAGAGGTATTTGCGGAAATAGGTTGGTCAGCTGTGAAAATGTTAAATAAAACTCATTTCATAAAATAAATAATGGTTAAAACAAATATTGAGTATTATACAAAATTATGAAAAGACCTGGGCTGATTGAACTTAAAATAAAAAATTAATGACTGGGTCTGGGCACAAACATTTTTTAAATTTAATTTTTGGGGGTCATTTCGGCAAAAAAAAAAAAAGCCCGTGCTTTCTTTAAGTGGTATGGTAAAAAAATATTTTACCGTATTCAATTAGTAGAACTTAATTAGTACTTTTATGTATACATAAAAAAATGTAATAAATATAAGAAATTAAAATTTGGTATTCCTTGGAGGAACCATTTTTACTTTTAATAAGTATTCTATAATATTATAGTAACCTTTAAAGCTGTAGAATCTATCATTACAGAAGAAGCTCTTTCCAAAAGTGCTTTAACAGTGTTATAGTAAAGATTTGTCATGACAGGTTGGCCAAGCTTTCGTAATACTAAATTAGTGGCTTCAGATATTTCAGCAGTACTTGAATTTTGTTTTGCTATTGTATCCATGGCTTTAAAAAATGAAAAATAAATCATTAGATTCTACTAATAATTTAAATTTTGTATTTTTGCATAACGTTTAAAGATACTATATTTTTACAAATCCGTTCATTTTTATAGAGAAAAAATTAATTATTTATTTAACAAAAAAATTACTAATTAGTGATAATATTTAGCTAGGGTTGCTAAAGTTTATTTTTAAATTATATAATTAGAAATAAAAATTCTTAATTAAAGATCAACTTACAACTCAAAAGTGAAGGATCTTGAATTAAATGATGTGAAAACTTTCCAATAAATTCTGCTGCTTTAACTGATTCAGGTAAATACCGTGTCAATAATTTTATGCTGGCCTGAATTTCTTTATCTTTTTGAGGATTGTCTTCTTTCTTATGATTATCAAGAAAATCTTTTAAATGTGAGCGAATTCTAAACTCATTTTAAATTTAAAATTAAAAAAAAAAAAAAAATGAAAACAAATTTAATTACACTTACAAAAGTTGAGTTTTTTGAATCTCCATAAAAGCTTTTTTGGCATAATCATCAATTGTACCATATAAATGATAAAGTCTTTTCATTCTCTCTTCTGGTGGAAGTTGATATGGAACCAAGGAAGTATTAACAAGTCGCTCAACTAAGGATTTATCTTCAACACAAGCTCTATAATAACCATGTAAAATTTTATCTTTGATCCAAGTGAATGCTTTTTTAGTAGCTTGAGGAATGTCTGGATCATTTAAATATGTTTTGTATATAAATGCTAATCCAGATGTAGCTTCTTTTCTTATTTTAAACTAAAAATACAAATAAACATATTATACAAGGTACATTTTTTTTAAGTCAAATGTATAATACATTACCTTTTTATCACACATTCTTTGTTTAACAACTAAAAGTAATTCTTCATTATCTGCAATTGGTTCAAAATCATGTTTAGCTGTTGACACAATGGCCATAACAGTTTCATGGCGTACATTCATATCACTATCAGAACTTCTTAAACGTAATGCTTCAGTCAAATCTTGACGAAGTTCAGGTTGGTTTAAGAGTAGATGCATAGCATATTGAACACATTTAATACGAATGCTTACAGATATATCATTAAATCGACTAAGAAATGCTTGCCATAAAACGTTATGATGGCGTGCAAGACTTGAATCTCTTTCAGAAAACATTCGAGCTAAAAGAGATACTGTACCATGGCGTTCTTGTTCTACAGTGGACTTCAATTTGCATTCAAGTTGTGGAAGTACTGCCAATAGTACAGAAGGGCTTATTCTGTTCAATTCATAAATGAGATCGTATGTCTTTGTACTTATAGCCAGATTTTTTTCATTTTTTCCCAAAATCAAAACATGATTAAAAAACTAAAATAATAAAATGTAATTTATGAAATTCTCATAGAATCTTTTGTATATATATTATTAATATAATAAGTTGATATGTATAATGCATGTTAATACATTAATATACACATTGATGCATGTTAATACATTAATATGTATTAACACACACACATAAAGTTGGTATACTTACTGATTGAATATAAGGCTCTAATGTGTTTGAGCATTTGAGAATAAGATCTTTAGCTAATGAGTAAGAATTTTTTCTCTGTGATTTATTGGGCTCTACAATATTAATTAAAATAATATCAAGAAGTTCACTGGCTACCATATCAGATTCACATATAAGTGGACATAAAATATCCAACATAAATGATTTTACTTTGGTTGAATGTTCATCACTAACCAATAACACAATATTTTAATAAAAATTAATTCTGGTTTATCTTTATGTTAGTGCTTACTTGACAATTTTAAACATAAGCGAAAATAACTTGCAAAATATCTCTTGGCAGTCCTCCAATTCAAAGCACATATTAAAAGACTTAACATAAGCAAGATTTTCCAAAAGATAAAAATAACGTTTAAATGCTGGATCTTTAGGATCTTTTAAACCAGCAAGTTGTTTAATTAGGAACATAAATATACCCTAGAACAAAAATAAATAAACATATAAACATTAGAAATATGATTACTAGGTACTTCGGTAGAAAATACATAATGGAAACAATAATTTTAATTAACAATCTCATACTTTAACTTGCTCCGGATCTTTATATGGAGCTTCAGGAGCATAAACTCTAAGTACATCAGCAATACAACAAGCAATTAAAAGCTGAACATCTTTACTAGCGTGCTTCAGGAAATAACCTTGAGCCAAGTGTAGGGTTAATGGTATATATTGTTGATACATGCCCTCGTCTTGACCCATTGCTTGAAGAGTATGAGCTAAAGTCTAGAATATTGCATGCACGTTTTTAAACAATCAAGTTCAGTTTTATAATAATTTAATAACTAATATACTTTCAATCGACGAATAAGTTCATCTGGGCCCAAATCGTCTGTTACTGGACGACATCCAGCCGGATATACCATATCCTCTTGCATATTTGAGATAATTTATTAAGCGTAATATACTGAAAACAAAAATATAATTATAAAACATATTTAAATGAAATAATACACAGTAAAACAAATATTTTATTTTTATTTTAATAAGAAAACAATTAGTTACCATAGACCAATAGGGATTGAATTTTTACACGCTACACAATAGTCTTATATAAAATTGTATAAACCAATATGTATATATAAATAATAACACATAAAAATATGTCAATTATTTAAACAGTTGATACTCATCATCAAAGCACATCAAAACACAACAAAAATATTCATTAACTGTTTTGTTAAAATCATTATCAAGATAAATAAAAGTATATAGGTTTATGTACAAAAAAATATTGTTATTTGGATATTAAATAGTACCTAGTAGGTATATAAGCAATAGATTAAAATTTGAAAGTTTATGTTCATTTTCTTATCCTTGTCTATATCACACGCAAGTGGATTCAGCTGCTTTTATTTTTGCCTTCTACAGCTCTTAAAACAACACCATTTCTGCATATACAACAAATACCTAATTAACTTACTCCTTGATTTTCATCTACACTTGTTTTCTTAAATATCTTATGGTTTCTTCCAATATATTCTCTCTAATACCACCTCTAACTTTATTATGTCTATTAACATATTTTTTGTATACCTACATTAGCAGAATATCTAAACTTTACCACAAAAAAAAAAAAAAAGATAATCTAAAGTTCTGAAGGATCTACATTTAAACCACACAAATATTGAATAATTTAGAATATACTGAAAAGAAAATATTCTACATCACATATTAGCCATCACTAATAAGTTCTCCTTTTTATCTTGAATTATATAAATATTCTACTTAAAGAAAATAAAAACCAAATACTATAATACATTACAATTATTCAACTACCAAAAAATATAATTGGTAAAATGAGCATAAAAATAGTAGGTGTGGGGGTTGAAAGTAGAAACCCTCAAAAGGTATTAGTATTCTTGATACAAAATGTCATCAAACTGGTTTCATTTGGAGAGGGAGATATGAAGGGTTGTTCAAAACTAAAAAAAAAACGATTTTTCCATAACATCATTTGGTCCAGAAGATGTTATGTATCTAAAAGTAGCGGGAAAATTATAATTATATTATGTAAGTACATGTACAATACATAACAGCAGTCTCCATTTTCGGGGAGAATTCAACAAAAAATGATTACCAGGAAAACAAATTAAATTAAATACTAAGTACATTTACAATGAATAGGGTAGGTATATTAGGTATATAGTTCCTATCCAGTTAAATAAAATAAAATAATTTCGATAGCTAAATAAACTGGGCATGTAAAAATACTAAGTATTTAGCCAAACACAAACTTAATAGGTAGCTTACTGCTGTGGTGTATAAATTTACAAAATTTAAAAACATAAGAGATTTACTATCATGGAATAACACAAGGTTGTGAGTGTTGTGACTTGTAGTACGCAAAGAACATGTACAGGGTACTTACAAAATAAAATCGGTCCTATGTGAATAGCATTGTTGTAGCTAAGTACAGCTCGTGAAAGAGGTAAACATTGGTAAGTGGTCACATTATTATTTATTGCACACTAATGATATTGAGATTTGATTACAAAAGTATCGAGGATGACATAAAGAATAAAACGTTCTGTCGGGAACCAAAGTACTCAGTTTCCGACGCGAGCACAAGGATTAAGGAAAAATTGAAAAGTAACAGCGACGAATATACCGTTAACAGTGAGGACAAAGTAATAAGGAGAATTAAAAAATTGAAATAAAATCAAAAACCGCTAAAGGATTTAATAGAATAACATTATAATAATGTAAATAGAACACGAACGAAAAAGAAAACACACAACATACGTAATAAACGGGCATCAAAGACGCTAGTTAAGCCTTCCAGTGTGACCATGTTCTATGATAATAAAATACCTACCGAAAAAAAAGGAAATCTCGTGGAGACTGACAGTTGGTGACATATCACAGAGATCCCATGATTTAATATCAGTATTCAGTTGTAGACATCAAAGTTTTACAGATATCTGTAAACCTTAGTAAACAGCTTATATTCATGAATTAATTGATTGTAGTCATTGGCAGATAATAATTATTCTTTATTATCTATAACTGTAGTTTATACAATATCATATCTTAAACTGTGATAATCACTTTGGGTCAATTAGTTAAAAATTCAATCTTTTTCTATGGTTAGTTCCCTTATAAACTAAATCTCCTCCACCCGATGTCCTATGGTAGTTACGTTATTCTATCTAGAAATTAGAATTGAAAATAAAAAAAGACAATGACAAAAACCACACAAGGAAAAAAGTCTTAAAAAAGAAACTTATTAGTACCTTATCTAAAAGTTAGCTTAAAATCTCCAGATAATATTAACGAAGCTGTATATCTCTTAACCATATCTATACAAGAAACTGCCTGGTCATGCTTCACCCCAATCCCCCCAACAAATAACAATAAAAATCTCCCTCTACACATCAGAATTCTTATTTCTGAAAAACGAAGAGTCCGAAATGCATGGCAAAGAACTAAATACCCATCTGACAAATAAAAATTCAATAACCTAACAAACAAACTCAAAAGGCTTTTAGATATAATTAAATCAAACAATTTTGCTGATCACCTTATCTCCTTATCAACCAATGATAACTCACTCTGGCAAACCACTAAGAAAATTCTCCGATCTCAACCTCCTGTACCTCCTCTTAAAAAAACCGATGGAACTTGGGCAATTAGTGACCAGGAAAAAGCCATCTTATATTGTCAACATCTAACAGATACCTTCTAACCACACATCAATATCCTATGCCCAAATCAAACTGGAAAAGTAGACTACTTCTTGTCATCCTCTCTACCTATGGCCCTACCGCCAATGCACATTCGACCAAGTGAAGTTGAGCATTTGATTCGAAACTACTTGCCGAAAAACCCCAGTTTACGATCTAATAACTGCAAAAGTATCACAATTGCTAAAAAAATCACTACTACTCCTGACACATATATATAACTCTATGTTTAGGTTATCATACTTTCCAATACTCTGGAAATTCTTAGTTATTATCATGATTTCCAAACCTGGAAAACCCCCTGACTCTCTAAAATCATACAGGCCTATTAATATTCTCCGCTATTTCTCAAAAATCTTCGAAAAACTTCTCTTAAAACGTATTCTGCCTACCATTGAAGCTAACCTCCCTAACATAAAATTTGGCTTTCGTCACAACCACTCAACTATTCACAAGTTTATCGTCTAGTTGACAAAATCTCCCATACTCTAGAAAAAAAACTTATCTGCATCGAGGCCTTTCTTGATGTAGCACAGGCGTTTTATAGGGTATGGCACAAAGGCCTCCTCTTCAAATTAAAATCTATCCTCCCTCCATACTATTACTTATTATTCAAATCCTACCTAGAAAATAGACACTTCTCCGTTAGTTCAGGATCTTCCACGTCTGAATTATCCTTAATCAGTGCCGGAGTACCCCAAGGAGCTGTGGCTGCACCTCTCTTATTCAATCTTTTCACCTCTGACCAACTCACCACACCCCACACCACTACTGGCTACTTCGCCGACGACAAATTTCTTCTACCATTTCACCCTGATCCCGTAACGGCCTCTAACGTCATCCAAAACCATCTTAAATTGCTTACCATCTGGTACAAAGAATGGGGTATCAAAATAAACGAATCAAAATTCATACAGTGTATATTTACACTCAAACGAACAGACTGTCCCCACATATACCTCAATAACGTCCCTTTACCAACTGCTCTAAACGTCCGATATCTGGGTCTGCACCTAGATGCATCCGGCTAACCTGGGCAACCCACACCCATCTCAAGCGCCTCTCCCTAAACAATCGGTCACGTCAATTACACTACCTTCCTACATCAAATCACCTAAATTTAAAAACAAACTACTGATATACAATGATGCTCCTCAAACCTATATGGACCTACGGCATACAACTCTGGGGGGCTACCAAACCCTCTAATATCAAAAAAAATACAAACATTTCAATCCAAATGCCTCCGGCAAATAACAAAAGCTCCATATTATGTCTCCAACGACACACTACACAAAGACCTATACATCCAAACAGTTCTAAACACTGCCAAATCATTCTACAAACGTCTCCACTCCAGTACACACTATCACAGAAATTCACTAATAGCTTAACTCTCCTCTCTCACCATCCCCGGTGACCCCAGCAGACGCCTTAAAAGAACATGGTGCCGAAACCTATTGGCTGACTATCACCAAATCTCACCCCGAAGTCCCAACACTGGTTGGCTTCTTCGATCACGACTACTGTCTCGTTAAATACTTATTTTTTTTTTTAACTACTATTATCACTTGTACTTATTGTAAAAAATATTTCACAGATTGTACAACAAAATATAAATGACAAAAAAAAAAAATTAGCACCTTAATAAAAAAAATGTTTTTTTCATTTTTAAGTTTTTACATTTAAGTCATAGGTACAAGTATTATTAGTACTTAATAATAGTTATTTATTTTATTTTTAATAAAAATAACTTTAAAAAATACCTAATTTCATGGTTAATTGCCTGATTACAACATAATAATTTTTATTTTATATGCGGCATTCAATTACATGAAGTTTAATACATTTTAAGTATAAATCTTCTTTTCTATATTTTATTTATTTGTTACAATTTCTTTTCATTGCACATTAAAAAAAAATATTTTTCAAATTTTCAAAAATTTGATTTCCTAATATTTTTTTACCTTGGCTTTTTTTCCCTTTGTCGGGGCTTTTTCTTCCTAGTATGTGTTATTTTCATAATACCTACCTTTTATCTATTCTGTGGTTGGGTCATCTAGAAGTTAATAAAATGAATAACATTAATAAGATAAATCACCGTAAATGGCACAAATCATAGGATAAGAATAAATTACTATTTAGGTAAGTATATCTTTATAACAATGCAACTAGAGGTTTATATATGAAAAAATTGGTAAACTCAGTAGTTCATTCAAATATGTTAACCGCACTGGAAATAGATGACCACAAGAGAAAAATATAACAATATACCTACAATTATAAGTTCTCAAAAGGATCTAAATTGGGGATCTAGGTAGCTACTGAAAATAAATAGGATTTAGGATAGGTAGTCCAGATTTAGTGGTTGTTGCCTCAGGATTTTAGTAGAATTAGTCTGACAGCATGGTTCTATGTATAATAATTTATTAGTGAATATTGGTAATAACTAATGTTTGAACTCTAATAAAACTAAAATAAAATAACAATTTAAATCAAATAATATTTATATAAAAATATTAAATTGTCATCAAAGACTAATAATTGATCATTACCTATTAGTTACCTGATTTTTTATTATAATATATTGTAATATACAATTTATATAATGATTTTAAATTTTAATTGACATTAATAGACCATTGTTTTAGATTCAGAAAGTATTTTACATTGTAATGTACATACTCAATGTTCATATTATGGTAGCTGGACAATTAACTGATTAACAATTTACCGCCAATAAATTAGGTACCTATATAAATAATAATTCCAAATAAATAATATTATTTCCAAATTGCAAATTGTCATGACATAGGATACCAATAAAAGTATATTATAGATAATAATAATCTCAATCAATAGCTTATTGTTATTTAGTTTAACCTAGTTCAAGACACTAACTTTAATGTACTGATAGCATTTGAGAATTTACATTTATTATTTTTATTATTCTGGATGTTAAAAATTAAATATTTGAATGGTTAATGTAACTTATATTTAAAGTGAACTAAACAAGGACAAATTAGTATACAATGGCTATTTTTATTTATTTGAAACATCTGATGTAAAAAAAAAAACCATATGGAAATTCAAAAATGATCAGATAACTAAATTTAAATGAGATTTGGATTTGAGGGATGAAAAGGTTATTAAAGAAACAATTTATAATCATACACAGGATCAAACATAATTATGTCTATAATATGGTTAACCAAGTAAAAGAAATATCTACCAAAAAACCTGAATTAAAACCATGGGCAGCTCTGAATTCAAGCTTAAGTACATCAGTAAGTAAACTTTTAAATGTTCAGTTTAGTTTTAAGAATATAAAATTTAAAATTAATTTTGTAGGTACCTTTTTATATATTTGATTTATTTCATGAAGAGTATATTTTTTTCATACAAAAATTATTTCATCAATTAATAATTTATATTGATTTGTAGATTATTTTATTAATAGTACAATATTTCTCGCCGTGTCCATGATCCTTATACTTTAAATAAACCATATGTATTTTACCAAGGATTAAGATAATAATTATTAATAAAACCATAAATAATTTAAGAAACTTTATTGTATTTGTTTGATAACATACTATAATATGTAGACAACATTAATTTATTGAAATAGGTATGAAATATTTAAAGACTCAAAAACTGTTTGCTGATTTACATAAATATTTTAACAAAACTGTTTGCGAGCATATGTATATTCTTTGGTGTTAATAAGGTATGTATACTTTAAATAATTCCTAAATGTATCAATTATATAAACATTAAAAAACAAAACACCTATAAAAATCACAGTTTTTTTTTAAGCAAAACATACCACAACCTACATACACAAATGTCATAAATAGTATTATGTTATATAAATTTAAATAAACATATATCATAACATTGTTATAATATTACTAATTTGAGTAGCTTGTATTAGTGAGATAACTGCACCTTTCCATACTTAAAACTAAACAATATTTTAGTTTAGGTTAGACCACAAATATAATCGTGGGTTAAACTAATAACAAAATTTATATGACAAAGATAATAATTAATAACTAATAATATAATATGAACATGTATAAAATAATAATTTATGTTTAACTTTTACGATTCATTAAATAACATTAATAAATAGATATTTATTGGGAATGTAAAGTATTAATATGTATAAATATTTGTAACTGTGTTGTATGTAACTGATTTAAAACATTAGTAGTGTACAATGTACCACACCTATCACAGAATACATAATATATTACTATAATAGTTATAACTTTAAAAGTGAAATGGTTCCTATTGTATGGAATAATACAATTTAAGTAATAATACATAACCACCTAAATTAATTTTGAAATGACACAAACCAAATAAAAATAAATGATGATATATTACTATAAAATGTATAATTTAATAATAATCAAACAACCCAGTAAAAAAAAAAAAAAAATATGTTAGTAAATTTTATTTTTATTCTACTAATATTTAAATTTACCTAAGATGGAAAAATATATGTATGCTTTCTTTTGAGCTTGCTTCATTATAAAATGCAGTTAAATATTTTGATTTATATATATTATAATTAGAATAAAAACTACATTGAAAGTATATTATTACAATTAATGTACATGTGTTATGAACACAAGGAGAACAATAAAAGTAACAAAACATTTTACAGCATTTGAAATATTAATTACTTACTATAAAATATAATAATAACAATATATTCAATTTTTAATTATTTCATTAACAATTTTTTTTAAAAAAAAAAAAAACAATAAATATGATTCATTATATTTGCAGTTATTACAAAAATGTATTAATATAATTTATTGGAATAAACTATTTTATTTTCATTTGATCTAAATTTAAAATATAATGGGAATGTTAAATTATTTATGCAAGTACTTTTTTTTATTAAAAAATAACAACAATTACTTTTAAGATTTATACTCAAAGGTATCATAAAAAAAATAAATGTAAAAAATATAAATATGAAGTATGAATAAAAATATAAAGTAAAAACTGAGCCTAAAAAAATATTATTACCTGATAATCATATTTTAAACCATATCATTTTCCTTCATATTTTTTTATTTTATTTGTATTTCATCATTTATATATATTGTTTACTATTTTAATATTATTATAAAGGTATTCATATTTATTATAAATTTAAATCCAGTATATTTTTCATTCATTAAAAGCTTACATTCATAAAATTTGAATAACTAACAATACAATGTTTGAAGCTGATAGGAGTTAATAACTAAACTATTACTTACTGAGCACCAGTAATATTTTAGCAAAACAATAGTATTATAATTTAAAATTATTATGTTCCACTTATACCGCATAAAAAACAATTTTTAACACTTTTCTTTTAGATCAAAATTAATTAGTAAAAATTGATTAAACAAAACAGATTCAGTAACATATATATTTATACAACCTAAAAGAATGTTAAATAAGTATTTTTTTTAAATAATAATAATAAGCAAATAAATAGAGTTTCTTTTATTCTTAATACTTCTAATCCTATAAATTGTCAATGATTCTAAAATATTTATATTTCAATACTCAAGGTTCAGTTCATGTAATATAATTCATGTATCTTATCATAACAAAAATTTTTATTGGTGTTTGATCTAATAAATCGAAAATAAGTTAAATAGATACAAAAAATAACTATATTAAGTTAGTACTTTGATACTTATGAAGTGATTTTATTAAATGGAAGAAATATAATTAAATAATTAATGGAAAATTACAAATAAATGAGTATGAAAATATTGACTAGATTAACTAATTGGTCTCAATTTTGAGACTGTTTGATTCACATTATTTTGTTCACCCGATTTTTTAAACATAAGGCTAATATTTTTTAATTACCGTATCACCAACTGACAAAACTAATTAGCACTTTATAGTAACAATCACCAAAGTTTTTCGAATTGATAATTATTAAATCCTGGATTTTTACGAGCATCCCAATACATATGATTATACTCCCAAGTTTCAATACCATTTCTTACGGTTTTTCTAAACCATTTAGGTTCATGTTGTTCTCCAGTTTCCTCTTTGTGTTTACGTCGTTCCCGTTGGGTTTGCTCTAAATTAAGTTTCATAGATTCAGCACGATTTAAGTCCCCTTCTTCTAATAACCTATTTTAAGTAATTTATTATTTATTAATAAAACATATTTTAAGATATATATATATATATATACATAATAATAATATAATATAACATAATCATAATAATAATAATAATATGTTAAATATAGTATAAAAATACCTTTGATCTGGTCTAAATCTTGTATCAGTTTTTGGTAAAATCTTGGCTGTTTCTAAGTCAAGCTCATTTAATTCCATTGCGAATCGTGTAAAGCCATAATATAACTCATAGTCCTCAGGCATTGTACCTATAAATTAGCTCATACAATTTTACTAAAAATTAAAAACTAAAACTACAATTTATTGTTAATTGTCATATTATGTACTATACCTGGTCTCCATATACATTTTGCAGAAGGGGCAACTCCATAATATAAAGCTTCATTCCATTTACCAAATAGTTTTCGTACAACTTTTCCTTCGTTTTCATCAACTACAACACCATGTATTTCATGGCGTTTGGCAGAAAAATAACTAGCCTAAATATTCCAAAAAAAAAAAAAAAAATAGAAGATAAAGCTCAATTAAATAATATAAATTTAAAGAGTACAAAAAAAAGTTGAAAAAATATGATATATAGGGATATCAATTTAGCATATAAAAATGGATATAGTTTTTAATTTTTCCATACTTCACTGGTCTAAATTTTAAAATTGTATAAATCATGAACAGTATTTTGATATAATGTTATGCATATCTAAAATCTTCTCTATTTAAATCTGTATTTAAAAGGGGAAAGAGGAGGCTAGCTATTTGAAAATCAAAACTGTATGGTCATTGAAGGTATAAGGTCTAAATGGTTGGTAATAGAATAAAATAATTTTATAATGATTAAAAAAAAAAATTAAATTAAATTCCCTTAAAATCCTTTGAGAAAGTAGCTAGTTCATAATAAATAGACACTCATTATGAGGATAAATTAGGTAATATGTAATATGAAGTTCAATTAAAAGTTTTTGATAATTCTAATTTAAAAATTGTACTATTTGTAATTTTAAACTAAATTACAATTTTTCGCACTACTGACACATTTTGTTATGAATTAATACTAGTATTTAAATGCTAATTTATTAAATGACATTCTATTATTATCTTGTGTATAGTATAGTACATTTTTCACTTATGTAAATCCCATTTTACCCAATTTTTACCCCTACTTAACAAATAATTTTATTAAATAAATTTTTCTACAAAGTAATTCATTTTAGAATAAATATTTAAAAAACATCGCCCTGATTTTGGTCATAGATTAAATATCGAATTAATAAATCCAATTTATAGACAATGTTTTATTTCTGAGCATAGTATTAGGGTGATATTTATTGCCAAGTAACGCTAGGAATCTTTTAGATTGAACAATTAAAAATGTTGATAAATGTTTAAAATAAAGTACTTATATCTGCCCAGCAAATTCTCATATTTTAATATTGCATTAATACTCACCAAAAAGGGTTTCCCAAGGAAAAAATAAAATATTTTTGTGAAACTAATAACTTTTTCTGTATATTTAGAATATGATAATGAAAATAAATCAAAGTCTACTTCAATTCATATTTTGAACAAAAGCTACCCTGTATCATTTATTTCCATAACAAAAGTTATACACCCAATTTCAAAAATACCTATTTAGTTAAAATACATAAAATTTAAAATATTGAATTCAACTAACCTTCACAAATGTTAATTTACAAGTGATATTTTTATCCAAATTAGTAATTTTCAGTTCACCATATTGGTCTACTGACCTTTGACCACCAAATAAGTTATGAACACAAGTTGTGACCTTATTCCATCTGTAATGATCTTTGCTATCTTCACATAGTAATTGTACATTTACATACCCTAAAAAGTAAAATAATATTCACAAATCAAAAATATGCCATTTTTATATTACTTTAAACAAACCTGTTGGTTGAAACTCCATAGATTTCCCCCAAAATTTTGTTTTAATTCTAACATCTTGCCAAAATATAAAATTTTTTGATTCAGCATGACAAACACTAACTGGTGGATGATGACTAACCTAAAGTATAAATACAATAAAAATTAAAAGTGTACACAAATAATTAAAAATTTAATAAATGTTTTAATTAATTGCCATTACTTGTTCTGCAATAAATTTGAATCCTTTATCATCTCTTATACATTCATAGGTCTCACCCAAAAGTGGATTAAATGGTTTTGAACCAGCCCGATAATAACTGGATCCATAACTAGATACTGCAAATGCAGCTACATATACCATGCGCTCATAGACATCAGACTGTTCTGATGCTTTGTCCAAAAGTTCACTATATTCCAGTTCTTCACACATACGCTAGACATAAAAACCTAAATTTTTAATTTATGGACAAAATGTATACATTTTTTTTTTATTAAAAATTATTTATTTCATTAAATTGTAAATGATTCTAAAATCTTTGAGATTTTTAAATATTATCTTTTATAATATAATTTGTTAAATCTTAAAGATTATAAATAGACCATTGGACTTCTAGTGTCTTCATATTTATTTAATGTAGTAAAAAAATTATAACTGGAAGTAAATATGTTCCATATTACGGCAAAGTCAAATATATAACTTGATATTGAATATGTAGTTTTTTATTTTTGAGACATTTTCATGTTTTCTATACTTTTGACAACTATTTTCATGTATTTGAGATTTTTTGACACTTTTATTTAATTATATATAAAAATATTTGTTTAAAAAATATATTGACATAAGTGTTAATAAGTCTTATTCTCGCAACTACTTAGTTTCGGATTACGCAATCATTAGATTGCTGATAATTATTTTTGTTTAATAATAATTTCAAAATTTCTCAAAAATAACACTTGTCAAAATGACTATCACAAAATATATTGCTAGAAAAATAATTGCCAAATTAAAATTTATAAATTATTTAATTAATTATTTTATTAATATTATTTAATTTATAAATCAATTAAAGTAAATTTACTAATGTCTAGTTAGTTAAATTAATAAAAAGTAAAAGTAAAAAGTGCATTAAGATAAAAATTTTTTTTATTTAATGTGATATTTGCTTTATGTATGTTTTTTAATTAATATTTTAATTACCAATATCACTAAACATATTTTTAGAGCATATTTTAGTGCACATTTCACGGCTTTAAGTACATAAGTGCTTTTATATTAACCTTTAACTATCGACATGCATATTTATAACATAGTTACCGATGTGTGGTTTACCAACCACACATAATTATACAATATTTATAGTGTAAATAAAAAAAAAAATATGAGTTATATAATCAAACAAAATTTAAATTATATTTTTTCAATTTATTCTTTAATATTTAATACTTATATATTTTAGTTTTTGTTTTTTGAAATTATTTGATAAATAATAAACCGTACGTCCATAGTTTTTTAGAGTTGAAAAATCTGCCATAATTATAAATTTTTTTAAAAACACCTATCAACAACTAAGTATAGAATAATTTGAATTTAATACTTTTTATATTTAAAATAATTTACAGTTTTAATTAACTAATGAATATAATTAAAGGAATTATCTAATTAGATATAATTTTAGTTTAAAAAAATAATCTACTTAAAATAAATTAAAATATTTACCTGTAACATGTTAAGAGGTTCATTAAGTGCCACTGGCATGGAGACTTGGGAAAGATCTTTACCAATATTTTTGCATAAGAGATTCCATAAAGATAAACCTTCTGTATCGGGTTTTGGGCAAGGTAACTTAGTTCGCCGTCCTGTCATATTCCTAATATCACCAGATCCTCCACAAACTACTATAAGAAAAAACAATAATTTGTCTTATAATAACTAAAACAGGAAAGTTAAAACTTTTTTTTAATTTTTTTACTACAAAGTTTTTAATGATAAACTTAACTTACGCGAAAATATTTACCCATCTTCCATCATAAACATTTAATATTGATATTATAATTTATACTAAATTGTTTTGAATAAAAATGTCTTATCAAACATCATTTTGTAAAATAAGAAAGAGTGATTACTTCTGAGTTCTGACGAATACATTGATTTTACGAACATAAGGGGAGAAATATAGTTCTGTCTGAACTTTTTGCAGTGTGTAAACTTTAGCAGGGTAGCCACTATTGAACGCGGGAAATATTATTTGACAAATTGCCAAACTAATAACAATTACATAAATAAAATACAGCGACACGTGTAGGATATAGGTATATACATTTTTAGATTTGAAGAGTAGCATGGGATATATTGGTTTTACTGTTTATTATTATTATTATTATGATTATTTTTTTCCAATTGAAAAATAACAAGAGATCTTTTTGTAGCATTATGGATCTAGTTGGTGCATTGGAGACATCATTTTTTTGATTTTCCAAGTGGTTTTATATAAAAAAAATATCGGAAAAGTGAACAAATATTTATGGAGTAAAGCGGTGTTATTGATTTTATAATTTTAAATTTGTAGTAACGGTTTATGTTTTTTATCAGAAATATTGCACCAATCGCAAAACTACAAACACCTTTTTTTGTGTTTTGTATTTTAACAGTTTTTTGTATTTACTTGATGACATGAAAATTGTTTTTTTGGTTTTCAGTGTAGTTTCGTTCATTATTGAGCAAAACTGTGAAAAAACTTATAAAAAACAGGAAAATACAGAAAAAAATGATTTCATTGTTTTCAATTTTTTTTTTTTTTTATTTTGTAATTCGGTTAAAAATATTCGTAGAGATTTGACATTTTAACAGAAACTTTACCTATATTTACCTTTTCTAAACGTGGTAACATTTTCAAAATATTTTGGCAATTTTTGAGCTATAGACATTTTATGATTGCTAGTTTTCTTTACATAGTTTTCATTTGGTAGGTGCCTACTATCTATATGTAGATATAAACAGAAATGCTTGAAAATTTAACGGGACGTTATTTATAAGTTGTACTCACACACCTTCTTGAAATATGATGTACCTATTTAGCATTCATTCATTCATTCATTCGCTAAACATCAACTAAGGCTGGGACACGTACAAAAGTAATTTCTTGCACACACTAATTAACTATAATCTTTTCGCCAATCCAATTTACAATCATGTGTGTATAATAAACGAATATCATAATAAATCATATACAAATAATTCAGTAAATATGTAATAACCACTTCGTGAAATTGATCTTTTCATGAATAAGAAACTGATATTTCATAATTCGTGAAATACAAAAATATTTAATAAAATAATAAAGAAAAAACAAAATTATTTAATGGTTAATACTCTTAAAAAAATATATTAATTAATTAATTATGATATGAAGAGTATTATATGTGTATAATATGACCGATTTCAAATTAAAAATTCATCGTCACGTAAAATCATAGAGTAAAAAAGTAAAACGGGATTGAATAAGAAAAACAAATTTTGGTCCCAGGTAGTACAGGGTGTTGGTCTGTTTACGATAATGTTCTACACAATTTCAAAAGTAAAAACGACGTTCTAGAATAATGGAGTCACTGTTATAGGTAATATAATATATATTTGTAAGCAATAATACACCATTTCTAACGAAAAAAAAATTCTGAAGGGATAAGTATTAGATTATAAGTAAGTATTTATTGTTTATAATTGTTATAGTGTCTCTGGAGTCAGAACTTAAAGTAGATAATTTAATAACTTAATAATTATATTTTAACCAATTATTTAGTGTTTTATGCAGTTTTGTTAACTATTAAATGCTCAAATAAATATCTATTCTTATCGTCAAAATACGAATTTACAATAATCATAGCTAGATATTTTACTGTGAACTATTTAAAACAATTATTAATGTTCGGGTGTATAGCTCCCCATGGACTTTATAAGGCGCAGCTCAGCCACCCACAGTTGTCATATTATAAAAAAATCAATATTTGTCATGTACATCCTCAAAATACTAACTTTATTTACAACAATTGATTATTTAATACTTGATAGCAAAGAAAAAGTGTAGAATTCAGTAATCAACCAAATTCTCGGTTAACTGGTATCTGATTAACGGTATGTTGGTATATGAACGTATACCAACGTATTGATAACGGTTTGGAAAATACATTGTCTATGTAAAAACGTATAACTTTCAAAAATAAAATGGCAATTTAACATTTTTGTCTTGTGATTTTTCATGATGCTAATACTATTAAAATGCTATAACATACAAAATAACATATAAATATATTTTAGTAATTGTTTAATAAACAATTTAAGGAAAATAAAAATAGGAAACATATGGTGAGATTAAGATAAAACTATTAACTATTAACTAAGTCATTATAACTACATGTGTTTATAAAATAGTGACCCCCTATGATATTTTCAAAACCTGTCGTCCATATTATGGACGATTTAGGGATTATATTGACGTAAAGTACGACTAAATAGGTCCCACTGGTCCAGGCCGGGTCCGTGACACGAAACACGTCAGGGTTGACTCAGATCAGCTATTCACACTCGTCCGGGCCCCGTCCGAGATTACAATTTTATTTTATTTACAACTTATAGTACAGTCTTCAGTCGCGATTATCCGGTGTTTATTTGACAAACCCGTACGGTAACCCAAAGAGCAAATTGTTTACAACCAGTAGCGTACACAGGATTTTAGTTCGATTATGGCAGGGTGAGATAATGCGATCGTACCGCCTGTTCATTCTCCAATATATTTTTACCTTAATTTAATATTGAACTCGTCATAAATCATAAATGCGTGTCCTACGTGGATTTTAAAAATCTTCCCCTCCCCTTAAGTTTTCTACCAGAAATAATACTTCAATCGAAAAATGAAAATTTGATTTTGTTACTCTTAACACATAGCCATAGATAGAATAAGTAATTTTTTAATATCTAAAGGATTTTACATAATAATTAGCAAAAACGAATTACTGCGATTTTTTATGTTGACTGTAGACAAATTATTAACTTTTAACAGAAATGCTTGATAATTTGATAGGAGGTTCATTATAAGTCGTAATTGGTGATAAAAAAAAATTTAGTTTAATGAAGTTTTTTTTTTTTTTTACAATTGTTTTAAAATCAAATTTCGACAAAAATCGTAAATATTTCTGCCTTTCAAAACATGTATAACCGAACTTCGCTCAGAATTGTTTTTCGTTATCAATGGTTTATTGTTGGTTACTGGAATAAATTAAATAACTCAATGTATCCCGCCTTCCTTATTACCCATCTACAACAATGGCACACAGTACACCCGTCTCCAGTATTTTTCTCAGTAGCTGCACCTGTTTCCAGTATCAGTTTTTTTTTTCTACAAGTTACTCATAAATTATAATGAATTTAATATTAAATTGTTCAACATTTACAAGAGCCCAAAAATGTTTATCTATACACCTATTACTTCAATATTTTAAATAGCTATACAAATTACAGAATATGTAATATAAGTGTACATAGATATGAATTATCTATTCTTACTTTATCATTATTCCAAGAGTGCTTCAAAAAGTGAGGTATTATTTTTCTGTTTGTTTTTTATCTATGGTGATAGGTTACCAAAATGATACCTAAAGGTATTTTTGCTAACGAAAAACGAGTTCGGTTACACATATTTTGAAAGGCCATAATATTTACGATTTGAAATTAATACATTTCAAAAATTTTCTTTCAGAAAAGGCACTGAATTTGAAAATCAAAGCAAAATTTCAAAACAACTTTTTTAATTTGTTCACATAAAAAATTAAAACATTGTAAAACCAATAAGTACATTTCTTGCTCCACTCAGAATCAAAAAATATTAATTATTTAAATAGTGTTATTTTCCCTAATATGACTAATCACTATAATCTAACCATTTATTTATCTAGAAGAAATACTATAATGGATTATAAAAATTTAGTCTATTTGGTAACTAAACTAATTGTGTTACTTTTAAATATAAAATATATATATTAATATAAAGATAAATAATACATTTTATGTACTTACACCCTTGAGGATTATTGTATTCAGATGTTGCTCCATCACTATTTTCAGAAGATATAGATCCATCTTCAGATGACAGAGATCCAGCTTCAGAAGATGTATCTGAAGTTTGAGCAACTACCTCACCAGAAACTAATTCATTTGTTACAGTTTCATTAATTTTACCACATTGATATTCTTCTGCATCAAAAAATACTTCTGAACCACTTACACCAGAACTATATGATAATGATGAACTTAAAACCTAAATATAATGAAACAATATTTTATTAAACTTATTTAAATGTATAATAAAAAATGCTTACAGGATCTGAAAAATTTGATGTGTCCGAAGTAATATGAATATTATTTAATTTAGCACGAAGTTCGCTATTTTGTTGAACAGCTTTATTTAGAGCAACTCGATAATTAGATATTTTATCATCACTTGTTTCTCCGACAAATATATGATTACGTTCTTCGTTTATTGTTTCCATAATTAATTTAAAGCTATTTTGAACTAAAAACATATGAATATTAAATAATTAAGTTATACAACAAAATACAAATTTATAACACTTACTATCTTTTGCTAAAATAACAAAATCTGTATAGAGTTGAAGATCACTAGCTGATGGATTAACAGTTAATGATGGATTACTGTTTGATAAATTCTGAGTAGCTATTCCAGTTTGCTATGACAAAAAAAAAAAAAAATATTAGACTAAAAATAATATGTATGTCAACTGACAAAAATGAGGCGGAGTGAAATTATTTTTCAAACAAACAATAACTTTAAAGCTTGTAAATACAAAAAACATTTATGTTTTTGTCATCTAATGAATGGTTTTCCCATAATTAAATTAATTTTATTTATTAAGCAGTCTTTCAATAGGCATAAATAAACTATTCATAATTAATAAACAGCAATAAGAAAATCAAATTATGATATTTACTAACCGAAATATAACTTTTTAGTGTATCATTATATAAAATAAAAACATTACATTAGCAAAAGTTGTTCTTGCTCATACGCTTATTAGGCAATAATTTAATTAATTTCATGATTATACAAAAGTAATACTTAAGATTAAAATTTTACACAGGAAATTTTGATTTAAATAATTTCATTCAAGTTTCTTATATTCAATCACTTATTATACATTTTAAGCGAATTAATATACAATTAGTTGTAATTAATGAAGGAAAACTATTCAAATTGGATCCCTTTAGGCTATCACAATAATATATTTTAAGTTTCATTAAAATTAGTTCATTGTTTTGGGAGACGATAGTTTTAATAAATTGAAGTTTAAACCTGGGGAAAAGAGAGGATTTGCTTCATTCCACCCCAATAAATTTATTAATTGTTTTATTTACAAAACTAGATGTGTCTGTAACATCAACAGAGGTTTTATTAGTTGATTGACTGATTGCTTGGTTCATATCAATACCCCATCCAGCAATTGTACCACCCCAACTACCACCACCGCTTTTTTTTTTACGCAAACGAAACCTCGTGCTTTTTTTTGTCACTGGAATTCCATCTAGAACACCAGCCTATAAAAAAAAATAAATATTATTCTTAAAACTTAGAAGTAACTAAAGAAATTAATAAAATAATGAAAAATATTTACATCATTATCAACTGATTCTAATTGATCAAGTATACGGTTTAAAGACTTCAAACTTTGTTCAACTTGCTTAAGTTCTGAAGTTGCTGGATCCAACTGTGAACACCAACCATTTAAACGTGAATTTGGAGTACAATGTTTAATTGATTCTACAGGAGACATTACTGAAAAAATAAATATATTCAAAATTATCAATTAAAACAAAAATAAATTTTACAGAACTTAGCTGATCCAATAGTTTGGATAAAGGCGAAGGAGAAAAAGATACATTAAATATGTTTAGAATAAAATATTTAAAATACTGAAATTTGTTCTAACCTCCAGAGATGTTTTGTTCTTCTAAAGCTTTATATGATATATAGGTTATCTAGTACCATTGTGCCACTCAGTGAATTATTTAATGAGGGGACATGGAATACAGAGCTTCCTCTCCCCTATTATTAAGACTCCTATCACTGATAATGTTAAATTTTGAAGTTTTACATAATTATAAAACAACTAATTTGTATTATAATATGATAATACAGTGTCCACCATAATTAAATAGCATTATATGTTGTTAACACTGCCTATGTAGATCTATAATAAATATTTTAGGAGGTGAAATAATAAAAAATATATGTATATTGTTTTAAATTACAAATACTATTATTTGATACCAATCTAAAACATGAATATATATTATGAATGTTGACATGTGAAATTATAATTATGCTTAAAGGTATTTTTGTTTGTTTGTTCAATTGCTTCTTAAGTGACAAAGGGAATAAAATATAACATATTATTTAATCAATGGTAATATTGTATTTTTAAGACTAAAGTTTTTAATTACAAATATTGGGCCCCATAAAAAAAGTAAATTATTTTAAACACATCAAATTTAATAAAAAAAATACTAGTGCATAATGTTAATATTTATTCATACACATTAATAATGTACTTTTTGTAACAATTCAGCCATTCTATAACAACTTAATAATATTCTAATACACTTACAAGATGTTTTTTTTTGTAAAGATGATTGTGTTTGTTTTGTTAGGCCAAAAGTTAAAACATGTTGACGATAAAGTCGATGCTGCTTTATTTCTTTCATCCATTCTGAAAATGCTTCGAATGTCTTTGCCTAAAATGTGAAACAAAAAATGTATAAATAATATAAATATTTTAAATTAATATAATCATAAATAACTGCATGATAACTTGCATGACTTTTATAATCTAAAATAATTAATATGCTCTGTTTATAACTAATATAGAAATAATATAATCAATTTAAAATTGATATACCATGATACAACTTTCAAAACTGTACCTACAAAAAATTGTTCACCCTTTGATAACAAATTTATGCTGGTTTTCCTTACAAATAAGTTTTTTTCCAAGTCTCTAATATTTCGCATAATGCAGTAATTATTTTTATAAGACATTAAAAAAGGCAATTTCCTAAAAAACCTTATTTGTTTTTAAATAGTTAATACTAGAAACATTGAGATAGATCATTGAATTAAAGTAAGTAATATAAATTATTGAGCACACAGAGCACTGTGTAAATTAACAAAGCTTTAAAAATGTATATTATATTCAACAAATAAACGTATTCCCGTTATCTAATTTAATTACATTAAATATAAGATGAAAATTCTCTCTAATTAACAAAATCATATCATCAAATCAATGAGATTATTATTACAATGTTAAATAGATAAAATTAGTTTAAAATAGATAACACAAGGATAATTCTTATTTAATGCTTGAAAAAACATTAAGTTGGTAATTAATAATTAACAATGTTAATTTAGTTTTATCCATATTTATGTGCAATTATTTTAGTATATTTGTTGTTCTGTCTTGAACCCTACTAGCAACACAGCCATAGGTGATCGTGAGTAGACCAACCTTCTAATATTGTATGTAATTTGAATTGTATCAATTAATGTTTGTTTTTTCTGTGATAACTTTTATATTAAACATTTTGCTCAATTATTTAAGTATAGCACTTTTTCTGAACGTAAATTTGACTGTGATAGTAATTGAAGAAGGTTTTATTTTGATTTTCTAAGTGATTTTCATAATAAAAAGGAAAAATGAGAAAATGTACGAAATTTATTATTTTAAAATCATAAATATTACGGCATTTCAAAACATATATTAACTAAATCTGTTCAGAATTGTTTTCATTAAAAATAATTAACCATTATGTACAGATAAACATTCAATTTCATTTTACCTTCTTAACTTTTCACTCACAACAGTAAGCCCACCCATTGTGCGAAACATGTCTGTATCTTTTTTATATTGTTGTAGTTATTAGTAATAAATAAATAAATAAATAAGCCTAACGAAAATCTATAGATAAAATAATTAGGAAATGAAATATAATCCATAAATATAATTATATAGTATGGTCATCAATTTATTATTATTATTTTTATAATAAAACTATAAAATAATAAATATATGTATATAAGTGCATAATTGGTTCTAAGTGTTGTAAAATATACAAATAAAAAAAGTGTCCTAGAAAAATGAAGACGGGTGCAGTCACTGTTATAGGTAATTTAATGTATATCAGTAAGAAACGATACACCATTGCTAACGAAAAAAAAATTCTGAGCGCAGTTCAGTGATACTTTGTCAACAATATATATGTCATATTATGGTAAATAATTAAATAGGCATTATATATTTTCTTTAATAATATTTATATAATATTGTATCGATTTTCCCGTTTTTCACATGTTTTTTCCTGGATTATCACATTTACTCTTGAAAAACCAAAAAATTACCACCCTAAAGTACCTTTAAGTAAGTAAGATTTACTTTCAGAAAAAATGCTATCATCGTAAATCGAATCAAAATTGCTGGTAAAAAAGTTGTACACAGAAACAAAAGGCTATAATTTTTTTTTTATTTATTAATACTTACATTTAGTGCATTTTCCGTTTTTACGATATTTTATCCCGGTTTTTCCCAGTTATTATGAAAACCGATTGAAAAATCACAAAATTACCTCCCTAAACCATGGAGATAAAATTTCCTTTAAGGATATAAGCTATACTTGATACATGGTAACAAGATTCCTAGTAGAAAAGTTTGCACAACAAATCGAGGGGTATTTTTCGATTAAAATCGTCCGAGCTAGCGATAGCTTGGTCTCTAGGTACACTTAAAATACATTTGTTTCTTCCCTATTTAGGTAAAAGGGAAAAAAAGTGTAAGCAATTTCTTTTCAAAATCCGGGTTTGAATCCGCGATCCTTAACATAAGAATACGTAATTATGACCATTCGTCTACAACAAACATATAGTAAGCAGACAATATAGAGTTATTTAACAAAAACATGTAATATCTACATAATATCTGAACTTTAAAAAGCTTTACTATTCTTATTAAATTGGATAAATACACATGTGTTCGAAAAAAAAAAAATTGAAAAATTAGATTTGTTCTACATAATTTTTTATTCAATTTTCGTCAAAATGTAAAACCAAGATTCCTTCATAAAAAAAAAATACTACATTAAACTCAATATTTTTTTTTTTTTTGCCACAAAATAAGATTAAATGAACCTCCTGTTCAATTTTCAAGCATTTCTGTTAAGTCTAACAATTTTACCACTGAATACCTACGAAATAAAAATTACGTACAAAACTCACAAAATTAAAATGTCTATAAATAGCTTAAAAATGGCCTAATTTATTTGAAAATTTGATTACTTCTAGAAAAGACAAACATAAGTTTTTTGTCCAAATTTTAAATCTTTACAAATATTTTTAACAGAATTATAAAAAATAACAAAATTGATAAAATAATAAAAGCATTAATTTCGTGCATTTCCCGTTTTTCTTACGTTTCTTTACGTTCTATACGGGTTTTTCTCAGATAAACCGCTTAAAAAATCAAAAATAACCTCCCAAAAGTACCATCTGGACAACATTCCTTTTCAGAAATGATGCCGCGTGTTTATATCTAAGCAAAATTTATGGTCGAATTTTTCTACACAGGATAAAAAAAAAATAAACATTTTAATAAAACCAATATTTCTCGGTACACTCAGAATCTAAAAATAAACAAAGGAATACATAAAGAAAAAATTATACAAATTGGTCGTTTTACATGGAAATAATTTATTTTAATAGAAATGATTATTTAAAATGAGTTATCAGACATAGATATGTTAAGAAATATAAATTATTTGGTTATTATTTGTTATCTAAAATATATTGATATAAGATATTTTTTTTAAAATTAGTTAAAAAAATAACAGAAATAATTATAGAAATAATTTCAATTTAAATACTATTAAAAAAATTCATAAACGTATTAAAGAAAAGAAAATAACACAACTCACCAAATAAAGTTGTTAACTATTGTAGAATTAAATATTAAAATAATATGTCTAAGAAATTCTCTAATATTCTGAACAATAATATAAATAATGTAAACATTGTTTTTAGACTAATAATAGTTTAATTAAACATATAAACAAACCATAAAAAATTAAACTAAAAATAACTAAAAAACTAAAACTAAACAAATTCCCCTTTTTTGAGAATGCTGGTATATATAAATTTAAATGTAACTGTAATAAATTTTATATAGGTAAGGCAAATAGACATTTTAAAATGAGATGTAAAGAAAACATTTCTAAAATAAAACTAAAAGACCACCCTCCAATTCAAATGTCGCTAAACATATATGTTTTAGAAAATTACCATAATATAAGTTTTGATATTAATAAAGACTTAGAAATATTAAATACCCAAAATAACATTTACATTATTTTAGTTTTAGAAGAATTACACATACACAATGAAAGAATGATAAATAATTATAATAATATTTTACATTAATATATTATAGATAATAAATAATAACCAAATAATTTATATTTCTTAACATATCTATGTCTAAGAATAACTCATTTTAAATAATCTCTCATATTAAAGTAAATTATTTCTAGGTAGTGGTACATTTGGAATACATGCACCCCGGATAGAAACAATTTTAATGCCACCCCTTCCTCACCCACTTATTTTTATCCACCACTCTTTACAACTTCAGACCTTTATTCCTTGCCCTCAATTACTGAAAAATTCACCCCTTGCTTGTTTTGAAAACATTTTAAAATATTTAATAATTTACAATTTCAAAATGTTTTATCAAATAAAAACTCATACCAAATAAGTAAATGACATAAGTAAATTGTATACGTTATTAGCCGTTTCTCTCATATCATATTCAACTCAAAATGATTTAATACAATAATCTGATATCACTTATTACTTGGTGGTACAAAGTGTAGACAACACAGTGTAGAAAAAAGTCTCTATAAAAGGCGACAGTACTCGACATAAAATATTAAAATCACTCATGGTCCTTTTATACAACAGTACTTACAACAATTATCTATTACTTATACAAATAAAACTATAGATTAATTAATCTATTATTTAATGAAGCAATTAAGGATTATACAATTTGTGATAAAAACAAAAATTAATACACTCTCTAAAACTGCCTAGGTGTTCCCCTTGATAGATCATTCACCTGCAAGGACCATTATTTTGTTTTAAAACGGAAAATATGCAATTGAAATACTTTATTACTCAAAATGGGAAGCTTATTTCGAAATAGTCAGAATTCCAGCATTATTATAGACTGTTTAAAGCCAACATCAGTGGAGAAATTTATCCTCTAACAAAAATATCGCCATCACATATATACAGATAAATCGCTAGTGAAATTTAACGAATGAAACAAATTTCACATATATCTCTAATGAAAGGTACCCAATGTATACTATTACGCATGATGAAACTTACCGGATAAAGTTAAGAAGAAGCTTCCTAAAATGTACAAAGAAACTAGAAAACAATCCACAGACTAAAATTAAAATTATGGTAAGATTAGAATAAGCAAAAAGTCAAGGAAAAATAACCCCCGGGATATAATAAATGTACATCTGAAGGACTTTAAACCGCATATGCACAAGAGTTAGATATACAGTCAAATTCGCTTATAACGATCTTTAAGGAACCTAGGGAATCTGATTGTTATAACCGAACTTCGTTATATCTGGATTATAAAAAGTAACTTGATTTTTTTGAAAAATTGATTTATTAAACAAATTTTTTACTGCAGAATTTTTAACAAAAGTACATATAGTATATGTTTACGATTTTTTTGAAAAATAATCTATTATAGTGGTTTATTTATAATTTGAATAAGATTTTTTAACAAAATTAGAAATATTGTTTAATGCCATTGATACTTCTGACGTACAGTATGTATTTATATCACTGTTTATCGAAACATAAGTACGCACCTGATCAATATAAAAATACATTTCTGAAATAGATGGTATTTTAAATTTTTTTTCTTCGCTCTCTTCGTCAGCTTGTTCACTTTTATCATCATTTACATTCAAAATAGACTTAACATTTCTTCTTCGTTGGTCAAAAGAGCATCGTCAACCTCCGCAAAACTTTGTAAGTTTTCTTCAGAAAAGCACTCTATGTCCAAATTATTATCACTTACTATTTCTTTCTCTGTTTTTTCATTTACCGACCGAAGCCTTGAATCCAGCGTGGTAGAAACAGTTCCTTATTGTAGTGGTAGAAACATCATTCCATGCATCGGAGATCATTAAAATTGCATCTAATACTGAAATTTTAATATCTTTTCCCTGTTCCTCTTGATTAATAATGTTGAGTACTAGTTTTTTCCGAAATTTTACTTTTAAAGCTTTGATAATACCTTGATCCATAGGTTGTAATACAGAGATCGTGTTTGGAGGGAGAAAAATCAACTTTATGAATTTGATATTTTGAATAGGAGGATGAGCCGGACAATTATCTACAGTCAATAGGATATGCCGTTTTTCCTTTGTCAGTTGTTTATCCCATTCTTTTAACAAGTCAGAAAATATGTCTCCAGTTATCCATGCTTTTTTATTGCTTTTGTAGGTGACTGTCAAGTTTTCGACATTTTTAAAACATCTCGGAGTCTTAGATTTTCCAATTACCAACAGTTTTTTTTTGTCATATTAGAGGCTACAAGAATCGTGAATCGCTCTTTAGATAATTTACCACCACTGCATGTTTCCCCTTTAAAACGTAATGTTTGAGACGGTGTTAGACGATATAACAATCCGGTTTTATCAGAATTATAAATGTCACAATCTGCATAATTTTTACGCAAATTAGGCCAAACGTGTTCCAGCCAATTTTCCGAAACACCAACAGGAACGCTTGCCGATTCTCCGCTTATTTTTCCAAAAACGATATTGTGTCTGACGAAAACGGGTAATCCAAAAAGAAGAACATTGAAAATATATTTTATTAAAACGCTTCCCGAATTCGGTCGCTTTTTGTTGAAGTATCGGACCATTTATTGGTAGATAGTGTTGATTGACTGATTCCCAGCTCTTGGCAAAGATCTTTATTAGAAACACCATTTCCTAAACGTTCAATTATTTTCACTTTTTCAACGATAGTGAAACAACGTCGTCTTTTATTTGACATTTTTAACTTATACGGAACGTATAAACGGATATCAATCAAAATGGCGACTAAGAAACGTATGCCGTATACAATACGGTCGTACAAGACATATTATCTGTTACAGATAAGATTAAGAATTATCGCTTCCAACGAAATCATATTGCTAAAGGCGATTAAAAAAATCAGTTTTCGTTTCAAAATAAATCGCTATATCCGGATTATCGTTATAACCGATATCGTTATATAAGAATAAAAGTACTATACATAACATATAAAACCAACCAAATACATTGTTTGGAATCGTTTTACCTGGAATATCGTTATATACGGCATCGTTATAAGCGAATTTGACTGTATGAGTAAGAACCTGAGAAAATGAGAAATAATCAACAAGGAAGACACGAATTGAAATTATAGAGAGGTCTACATAATGGCATACCTTCTAATCTTTAACAACTGTCCACCCAAATGCAAGATAGCAGAGTATGGAGCCATGCAATATAAAATAATTATATATGTTGCCCTAGCAATTATAATATTGTTATTATTTATTTTATTTATACAATTTAGACTCAAAAAATTGATTTGTCACATATGATTCATAGTAAAAAAAAAAATTAACGCTAAGCATAATATACATATTTTATTACCCTCATTTAGCTGAGCTGTAGAGGCGTTTAAAGCTAAAAAAAAAAAAACACTCCACAAAAATAATTGTGAAATTTATATTGAAATAGGTACTACTACAGATTAAGATATACCTTAGTAAATATATATCTTAATTCGTGAATACTAGCCAAATTGTATCACTTCAATCACACCTGCTTATGTGAGGCCTGTCCCAAAAGTAAAGGTCGTAAATCAGACTTGATTGAACGGTGCCAGTTGAAGTATCAGTTAAGGCGAGGTTGTTAATTATAAAATACCAGCCACTGGTAACTTGCAAACGTTTCACGCCAGTTATTCATCTACGTTTCCATCTGTTCTACGTTGACTTACCCCTTCCACTACACCGCCACAACGAAATTCTGTGTTGTGTATTAAGTATCAATTTTGTTATTCTATTTTAATCTGAGATCTAAGATTTGAAATCCTACTTGAATAATTATTAACTATCGTTATGGCAGAAACAAAATACAAAATCACAGTTCAAGAATCAATCAATAAGTTCTATTTCAATAGTTTTATGCGAGTGTATGACCAGCTATTAGAAAAATATATGAGAGAATAGAAAAAAAATATGGTTTGGATGGGCAAAAAGAAATATAGGGCATCAGAGACGATTATACTAGAATTAGACAACAATGACCATACAAAATTCAAATTGGTGATCAGTGTGATACCAGATCAATTTGAGTTACTGATGAAGATAATTACAATCATGCATCAGTTTACAACAAATTGTATCTAAAATTGTTATAATCCACTGATTGGGACATGACAATCGCATCCCCAGTAGGGGTTAGGGTGTGTTCTCCGACAACCTATAAAAGAAAAGAAACAAATTGAAATCAGGTTTACCAATCTTGAAACCCTAAAATCCCACCAATCAATCCAACAATTTATGTATTCATATCATAGACTTAATAAGAATAAAATATTACCTAACATGTTATCATTTTATTTTTGTAATTTTAATAAGAATTTGTTGAACTTTTCTCTTACATCAGTTAATGAAAAAAATAATTATTTAAATTATTTCAAATTATGTGGTAAGTTATTTCATATCAAAAAAGATAGACATCTTTGTATGATGTATGTCTATACATCATACAAATTAAAATAAAAAGTCCACAATCTGAAGATTATGGTTGTTTGTATGTCATCACTGCAATGCTTTATAAATTATACTTTACTACTTAATATAATTAAACAGGTTAAGTAGGTAAACTTATCACACAACGATAGGAATGTAATATATACAATAAAATACATGTTTACTGATCCAAACATATTATGAAAACATTTTTTAAATTTTTTTTTCCGGTTTTTCGGCATGAATTTTTTTTTTTCTTATCAACTGTTGGAGAAGGCTTCGGACTCCTACCAGTAGCTGGAATTATAAACGATAAACACCAGTAAGTTGGCATTCCAGTTGACACATGTTAGTGAATTTCCAAAAAATACTGTAAATGACAGTGACCGGAAGGTTTATACTCTAAATTACAACTTTTATAACCCAAGATCAGTGTAGCTATACTTAGTAAATTATAAATTGTAATCATATTAACCCATTAGTAGATGTTTAATAATATTCCAACGAATATTTTGCCGGGTGATTTTGTGTGATTATTAAACTTCAAAAAGGAATTTTCTGATTCCCTCACACGAAGAAAAACTTTTATTTACCATACATAAATAAAAATCAATCACAACATGTATAAAAATTCATCACTTGAAAACGGCTCGACCGATTCGACTGATATTTAGATTCAGAACGTAGGGAGGAATGCATTGGTTTTACAATTGTTTTATTATTATTATTATTTTTTTATATAAATATACTGTGTACAATAATAATAATAACAATTGAAAATACCGAAAGAAAAATGACGAGACAAACAAACAAATAATTACGGCAAAACGATTTATTAATTCTAAATTTTTAGGGTTTGTTATCTACCAGAAATATTGCTCCAACAAAAAAACAACATAGGGAGTAAGAAAGTCGATTTTTGATTTTCTCTGTAGTTTTTTTTATTAATTAGGCGAAATAGAAAAAAAATCGTAGAAAGAACAAAACAAACTATACAAATTATTTTTTTTTTAACTTTTCCGAAACTAAACGAAATTTTCTATGGGTGGTACTTTAGAGAGGGCAATTTTTGAAATTCTTATTAATATTCGAGATAATGAGGAAAACATAGGTCTTCTTATTTATTACTTCAGGTTAAAAAAGATTGAAAGATTAAAAATAAGGTTGTTATTGGCAACCGTTTCTATTTATTTTTTATTATTATTAAGTTTTTATTATTTTAATCTTTATTAAACAATCATTGTTGTCATGGGAACGCACATCATTTTACCATAATAAGGCATATATACTATATATTGTATTGTTGACAAAGCACTACTAATCAAATGAACTCCGCTCAGAATCGTTTTTGAAGTTAGCAATAGTTTATCGTTGCTTACAGATATACATTAAATTCCCGTCTGTATCCTACCTTCCAATCTACAATAGTGGCTGCACCCACTTGCGAAGTATATCAGTCTTTTTTTTTTAATTTTTACTTTTTTATTGTAATCCAATTTTTAAAACTTTTGAGCTATTTATAAAAATTTCCATTTTGTTTGTTTTTATGCATATATTATTTAGTAGGTACTCTGTAAATAAAATTGTTAGACTAAATAGGAATACTTGAAAAAAGTCGTGCATAATAGTCAAGAAATAAAAACATTAAATATCAAATTTTGAAGAAAATCGTAAATATTACGAAGTTTTAAAAAATGTATAACCGAACATTGATTCAAATCGTTTTTCGTTATTTTTTTATTGTGCTCGTAATTGTGAGGGCAAAATTTGAATGAAAAAAAATCGTGGTCGACAATTTAAATGGTATTTTCGTATGAAAATCTCAATAAAAAAAAAAGAAGACCCGATACTAAGGATGGGAGCGGCCATTGTTATAGGTGAACAGTCGGGAAGGTAGGATACATAAGGTTTTTCATTTATATCTGTAAGCAACGATAAACCATTCCTCGAAGAAAGAAAATTCCGAGCACATTTCGGTAATACATAATTTTTTGCGATTTCGTTTAAATTTCAAAACGCTAATAAAAAAAAAGTCGTCTGATGATTTTGGAAATTTTACCACGTCTAGATAAATTCAATATAAGTATTATTACCAAGTTTCAAGTCTCTAGGTATATGTATAACCGAATTACAACAAAAAACTACTAAAAATTGAACATTTTTAAAAGCTCAAAAGTTTTGGCGATGATACCGTTAGAAATTAAATCAAAAAGGCAATAAAAAAGGTATCTTTTGATTTTTCGATTAAATCATTTTTCCTGGTAGAAAACGTCGTTCGTGTTTTTATAAAATAATGAAATCGTGAAATTGTACGTTTTTCTCCACTTAGGTGCTTTTATTTAAAAAATGACTTTTGTAAAGTACCATTAGACATTTAGAGTTTTCAGAAGAGTTGCTACGCGTAAAAATTAATGCAAATTTACTAAGAAAAACCGCGTCGACAGACTAGAACAAAGAAAAAAAAAAAATAAAACATCTTATTAAAACCAATAGCTCCTTCGCTACGCTCGGAATCTAAAAATGTAACGTTCTGTTCTATTACCACATATTTTCATAACAATAACAAGTTGATATAAATATATATTATTACATAATGAAATACAGTGAACTATGTATGCAGTTCTACAGCAACTGTACTGTTTGCTGTGCGAATCCTCGTGACAACTATTAGTTTTTTTAATTATTTATAAAAAATATAAATGGCAAATTTTTTATTTTTTTTTATTTTTAGTTTTATTTCACCCGTATCACCAAGGTAACTCGGAAATCAATAAAAATGTTTCGATTGACATTCAGTTTTGCTGTCTAATGTTTCCATAACAAAAAATGTATATAAATACATACATATTGATAATTTGCGAAAATAATTGAATTGAAAGTGATAGTTCAGTGTGTTATCGGTGGTTATCATATCTTTGGTGTATTCAAAATTATAAAATTCTTTAATTTGGTGGGTTGCAACGTTCGTAATAATTTAATGTGTTTCAGTTCATGAATTATTTCTTTAGAAAAACAGCCACCAATGAAGGGTTGAAATATCAGTCGACGTACGCGTAAAGCAAACAACTTCATCGTTGATTCAATGATAGATTTACGAAGAGCGCGGATAACGTTTGGAAGTAAATCAAAGAAGTATTTTTCAAGCGCGATCCATTATGATTCCAGAACAACGAAACCGGTCGAGTTCGAATCACTCAGTTGGAACTTATGCACAAAATAATTTAGAACGTCGACAAAACAGACGATTCTATAGATTCAAAGTTAAATTCACCATCGTACAGGAGCATTGTTGCCACCATTGATTGCTGATCACAAATTGATATACATTTTACGTATAATCTGAACCAACCGAAACTATGCAATGGAACAAGACTCACTGTTATGAAGTTGATGAACAACGTGATTTAAGTAATGATAATCAAAGGAAAGTTCAAAGGCGAGGATGTTCTGATTCCAATAGACTTGCCGTTTCAATTTAAGAGTGTACAGTTTCTGTTCGCCTTGCGTTCATGATGACAATTAATAAATCGCAAGACCAAATGTGAGAAGTGTGTGAAATAAAATTGAATTGCCGCGTTTTTCCCATAATCAGTTGTACATGTCGTACTTGAACGTCTATAAACCATCGGTAAAATTCGTTTTCTCTCCAGATAGACAGACAAAAAAATATTGTACATCATTAAGTGTACGGTAAATGCATGAAAAATATTTGTTGATACAAATGATTGATAAAACAATGAATTCCGATTTATTTAATTTCAATAAATTCATGTTCGTACTCAAATATTTTACTTCAATGCACACAAATTCAAAGAAAAATTCAATTGAATGAATCCCTTCTCGACTAATGGACTGATTTTTATGCTGTTTTTTTTGTAAAATGGTCTGCGTTGTTTGAAGAAGGTTTATAGCTATTTAAATCCACTTCATGTGGAAAACAAAATCCCAAAATTCGGTTTTGGGTATTTGTGGTACGAAAACAAAATTATTTTTGTTGATTTATGGGTTACCCACAACACACTTTTAGTTAGTCGAAACCAGAACTCACATTGGGAGGAGGGACGGCAAAAGTTTAAATATAGTGCTAAAAATAGTAAATTATAAGACTGTGAATCAAAACATACTACTCTACTACGGTGTTTGGGGGAGTAAATGACCCCGTTGCCTCCCCCCTGAATCTGCTACTGACTGAGCCGAACCACCCTTTTTCCATCTAACATTTTTTTTTCAATAGTGGCACGGGAAATGTTGGTCAGGACAGCTGTTAAAAAAAATCCAAATAAATAAATACCTTCTTCACGAGATAATAAGTGTTATTGAGAATTGATAAATATTGTAAATGTAAAAGAAAAAAATTGTTTTTCTTACTTCTACGGAACCTTATGTACAATCTACAATAAAAACACAAGTTCACATTTTAATTATTCGTAGAGAACAAAGTTGTCGTAGTGCGCACAAAACTCTATCTACCATACAGTATATTTATATAAATATGAAATGGTATTTTTTTTTAGAACGAATAATCTCTGAAACTACCCATCCAATTGTTATGCAGTTTCTTTTTAATGATACGAGTATATCGCAGAGAAGATTTTAAACTATTGAAAGTAATTCCTTAAATTTACTAGTATAGAAATTGTTTATAATTGTTTGTATTTGATGAAGTGCGATAATTTAACTTAGCTTTGCGGCTTCTAATAAAGATATAATGTCGACATGAATATTTACATTCCATTTTATAATTTATTCATTATATCATAACACTATTTAAATACATACTATGAATGGTCACCAAGCTAAGTTAAATTACTTGTATTAAATTATCAAATACAAACAATTATAAACAATTTCTACACCTATACTAGTGACTTTATGAAATCATAAATTTGAGATTTTTTGACACTTTTATTTAATTGTATATAAAAAAATTTTTTGTTTAAAAATGTATTGACAAAGTGTTAATAAGTTTTATTACACAACTAATTAGTTTCGGCATACGCCATTATCAGGTTGCTGATAAACAATGTTATGTAAAACACTTTATTAATACTTTATATTAATATATTTTTTAAATAAAATTTTTTTTAAAAAAATTCTTATTAGCCCCTTTTTGATATCACGACTTTTTAAACTTGAGTTTTTTTTTTTCTTAACGAGGTTTTTATACGTAGTTGACTGGGGGTTGTTGGAATATCACTAATTTTTTTATTAAAATTTTGGATAGAGTTAATCTGTTTTTTTTTTTTCGAGTGAAAAATGATGGGGATAAAATATCTTTGTTGTTTTATGGATTGAGTAAATGAATATATGATGTATAACTATGAATATAGCTTATGAATGTTGCTGGAAAACATAATTATAGTAATACAACGATAAAATAAATAAACAAAATTGTATTTTATTCATCGCAAACAGGTGGAACAACAAGTACAACATACGATATGCATTGTAAAATAGTTTTAATAAAAATAGCGTTTTGAGTAAAAACTATACTAATACTGTTGCATATTAAAATGAAATTTACAAAAGTATCATCTACATAACATACTAATGAACCCGTGTAAATTTAAGAATAATCGGTCCATTATTTTAGGCTACAAAGAGGTCGGACCATTTTCTGTAAAATTACACAGGTTAAATAGAAGTTGGCACGAGATCTTTTTACTTTTACTTAGCTAGATATATATGTATACTCATATATGTTTAATGTTTTTAGGTATGATACTTAGGTCTTCATACGGTTCTGACATATTTGGCAACGATGGGCCCATTTCAATCAAATGTTTAATTTTAGTTTACATCTTTTAGAATGAATGTCTCTACGTCGATTTCTGCCACCTGTCTTTCCGTGCATACGTGGTGTGAACCATGAACTAAGATAATATATTAACTCAAGGTGTGAACTCACTGGCACTGTTATTCGTTTCTTAAACAATTTGCAAACCATCGATATCCATTCATCGGAAACTGCTCGATAACTATAGTCGTTTCACAGAACGACTTGCGTATCTGCAAAAAATGTGAGGAAGTGGTGTAGAGAATTTTCAGATTAGACGAAATTTATGATCGAAGGAGTTTGATTTCAGATGAAATAAAGTAATAACTTAAAAGTGAGCCTCATTAAGCCAACGAGTGACAGAAATCTTCAACAAAGGTTTAAATTGTCAGTCAAAAAGCACGATTCAAAGATTTTTAAATGAAATGGGTTATCCTAAACTTTGTGCTCGGTGAGTGCTAAAAATGTTGACAGAGTACCGTAAGCGCCAAAATGAAATTTCTCGAGAATTTTTGGTCCAATATGCTGGCTAAGGAGAAACTGAACTCTATAGTAACGGGTAATGAAACTAGGGCTAACCATTTAACACACCTGAATAAAAATAACAGTCACTGGATTGGAAAAATTGTCACTCGAAAAAAAAATAAGTTTAGTGGCGCAGTTTGCTCGAAAAATCATGGTCACGGTTTTTTGGGATGAGAAAATGATTCTTTTAATTGAGTTTACAATAACCACAACTATCAATACAACTTTATACCGTGAAACTTTGAAAACATTTTGTAGAGCTATCCAAAATCGAAGACGTAACATTCTGACGAAGGAGGTTAGTCTCCTTCATGACAATCCTCGGCCCCACGGTGCCGTGACACAAAAATCCTTTTGAGCCATTATATTGAGATGTCTTATCTCACCCTTGTAGCCGGGAGTATCACTTGTTCTTGAGTTTTGGGAGGAAATGGGTCTGATTTCTTATATTTCTGATAAACTTTAAACCATTATTTTATCCAACACGCTAAAATAGTCTCTTTAAAATTAACTATAATTATGTGTGTATATATATATATATATATATATATATATATGTATATATAAATAATAGACATTGTAAGCTGAAATAGTCTGTATTTTGTTTAGAAAATTATATTAAAAAATTAAATATCTATATAAACTTATTTATATTTATTCTACAAATAAAAAAAAAAATTATATAAAATTAAGATACATAATAATAGATAAACTTAACTGTTTTTTTCTTATGAACAAATTAATTCATACATTTTTATAATAAAAAAATAGAAAATTAATATTAAATATTCCAGTTTATTTTTTTAATTGAAGATTTTGAATAAAATAAACATTTTATTTAGTTTTAAATTTCTTATGGTTTTATTTTTATGAAATGTTTGAATTAGTTATTGAGATATTTAAAGAAAATAAATACTTAAATAGATTAATATTGAAATAATTCATTTAAGTAAAGCCTGTTATTTTACAATCATTGAAAATTAAAAATTGCTGTATTTGTTATTGACATTTTATATACAATCACATAAGTAGGAAGAAATGAGTTTTCAATTTTTTTAAATCATAGTTTAAAAATACAATTTTAATTTATACAATTAATTACATAAATTATTGAATTTAAATATTTTTTTATTATTAATTATAGAGCAACATTGTTCTTAGTGAATACCAATTTTTGTGACATAATTACTGTAATTAAACTAACTAAACTTGTATTTTACCCGGGAAAATAATATTAGTACTATACCTACCTATTTAATTTAATTATGTTACTAAACATAAATATTAAATCTTAAGTAAACATGTTATACAAAACAAAATAAATTATATTTAGTTTTGAGTATTATATATTATGTAAGGTGTCTTACAGTGTTATCTTAATGCTAATAACTATCAATATTCATAATCACCTTTATTCATTTTTCATTTGATCAACTACACAGGATATAGAACTTACACGTTTTTGAACAAACAAAATAACACAAATTAGAGACATATACAATGCACCAAATCATAAATTATGGTTTCGGTAGGAGAAAATTTGATTTTCACACAGATAAATACACCAAGTTTCAAGGTTTTTGAATTAAAATATGTAAAAACAAGTGTATTATACATAATGCGTGGTCATTAGGCTAAAAAATAAACATAATAAAAATAAATATCTAGATAATGGACTGGGATGTATCTTAATCCGTGATCTGGTTCAAATTATTTCTTATCTGTGTATTTTAAATAAGGTGGATCATGATAACAATCTGCTTTGAACCACAGATATATTTGTATTTTGAACCGATCATAATTGCATAAGAATCATATCATAATCACATTTCGTTATCAGACTATTTATCTCTATTACCATGTAATATATGACTATGATTTGCTTTTGTGTGACACTGTAATGTGGTAATCTCGTGTGTCACACATTTCTCTAAATATTAAAACAGCTATTACTTAGAAACTATTGATCAGATATGAATACACGGTACATTTAAATTTTTAAAATAATATATTTTACGAATTGGGTATTTTGAAAATTTTAAAATGTGAAAAAAAAAATTATATTTTTTCAATGATTAAGGGATGAAAATAAAAATGTAATTTGTGTCCCTCTTTAGAAAAAAAATGAATATTGACAGTTATGGGAGATAGTAAACTTTTGCAAAACAAATTTAACGCTATACAAGCTGTGGCAAAACTGATAAGATACATTATACAAACTGTGGTAATTTATTAATAATAAGTAATTAGGTATATACCAATACAATAAACGAAAATGTATTAAATTGATAAGGTAATCCAAATTTATTTTTACATATACTAAATATTAGTTCCTTTACTTGAGATAATACTACTTGGTACTAAGACCTCAGTAGATGAAAATACATCTTAAGATTAAGTGCCATATAGTAATATGGAACTTAAAACAATTTTCAGTCAGAATGTCACACAATTAAGTAAAAAATTTTAAATTAATACACAAATAAAAAAAAAGGCATGAAAACGTGGGAATATTCAAATAAAATATTCAAGGCCAAATTGGTCTTGAACAACAAAAAAAAAAAATCATTTTTGATATATACTCATGAACCAGACACCACAATTGATTGCCGAGCCACATTACATACATGTTACAAAATAGCATACAATCATTATCGATCATTCTATCAGTATATATTTATATACAATATAGTGTATACCTAATAATTATATGAAATAAATTGCCGAGTTTGTATAATATAAAATTTGTTTATACTGCAGTTTACATATAGTCAGAGTTATTAGCATTCAGATAACACTATAGGCCACCTTGTATATATATATATATATATATATATATATATAAAGGTGGTTTACACTTTGGTTTTGTTAAATTTTTTTTAGATTTTTTTCCTCTCCATATTTTATACATATCATTGTATAATTAAGCTGAAATCTCAATAAATATTTTAAATTTAATTAAATTACCTATTGTATTTATTAGACTAAGGGCCGCTCTCAGCTACGTAAAAATCAAAGTTTATATTGATAAGAATGGGCCTATTGGGTTAAGGACTCAAATGGTCTAGTCACAAAGTGAATCCATTAATTGGCAACTACATACTGTAATGGTTAGGTTAGGAAAAAAATTAAAAATTGTTTCAAAATAAAGCTTAACCAATTCCAAAATGATTAAAAAAAACAGTAATCAAATTCAGTTTAAATCTTCTGTGATAATTACTGGCTTATAATAAAAATCACTCTATACATTATGTATATACATATGTAACGGATAAAGTAAAAACCAAGGTATGTACAATGTAATATAGGTATGAATATTATAAAACACAAATTTTTCCTACATTAATCAAGCATAGTGTCCTCAAAATGTACCCTACTCGATTTAAGTGGACAAAGTGAATTAAAAACTGTGAACACTTATTGAATGACATTCAATTGGTAAAAAGTACAATGTAAAATCTCAGGTAGACTTCGCAACCTAAAGTTTTATAATAGTGGTTCATGTAAGAACAAATAATTTTTTCTTCTCCTTCAACTTCATCCTAACTATTTGGGATCAGCCATGAGAACAAATAATATGTAATATTAAAATTAATTAATATAGATAAAAATTGAAATTAAAAAATATTATTAATTTATAAATAAATATTAAATAATAGCCATTATATTTGTATCAAATCACCTTTATAGATAATAATATAAATTATAAATTCTTAACTATAATTCAATGAATAAAAAAATAATAGATTTTAAAATTTAGTAATAGGTAACTATTTTATATAAATATTCAGTACATAGTACTTTTTAGAAAATATCAATATTAAGTGTACCTAGTTAAATGGATCACCTTGTATATAATAATAGAATAAGGATAAAAAAAAAAATTGTTGTAATATCATTTTGGGAGTGTTATTTTATGGGTACTACTATAGATTTATAAGTCTATTAACTGTACAAAATACAATGTTGTACATTTAAAGTATATGATAAAAACTGTATATTCTAAAGTACCTAATAAAGTAAAAATGATTACAAACAAATATTACATAAAATTCAGTATAATTGAAAATTTTACTGGGGCACATAGATTTGTATGATTCACACCCAAAATATCCCCGTTACAAATATTCTATATACAAAATATCCTCATAAAATAATATCCCTTATTTCAAATTATTTTTTATTCACAAGTCATATTTAATTCATATTAAAAATATGGCCAACTTAAATTGACCTAAATTGGCCAATTTTTACATTTTATTTTACTTATTATTTAATTTTAGATATTTTTCTATCATTTGTTAAACTAATTAAACATTAAGTTTATATGTTATTTGAATTTTAATTCAATTGTCATTTTTTTTCCAGTGGCTAATTTGTATAAATTGTAAATATTATAATGTTAAGTTATTTTGTATTGCTAATATTTTTCTCAAAAGCCGCTTGGCGTTTATTCTAATAAAATAAAATATTGAAATATAATAACTGGAATTAAATTATTTTATTTTCAATAACCAAATCAAAATTTAAGTTACGAAATATATTAACTACTAGAGATAATTTTAATTATTTCTTAATGGAGATTAACCTAAATAAAATTAGTTTATAAAATATATATTTTAAGTAGGTAAGTACTTACTTTTAAATGATAAATAAATTCTTCAGCATCAATATCCAATCGTTTACGTTGGTATTTAGTAGATATAACTGACAATCCAATGTCAACTTGACCATGAATTTTACCTTTAGACATGTCAAGAGGATTTTTTCCATATTTTAAAATTCCTTTATCTAATATAAAATAACGCTGAAAATAATATTTAAAAATATTAAAAATAATTGAATAATATGACACTAATAAAACAAAATTTTAAACCTTGTGCCATCCCTTTAGTGGCCATTTGCGTTTTTTGTGTAAGTAACCTCTAAAGAGTTCTGGTTTTTTGTCATATCTTTGGCCATCTTTTAGTCCTTCAACTATTTCCCATTCTGTACCACGGCGAATGACTTTTTTGGATCCTATCAAAATTAATAATATTGTTATACAAGGTTAATAAATTCTGCTTTTAAAAATCAAACAGGTACTCATAAGCATTTACAAATACAAATGAAAAAAAAATAAATAAATAAATCTTAAACAAATAAGTATCCAAAAACTAAAATTACCAGGTTCTCGTCCAAGTTTCCTTTTATGATAAGTAAAACCATCTTCCTTTGATTCTATTGAAGGTGTATTACTGTCTACACTAGCATCCTATACTCAAAATCAAATATTATTAATTTAACTAAAACGATTTCAAATATTATAAATAATTTACCGAATCAGAGTTGGCTACTATTGTTCTTCTTTTAAAGCTTAATTGTGGTGATTTTTTCTTCTCCATATCGCTACAAATAGGAATAGCTATAGTATTAGGACCACTGGCCATTACAATTCACAATTTCCCCAACAAAAATTAGATTTATAATTATATAAATTACTACAGAAGGTTGCTGGCAAACATGATTGTACACTTCTATATCTACTGGCCTACTGCACTGTCAAGGTTAGCAATTAGGAATTGTTTTAAATAATTATTATGAATAAGGTAAAACGTAAAAAAAATTAAAAAGCCATAATATAATTTCATGTTGTTATACAAACAGCTGTTATTTAATAAATTATGATAACGAAAAATCTTGATGTGGAAGAAATAGATAATATTGTGCAAGATGGTGGATATATTAAATATAGATAAGACTGTCAACAATATATTAATTTTATCTAATTAAAATCACAGCTGTCATGGTTAAAACTGTGATAAATGATAACAAATGTATATATTAATTAATAATTATGCAAAATCTCAACTTTTAATATTTGTTAATAGTTATTAGGTCTGTTATTATTAGTTACGAGTAATTAAATGATACATTTACAGTTAAGGACTAACAAAGTTTAAATTAACAACTAGATAAAAGAAAAACAGATTTACTAATTATTAAGACTTGATAAAAATCATTTTTTATTTGAGTAGACACAAAAAATATATAATATACAATTTTATTATTTATGAATTATTCATCTTCTTTTGCCTCCCTTGCTTTTGAAACTTGGTTTCTTTGAAGAGACTGATTTTCCTTTTTGATTTTTCTGATTTAATGCAGATTTCTTTTTTGCCAACATTCGTTTAGCTTGATTAGCCCTAATAATAATCAAATATTTTAATATAATGTATACACCTTAAAAGATTCATTTGAAGTAAGATCATAAATAATACCTAATAAACAGTGCTAAAGTAGTTAAAAAAGCAAGAGAGTATAATATTGTTTGTTTAACAGTTAAAATTAATTTCATTGTAAGTCTTAGTTTTTGCAACCAACCAAAAATGATAATAATAAATAAATAGCTGTATATTATTTTTTGCGATTTCACTACAATAGAGAGTATATGATTTTATCCAGAAGGTATACAGTGTATATTCAAAATTATCATTAAGTAATAGGTATACAGCTTATACCCTCCACTACAGCATTCCTAATAAAGTAATTTAATATACTTATTTTTTACTAGTTACTTTTATTTTTAATTTAAAGAAATTAAAACTTTAAAATACTTGATGATACCATAGATAATACATTTTTTTATTATCTATGATACAATTCTATCGATGATTATTTATATTTTTCAACATATTACAGTTTGTTAACATTAAAAGGTATACAAACTATATTATTAACTTTTGTTATACATTTCAAAAACGAATATTTTCTAGAAAATTTTAAATTGCAATACATCAAAATTAATTAGATTATTAGCAATTGTTATTTAAAATTTCCAAAAGTGTGAATTAGTATGTATTTTCATATTCATTCTGGTTGATCATAACCTAATTATTAATATAATATAATAAATCAACATTTTAATTTAAAATGTAAACAGTAATATTGCCTTTTTCTTAGTTATATAATGAATATATATCATTCATAAAAAAGTTTACCCAATATTATGTACTTACTCGTATCTATACTTTTTAACACCAGACTTGCTTACATCTGTAAACTGCGAGTCAAAAACAGACCCTCCTTTTTTTGGTTTACTACCAGAAGACTTTGACAAAAATTTACCTGTAATGTAAATAGTTAATTATTATGTAAAATTAAATTTAATGACAAAATTAATAAGAAAATTATTAAAATATTATTTCCAAATATCCTATACATACATCACATGATTTTTACTTTAGCTCTTTCTATTTCTGCATCATATTATTTATAGTAATTTCCCACTCTCTCAATATTATATTTTTTTTTACTTATGAGTTTAGTGTACTTAACGTATTATTAAAAATAATTAATAGACATTGTCAAACTCATTGAAATACCCACAGATGTGTATTTTGTAATTAAATTAAAATAAACAAAACTTCTTACAAACCTTGTTCAAAATTGGACATTGCATTTATCTTTTTAGGTTTCATTTTATTTTTTGCACTTCTAGCTTGGAAATTGGCAGTTCTTTGCAATTTTTTTTGATTTTCAATTTCTTCCTCATTACTACCTTTATCTTCGTCATTCTTCTTTTTTTTTTTTATATTTTTCTCTATTTTTGATGAAAAAGCTTCTCGTGATCTCTCTGAAAATACATCATAATATCATGTGATGAACACAAATCAAATGAGACACCAGTAAACAGCTTACTTATAATTACTTGATAAATTGTATTTTAAGACAAATATTTATAGATAATAATTAATTGAACATTTCAAAGTAATATATGTTATAAAGATAATTTTTAAAAATCTGATTTGATTATTTTATAATTAGAGCATTTAAATATTTGAATTAAAGAATTATACAAATAATTCACTGTAGATTATGTAAACCTTTTAAATTGACCTTGATAAATTTTACCACATCCCTTAATAACAAAATATTTAGCTTAAAATTTACTTTTAGCGTCTTGTCTTTCTTTTTGTGTTTGAAACCAATCTCTTTTTTTTTCTTCTTTGTTTTTAATCAGAGTGCTTATACTTGTTTTTGCCATTTTTTCAGTTTTTTCAGCAAATTCTTCGGTTCGGCTCATTTGTCGTTCTTCATACTCTTCATGCATAATACATTTAACCTCATTTCTAAGAGAATCTACACGTACTTTGTACTTATCTAAAATCTCTAAAATGTATTTACATATTTAAATGGTTATTATTATTTATTAAACACATCATTTAAAAAATAAAATATATTTACCAATAGGAATAACCCGATTTTTTACTGGGTGTTTTGCTTTTTTTATCACATCTTTTAAAACTTTTCGATCTATTTCACTTGCTATTGAAACAGAAACGCCAGATCGACCTGCTCGAGCCGTTCTACCGACTCGATGAATATAATGTTCAACAGTTGGCGGCATGGTGTAATTAATAACCTAAATATTTAAAAACAAAAATGATTGCAGATTAATTTAAAATACTTTTGAACGTTAATGCAATAATTATAAATATATTGATCATTTCTTAATTATATCTAATGAGAATTTATTATCAAAAAATATGTAACTCAACTAACAGCTTTAACTCCTCGAATATCTAAACCACGAGCAGCAACGTCTGTAGCAATTAATAAATCGAGTTCTTCATCTTTAAACTTACGTAATGCTTCCAATCTTTGAGGTTGAGATAAGTTTCCATGTAATTCACCAACCTAAACATATATTTCAATTAAGATAATGAACTTTATTGATAATATATCAGTTTTTTCATTTTACTTTTAAACCAAAAAGTCCAAGTAGAATTTTCACTCGATGGGCATCTGCTTTAGTTCGTACAAATATCATGGTATGGTCTCTAAATGTTCTACATACTAAGGCTGCTAAAGTTGCATCTCTATCTTGTTCTTTTCCTTGGCGTAATCTATAGCAAAGATATCGATTATTAATATTTCAAGTTTATCAATGTTTTTTTTCCATTTTTCTATACCTTACAAATTCTTGTCTTAAATTAAAAGCTACATCAGTATTGCTATCAACAAAAATTTTAACAGGTTTATTTAATGAAACAGAAGCAAGATCATTGACAGCATCAGTCATAGTAGCTGAAAATAACATTGTCTGTCTGGTACAAGAACACATATTTATAATTTCTTTCATTTGATCAGCAAAGTTTTCATCTAACATTCTATCCGCTTCATCCAGTACTAATACTTCTAAATCTGATAATGAAAATGATGGAGTATTTTGTAAATGATCTAATAATCTTCCAGGTGTGGCAATAACAATATCAGGATTTTTTCGTAAAATTGATTCCTAAAATATACTAAATTATAAAATATAAATTAATACATAAATAAAATTGTATCATCTTACTTGCACTTTGAGTTCTAAACCACCAACAGAAAGACCAACTTCAACAGTTGTAAATTGTGCAAGTTGTTTAGTAACTTGATACACTTGTACACCTAATTCTCGAGTTGGTACCAAAACTAAAACTCTACAAAAATATAACTGGTTAAAATTTAAAAACTATTAATATTTATAACATTTATGTACCTTGTAATAGGGGTAAAACCCTTGGGCCTATATAAAAGTCTTTCTAGTATAGGTAACATATAAGCTGCTGTTTTACCAGTACCTGTAGCAGCACAACCACAAATATCTCTCCCTAAGAGTGCTACAGGTATTGCAGCTGCTTGTATAGGTGTTGGATGTACATAGTTCAATGCACTTATAGCCTTCATTAAAGGTCTTGAAATATTCATTTGATAAAAAGAAGCATTGTCTTCAAATGGAGGTGCATCTTCAAAAAATTTGTCAGTATCTTCCACAATTATTTCATTTTTATTTTCTTCTACTTCTTTTTTTTTTTTATTTCGTTTACCAACTAACTTTTGTCTATCTTTGATACCATCTGAAAAACAAATTAAAATCAAATCGGTTATTAAATTATGTGCAAAATATTCATTAACACACCTTTCTTTAGTTCATCGTCAGACAAAGAATCACAATCTGATAATTCATTATAATCTTCATGGTCTTCAGTGGTAACATCAGGTAACTATTAATAAATATCAGTCAATTTTCAAAAACCTATTTATAATTGTTTTAAAAATACTCACAAAAGACTTCACATATCTACGTGATTTTTCTATTTTTTCATCCGTTCTATTAGTACCTTTACGTTTTATATACTTTTGTAGATCATCCCATGTATCATGATTATACTCTGAAGCCACAGATAAAAACTTAAATTCATCATCGAAATGTGAATCACCTTTCGTTTTATGTTTTTTAGGTTGGTGCTAAATAAATATAGCATTTTAAATTTCAATATTAGTTAAATACAGTTTAATAATTCAAACTAAAATTACTTCAACTTCGACATCAGAATCTGATGAGACGTCTTCCACGACATCATGATCGCCAATAGTTTTTATCATATCCCATTTTAGGGCAGAAGTTGACATCTTCTACTAGTCATACGTTAACTTTGACTGCAAAGTAATATATGTACTTAGATTTCAGATAGGTATTCAATAATATACAATATATTAATACACGTACAATTTGTTGTTATTATTAAACATTTACACATGGTTCAAAAATGACATAACCTGTAAATAATTCAGTGATAACAACACCATAGAGGCATAAGGAATTATTATTATGTACTAATCTATGAGATAGACGATGGTCACGATTACACCATTGAATATTGATAATGAGTTATTGAATTACGTAAAGTGGAAATAATGAAAAGTGAAAATAAATTTATTTTAATTAATTTATAAATTAAAATTACATTTTATAACTATGAAAGTTAATTAAAAAATAATAATTAAGATATTACACAGGATAAGGAATATAAGAGTATATAGAGGAAACAGGACTGTAAACATTGTGTCTAATAGGTTAAATTTGCAATCCTTAACTGATAGTCGAACTACTCTTAACAAGGTCTTCCTACACAAACTTATTGATGGGTCCAATTGACTGTCCTGAGTTACTTTCTAAGCTCTAAGGTTAACTTTAAAATCCCATGTTTCCAGATTTGCTTTACCTATCCTTTCTCTATTCCAATGTGTGTGACAAATTATTGCCATAACAGACCACTATATAGGTGATGCGTATTGCCAACAAGGATCCATGTTTTAATTTTTAAATTTTTCTTTTTGTCTTTTTATTACTATTTATACTTTATGCACTTTCAGTGTGTTCATTTTAATTATATTGGTATTCTGTACTTAAATGGGCATGGAATGTACTAAAATAAAAATCAAATTTTACAGCTGCAGTATTAATAAGCTTAGTGGGGCTTACTAGCGTAGGGCTTTCTGATGTATTTATATTTGAATTAAGTACCAAAAATGGTTTTCTTAAACACAAATACACGAGATTTCAACTTGTGCATTGCAAAGAAATTTTGATGGACCTTCTTGAATCATCTGGTTGTAACAGGTTGTAATAGTCTTATGGTCACATAAAGCTATAAAATATATCACAGTAAAACGAATAAATGTACCTGCCATGTAGTTAGGAAATTATGCAATTCTAAATGCTACACTTCTTTGTCACGTGAAAATAAATAATTATCACATACAAATTTAAATATTATATTTTTTTTTTTTTTTTACTGACCAATATAAAATATGTAGCATAAAATTCTATTTGGATTGCAATTAACATCATTAACTAATATTGTTTGAAATTAACGTGATTTCTTAGTAAATAACATTGAAAACCTTGCAAATTATTCATTATTATCCATTAACATTAATATGAATTTAACATCATTTAATATAACATTGAATGTGTCTTTTAAGTTATTATGAATTATTTTGTATTTATACTAAACAAATAAGATAAAATGCTATGAACCTGATTCTAAAATTGTACATATTTATACAGTATAATAAAATGTAATTAAACTTTAAAAAGAGCTGATACTGGGGATGGGAGCGACCACTGTTACAGGTGAGAAGTTAGAAAGGTAGGGTACATAAGGTTATTTCATTTTTATCTGTAAGCAACAATAAACAATTGCTTGACGAAAGACGATTCCGAGCGTAGTTTGGTAATACATAATTTGAATTGCCGTAATTTTTTTTGCGTTTTTCATTTAAATTTAGATAAAATATATATAATATAAAAAACGTGTACACAGACTAGAAAAAATAAAATAAATATCTTAGTAAAACCAATAGCTCCCTCGTTACGCTCGGAATCTAAAATAAAAATATTAATTTGTATTTTTTCCTAGGTTTTTATTTTTAGATTAAAGTCTTAGGACAAAAAATCCCATTTGTACAAATTTGGACAAAAATTTCACAAGATCTAATTATAATCCTTTCAAGTTTTCTTTAAGTGATTTTGCTGATTTTTTATAAATTATTTACAAAAATAAATATAAATATTTTTGGAAACAAAAGATAGGTGATACCAAGAATGTAGCTAATAATAGAACTATACAAATTTAAAAAATTATATTGTTTAATAAGTCAAGTATTTATTATAATATAGCTAATGTTTATCGATGTTAACTTAAATTATTTAATTACTATAGTATTTTATGAACATGGCATACATAAGTGTTAGGCGATTTTTCGCATAATTAAATTGAAGCTAGATTAAAAATGTATTATTAAAGACATTTAGATATTCTTATACTATTAATGCATTAAAATAGAATTACTTTAAATTATTATGAATTCTAAAGTGTTAATATTTTCAATTAAAAAATTTAAATTATAAAATGAATACAATATTAAACTTCTTAATAAAAATAAATTTAAAGAAGAAATGAGAGATCAAATAATTTCTGTGATTATTTTGAAAAACTATTTATTACTATTTATCTTATAATATGTTAAGCATGATAATAATAATAAAAAAAAAATATCAATAACCCACTTTAAAAAATTATTACCTGCTAGGCGACAAAAATATTTTACCGTTCAACATTCAATCCGTGTCGCTTAGTTTATTAGGTTAAAATATTAATTTAATTATGGTTACTAAATAATTATTGATTTAAATCTAAAACTAAATATATATAATGTAATAATGTAATAAAAAATGTTTTTGTGGTACTTTCTTAAAATATGAAAAACTTTTGAATGTATGTTTCATATTACACTTTATATGACCACTTTAATCTACAATATATAAAATTATACACTTAATGTGATAATAAATTAAATGAATAATTAAATTTCTAATAAATACATATGTATGCACACAAAAAAAAAATTATATAATTGAATGTTTTTGTCCAGCTTCTATAAACCATGACACTGGGTAAGCTTTCAAATGTTTCATATTATACTTGATCAGTCTATTTGATTCTTTAGTATAAAGTATAATATTAGATACATAGTACATCTTTTCACTATTATGGCAATGATATGGTATTATATTAGAGGCACAGTCTTCTGGATTTGGCATACGTTTCAATACATTTCCTCCAAATTGAAGAACCAATTTATTTAATTCACTCAAAGAAAATTGTTTCCAACCAGTATTTCCACTTATATGTATATTAATGCCATCAAATAATTTTGGGCACTGTAAAATAAAAACATACAATTACAATCAAGTAGTAAACAAATTTTTAACTGTAGACCTAGATTTAATTAAACATACACAAAACATTGATACATTTATAAATACATTGTCATATAAAATGTTTATTTTTGTTAACCAATACACAACTAACTTAATTACAATATTAATTAGGACAATAGAATTTATTAAAATATATTTTGTGGAAAACAAAAATATATAATTAATTATTATTTATCTTAATAATAATTAAAAACTAAGTTTAATTTTTTATTTGAATGATTTTATTGAAATTTAATCACAGAGAAAATAAAAAAGAGCTATAGATTTGCTTTTATATAAATATTTTTTAAATAGTTGTTTTTAGAATTTGTTTAAGCATGAAAAGTCTGATTTTTTTAATACTAAACCTTAAGTTTAAATAGAAGTAATAAACTTATTATTAAATTAATAAAATAATTAAATTCAATAATTTACTAGTTTTTCCTTGTTTAATCTTGACTTCTTTGGACCGTTAGTAAGAGAAGAGCTTGTTCCAACAACTTCATAATTTTCAGAATCAACTATTTTTTTTGCTTTTAGTGAATCAATAATCCCTGAAAAATAATATAATAATATATTATACACATAAATCTATGTCATTATCATTATTTTATATATTTTATATAAGTAAGGAATCCATAATGAAGGCCTTGACACACTAGGTATATGTTATGATTTTTGTTTGATAAGTTCTACTAAACAAGAAGTTACATGGTGCAATATTATGACACATTAAATGACAACTAAAAACGTATTATTTTAAATTATAATATGCAACACTACGTTATCAGTATACATACAAATTTGCAGTGAATTATGGCAGAAGATGTCACATGGTACATGCATTCTAATATTATCAGTATTTTGTAAATTGAAATTATTAAATACAATGAAAATAAGAATTGTTGAAATTGTCTAAATGACATCAAAAGGTTAACAATATCACAATTCTTTTTAATGTTTTGAGGAATTTAAAATTGACATTTTTAACAGGTGTACCAAAAATATATTAGGTGGACAAAAGGGTAATCTGATAATACCTTGATACTGTATTTCTGAAATTTAGTTTGTACATTTCAACATTTAGTTTATATATTTAGAATATGATTAATTTTTTACAACATAATTTAGATACATTTCCTACTATTACTTTCAAATGTAAAATAGCACACTTTAAGCATATAAGTGCTAAACAAATTCAAATTGTATAGACATCTAAGATCAAAGTCTATCATTTATCAAACAGATATCCTTTTATTTTTTAATTAAAATATAATAATATTAACTTGAAAACTAATAGATGAAAAATTAATTCAAATTTGCATGAAAGCTTTTAGAAATATATAAATACTTTATATACTTACAATTTTCATTGACTATAAATAATCCATTCGCTATTCCAGTTAAACATTCCAAGTTCAATTCACAAGTATTGTTTTTTGTTTCTGGTACTACAATATGGGTCACTTGTAAAAGTCCAATTTTGTCCCTTTAAATTATATTAAAATTATGATAATAAATAAGAATATAATGAATGTAATAACAAAATTAATCAATTGACTTACACATCTTTAATCACTTTAATATCAAAAAGATTACAAAATGTATCCACAGTCACTTTATTTAATGAACTATCACTTAAAAACACTGTTATTTTATCCAGTGCATAAGTTCGATTTTGTTGTAATGGTTTACTAGGAATTTTATAGTTCTTTAACAATTTTGACCAATTATCTTCATTGATTGATCTGTAATTATAAATGTTTTAATATGTTATTATACACACAAATGCACAATTTTTGTTATCTTTTAAAATTTTAGGGACACTGTTTGAAAATAAATTATTTAATATTGCGCGCAAAGATCCCAGTAATTGCTAAACTAAATAAATGAGTACATAATATTAATCATAAATGAATGCATTTATTTTAGAATCTATCATTAATATTGCTAATAATAATGTTAAATAATTAATTTTCTTTTAAATTTGTAATATAATATAATAATTTTGATTAAAAAGTTATATATAATATTCTATGTGGAAAAAAAATAATTGAAAATTCATCTTAATTTTTAGTTTTATTATAATTCATAAGAAATTAAATTATTGTTTCATTATTCTTACCGTGCACTTTTTCCATAAATGTTTATACATTTTGTATCAGCACCATTTTGTAAAAGCAATGCTGCTACATCATTCTTACTATGCTTTATTGCAGTATATAAAGGAGTTTCATACTCAAATCCAGGAGCATTTAAATAAGCACCATACTTAATTAATTCTTTAATAACATTCAAACAGCCCATTTTTACTGCGTCATGCTATAAAATAAAATTGTAAAAATAGTATTTTTGTAGAATAAATATAATAAAATTGATAATATTACCATTGGAGTCCAGCCAGCATTATCTTTAACATTAGGATTAAAACCTTGTGAAAGCAAAGAACTAACCAAATTATAATTTCCCTGAAACATAATAGATCATTAGAATTATTATTACATATTTAAATATTATTTAGCTTAATTTTCTATTTCCAATACATGCTTTTTATTTAATCAAACACATTTTACTGATGCGTTAATTATTCGTCAATATTTTATTTATTTTTAATATGAATTAATAATTATTTATTTGGGTGGAGTAAAGTAATTTGAAATACACAATTTTTGTCAAAATTTGATATTAAAACTCTTATATAAAAAAACATAATAATAATTTTTTTTGTTTTCTTTACTAATAAGTACAACTTGTAAGCAGCCTTTTGTTAAAATTTTCAAGCATTTTGGTTTTGTTTAACAATCTATCACCTACCTACACAAATAAAAATTATGTTAGAACTTGTAAAATTGAAATGTTTACAAATAGGTAGTTTAAAAATTTCGCCACGTCTAAAAAAAAGAAAATAGAAGAATATTTTTCATTGAAATACAATAAAATAATAAATATATGCAATTATTCCAATAATATTGTTTCCAGTTTTTCCTAATTATTATGAAAAATTCATTTAAAATTAAAAAAAAACTCACAATGCATTAACTCAACGGAATTTCCTTTCGTATGTACAGAACTATGCTTTTGCATGATCTTTTACACACTTGTTTATGAAATAAACTTTATAAATGTAAAGTTTATCCATTTTTGCACTTTGAGTTTTGATTTAGTACCAGTGATTTTATATTAAAATAAAGTAATAAGATGTAAGTTGAATTTGTTAATACAATGGATACCTGTGGGCTACAATATACCAAATTTCACCAATATGAATTTTCAGTATCGCCTGTAGTCTTTTATGCCTAGAATAATAGTTTTGACAAAAGACGTGACTACAAATGATAATAGGAAACTATACTATAGGTACCTGGTACCTCCATAAAAACCTATTACCTATTGGGTATAAATGTATAATAAAGGTTTAATTTACATAATTTATAACTTTGGATAAAATTATGGTTATAGACTATACTACTATTATTATATTTTGCTTAATGTTAAGCATCAGTTACATCTTGATCTCATTATTTCTACTTCACATTTGGAATGTTCATAATATAACATTAAATGATAGTGATCGGACTAATAACCAAATGGAGGGATGGAATCATCAATTATCAAAATTAATGAACCAATACCATCAATCTATATGATTATTAATAAGAAAAATTTGATCAGAGGTGACAAATTACGAAAAAAAAATAAACAAAAATCTATGTAGGAATTACAAAATAAACAAAAAATTATGTGAAGAATATTTAAGTGGGAAAAGAGATATACCACATTTTTAGCATATAGTAAACCATATTTATGATTTATTATTATATTTTTTTATTATTGACTTAAACTTAACCTTACCTAACTAGTTAAATGCATTTAACGTTTTTACCTTGTTATGTTTTATCTGTGTTTTTTTCTGCATCTTAATTTTCAGCGCATTTTTTTTCTTAGATTCCTTATGTGAGTACTTATTCATAATCCTATCTTCTCTCATCATTCCAATCATCCACCTATGTATTTTATCTCTACTTCACTCATTCTCTATTATATACTTCTATCTACCATCCAACATTCCAAACTATACAATAAATTCGATCTCACCACACTTAGTAGAACTCTAGTTAAGTCTCATTGGAATTACTTTTTCCTATAAAACATCAGATGCTTCTCTCTACTTTAATTCTATGTTTCACATCAACATAAAAATCACCATTCTTTAGTACAAAAAGATCCTAGGTACTTAAGAGGATGTTACATTCGTATTTACTTACTGTGTTCACCTTACAAATGCACAATATAGAAAATTTGTTTAGTAGGACAAATTGTATATCGTTAGTTTAAATATTAAAGAAAATTGACTTATTACCAAACTTAAAGGTAAAAAGATTACATGTACCATTGTGTTGATTTTTTTTCAATATTTTAATTTTTAAATTTACTCATATCTCGCTTAAAGATAAAAATATCAAAAACACATACGGTGGGTATATATTTAATTTTGATTATAAGTCAATCTGCTTAAATACTAAAATAAAGGATATTAACTAATTTTGTACTGAATGCAAATTTACTGTCTCACGTTTCCAAGACGGAGACAGTAAATTTCGTTGTGGCGTCTTTTTAAAATTTTCAACCTTACCTAGGCATCACTGCTCTTTGTTGTTAACTGTCTATTCATGTATCTCCAAACTCATACTTTAAATACTGTTTTACTCCTACTTATCTTTAGTCCCTGATACTCTTCATTCCTAAATCTTATTGTTAACTTTTTCTAGATTTTAACCTATCAAAGCTATATCGTCTAAAAACATACACCGTGGTATCTCCTCATGCCAGTTGTACATATCCATGATGTGACAATCCAAAAAAATCTTGTTTAGAATTCCTCATACTGTTTTATAGAATTTTACACCAGCTGTTGGCTCTTACAACAAGTATTCTGATCCCCTCCCACAGGGAGTATAATATTGTTAACTATAAAGTAAATTTCTTCACCCTACAGAATCAGTACCATATAACTATTGTAATTAGCAACTGGACTTTTCCATTTTTATTTTCACAAATATATATGGACTAGTGTCCTATTACATATTATATAAACGTTTATGATTTAATAACAAATAACAGAATTGTCTGATAAGTATACTGTGTAATTATAGGCAACCTATTAGACGGGCAATCTGCTTTATATATTTTTTTTAAAGATAATAGTTGTTCCCTCTCAGAAATTAGATATGTGCATTCATGTTGTATTAATAAATGTTTCATAATATAAAACCTACTTCATAAACTCTTATATATGAATTATTTAACTTTTACCTTGGCACAAGCTATATGTAATCGTGTTTCCCCTTTTTCATTCCGCAAATACATATTTTTAGGATTTTTCTTCTTGGCTGAATTTTTCTAAAAATATAAATATATAGATATTAGATACATAATACATATTATCATTACTTTGTGTTATACAGTACTAACGGAATTATTTTACATGTAACAGGTGTTTTAAAGAAACAAATAAACATCCAATATTTGGACAAATTATTATTTGAATTATATTTAACAGAAATAATATATTAGATAGAACAGACAATTATTGAAATTTTAATACTTTGAACAAACATTAATTGGACCTTCTTTATTGTTTCTTGGAATAAATATGTATTAGATTTATAATACTTTCAACAGAAATTTATTTAAAATCTCATATTTCTAATTATTAAAAAATCATTATAAACTCAAAATTGTATTTCGTTTACAATGATTATCATTGCAAATATAAATTAAATACCACTATGACTCTACCTTCCTAACTTCCCACCTATAACATTATTAGCAATATTGGTTTTTTTTTTTAGATTCTGAGCAGAGCGAGGACTGTTTTAGTTTTACAATATTTTTTTTTTAATTTTTAACAATAATTTTTCTACCAGAAATTTTGCTCAGATCTTTTTGAAAGGAAATCTAAATGGGATAGTACTTGAGGGAGGTAATTTTTTGATTTTCCTAAGCGTTTTCATAAAATATGGGAAAATTTACAAAATGTATTATTTTCAAATCGTGAATATTACAGAACATGTATAACTCAACTCCGCTCAGAATTGTTTTCGTTAGCAATTATCAATCTTTGCAGACAAATATACAATAAATTTTCCCTCTACCTTCTCAACTTCGGCTCACCCACCGTCCAAAGTATGTCATCCATTTGTTTTCTAATATATTTTTGATATTTAATTTATTAAGATATTTTTATATTACAGATCACCCAAGAACTGTAGTCCCTTCAAGGTAGAGTTTCTCACTATGTGGTTCTTTAACAAATTTTATACAGTCCCTACTTAAACAGAATTGTACATTCTAAATTCCCATATCCTACACTTTTAGAGAATAATTAAAATAAAATACATCTGACAAACAATTTTTTTTTTTTGGTTAATATTGCAAAAATTCAAATTGATTCATGCATATGGCTGGTAAATAATTAAAAAAATATGATATTTGGCTCTTTCTAAAATTCTACTAAAGACTTTTGCCTTAAGATTCAACTACAGTCACTCCCAACAGCCCAAACATATGACATTAGAGTATTCAAGTCTAGTGGACCCTGATCATTGATTCTCAACCTAACCATCTAATTTTTGCACGTTTTTCCAATGAAAATGATTGCATCATGTCAAGAACCAAGAGCATCCATAGATCAAGAAAAACTACATATTTGCATTATAAGGTCAAACATCAAGTATAAATCTCTATTCAAGAATTGAATTTCAGGATAAAAAGTAAACTTTAATCTACAATATAAATTATTAGTTCTATTGATTTTATATTATAAAATATATTCTAAAATCAATATTAGTACATAAACCCAACACATGTTATCATATTATATTCCTAGTTTAATTAAATTAATCATATTATATTAAATCTTTTATTTTTAGACTACATATCTATATTGTTTTTCTTTATTTTTTGTATTATTTTCTCTGTGTGTATTATTAATATATAATTTTTTGTAACATATACATACATATATTATATAATATACAAATACTGCCATTTTAATTTATTGAAATTGAAATTTTTATTTAAAAAAAACCACATGCAATTGGATAAGTACTTATCAAGTTTACTTGATAAAAAAAAAACCAACGTTCTTGTATAATATATATTATATATACATAATGATTTTATTTTTACCTTGGGAGAAGCTGAATGACTTTGAGTTTTTTCTTTATTAGTCTGCACATTTAACTTTTTACTAACTTTTGTTGTTGAAGAACTTGCCACATTCAACTAAAAATTATTAATAATGTGTTATAACATGTTTTTGTAAAAGTTACATATAAGATAAGAACATACAAAGATCCATCTTGTTTGTATAAATATATATAAAAATAAATACTACAATTATATTTTAATAAATTAATACACCATTAATGATAATATAATATATTTTAATATGTATTTTACAATGATTTCCATTGTTGGAGTACTTCTCGAATTTTAATAAGATAGACATTTGTACTTTCTAAACAAGATTTATTTGGTATCTAATATTCATTTAATGTATATTTAAATATTTTATTAGCAATTTAGCATAGAATATAAACCAATATTCAGTCATTATAAATATACTTATTATAAAATTATACAAAAATGTATATGTGCATTTATAATTGAAAATAAGATATGAAAGTTATTACATGTAATGTATAAATTGGTAAAATATGAAAATATAATAATAAATCAAACTTTTAGATGGAAAAATCTAGAAAGCTACCTAGGTAATAAATAAGATAATCACAAAAATAGCAATAAAGGATACTATATTTTGTATTCATTTTTATTTTTGGAAATAATTTTATGAAATACATATTTTTATAGAAAATATATTTATTTTAAAATAATTTTTTTTAGAAGGTATGATATGGCCTATAGGTATTGAATACATATATGTAAAAATAAATGTTGAAAAGATATAAACTTAAGTAATCAATTTACAACAAAGCATTACTAACAAATAACAATGGGAAAAGTTTTATTTATTAGTTTTGAAATTTAAGTAGTATTTAGTATTTATAGCTCACAAATATTAATACAAACTAATATAACGATACCTCATCATTGTTACTAGAATTTGGTTCATTGCGATGTTGAAGTGATGTGATTGTTGAAGTTTTATTTAATTTTCTAGGCAATGCATTTTTCAATACTTTTGTATTTTTAGAACCCAAATTAACTTTTTTTCTGGATTGTTCACTGACAGAACTAGAATATACAGTTTTTGAAGTTCCCAAACCAAAATTAGATACACTTTCACTATTTACATCATCATTACTTTCTTGAGCAGAGACCATAGACTTCTACAAATATACAATGTATATGTTAAGTATTTAAACAAATTAATTTTTTTATTAACTTACTTTATTTTTATTTACTTCAGATTCCAAAACAGCGCTTCTTCTAAAGATTGTTGAACATAAATCACCTTTTGTAATTTCATCAACCTAAAAAATTATTTATTTTAAATGACAAAAATTGAAACAAATTGAAACAATATATTAATTGAGTTATATGATTCATAATGTTATTAAAATTTCATGTTCCACACTTGGTACTAGTCAAAAATAATACTAGCTACTCAATAGTAAAAAATACAGTAATATAGTCGATTAAGACATTTAATTGTGTACAGTAATCCTTTATTATGTAAAATGTACCCATAAATTAATAACCCATGCATTCTATTGTTATTATATAATCTACACAATATCCGTTCATATTTGTTTCGATATCCCACAACATTCCTGGAATGTAACTTCCTCAGATAAGTAGAGATTACTACATTTGAATTGATTAATAAAATTAAATGTTCAGAAGAAACTACATTAAAAAAAAAATGTTGATATAATAATTATAGCTCTTTTTTTAATATTCATTAAAATAATTTTAAAAACTTTTGATGTTAATGGAAATTTTCTACACACTTTATAATATAATAAATATATATCAACAAAAAAATTGCAACCATTATAAAGTACAGAAACTTATTTTAAAATGTTAGTTAGTACCAGAGGCGGTTTACAACTTTTAGTATAATATAAGTATACAAATTTTAGAACAACTCACCACCAATATGTAACAAAAAGAACTAATACTGGGGACAGGTATAGCCACTATTGTAGGTGAGTAGTTGGGAAGATGGAATACAAAAGATTATTTAATTTACACCTAATTTATACCTAACTAACGATATACCAGTAAGTAGTTTGTTTCTTGTGCCACTATTTCAAACCGCCTCTGGTTGGTGTTTGTAAATGAATGATCAAAATGAACATAACATACTTTATTACTATCATTATTACTATTGCTTTCTTCATTATCACTGAAAAACGACTCATTCAATTTTTTTCTTTTTGATTCATTTTCAAAGTAACTTCTAGTATTAAATCTTTTTCTGGTAATTGAACCACTAGCTAACGATGTTTTACTCAATTTAATTTTATTAGATATCTCATTAACAGAACTAGAATCATATCCAATTGCTGAAGTTCCCAAACCCAAATTAAATAACTTTTCACTCATATCATCACCATTAATTTCTTGTTCGGTATTTGAAATGTCCTATTAATATATTATTTGTACATTAAATATTTAAATAAATGCAATTTTTTATGAACTTACCTCATCATTAGTATTTACAGGCGATCGTCTTTGCGATGTCTTTTTTTCTACAACAGCATATTTTCTAAAAATGGCTGAACATAAATCTTCTTTGGTGATTTCATTTGCCTATACAATTATAAGTTAACAGTAAATGTATGTAATATTGAATATAGATTGCCATTTGAAAATCAAAAATAGATAGAGACTTCAACAACAAATATAAATGGGTGAAAAATAAGGGTAATATAAAATTTGAGAATCACATTATCTTAAATTTCCCATAAAGACAATTTAGATCAAATTAATTTTAAATAATCCTAGAATAAAATAGTTGATATATTAAATTAGTACGATCAAAATAATTTATGGAAATGTTACTAGACCTTCACCAAAACGTAATAATCTTTAAATAAAATAATCATTATAAAGAGTGAACAAATAAATAAACCAAAAAAAAATTGTTTAAATATACAAGAATAGAAAATAACTGAGGAGTTTAAATGAATTAACTTCAATGTTTTACTATAAAAGCAATTCAATACCTCATTTATATCTTCTTCAGAAACATTAGTTTTACTTGTATCTATAGCATGTTCGAGAGAAGTTACATTTAATGGTGCTACTTTTTTTTCAGATTCATAGTTAGTTTTTACCTAAGAAATATTTAAAATAATTTGGTAAAAAGTGATTCATAACTGTTGTTATTATAAATTCCATTACTAATCATTTACATTTACATCCTCATTATCATAATCAATTTCAATTACTTGTTCTTCTTCAAACATTGAATTTGAAGAAAGTTGTTCACAATTTGCTCCATTTGATGTAGCTGATGAAGAAGATAGCATGTCCTGTTAATAAAAAAAAATATTGTGTTATGTGGAAAGAATACACAATAAAATAATATTTTACAATTTCCATTAAAGTTGAATTCATTTTATCCTCATCTAAGTTTTCCACATAATTTTGTTTATTACAATTAGATTGGCAGTGTAGATACAATCTTGTTGTTGTATCTCGATTGTGAATATAACTTGTTTTGTAGGTTGATTTTTTTTTATTTCTTTTTTGAATAACATTTTTATTATCTAACCCAAATCTACATTAAAATAATACAAATTAAGTTGATTAGTTTAAAATTAATATAGCAAGACTGATATACAAAATAATCTAAAACACATCATTAGCCCATGAAAAAAAGTAGAGATTACACATATGAGCACTCTAAAAACGCAATGATAAATTAAAATTTAAAAACAAATCAACAAACATTAACAACATTAACTTGTTCAAAATCAAAATATATGTTAAATCTCTCTTTTTTTTTTTTTTTTTTTTTTATCAACTATAGATTACGAATGGAAAATTATTGAGAATATTACTGCAGCTTATTTTTAAAATATTTTTTTTTCAGTTTTACAGAAAATATATTTAATTTTTAAAATGTTATACTTTTATTACCTAAATATGTCATAGGATAAAAAGTTACCCGATTTTTAATTTATTTTATATACCTATGTGCAACAAAAACTTAAATTAACTTAATCTCCTTAGTAAATCTATAACTTTTTAGTACAGACACTCTTAACTCTAAAGAATTTACAACTATTGAAAATATGTTTGATATCCTCTATTGAATTTCATTGAGAATTACTATTGCATTAACTGTTATATCTTCAATTGCAAAATGTTCACTTTTGAATCAAAGTTTTAGGTTTAGAAATAGCCAGAAGTTGCATGGTGCAAGATATGGTAAAAATAGTGGTTGAGTAATTGGGGGGGGTTTTGTCCAGTAAAAAGTATTGAACTGTAAGATGTGTGACACAGAGCATTATTATAGAGCAACCATTTTCCAGACTTTTGAAACATTCAAACCAGTCGAAAATAGCTGTTTTCTTTAATTTTTCACTTCCATTAATAATATTCAAACATTCTATGATTTCTGCAGCAATTTTTCCAAGTTTAAAAAAATATATTAAGTTTTAAAATGTTTAACATGAAATTAATAGTTTTAAAGAATAAATCTGCAGATAAAATTGTGTATACTTTTTTCCAATACCAAATATAATGTAATAAGAAAAATAGGTTTTTTTCTATATACCTATGAATTCCAGGAACTTTTTGATCCTATTACTTATGTAGAACCAAGTAATCAACTATTTAAACCCAAACTTTTAAACTATTTAAAATAGAAGTTATCAATACCTACATTTAAGACATAATAAAATATATAACACACAAGTACCTACCAAATATTAAATACTTTTTAAAATAATGTATAGATTATCACTTTTAGATTATATAGGTACAATTTTTTTTTTTGTTTTCAGATTGTAAATAGATTTTTTAAATTAATAATAAAAATAATAAAATTAATAAATTAACAACAAAAAGTAACTTACTTGTTATCTACCCATGTTACAATATTCTTGATGTACATTAATATCTCATAGTTCTTAGAATTAATAGATACATCATTATGAATATCACATGGTAATTCAGAGTTGTTGTCAAAAATGTCAATATTCATGTTGCTGCTAAAATTGTATACAAAAATAATACAAGTCATATATCATTTTAAAATGATTAATGTTGATTTATTTTATTTTTAAGCTATATGTACATATAAAAATAATACCCACAAAGAAAAAAAAGAAAAATAACAACAAACATTAAAATGTGTTTACTACTCAATGATACAAGTTTTTGAAATATATAAGTGAATTAGGTATACAGGTCCAATAAAAAAACTGGTTTTGAACCGATTTCCTAACATTTCCAAACAAAAATGTTAATAAAGTACCTATCAATTTGTATAAGAAAAATGGAACTCTCGTTGTATGCTATCTACACAAACATTGATTGTGTTGTATGTTATATACGTCTCAGACGATAAATGTGGGTCGGACGTTGATAGTGTGCTCTTAAGTTGTAGGTATAGTTATGTATATGATTTCTGGATAAACTAGAGTATCTTTTACACAAGATGTGTTAAGCCTTTAAAACACCAATATACATATATCTGTACATAAATTGTATGATCTAACCAATAACCGATACAGAACATTAAATCTACTACATTCGAGGGTTATTTTTCAACAATAAGATTTAAGTCGTTTACAGGCGTCGAAAAAAAAAACCCCAAAGGGTTGATAGTATAGATTGCGGTTGCGGTAAATTTATTACCACAGTGGTAACCCTACTAGGACCTTTTGTATAAAAAAAAATGTTGGTATTGACGAAGAGGTGAAACATAGAATTAAATGTAGTTGGATAAAGTTTGGGGAAGCGTTAGGTATTTTATGCAACTAAGGACTATGAGACTTGAAGGTAAGTTTTACTAAAGTGTGGTAAGATCAACTATGTTTTATGGTTCAGAATGTTGGGCAGTAGAAAGAAAAATAGAAAAAAGAATGAGTGTAGTAGAGATAAGAATGCTTTGGCAGATGAGTGGAATGATGAAAATATAGGATAAGGAAAAAGAGGTGCATAAGAAGTAGTTAAGATGTGGCTTCTATTGTAGACAAAATAAGAGAAAATAGTCAGAGAAGGTTTGGGCGTGTCATGAAGAAAGTGGAACCAGAAACAAACAGTAAGAATTTTAATAAAAATAAATATGGCCGAGGAGTCCAAAAGAGAGATGTTTGGAAGTGATTAAGAAATATATAAAGACGACTGGTGTATGCAAGGTGCTAGATCGGATTAAATAGAAGTTTAGAACGAGGGTGGCTGATCCCAAATAGTAAAAATGAAGGTAGGAAGAAGAAAAATCAATTTTTTAAAAAATGGTTAACTTTAATTGAAAAAAAAAACAATTTATTAACTGGAAATATTGTGGTTACTTAAACTTTACACCCTAAATTTTGAATTTAATTTGTTAACAGGTTTAATTAATGGATATCAAACTGTGTAGGTTTAAATTTATGTTGTACAATTTATAATTACAACTTACCAGTAAAATGGAGCGAATGTTTTTATAACCTTATTCCTAAGAATCTGCTGATACTTCCTATTCAACCTAATTTCATTATTCTTCTTCTTGGTGTCCATTGTACTTTTTTTTATTAAAGTACGTGACTGATTTACAGTATAATAATATATTAGTAAAAACAAACTTTTCAATTGTATGGAGTAATTATCAGAAATACTAAACAATAAAGAATATAATGCCAAGAAAGAAGTGTACGCCGTGGTCGCCGACAATGCTTTACTTTGTAACAATTTGATTCAACAGGGCACCACTGTTTAAACCGAGCAGAGCACTAGGTATACTATCAAAGTCGCATAGATTAGGAAAATGCAATTATGAAAACGATGACAATATTAACATTTTGGGCACCATTACTGTGCGCAGCAGCTGTTGTGAACGTATTTATCTTTAATACAAATATATTACATGCAATCGTAAAAAATGACACTTAATGAAAAAAAAACTAATATGAATGTTAGGTATGTGTAATAATTATCTATGCAACATGATAGGATCTAAGGAACCTTATGTCATCAACGAACAACGAGCCTCGGACGACAGACCGCGGACATTGTTTCCCTATGATAACAGTTCAATATTAAAAATCCATGGAGGAAACGGGATTATTTTATCCTGCACCCTACCCTTGAATCTGTGCTATAGACAACGAGGGTCTAAAGCAGACATGACCTTGAATAACTTAACGGCTCGCGAGGTTTATCAAATATTTACAAAATATGTTTACTTCCGTACAAAAAAATGTCTTACGTCAACAATTTACGTTAATATTGATCAGACTACAAACTTAATCTTAAAACCTCTGTCACACGAGGCGACTATTCGCTACGGCTACCTACGTACTAGCAAGTAAATAAGTAAATTCCCTCCGTCTGACAACGTATTCGCTGCGAGTAATCCAAGTTATAATATGTACCATATAATAATTAGTCGCCCAGTGTGACATCGGCATTCGCCAGTCGCGACACGATGTAGTACGTTAGACGATTTTTACGATTGAAAATATTATTTACTAATCGCTACTCGTTACCTCATACAACCCTGTGTGTGAAAACTTAATCGTGGCGAGTTTTCGCGGCGAATAAAATCTCTTTGTGTGACAGGGCCTTAATAATTTCCCCTTTTGTACGCTTCATAGAGAAGCGAGTATTTGCGATTAATCTCACACCCTCTTTTACTGTACCTTGTTATTTGTTGAACGCCATATTTTACTAAAGCATTATAATACTCATATATAGTACCTTAATTTTACTTCATACTTGTCTTTCTTACCTCTACAAATATTCCTTTTAACCTTCCTGCTAATCTGACTTCACACTCTGAACATGTCATTAAAATAAGTTATCTCTTTCATCCTAGAGACTGGCTTCGTTATTTAACTTTTTTTTATTTTTGTATTGTATTAGTTACTTATTGTAAATTATAATTATAATTAGAGCTATTTGTGATCGAGTTTCTCGTCGAAATTCGGCATAAAAGTCTACATATGAAATCGGAAATTTTTATCGATGAAATTTGGTTTATTCGTAAGATTTGTATTTTGAATTGTTCATCATTTATTTAATCACCTGCGACACAAAAGTGCTGTTAAGTAGGTACTTGAATTTTATTAGCAATACTTTCTATGGATGGTGCTGTAATTTGCTGTACATTAAAAATGATTATACAAATTTAATAATTTCCTATTAGGTTAATGAAATAATTAGCTAACACTAAAGTCATGCGATATGATTACCTATTGATTTTTAATTTTTTTCATGATGTAAATAAAAAATTGTCTATAAATTAAAATATCCCTTTAAAATGTACTCCTTGGGCTGTCTTTATTATAGAAATCTATTCATAAATTTCATCTATTTTTTGGTTACATTATAGTTCCAAAGTAACAAGTACATTTGATAATTTGGTAAGAGCTACATTCGGTACAAAATTGCAAATAATATCCAAACCAAATATTCCAAACTGTTACTATGGTTACTACGTTTAATCAATACTTACGTTCCCCAATCCCCAGACCCTATAACGAAACGGCATTCGGCAATGCAACGCCGATTTGCCGAAGGGTCATATTATATGACTCATACAAAGTATACCTTCCTGCCTCGGCAACGCAACAATGTGATCAGTTTGGCCAACCATGTCACCAACATAGCCAACCGCCAATAATTAAAATTTAAATGAATTAATGTACTTAACTAGTAGGAACGCCACTCATAGTCGCAGCTTTGTACTGAGTATTTTGTAAATTATTTATATTTTATATATCTATATATAGATGTAAATAAACTGCAAAACTGAATTTAATTTAATGTAAGCGAAGCCATTAATGTATAAATAGCAATGTTATCAATACTAATTATTTAATGACACTAATTTTAATTAACTAAAATTAAGTACCTATTTAAAGCATAATATCCGTTTCACAGATTTGGAACATTTATTAACGTTTCACCATCAACGAACCGCCGCCAGCTTTTCGCCACGAGATGTTTTTTTCGTTTGAAGCCTAGAGCCGTATCTTGGTTATTATTCAACGTATGCCAGTGTAATCTTCACTATTACACATAAGGCTATTAGTGGCACTTAAAAGTACCTACCCCTTTTGAATTTTGGATCAAGTATATCTCGACGGGATTTAGTGATAGGAGAGTGGTTTTGATGGTAACAAATTTGACTTCGCACCCCACACAAGTCCTCTCCATAGTTTGACACCGTCAATCCTTTTCAAGGGAATTAGCTTGAAATTCATACGATTACCATCAATCTTTGAAAACGGTCCCCAGATTATATATAAACTACACTCATAAAATTTAGTGTCAATCGGAATGATCGAAAAAAGGAATTTTGCTCCAAAGTATTTGGTGGGTCATAAATATTTAACGAAATTACTTCCCCCCCAAATTTCAGAAAAATATACAAGAATAAAAAAAAATATTAGGTATAGTAGTATCTAAGGCCAAGTAGGTAAGTACAGTTCTGTATTTACGGAGGGTGTTGTTAGTTTGTTAGATGGGAGCATCTCAGACACACAACTTCTATAATGATATGTATTAAATATATATATACTGTTCGTTGATAATGTTAGGTACAGTCATTGATTGAATATTATATTTTCAATTCATTCTGTTGACACTAAATTTATGAGGGTAGTTTATAGATGATATTGGGATTGTTTTCAAAGATTGGTTAAGTTAGGTTAGGTGGTGATCGAGCAAATTTTAGGCTAATTCCCTTGGAAGGGATTTTATGGTGTCAAACTATGAAGGGGACTTGTGTAGAGTACGAAATCAAATTTGTTAGCATCAAAATCACTCTCATATCACTAAATCCCGTCGAGATATACTTGATCCAAAAATCAAAAGGGAGAGGTACTTTTAATATTAAGTGCCACTAATAGCCCTATGTGTAATAGTGAAGATTACACTAACGTACATTGAATAATAACGAAGATATGGCTCTAGATTTTAAACGAAATAATCAACTCGTGGCAAAAAGCTGGCGGCGGTTCGTTGGTGGTGAAACGTTGGCGGCGAAACGATCGTTTCGGTAATAATATTGATAAGTTTAATTAATTAATGGTAATAACATTGACTTTATACAAGTATTAAGTCAATGGATAATTATAAAGTATTGGAATAATATTATCATAGAATATTATTATTATTATTATCCATGTAGAGCCCTAAGTTGATATCATAGAGTAATTACTCTATGGTTGATATTCGGAGGTAACCCATAGTAACCACTGACTCTATATGATAACTCTTATCAAGATGGTTCAATGGTGGCAAGAAGTATCTTAAATCATGCGCTGTGTTATCATCGATTATACAAGTCTTCTTCCTTACAATGGTACTATGGTAAACAATATTAAATATGTGTATATATTTTAAACATTCTTCTATAATTTTAATTTATAATAGAATTAATTAATTAACCATTATTTAATATCCATTGTTTCATTAAAATAAAACTTATCATGGATGTAGACCTATTGCGTCCTGGTATGATTCCAATTGCACCAAATACAAAACTTTGGTTTGAATTTCTGATTGAACCGTCTCTCCTTGAAGAACATTTAAAGAAGCCAAATGCAGGTATAGATATGAAGCAGTCCATAATCATTTTTATTCTTTGCTCTTATTTATAAATATGAAAGGATTTTCTCCTCGAATAATTTTTTGATGTTTCAATAGACATGGTGATACAAATGAAGCAGTCCATTATTCTGTTGATTTTTGAACCCTGTTAATCCATCAGGTCTTCCAAATCATAGACTTTATTATATGTTTCTACATCTGTTATCTTATACAGAATCTAGACATTTAAAGCCACTCATACTTTGTTATATTACTATTTTATTTTACTACTTTATGCTATCTACAATATAATTTTCTTTGGAAATTTAACTGTATGCTTCCCTAATGTTACCTATTTGGTTTTACAATTTTATACCAATATCAAAATCATCAATTATGATAACAATTAATCATAATATTATAATATAGATAGAGTTATTTATCCACACTAACCTTTACACCTCTTTTAAACTCTTTAAATAAAATCATGCATTTCTGTAATAGGCCTAAAACTTGTAACTATTTAATTAATAATTTCTTTACACAAAATTGTGTTTAATTACATTATCAATAGATCCAAGTGCCACTGAACTATTAATAAAATTTCTTTATTCATCAATGGAAAGACCAAAGGATTCGCCTCCAATTGAAATTGATGATTTAATGGATCATTCTAAGATTGACAAAAAAATGGAATATCGCAAACGTAAAAAATATGAATGTCTAAAAATATTATCTATGAAAATTGTAAGTTTTTGGGAATGGGACCTGAGCATCTTACAAACTAGGTAATTTATTTTAACCTAACGTTTTTTTTCATATAACTATTAACGTGTATCTTTACATATACTGTTATTTGTAGGATTCCAATTAGTCTCCAGATAATATTTGTTCAAGACCTTTTAGATTTAGTATCAAATGGTCTCAATTTGATTGGTTTTGAAGCTCATATTGCAATTGAAGATTTGTCACTGTTAAAAGATGAACAATTATTTGCCATAGCACTTTTTCATCGATGGACTTTAACTGTTATTATAAATTATACACTATCTAAAAAATCAACATTCACACTAGGTCCTATACAGTGAGTTTGTATTTTATATATCTGTACTGGTTATACTATTTTAAATACATTTAGATGTACACTAATTTTATTACCTAGTCATGTCATGTGATACATTCCATGACTTCATCATCCCCTTAATTGTACACACAGCCATTCCACCAATTGCCTTAACCCAAATTGTTAAGATTATTATAGTCTAGAAAAAATGGTATTGAAGTTAGGTACCAGGTGGCTCAGTAATAGAACAATCATCTGGTAAACAAGAAATTATAATTTGATTCCATCTAATTTTAACCCTTTTTTTTCAAAGAAACACAATTTCGTCACATTTATTCATTTATTTTTATGTAATTATATTAATTTATATGTTTAATTGTACACCTTTGCTGTGTAAACATTATTCTACATTTCAATGATATATATATTTATTTTTGTTTATTTAGAGATGGAAATGAAGATGTTTTATTAAAACTTGAGATGCAAAGCGAACTTAGTGAAAAAATGTTATTACGACTAATGGACTTGAAACGACCATCATATACAATTCCAACAATGGATGTATTTGATCCACCTAATGAATTAAAACCTTTATCTTGCATTTGGTTTAAAGGCCTTACTGTATCTTCAGCCGAATTTCGTTCTCAAGTATTTATAATTATAAAAATTCTTTGTACCTATGAATTTGTGGTAGAAAATACATGAATTCAGTTAGATCTTAAATCTAATTATTAGTTTGCAACAGTTATCTTGATATTATTAGGCAGTAGGCCACGTATTATTTTCAAAACATTTTGGGGGCCATATTCATGATAAAAAATTATTTAATATTAAAAATATTTGAAATGATGCAATCCTCAGCAAGTGTTTGTTAATCAAGTTGTAGTTTTTCATTTGGCAGTTTTATTTGTGAAAAAATATACTTAAAAGTTAAAATATTGCATTATACATGCAGTACAATCATTTTTAAAAAATAGTTCTGTACATTTTGTTATATCTCCTTGTCTATCAGTGATGTCTCATTCTAATACTAATTTTATCAAAATAATAAAAATTATTCATACTATGCTTATAATTTATTCATAAGCTTTAAATAACAAGATGGTTCACTGGTTGAACACCCCAGGTTTAAAGTATACATACTTATTTAATTTAGTTCTAATTGATTTCAGGTATTAGCTACCATAAATATATTATAATATGTTATAATTCTGACATATATTTAGATTATGTACGACTATGCAAAATATAAATTTTTCAAAGAGCAATATAAAGAAGCAGGTATTTACTTCTACATGTGTAAAGAATTAAATACAAATTTGACACCAAGTCGTTTTCATAAAATAAAATTTGAAGAATTAAATGGATTCTGTGTAGCATGTTCATCAGAGATAACTAATGATTCCAGTTTACTAATGCAGTTTTTATATTCCACACAATCAAATTATAATGCAAGTATAAATCTAGTTTATTTTATTTTTTGATATGTGTGTTTTTAAATACTAAATTTGATGGTGTTTTAAAACTTGTACTTTTCGAGTATTAATAACTAAACCTAAAATTAACTTCGAGCAGTCATTTAAAAAAAAAAAAAAAAAAACCATTAGATTCAGTATTAATTGACAAACATTAATCAACAAAAATCAATTATATTGTGAACTAATTTTGTTTTATATTTTTTTTAAAAAATTCTGTATGTAATAATAAGTAGCAACATTATTATTATTTTTAGGGAATTCTTAAAATTTTAGAATCTGATAACCAGATAATGAAAATTCCATTATTTTTGAGGGATTCTTTGGAACTAGATTTAGCATCAATGTTATCATTAGGAAAATTCACTGCATCAAGAGATATGCTACTTCACATACAAACTATGAATGCAATTCGAAGAGCATCAGTAACTTCTAAAGAAATTGTATTATTGCCTCCTGAAGATTATGTTACTAAAATTAAATTTAACATGAGAGGTCCTGATATATTTTTAAAGGTATAATTTTAAGTTCCTTAATAAATAATTTTTAATTATAATTTAAATGTTGAGTATAACAAATGTTTGAAGGTATTGTAAATAAAAATTTGATGGAAAACAGTACTTGGTACTTTTTCATTACTGTTAAGTTTAATTACTTGAAAACAAATAAATTTTAAAAGTTAAATAAAATATTAAATTATGTTATGGTTACTTTGTGAGATAGATCTTTTCATGAAAAATTGTGTGTATCATAATATAAAAACAGATTTTTCACATTTTTTGAAATATTTTCATATTTCAAAAAATGTTGACTTGATTTTTATATTGTGTATTTTTTCACAATGCTGTTTTCCACTTTATATGTTGAAATAAAACATTTACCGTGCACATTATGGAAATATTATAATATTATCATCATTGGGTGTACATCATATTATAGTAATATTTAGTAATATTTAAATGATGTCTCTTTAGAAACTACATTTTTAAAATCATTAGAAAAATAAAAACACAGTTATACATACAATTATTGTATACTGTTTTTCAAATCTATTATTGAATCTGATAATTAAATCTAAATTGTTTATTCTTAATATCATTTTTTTTTCACAAGGATTATTTATTAAACAAAAGTTACACAATGTTAAACTTTGGTGACCATTTCATGAATTATTTTTGTATTTCACAAACTACAAAAACGCTTTTTTTATTTCGTGAAAACATCAATTTTACAAAGTAGCTGTAAAATAATATATAGGTATAACTTTATACCTATACTGATTATAATTTTGTTTCAATTTAGGATTTAAAACTTTGTATAGTGAATAAGGATGCAACATTTAGAAAAACCTTGAAAATGTTTGTGTGTAATGTTTTACTAAAATGTCCTAAAAACCTGGTGAAAGATATTTTGAAAGATGGACACAAAGAAATTTGTGAATTGTTTGGCGAAGAAGATATTCAGCAATTACTTTCATTACCAGAAGATCTACCAACTATCAATATTAATATGTCCGAACGTTTGGATCAATTAAAAATCACCCAAACAAGTATACATATATTTTCCATGAAATATTATTTTATATTTTCATTTTCTTGTAAATTTTTAGATCGTATAAATGTTCAAAAAGTATTATTAAAGAACAAAATTAGCACTGAATATAATCCTAGTAATTTACGTAACTTATTACAACAATTACACAAGATGGATATGGATCCAATGTTTAGTATTATGGATATTAATTATAAAGTAAGTACTAATTTTTTATACCACATAATTATATGATTCATTATTGCTTTTCACTTTTTTTTTTTTTTTTGTCTTACTAATAATTGATAGAACAAAAATATTTTTTTAAGGTTTTCATTGTATTCTTATTCTAATAGGTAACTTGAAAAATAATTATTTCATCAATAATATTACTATGTTTTCACTGAGGGATTTTTTGATATCTAATTAACAGACTAAAACTCTAAAAATATATTTTTGCTATATTACCATTTAGAAAAATAAAAACGAACAATTTTACTCTAATGTCCATTCAAGATCTGTTAAATAATTAAATAAAATAAGTGTTTAATCAACTATATATGGAAGTAATTTCATAAGATATTTTAGTGGTATAAATATATTCACTAAAATTGAGAAAGTTATGACCAAAGATGAATGTGATGAAAAAAAAAAACTTATATATGTTATAAATAAATATGAGTTCTGTTATTTGTTACTACTTATTACAAATAAAAAGTTGCCAGAGACTTCTTGAATTAGTTTTGACCAATTAAAATTTACCATTATTATTACACTCAAATACATAAGTGTCCAAATTTTGAATATAGACTTTTTTCAGTGGCAAGTACCAGTCCCATTACAAAGTCTTTTAATGGGTTTACCTAATGGAATGTTTAAATTTTTGGTCATTACGTTAGTAGCAAAAGCCAAAGAAATGTTAAAGTTAAATGTAAGTTTTATTTTTAACATTAAAAATAAGACTAATCAAGTTTTATTTTAAATTGTTATTTGTTTTTTTTTTTGTTGAGGACTTTGAAAAATCCAAATTGTTATTACAAGAAGCTGAAACGGAAACAAAAATGGGTAGTAATATTATTTATACAAAAGTTAGACAATTGATTTCATGGGAAGGATTATATACTGAAATGCTTCAATTTCAACACGAATTCAAAAATTTTGGTTTGTATTCATCTGTAGAAATATAAAAAGTAAGAAATTTATGTTTATTTTAAATGGTGTTGTTTTGTTAATAGTCATTGGTGATCTTGTGGAACGCTGTAAACAGTGTCTTGAGGCTGTCCAAAGTGATAATTTATTACCACGTCAAGAAATCGCTGAACAATGTGTATTAACTTTATTAAATGTTGGTGAATGGGAATATTTAACAAAAAGACATTATAATTGCTTTAAATTGCCAATGGCTATTGCTTATACTTGTCTTGATGTCAATAAATTTAAAGGCACTAAAAAAAGTGCTAAAGAAGTATGGGATTTAGGTAAGTTTTAGAATTGTTTTAAACAATTTTTTATATACACATAATACTTGTTTATTTATTTATTTATTTATTTATTTATATTATATTTATTTATTAGTATTAACTATTTAATCATTTTGTTTTTACTTTATTATTTTATTATTTAATTAAATATTATAATTTTAGTTTTACCTGTGTTTGATTACGGCTATGGTACTAGTAACAAAAGACCATTAGATGGTGACACTCAATGTACTCAAAATCGAGTTTTGAATCAAAATGATATAATGCGTGTACTTATGAGTTTAAGAGATCAAAATGCTATTCAAATAGCACTTTCATTATTATCAAAAATTCAAAATGTTCTTAGGGACGAGTCTGCTTTGGAACTTATAATGCCCTATCTCAATATTTGGCCTGCCATTCCTAAGTTTGTTAACATTTTATTTTATATTATTAATTTTTTTTTTTCATAAGTTAATGTTCTTAAAAATATCTAATAACAATACATTAAATGTATTCAACCATTAAATTAAATCTGTTTATATTAATTTTAAATTTGATTTGTGTCTTTTTTTAGTGGTATGAGTATTCCACTGAGAAACATAACTGAAGTTTTGGGAATTATACTGAATGAAGCACTTAAATACCATCCTAATCATATAATTTTATTAAAACTTAAAGGAGATCTGCAATATGGTAATTATATTTTTATAATAAAAGCATCCATTTTATTAGACTGATATAATATAAGAAATTATAGGTAGTACATTAAATTACTTTTAACAAATTAAAAAAACAAAGGGTAACAGTAGTTTGATCTCCATACATTTTTAAATAGATACTAGATAATAGATTACATGTTAATAATAATACCAACATGAAGCGGTATCAACAGACAACATATTATACTATTTTTGTTAGTATTTGGTGATATTTTTTAAACAAAAAGAAAATAATATTGATTTAATTAATAGATAGTTGATTAATATAACTAATGGTGGTACCAAAATTTGTTTAAGTCAATTCGTTGAGGTACTAGAGCCCAAGAGAGATAGCCACGTGAAGTCACAAGTCACACAGCGCGGTGGCAACCTAAATTTTTATAAGGAAATTGCCAACACAGTCTAGATTATTTATTTTTATTTTTTGTTATACTCAACAAAAATTAAAAATTATGACAACTATTTTAAGTCTATGGTTGTTAATAAATATTGGTGTACGTTTTGTCATTTTATTAAATTTAAATGTACATAATTAATTTTTATTACTTATGTTAACTATGATATTAAAATAGGTAATGAGGTAATATTTTTCGATATTTCACATAAATATATACTTGTATAATATACTACTTAATACTTCTTGTTTTGGATGAAAATATAATTATCCAAATAAAGTATTTTTATATGTTCATTCATTGTTGTGACTACAGAGTTATTTATAAGAGAATTGAATATAACAAAAATTATAAATACATATTCTAGACCTAGATTAAGTTGGTAATTCCCGTATAAAAGTATAGGTCACTGCCATGTGATCTAGTTTTTTATGAAAATTTTAACTATTGTAATCAAATTTGAATGAAAAGTTTCTGAATTATTCTATTTTTAGTAATTGATTTAGTTTAATTATAATACAATAACTTAGTAACTATAATTAGTTGTACAATACGTGGCTATCCTTCTTGAGCCCTACCGCCTTAACGAATCAGTCTATACAAATTTTAGTATCACCGTTAGTTATATTATATAATAATTTGTTAATTGAACCAGTACTTTTTTTTGATTCGTGGTTTTTTTTTTTATAAAAAAAAAAAACGTAATAATAATAAATTTCTGGAATATTCTACCAAGGATAAAAATATATAAAGATATGGCAAAATAATTCATTATTATGTGTCAATAATTAGTGATTACTTGATAAGTATTGTTCATAACTTAATTTAAATAAATAATATCCTTATTATAGTATTTACATTTATTATATGTATGGCGATTTTTGAAACGAAAGATATTCTTTAGATTTTGCGGAAAATCAAAGTATTCAAATAAAAAAGACAGGGATGTTGGGAAGATAGGACATAGAGGGGAATTAAATGTATATCTGTGTGCAAAAATTAATCTTTGCTAATGAAAAATGATTCTGAGTGGAGTCCGGTTTTACATATTTTGAAAGCCCCTATTATTTTATAATTAACTCCTATTTTTCATATGATTTAAATAATGATATAGTTAAAAAGTGCCATTTTTATAAGACACTATAGAATTTGTGATAAAAATTAAAAACAGAGTTCGATGCAAGTTGTAGAACATCATCATCAGATTCGAATCATTTTATGAGGCAGGAGAGATTTCCCCATTAAGCATGTTTTTGAAGCAAAAAAAGCGGTGGCCCGAGACCCTTAACTACACTTAAAAATTCCAAAAATAAGAACTTGAATATTTGCATAAGTAAAAAATTAAAAAGTAATTTTTTATCAGTAATTAAGAAATGAAAATAAAAATTTTATTTTTTTCTACATTCATGTCCCACTGGCACAAAACCTGATTGAAAAAAAAAAATTTAATATTGTCAATAGTTATTAGAATTCAGATAACATTGTAGGGCCCCTCGGTTGTGTAAGTTTTATATTTAATGTATTACTTTTTACCATATGAATCACATACTTTTAGTATTTTTAACTAGTAATTATTGTATATTATACAGTAATATCTTGTTAAGACATTCCCGCTTAAAACGTGGATTTACGTTGTTATGTTCAAGTGTTGATGTGGTGCATGTGACATTACACAATATTTAAATTTTTTTTCGTATAATTTGTTTTTTGGTATTGTAAAATGACAAGTACGTCTATGTCACCTAGTAGTGCAGGAGTAAATAGGTAAGCTTTGTCTATTGATGACAAATTGAACATTATTAGACCAAACGATGAAAAAATATGTGTTTGAACAATAAATTACTGACGAATTAGTATTGATCCTCTCTCCGTTGTGAATTCTGTGTCCCGTTTAAAACGTTTCAAGAGCGTATTAGGCGGGTTTTAGTATGTTAAAATTATAAATATGCTGGAATTTTATATATATCAAAATGCTCTGCCCGCTAAAATTGGGTACATTAAAATTTCTGTGCTCCTAAATTTCAGCATTCAATTATCTTGCTACTTAATGAATGGTACCTTAATTTCTATGTTTGATTTTTGTTTTAAATTTCAGAAATTAAAACTGTATACTTAACATGTGTAGTTACATGTGTATTATAATGATATGTGTATTAAACTATTAAATAAATATTTAAATATATTTTGTAAGTAATTTGTTATTCAATTGAAATAATATTGAAGGAGGCTACTTTTACTTTACTACACAAATTTTAGTTCACTAGTAGTTCGGACATTTAATATTTCTATTTTAGGGTGTTTTTGTCTATGTTTAAATCATTATATACATACTCTTATCTTGTGTTTTATATGCTTAATAAATTGTTATTAATTCTAATAATTTGGAAGATAAAATATATCATCTGAATATACAGATGGCAGAAGACAACCATTTAACGAGATTTGAATAGTACTATATTTATAATATATAAGTAAGTAATATAAATAAATACATCAAGTTCATTAGTTAAAATTTAAATTAAATTCAAATTATAAGTTATAATTAAAACCTCAATTATATCCAAATAGAACATTTGTGGAATGGTTGTCTTTTGCATAACATCATTTATTTATGAATTAATAAAGTTAATAAAGAATAAAACAATTACTTAATTAAGAATTATACGGTATTAGTCATATGGACATTTAGTAATAAAATTTGATTATATTTGCTTCTACTTAAATTTATCAGTACTTTGCATTTTAAATAAATTATTATAATTAAAAACAAAGGATGTAACTGAAGTTCTAATTCACTGTTATGGGAATTAAATATTAAAAATAAAGAACAAAACATACTTTTTTAATTCAATACTATAATATTATAATCTTGTAGTAATGGGTCACTACAGTTCTGCAATGAAATGGTATCTAGAAGCCATTGTTATTGTCAGTGACTATTTTGCACGACCTGTCCTAAAACCGATGATTGAAGATTATGTGTATAAAAGAATGATGAAATGTTGCATGCAAATGCAAAATTTTACACAGGTTAGTCAATATTGAGTAGTTAATAAGTTGGTCTGCATTTTAAAATTTGATTATTTTATAGGCAGCAATATTATGCTTATTTCAAGATGAAATAGACTATGCAACTGCATTCAAATGTGCTTCTGAAACAAATTCATGTGATGCTTTGGATGAATACTATGATTATATATGGGATATTAGTCTATTGGAATTCCTTATATATTGGCATACTAAGTTAAATCATCAAGAACATAGACAAAAACTTGTAAGTAACTTTTACATGTTTCCATACAAAACTTAACCAATATATACATCTATATAATGAATAGTAATTACATTGAGGTTTTGTGTAGAGAAGTATGTTAGGTATTAGGAATAATAATATCCATTACAATTTATTGGAAGTTATTTTTGTATTTAGTTTTTATTTATATGATTATATAAATTCTATATACATTTTGAAAGTACAATTTTTTTTTTAATCCTATTTTTAAATGGGGTGTTTTTTAAATTTGTTTTATGTAGCTGAAAACAATTGGTGCCTTGGAGTTAAATGCAAATAATAATGATGAAATTAAAAGAGAAGCGGCCAACATAAGAAAACTAAAATTTTTAAGAGCACTGTCACAACAATATGTACACCCATAAAAAATCAACCATAGATACAATGATTTTATGTATTTATATGTCTACAAGAATAATAAAAAAAAAAATGGACAATGACTACAAGTACATAATTTGAAATTTTAATAAAGTAAAATGATGTGTTTGATAAAATAAAAACATTTTGGTAAATATCAATTTGGAATAATTTATTTGATATTCTTTGTTTAGTAAAATACAAATTGTAATTATGACTTAGCCCTTAGGTTATAAGACAAATTTATTTGTGATAGTTAAAGAATATTATCATTGATAAATCACAATACACAATTTTTAAAAATATTTATCAAACATTAAATTTATTGAAAATATTGATAGTACTCACGAGTTAATGTACATTATTTATCCTCCCGTAACTATCGGTTCAATTATTTTTATTTTAGTCCAATTTGAGCATTTTGTTTAAATATGACTTTTCTTAACAAGTATACTTTTAAAAAGTATACTATAAAATATAAATTGTATACAATTATACATAGTCAGTGCATGACTATAACATCTGGAGCTGATTTTGTTGATTCAATACTGTATGGCCTTTGACTTAGTTCTGATGAAAACTTATCCATTTCAATAACGGCTTCAGCTCTAAATTTTGATGGTTTTGCATCAGCCGAACTATCTGAATCTTTCCTGTATCCAAAAGTAGAAAATCCTAATGGTGGTCTGAAAGGAGATTCTGATGGCCTTACTCTATAATGACCAGTGACTTTAGGCACAACTGAAGTGTCAAAAAGACTCTCCCTAGTTTGGCACTCTATATCTTTAGTTTCAGTTGTCATTGGATAGGAACTCATCAATCCATCACCTTCTTCATCTTCAACAGAAGTATAAAGACGAGGAGGGTCATGCTTCATTAGTACTGGAATAAGATCACCAGATGGAACATAACAATCAGAACTAGATGTGTTAATAATGTGTTTGTTTTGGATTAAATTAGTGGTTTGACTACTGTTATCACTTTGAGGATAGTCATGTCCATGGGGACCAGAATCTTCGAGTGATTGTTCGTCTGTAACATTTATTCTTCCAATTTGATCCAAATGATCTTCTCTTGAATGCCGCATGTGTTCCTAATTTAAGGGTGTAAATAATTTAATTTATTAAAGAAAAAGAAAATTAAATTATGTGTTTTCTAGATATAAACACATTTGAAATTCATATACAGTAGAATCTGCTTAATGGGGATGAATTGTCATAGTCTCGAACGAATGTATTCGTTTAAGGCAAGACCTAAATTATCTATCTACTTCTTATCGAAACTGTAATTATCTAATCTTTATAGCTCTATTATATAGGTAATCATTTATTTTTCTTCTACTACCACGATAAGAGTCGACTAGCCTACGTACAAAATTGAAAAACTTTAGTTCGCGTTCTTTCGTCTGCGTATTAATGTATGTGTGTTTTTATTGATCTCAGTTTGTGTTAATACGTAACAATTTACGTTTCGTAAAGATTTAACGTTGATTGAAAAAATTTCTAATCTGGATAAAATTAAAGCTCAACCTCATTCTTCCAGTCATCGTGAGTTAGAGAAAATAATAGGCATCTCTAAATCGGTACTAAGCCGATTGAAAAATAATGAAAAAGCTATTCGTGAACAGCCTAATAGATGACAAATAGGTCACCGCCCAATGTGTCCCAATTAAGCGGATTCTACTGTACCTCTAATTATTTCCTTAAGTAAAGAATTATTATTAGAAATAATAAAGTCCACAAATCACTTTATTTGTATTTAAAAAGCTTGCAAAGTGATCTGATTTTGATCTTTTTTGTTAAAAAGAAGAAAACTTCTTTATGCATTGGACTTGGATTATGAAAATTATATTTCTAAACACTATATTCAGTGACCAATTTTAATCATTATTTTAACTTATTTTTCTATTGGTTTTTAGTTACATAATCAAAAGTCAATTTTCTATTTCCTCTTTTCAACAAAAAACAAATTTTCTAAATCATTAAAATGTTCCCCTTAAACTGGTTTAAAAAAAAAAAAATTTGTTAGGAATTATTAAAATTATTAATTGTCAATGTTAACAATGTAAAAAAAAATATTATCAGGATAATGGCAGTTTAATATTAAGAGGTATATTAAAAAAATAAAAAAACTGTAATAAGTACAATATATTATAGTTCATCGAACTTAAAAAAAAAAAATTACACTGAATATATAAATTTTATTTTGTACACCTAACCTATAATATAATCTATACTTGCTATTAATTTAACATTTTTTTTACCACTTACTTTAATAATTCGGTGATCATGTACAAGTTTTCGGATAATGTTGGTGATGAATGCAGAACACATACCACATAATATTAAAAAAAATACTACCAAGATAACTATTATGTCAAAACTTGAGAAAAGTAGCATTAATCTGTTGTCTTCTTCCTAAAATAATGTAATCTTATATAGTATCTAAAATAATAATTAAAAAAATATATATAAAATAAAAAATATACTGGACATCCATCTTCATCCCATCGGAAACGACAATTTTCAACTTGGTTACAACGTAATTCAGATGCTATACAAGTTAGATCTTCACAATCATATTGATCAGCACCACAAGCTAGAAATATTTTGAAAATGTCTATGATATATTACATAAAGATGAAATACAATTTCCTGATAAATAGTTCGACAACATATTACTAAAAATATTGTTTTATAATTTATTGTGGATTTAGGAATTAGTTGAATGTATATTTGAAGCTATGTCAAATTTATTTAATATTTTATTGTCATTTTTTGTGAGAATATGGAAGTTAGGTTTGCTTGGTTTATACCTATACAAGAAGCCCATTTTTATATAGAAAATATGCAGAATAAATGTCTTATTACATTACCTACCAGCACCAGGCTTATCAACAAGCAAGTGATTAAAGAGATAACATTTTAGGGGCTACTTATAAAAGAAAAGGGCAAAAAAAAAGGAAATTTTTTTTACCGCAAACAGTTCTTATATACTTATTTTAAAAATGTATGTAAAACATCAACAATTTACAAATATAATGAAATTATTCATATTTCATGTTTTTGGAAGAAAAAAAAATCAATGAAAATATTGTACCTACCTAGTTACGAGTTGTCTACTTAATATTTCCAAATTTAATTTGATTTTGAATAATATTTGAATGTTTTTTTTTTTTTTTTTTTTATATAAAAAATTATAACAATATTATATAAACATGATTTATATGTATTTTGGTTTTACGTGTGATTTAATAATAAAGTTATAAAGCAGTATACTACCATAAATAATGATTTTACATAAAATAAATAAGATACATTTATATCCACATGGAGGTAAATGATAAGATACTATTTTTGGCCAAAGATAAATACATGCCTCAGTTAATAAGTTATGCTAGACACCTACCTAATAATATTAGTAAATCATGGTGAGTAGCAGCCAGTAGGTATGTAGATACATATTTAGTGTATAACAATAGGTACAGGTATTATAATATTATCTATAAATATTGTTATACTTACTAAGGTTTTATTAACTAAATTTTGCTACCTACCTTCATCTTTTGTTTTAGTACGGTATGCAGTAAAAAGTGCTGAAAATTTTGATTTCACTCCATTCCCTACTGCCAAAAATCGTACATGCAATTTATTACTCGGCGATTGCACCATTTCTGCAATTGATCCACAAAATACCTTCAGACGTGAAGCCATATCTGTACGATTAGAGAAAATCTCTACTACATTTAATCCACAATCGTTTGGTTTTTCCAATGCAAAATCTTTAAAATTAAGCTGAATCTATAAAAAGTGTAATAATTTCAAAGAAATGATATTTTTATATTAAATCTAGTTTAAGAATGAATACCTTCCAACCTGGTTGTACTTCTATAATCCACATACAATCTAATGGAACTTTGTCATACGTCTTATTATTTATTTTGGTTTTTAAATCTTCTATATCCGTACTATTTATGTACCCTTGATAACCTTCCACCTTTTTACGCCATGGCTGGAGCTCTACTTTTTCTATGTCTAGACATTTTTTTTTTTTGAAATGAATGTATTAACAATTTTCGATTTAATGACTTCTGTATTCAAAATGTTTCAAGTTAATAAATACCTATTTTAATTTTTTTATTATATAATTTTATGATTTAATATTAATTAGATTTCAGTGTACCTAATCAAAGTCGAATTTTGTGTAATGTCAAGAATTTACTTTGTTTGTATTTTCTTCTTATAATTATTTATAATGATAAAAACTGATACAGGTTTGTAAAATTATTCAATCTAGGAAAACTCTCACTTTTGCAATACCTACTTACCTATATTTAGTCAAATATCTGATAAGTCGTAGAATTTACCTAGGTAGGTACCATGCAAATGTCAAATAGATATACTTACCTTAAAGTCTGAACTCGACCAAACACAAAATATGTTTTTAATTCGGTTAAATAAATAATAGTTCAGTACCTACCTACCAAAATAATTTCTTGAGTTATTACATATAGACCTACAATAAAAATGCATAGGATGCATAGCAGGACATAGGAACGTACATAATATATTCAACCGAAACCAAACAGCCGTTAGTTAAATAGCTGAACGTGTCAAAATGCCGATAGTAAAATAATAGAAATTAATAATTCGATAGCAAAGAGACCATACGATAATGCCTACTGCACTCATTCACCTAGACTTAATACTAGTATGAGCTAGGGGCTCCGGTTTGCTAAACCTGTAGCACCATATGTCCCTCTGAGGTATTGTGACAAATAATAATTAATATTTGTTCACAAATTAAAGGGTTTTGAAAATTGAAACTCTTAAAAGGCACATCCTTGATACATACAAATACATACATGCATGCATAATGCATATACAAACTTTCATCCCCCAGGCTTCATTTGAGGAGTCTGTTGAGATTTATAAAGATAAAACCGCTTTCACCTACAACAATATAGTTTAATGTTTGTATTGAAACTCAACCAAATTTTTATCACTTAAATTCGTCTATAAAACAACTCTAATTCCTGAGTTTGAGCTTATTTGGTTTAAAGCAGTGGTTCTTAACCTTTTTTTATTCACGTCTACTTTGTAAATTTTCAAAAATTTCACCTCCCCCACCCATTTTTAAATTATGTAAGACTATTAGAGTTTAAACGATCATTTTTTTTTTTTTTTAATAAGCCACATGAATACATCTTACAAAATAACTATATATACGTTATACAAAGAAAATTCATTTATTGTTTTCAATTTTAGTGATTGTAAAATGGTATAATTATTTTAACAACAAATTTCTCGTTATTTCATCATCACTATATTTTTCCCGTGTAGTATCTAAATTCTACTCTAGGAAAAAAAGTGTACAGTCAATTAGCCATAGTAATTAGTTATAATAATCAACTAACGAATGCAATTATAGTCTGCTGCATAATTATAGGTACTTTTCTCTGAATTTTGAAAAATTATTAAAACTAACGAATTTAATGAAAATAAAAAGTTTATACGGTTGAATTTTCAAAAGAATATTTAACCTCTATAAAATAGCTATCTTCAATTTTTTCGAAAATAGTAAAATTAAAATAAATTTGTTTAGTTTTTTACCAAAACAAAAATGTGTTCAGGTATAAATATTTTTAGTCCTTATCCCTACGAATCATAAACAGAAAACAGAACTTGATTATTTTTATTATCTCAGGAGATATTGCCAATGTGCATATCTACGCGGGGCATCCTGTATATAAACTACTAAAATATCAATAAATTAAAATTTATATTATTTTATACATTAGGCGTGTGTTCGCGAAGCAACCCAAAGCGACAATGTCTCTCTATTGTCGCTTTAATTGTTCGACTATTGTTCACTCGTTTAAGCAACTTATAAGTAGCCATGTTTATAGTTAACTATCAAAATATAAATGTGTGCATTTACTATTTCAGTCTAATTATAATGTTACCTATTTAAAATACAAATTGTAGGTATGTACTAGTATGTAGGTTAAAATTTGAGCTCAAACGTAGATCACAAAACGTTCGTCACAAAAAGAGTAGAATATTTTCAAAGAGCAGATAGGCAAACACATTTGCTGTTTCAAGTTATTTGAAAAAAGCAAAAACTAACATAGCAGCAACTTTATTGATTGGCAGTAAATTAGAAAATAGCATCATCATATAGTTTTTCACTGAAAAGTATTCTGCTATTTTAATTTTGTTATCTGTATTTAAACATTAATTTCTACTTATATGAAACAATTTATATTCTAAACAACGCAATTTTGCTATGTTGGTCGTTGGTTAGAATGATGCAGTATAGTATAGAAACACGAAAGAGTATGTAGCCTTCTGTCCTCATCTTAATTTGTATAAAATAAAAATATTATATAATATACAAATATAGTAACTATATTATTTACTTATTATTTTTATTGATTTCTATAAACTATTTCGAGTATTTTGGAATATCGAGTGACGGTCTTTTATACTAGACTCAAGGCCGTAATTACAAGTATGGAGAGATCCCTGCAGTTATGGCCCTACAAATTGGGGAACCAATCTTCTTCAATTGGTTCCAGACTCCTTGATATTTTTTCAAAAGTAGGAAAATGTTAGCAATAGTTTAACTATCTTAACAACAAGGTTATAAAGACATCAAATTAATAAACAACAAATTTAAGCAGCCCTCCCCACCGATATTTTATTTCTGCAAGAAGATTATTGGTTAAAAATCTCGTAATTTTATAATATTAATTTGCTTAGATAATTGTTGTAAGGAACATATAAACCAGAAGAGGTAGTTTTCTATTTTATTAATTTATTAGAAAGTAATTTACCTGCTGGAGGTTTCTTAATAAATCTGTATACAGCATGAAACCCTTCATATTCAATATTTTCATCGGACCGAAATCTTAACCATAGGAATCTGCCAGTTGAAATTATTCTGGAAAATAAGGGGAATATTAACTAAGTGTATAGTACATATATTTACAATGATTATGATTTTAGGCACCGCATGGTTTAGAGTTCTTTCCACCATTACCAGAAAAAAAGAATCCTCTTGTCACGTATTTGCGAGTTTCAAATTTGTAACAATTTTGTTGACGGGTTTAATTTTCGCCAAATGAAATTACACAAATATTATGAATGATAAATACAGTTCTATAGAACTTGACAGTGTATAACACACAAAATGTTAAACAGATGTGTGCATATAATGTATATGTTCAGACAACAGATTTGCATTATAGTCATAGTGGTTATTTAACGATTATATAAAACCGTTAGTTGTTATTTATAATGATCACTACAGCTATTTAATATGATTATTTTATCGTTTCGTTTAGTCCATATTTATACATGCATACATTTTACTTTTAGATTCTGAGTGGAGCAGGGAGTGTATTGATTTTACAATGTTTTTTTTTTCTATGATTAACTTTCCTACTAGCAATTTTGTTCTGATTTATAGTGATGATGCTTTTTCTGAAAGAAAATTGGACCGGGGAGGTACTTTAGGGAAGTCATTTTTTGATTTTCCCGGGAGTTTTCCTAATAAATGGGAAAAAAACTGTGAAAAACGTAGGCAAAATGGAAAATAAATACAATTTTAAAAAAATATTGTTAAAGAAAATAATATGTAATTATTTTACTATAATATGATATAATATATATTGTTGACAAAGCAACACGATTAACCGAATTCCGCTCAGAATCATTTTTTTGTTAGTTAATCGTTGCATTCAGATATACATTAAATTTCCCCTCTACTACCTTCTCAACTTCCCACTTATATCAGTGGCTGCACCGGTCCCCATTATCCTAGGTCATCTTTTTTTGGTATATTTTTGTAATAATAAAGTCTCGGTGGAATTCTCTTGTCGCATAAAACATCTGACGCTTTTCTTCATTTTATTCAACCACGCTCAATCCTATGTTTCACATCCTTATCAAAGCCACTGTTCTTTTATGCAAAAAATCCTAGGTACTTAAAATTTAACCTAACCTATAACCGTTTATTGTCGTTAGCTGTCATTTTTCTCTAAACTCATACTCCATATACCCTAAATGTATTCCGTTTTACTTCTACTTATCCCTGTCCGTTTCTTTTAAGTGTTACTCCCTATTCATTAAGTTTACTTTTAACTTCTTTAAGAGTTTTCTCCTATCAAAGCTATATAATCTGCAAACATTATACACCATGGGTACTTCTCATCTGTTGTTCCTAGGTGCACCCACGAAGGGATAGTCCGCCAAGTTCTTGTTCACAACTCCTCATACTGTTTGACAGAATTTTACACTGGCTATCAAAATTAAATATAATTTCTGGTCGAAAAATTATAATTTACCTGAATATGCGTTGTATTCTATTTATAACACATACTCATACAATCATACGAGCTCAAATTTGTGCATGTCGTATGCCGTGCGCTTTGCATTTTTATACATCAAATATACAATTCCGGGGACCGACTTCTGTCTCAGACTTGATTTCACTGATATAGTGATATTGGGTCAGTTTTCTACTTTAATTTTAACAAATGTTTTCATATCAATAGGTTGTAATACATTTTGTGAGAATAGGCTCGTATTATTCGTTATCTTTAAATTCATTAGTCATTACTTTGACTCTATGGATAGTAGATATGCACGCTTAAATGAGACTACCAGGGATGAAATAATAAAAAAAAGTTGCCCTAAGATAATGGAGATGGGTGCAGCCACTGTTATAGCCTTATAGGTAATTTAATGTATACCTTTAAGCAGCGATGAACTATTGCTAACGAAAAAAACGATTTTGAGCAGAATTCAGTTGGTAGTGATGCTTTTTCAACAATATATAGGTCATATTATGGAAAAATAATTAAATATGCATTATAAATTTTCTTTAATAATAATTATTTAATGTTGTACCGATTTTCCCGTTCTTCCGGTTTTTCAAATTTGTTGGGAAAACTCTTAGGAAAATCAAAAAATGACTTCTCTAAAGTATCTTTCCAGTCAAATTTATTTTTGAAAAAGTGCTATACTTAAAAATTGGAGCAAGATTTCTGTTAGAAAAGTTGCACACAGATAAAAAAAAAAATATAAACATCTTTATAAAACCATAAGCTTCTTTGTTCCACTCAGAATTTAACGAGGAACAAATGACGATAAAATCATGCAGTGGCGATCCAGATTTCAAGGACTTGATCCATTTCAAACTATGCTGGAGGATATATTATATGTTGATATCATGGTCCAAAATAAATATTATAAATATATTGTATTTACCTGTATAATATGTAGGTGTATTATAATTGAGTTTATTACTTTATTATTTTTGTTAATATTATTATTACCTACTTATAATGTTAAATTCCATAAAATATTAACAAATAAAGTTATACTCGTTATAAAGTAGGTAGAAAACATAATTTTATTGTAAAATTCTTCCTTATAAAATGATTAGAAGCGTGAAACCCACAAAGCCACTTTTCGGTAGGATTATTTTTGTTTCTGATCATCGTGGAGGGATTTCAGACAAAAATACATATTAAGAGCATTGTAAAGCCGATTCTAACCCAAGGGATCAAGGGGATCAAGTATAAACTTAACTTAACCCGCAATACTACATAATAAAATTATTTTTTGTCACCAACACCTAAACTTATCCCAACCTAATTGATTCGTCACATATATTATGTATGATTTATCACAAATTCGTGAAAAACTCGTCGCATATATTATAATATATGTGACAAGTTTTTTTTACAAATCTTTGATTATTACACTATTATTTACATACAAAAGTATACTATACTGTTTTACTATTATATTATTACGAGTGAAGATAATGAAATAAATTTTTTTTTTGTCGTTTTCAATCCAGCATAGGTTTGATTAGGTTGGTTTAACATCGGTATGATTAAATTTGGGTGTTGATGTCAGAAAATAAATCGAATACGTAGTGGACATTGCGGATTAAGTTAGATTTATCCGGCATCCCCTAGGTTAGAACTGGCTTTTTCATATAACTCGTATTTTTAATAAGAGTATCATGCACATATTAATATACTATAAGTAGGTACACTCTAACAAATATATATACTAACTTTGGAGGAAACTGATTTCCGCAATAATAATGGAACGGTTCTGAATATCCGTATTCACCATCCCGAATTTCTAAATGATCATGTTTACACCCACTACTTGGTTCAATGGTGAACGAGTCTCTAAAATCTAATTCAATTATTTCTCCATCGCCAGCTGCCAAGAAAAAAAAAAATCTTCAAACACTACTATTTTTTTCAGAATGATTTTAATTCGTACCTTCAATTGTTCTGATACATTCCGTATTGTTGGGATAATGTTGAGGATAACCCGGGGAATAAAAGTCAAATGCTTCCAAGAATTGTTGGCACGATGAACTCGTTAAAACTTCGTCGTCAGGTGCCATATCTTGAACCGATATATCATAACTGATAGTAGTTGTAATTGAGAAATTACCACCAACTATATCGGAATCTAAAATGTTCAAAGTGAATAAACAAATTTATAACAGCATAATAGGTACATTTCGATGATGTTTTATTTACCTGATCCAAATACTCTATTTGAAATTATCAAAAATACCGCAATACCTATAAAAACAATTCAAATGTATTTTTATCGTTTAATGATGCATACAATAATTACTAGCTAGGTACTTAAGTATGCATAATAAATTACACATAGTATATTGTAATCCTAGTAATGGCTTAATATGTTCATAAAATTATGTTCTATGATGATAATAATTATATTTCTTGCAAAGTTTCTAATAAATTTATTCAATAGATAAGTAGGTAATGATTTATGTTAAAGAATAAATTATTGAACATAATGTATGGGGTTACTGCTAAATGCTAAATTATTATAATTCAACATAACCTGCTATCAATGTTCATCATTTTCATACTAAATCTAAAACAGTATATTTTAGTTTTTTCTTAAAATTAACGAATAAAAAACTCTCAAAACAATTAAATATTTTTCATTCATTATCTATATGGCTGCGTATACATTGCGGACACTAAATATGTACTTATCTAAACAATTTATTTAATGAAGCGATGCTGTTTTAAAATTACTTACATGGAAATAATTTTCCATTCATATAAATTATAACAATGTATACGTTTTTCATAAATATTTATAATAATTAACAGTATTTAATATTAGATTAAATAAACATAAAATTATCTAAACAAGGATAAAATATAATCCATGATATTTTCTTTGTTCAATCTTTTTCTTGTTAAATAGTATGTAAACTTGATTATACTATAAAATTATTTATGTTAAATAAATAAAATTCATAAGTTAATGAAGAAAGAACTAAAAATTGTTCAAATTAAAGGCTGAAAATAAACTTAATTTAAAAAAAATAATCTATTTATCAACTAATTTGTATTATTAATATTTTTAAAATATAATTCAAATTAAAACATTTTCGTTTGGACCAATTGAATTCTAATTATTATAATAACGGTGATTTAATAATTTACATAAAATAAAAATTTTATTTAAAATAAATAATTATAAAGTGGTTGTCATTTATAGTGTTCACTAGTTATAAAATCAGCTACTTAGTGATTATAAATGCCAAGAACAGAATAAACAGCCGTTATCAGTACATTTTTCGGCGTTTACTGTGTTCGGGTTTTCAGTTATAACGATCAGAAAATAGTCATATCAGAAATAAAAATTATACAATAATTCCCAAAAGGAGAAAAACCTTGACGATTATTTTAGTTTACAAACCTAATCTAATCTTATGTTACCCTAATGAGCGATGATGTATGGTTGAAGCGGGTAAAAAGCACGACATAGGCCCAGACTATTTTGTTACGTTGAAAAATTAAGAGCACATCATGACGGTTTCTATACCAAAAAACCAGGCGCACATCACCGACTTTTTTGAAAGAACCTACTTACTTACTTACTAAATCTTATGTATGTTATATGTATGAATGCATATTGTATATATATAAAATTTTTTCATTAATACACAATTATTTTTTCGTTATTTTAATTACTTAACCGTTATGGTTTTACAAAAATGTTTATTTTTTTATTATTAATTTTTTCTGTGGATAACTTTTCTTACCAAATGTGAAAAACGGAAAAAAAATGGGAAAATGTACAAGCTGTAGGTATAATTGAACAAATATCACAGCCTTTTTTTTTCCTGTGAACAAATTTCTAAAAGGAAATATGACTGCTTTGTTACTTTGGGGAAATCGTTTTTTTTTATTTTCCCTGGAGTTTTCTCAAAAAATGAGAAAACCGAGAAAAAACATAGGAAAATTGGTACAATATTAAACAAGTATTATTAAAGAAAATAAATAGCTATTTAATTATTTTATCATATAACGGTATATGTGGATGTCTCTTGTAAAACTCACGGATATAAGGTTCAGTCGCTTATTAGACTCAAAATCAGTTGGAACAGTCCGGACATATCCAAATACATTCTATCCTTTCTCCACTTCGCTTATAAGGTTCATTTGGTTATAAGACTCACTTTATGTTGGTTCCAAAGTGAGTCTTGTAAGCGGCGTTCACTGTATATCTATAATATTACTGTACCTATGTATTTTTCTTTCCCTTTTTTATACTCTTTTTTTTTTCATCGTCATAAACTTCTTGTAAATTGTAAGTTTAAAGTATAACGAAGAAATTATTCAAGTCCATTAAGTTCGTGACTTAGGCATTATTTTTTTAAATTACCTAAGTTTCAATGTTCATATTGATTCTATTTACACAAAAGCGTTAGAGTACTTGTTTTTTTAAAAAGGAATTGTGCCGATTTTAAGGTTATAAAATATTTTACTCCACTATACTATGAATTAGTGAGGTCTTAGAATTTGGATATGTGGTTTGGAATTTTTCTCAGCCCGGTCAAATCGAAAAGCTTGATAAAATCCAAAGACGTTTTGTGTATATGTCCCTACCACAATAGCGTCTGACAAAATAAAATCGGGTATTCGACACGAGAAACTTCGTTCCTTGGCCAGGACACTGGGGAAGGAAGTAAAAAGTAAAGTAACGTTATATTATTTTATCCGGTCTGTGCTCATTTAGTCATTTCAGTTTTCGGCGTTCTCCATCTTGTTCACTCTCTAATATACTCTTAGCTTGATTTATCATTAAGCTCGCCATAAATACATGCTTTTTATGTATTTTCAAAATCGCCCCCTCCCTATTATGTTGTCCTGGAACCAACACCGTTAATTCGATACGGACTGATTCCCCGATAGTATTTTCATCGATAGACCGATTTGCCACCAACCATTTTGCTGCAGTGTACAGCAAAATTATTTAATTTAAAAAAAATTAATATTAAATTATAATATAAATAAAATGTGCCTAACTTAAGTGATTTTTGTAGTCACGTGCGCACATTAATAAATTCATTAATTATGAAATACAATTAATAATTTATAGGTAGATACTTAATTCTCCAGGGAAATAAGCATTAAATGCCAGATTTTCAAAATTGAGGTCATTTCATACTCTGTGTAATAGAATAATTCTGTGGTTTTTTCCTTAGGAAAAATACATAACTCTACTAGAAAAAATTTAAAATGCATTGTAAAATGTTGCATTGACCAAAATATTGTCAAATACTAAGGAAAAATACTGTATGTAGGTACATTTATGTAAAAAATAATGAAGTAGTATGTACAATGGAGATACTGCTGTTTTATTAGTAAACAAATTTCTATTGCATATTGAGTATAGAAAGTACAAAAAAAACTTTAAACAAATTAAGAATGCTTATTACTAATAACTAATGCAAAAAAGTGAATAATAATAATAATAATTTCATAGTGAAAAACAAAGAAATCGATAAACTAATTTTCCCGACAATTCAATTGTTGGAGATTCTCCATTTCATTAGGAAAGCAGTGTAGTCATGTAAAATAAATTTGTGTTGATTATTTATTATTTTTATTTACTCGATTTATTAGTTTAATGTGTACCTACCTAAAATTATTTTGGCAGTGAAAAACCGGGCGGAAAATCAGTACATCGGTGAATGGATCACGATGAAATAGTCTTGGCGAATTTTTTACGGCGGAACGGATAGGTTCGGTTCATGCAAGCACCTTAATACATCTTACTATTCAATCAATAGGGGATCCAAACTATAATTTGGGAGGGGAGGTCTAAACCAATTACCTAATATAATATGATATATATTTTTCAACAATTTTATTAAAGTATTATACAAATTCAAAGCAAAGTACTATGCCCTACTATGTTAAAGGGGAGGGGGGAAAATGTCCTCATGAATCCGCCAATGTATGCGTTATAGTTGATTTATAAGTTATTATTTTCTGTTTATCTTTTAGGACATAACCTACTCCTATATTTTACACCTTAAACATTATCAGTTTACACTTCCTCCAACTGCGAAAAATTCTAAATGTGATTTAATAAATATTTGATCATAGAATAGGTTTCAGAATAGAATTTCATTATCTTGTCCCTCGGGTACCGTATACTAAATTATTCAATTTAATTTGAGCTATATAGGATACTGCCTATACTTTAGAATTGTTTGCAAATACATTTAAGTTTATTTGTATGCATTTTAATTATTTATTTATGCACCACCAGGAACAATAAATACTTATATGAACACACATATATATGTATAATATTGTTAAGTCACAAAAGTTCAACAGTATTATGATACATATTTAACTCGATAGACTAAATTAAATTAGAACAGTTATATAATATGTAGTTCAAAAGCTAGGGATGATTAAGTTTATCGTCGGTAAACTGTAGACTGTTCTAAGAAAAATACTGAAAAAGCAGACATGAGGAGTAGGTACCATTTCTTGAGGTTCTAAAGTTCCCTATGAAAAATCAAAAATAGGGCGTCAATTGGAACATTTAAAATGCTTCAAAAAGTAAAAATAATCTATTAATTATGACTCTAGAAATTATTGCAACTCGCTTTCCAAAAAAGTAATTAGAACTTTATGCAATAACCTATTGTCATTCTAATCTAATTGCATGAACTTATGATTCATGTATTCTATAGATGAATATATTTTGTATAGCTTAATGATAATGTAAATTTTTTCATTTAGACAAAAACAGTTTTTAAATTAGTTTTAATTAATATACGTACCTAGTATATTATATAATAAATACTGTTAATTTACTTAAAACATTAAATAATTTATAATGCGACCATTGGAGAAAAAGTTTCATTATGAAATGAAAAACACAAAATAACGTCTAAAGATTAATTTAGTACATATCATGCAATAAAAGGGTGTGGATTTTATTTGAATTTAGGGGATTTCACCCTCTGTTTAGTCCAATCATTAATAATGATAATATTTTGTATATTTATATATAGGTACTTAAAATAATATTGTATTCTACCAATCCATAATATAATAATTTTGTTTTTACTTTATTATTTTATTATAATCAAATTATTGAATACTTTTGCTTGATACATTATATTATAAAAATATGGTAGTTACGTAATTACGGGAGGGGATAATTTCTGAAAAGAAATTGTAAGTACTTCTCTAAATAACTGAAACACGGTAGAAAATACATATTAATACCTTTATGACACATTTTATTAAATATATGTATGCCTATATAACTAACTATGTAGTAATAAATTTGAATAGTACAAACTAACTATGTAGTATGTACTATTCAAATTTAAATACTAATAATAAACTAGGTCATTGTATATTATATTTGCAGGTCAGTTAATTAGTGCATCCTTCCATTATTTATTTTTAACTGAAATAATAAGGATTTAGTCTGGACATAAAAATAAAATTTATGTTATAAAATATTTTTAAAAAACTATGAAAGAAACCTTTGGAATCCGTACATTTTTGAAATATAAATTATTCCAAATTGTGAATTTTTTTAGGCATATTGTATTAGATGGCCCATTCGAATCGCGTCCATATATTATATTTTGCGTCAGTTGCGTCCGCGATTTTCTCACGACACATCCGAGTTAATATTGATGTATATTTATTTTCCTTCCCAATTTTACTGACTATCATTTATATAAATGACGTAGTTAAAAATATATAATATATTAGTTACTATAAATTATTTATTGCTCTAAAATGTATTTATTACAAATTAATTAAAAATAATATTACGTCGTACCTTTGTGAATATTGTTATATACAGATACTATGCCGATTATTATTATTTTAAAAAATAATTTGTACGCCAATTTTTGAACGAACTCAAGACGTGATATATTTTTGTTTGAAACTAAGTCATAGTATTTTTAATAAAATCTTTTTTACAAACTCTCTTCATTTGTTTGTAAATTTAAGCTTTGCATTTTAATATAAATATTAGTTTGGACATTTTTGACATGAACCATACGTACAAAATTAATTTCTAACAACAAATTGTAAGGTGATATTCACCAACCTATAATAAAGTATCGATAATCAATGGAAAACATTTGAGTTTATAGTCGCCGAAAAACCGTGGACGCAACTGGGACGTATTGTGTAAAAATCGCGGACGCAACTCGTTTGTCGCGACAGATATTTTCGTTTTTAGGGAACCAATTCGTATGCAGCCATATTACTGTAGTAATTTTACTGCTAATTAGTTTCCGTCTGTTAAATGAAAACGAGTTTGGCACGCATTTCACTGAATTTAATGTTTGATATATACATAATAGTTTCATATAGTTATATAGTCGTATAATTGCATACTTCTTGTCGTACACAAATGTAAAGGTCAATTAATAATATTATAATTTATAATTGTATACACAATTTAAAGCTCGTTTTTAAAATTAGTATATTACAAAAAGACGGGCAAACTTCACTCGAAAGATGGGCCACTGTTGCAGATGAGAAGTTGGCTCCCCAAGGTAGGATATAGAAGGGAATTTAATGTATATCTGTATGCAACGATTAATCATTGCTTACAAGAAATGATTCTGAGCGGAGTTTGGTTTTATATGTTTTAAAAGTCAGTAATATTTACGATTTTCGTCAAAATTTGATATTAAAACTCTTATAAAAAGAAAATACTACATTAAACTCAACTTTTTCTTGTTATTCACTAAATACAATTTATAATGAGCTTCCAGTTAAATTATCAAGCATTTTTGTTCTAAAAATTGTATTCACAGAGTACTTAACAAATAAATGTACGTATAAATTCGTAAAATTAAAATTAAAATAGCTACAAAATAGCTCAATGGTTTTGAAAATTGTATCACGTCTAGAAAGGGCAAATATAAGTTGTCTGTCAAAATTCTAAGTCTACGAACATTTTAAACTGGATTACAATAAAAAAAAATTGAAAATAACAAAAGCATTATTTTCGTACATTTTCCCATTTTCCTACGTTTTATACCGGTTTTGCTCAATTGTTATAAAAATTGCTCGAAAAATCAAAATGACCTTCATAAAGTACCAATTAAATAAAATTCTCTTTCAGAAAAAATACTACACTTAATATATCAAAGTCAGATAAAATTTAAAAATTGGTAAAATTGTTGTACACGGTAAAAAAAAAAATTAACAAACATCATTGTAAAACCGATATATTCCTCGCTCCGCTCTCTCTTTAGAATCTAAAATACGGATACTACATAGTATTTACATGGGATTCTAGGTACTATGGACAAATAATTACGAAAAAGGAAAAACATACACGCATACGAAATATTAGTTAATAAAGCGTATACATTAATTGATCAATAAATAATGGTTAAAGTTAGTAAGGTTTAGATTTAGGTACATAAATATAAATACGAACGAGTTATTTGCAATGTATAAGATACTAGATAGGTAGGTGGTTTCAATCACAATAATTATTACAAAGTACAAACAATTTTAAACCATGAAAACTTAAGTTGAATGGCATTTTGTTTTTTTTAATATTTCAAATCAATTGAATTATTTGAATTTCCCATTTGTCTTTAATCGCGATAAACATTAAAATATATTTTAGTATCATGATATATGATCTAATTTTACCTAGTTTTTTAAAATAAATACTAGAACAAAATATATTATAATCATTAATCAATGATAATATCTTAAACTATTATAACTTATACACTAAATACGATTTTACGAATCTATAACAGGTATATACAAATGAAATCAATAGGGAAAGTATTTTAGTAAATTTTCAGAAATCTGGTATTCGGTTTGCACGAGTTTTTTAAATTATTGAAATGGATTAAAATAAATTGTGTAAAAACGGGTAAGTACTAAATACGAAAATTTTTGTAAAAAAATAAAAAATACGTAGGTATAATAGGTCTGAATACGTGTTTTTATTTTTCCATACAATTATTTATGAGATTATTATAACAGTGAGCTAATCTCTAACAAATTTCTGAGTAATTCCGTATTCAAGAGGACGCTACACATGCATTTTGGTTGTCTCTGATTTATACAAACGAACGACATACCTAATTTACATTCAGCAAAATCATTTTTGTCCTTTTAGTTTTAATATTAGAGTGAACTGATATATTATAAAAATTAAAGGAATGAACATTATCTGAGTTTATACGTTGGTTATTTCAGATGCTTACAAATTTAAGTAATGTAAAAAAAAAAAAAAAAAAAAAACAATGTACAAACGCAGTTAATGTTCTTCCTTTAAATTTAATAATCGATTAATTTATTCTAGTATGAAAACTAACAACATAACATCTGCTGAACATAAATTTTTTATAACGTATCTTTGTAAGACGAAAACAACAGATTGTCTTATTACTATGTCGTATTTATATAGGAGATCCTTTCAAAACGAAAATAATCCTTCGTAAGTAATAAATGGGTTTTTACCAAGACCGTATTCAGACAAGAGAGAAGGTTCTGGGATCAACACAACTCCCGAAATGACATAAAAATTATTTGTATTGCCTTCCTAATATAATAATCTACCAAGTAAACTACATTGCTACTAAACCTATATCAATGGCGACACCAAAAAGAACATTTCCATTTTTAACGTGCACGGACATTACGGACATAATATAGTATAAGTAAATGTATATATATATCAGGTGATCGATTGAAATGGGGACACTCATTATCTCGGAAAGTAAATATTTTTCGGAATTTGTTTTCAAGAACATTTAAGGAATAAGCAGCTCTACAATTTTTATTTATGTTATTTTTTACGTTTGGTTTGGAGAAGAGTAATTGCGCATTATCAACAAGCTGTGCGCTATATAACCACAAAATTAATGATACTCCACTACTTTCCCCCAACCCAAACTTAAAAGTGGAATATCTCGTCAATGGATTGGCGGAAATCAAAAATGTCAACACCAAATTTATTTTAACTAATACACCATCTATTTATGGAATTTTTAATATAAGTTGCTATTTGAAAATCAAAAATAGATAATGGTTTTATCCCCAAAAATAAAGGTAACAAAAAATAATATAAATACAAAATTGTAGAGCAGCTTATTTCTTAAATGTTCTAGAAAATAAATTCGAGAAAAAGTTAATATTTTCTGAAATGATAAGTGTACCCACTTAAATGGATCATGGATCATCTGGTGCCTATAAAAACCTGATATGATTCTATTCAATTAAAATTCTACAAATTATATTATAGTATCATCTTAAAATAACCACCTTGCTTCTAAAAAAAATGAATGCTAAATAAGGCCATGGTTTTATCCTTAAGTAGCTATAAACAAGTTAAAGACATTTATTACATATTTAGACTAGGTGTCCAATAATGAATGATAATTGTATAGTGGGCGTCAATGCCGGGACTTGAATAGGGTTCTTCCCGGTGATAACAGAAAAAAAATCCATGAAAGAAGTGAGAATATGTTTTTCTGTGATCTATACCCGACATGGTTTTGCATGATAAATCAATTAACAATCATAGATTCTAACTGGGGAAAATTCACATTAAAATAGTTAAAATCCACATTATATCCACATTAAAAAATGTAGATATATTACTTTTGTTTATGGAATTTTTTATTTTGGACAATTTTAAAATTACCTTTATTCTTGAGGTATAACATCTATGTTCAAATATGCATCAACATGCATATTTGGGTGCATAATATTGTATTCTACTTATTTTCCATCATAAACTTATTATTATCAATTGAACGTTAAATCACCCATTAACAAAAAGCTCGTTGCTTAATTTAAAATAGAGAAATAAGTAAAATATTTTATAAAAATAAAAAACGGATTAGTCTATGTTAAATTTAGAACAAATCACAAACAAAAAAATATGGGTTGAAATTGTAGAAAGTAATTAACGGCACCGAAAAAATAACAAATACTGTGGTGTATCTACTTATAAATTATAGGAAATCTTACGAATTTTTATTAAAGAAGATAAAACAGTTACTAAGTAATGCATATCTACACATAAAATTTGAACAATTTTCAGTGACAGATAAATTTAAAAAAAAAACTCGCTTGAGAATATTCAGGTTTTAAAAATTGATTTCATGAATAAATCCTACATATAAGTTTTACGTATTATTATGGTCTTATACAATAGCTCTATAATAGTTTTTGATCTTGCTATCAGAGCTATATTCGAATATTATACCCAAAACTATTATAATCAGGGCTCGGTTTCTGTAACACTTGGTAATACCTATTATTATAGAATACGGAGAAAAATAGCAGAGTTAGCTATACATTTATTTTTTTACAACGGGGATTCCAAACATATAATGAATATTTTTGAATATTTGAAACATTTTAGATTTTTAGAATAGTACTACATTTTCCTGGTTTTCGTGCTTATTATTATTATTATGCTTATTATTGTGCACATTTATGTACATTTTAGTGCTATAAAATCCGAATCCTGATTACAATAATACTGTATATTTATTGAAAAAAAAAAAAAAAACAGATTGCACTTTTCGTTAGAAACTGAAATATTATAATTATCGTAATAATTATTATAGATCTACTATATACTACTATAATATTATGTATAAATATTGTTGATCAATTTTTAAAAAAATGTTATAATAACGGCTATAGTATTATAAAAAAGATCGGCCATAACGAGATACGACCCACGTATCTATACGTACGGATTATAAGTGTCACCGTAACACTGCAAGTATAGTAACCTTGAACTCGACAAATCCATGTCTAAAAATGAAATCCAGAAAGAATTCAGTTTTTTTTTTCAGATCTATATATAGACGATAAGACGTTATTTAAGAGCACGTGTTCCTCCCCACTTAAATCAAATGCGTAACATCAGCTATTCCATGGCACAATATTATTATCAAGTACAACAGTATGTTAGCCGAACAATGTCAATTCAAACGTCGTTAAAAACAGAATGTATTGAATGTGTACGTATTGCACGTTTATACGCGGGGGGGGGAGAAAAAGCTCGTGGTGTGTACGAATGAAACGCAAGTTCGGCAGCGGCGTATGGTGAGCGGGTGTCGGTTGGTTACCGAGAGAAAACGATCTATTCGGCGGTCTTGACGAATGACCCTCTTACGACCGGGGCAGCGGTATTGGCCGGGAACCGAGCCGAACAATGTGAAACTCTCGTTCTTTCCTCGTCCTTTTATATTTTTGGCAAACATTATTTTGGCATTGATTTATTTATACTCGCAATTCCACAGTACCGCCGTTTTATTACTTACACAGCGCCGGACTGCGTTGTCCCTCGACCGCCGGCAGCGACATAATTCCAAACCCACACCGCCGGAACCGATGACATTTAACGCCTTTTTACCGCCGCGCGACACCGGACATTATCGTCACCAGCACCGTGTCGTCGTCGACGTTCGATCACACCGCATCACGCGCGATCGCGGCGTCACGGTATCGGCGCATTCTCGCGTCCACCGGTGGTAGCAGTAGTAATAGTACGGTCTTGTACACCATCGGTGACGGACACAATCGCTCGCGGACGACCAAACACTGGGACGGCGGCGCCGGCGGAAGCGACCACGACGATGACGGCGGCGGTGGCAGCTCCGGACGACGACACGCGATCACCCCTCGCTGTCGGAAGGGCGGCAGAAGAACACCTAACGCGTAATTCGCGATTCCGCAAGAATAATAGACGGTTCGCGAGACGTTCCTCCGCGGATACCTGTGCGCGGTGTATACAGAATTTATGAAACAACAACAGTATTATAATATTATTATAATTATTATTATTGTTATTATTATTATTTCGGTGCAAATACGACGATGGCGATTGGTTCGCGCACGACACAACAATAATAACACACGCAATACACGAGACGACGACGATTTATCGCGTATAGAGCTATAATACACGTATAATGTATACTATAACTATTATAGCCGCACGTTAATAATAACAACTGGGCCGCCGTCGTCCGTGTACATTCGCGCGCGCCAGAAAGTCACCGGCGGCGACGACGGCGTCGTCGGGACGCCTCTATTTATATAAACGAGCGGCGGAGAGTCGACGTCCGGCAACGGCAACGGCAACGATATACACACTCGGGCGCACCACACATACTAAAGTGCCCGTCGCGTCGTCGTCGTCGTCGTCGTCGTCGACGCCGCGACCGTTGTGCGCCTACGCCGGACGCTACGGCGGCGGCGGCGGCGGCAGCGGCTGCGGCTACCGCTGCAGCCGCTTGCTTAGGAGTCTGCGCGCGCCCTAGAGATATGAGCCGTGGCCGCCACGGTGTGCGTGCGAGCGAGCGTGCGTATATATATATGGGTCAAGAGCCACGGTTCGCGTTCAAATCGTTCCAATTAATATGGGACGCCGCTACTTCTGTATTATTATCTAACGTGACTCGGCGCATCCATTGGCGTCACGTGACGCAAGCCCGTTCGCTGTATCATACGATCGCGACTTGTCGTACAGATTTCTACGATTCGAAATTTCGCGTGTTTTCGGCGTTGTGCGACCGCGAGTAAAACGTTCGCTGATAACGTTTTTGCGGTCGCGGGTTACTGCGACCTGATTACGCCGTATGCGGTAAACAATTTAGTAGATTTCGAGTGGAGTTCATTGGAGTCCCGTTTAGAGTTGGAAAGAGGGTTTACCGATTGTCAGTATTACAGTTGGACTAGGGTAAATGATACACAGGGTGAATCGTGCGACAAACAAATTAATAATAATTATTAATTTTAATCAAATACAAGTATAATCATTGGAGCACATATGGGGGTGCCAGGGGGTGCTTAGCAACCCCAGATTTTGAACTAAACAAAATAAATATAATACTCAAATAGCACTCAGATGTGAGATAATTGATTACCATTATACTATTGTGTATTGATTTATACTATACATAATACAGTCAAATTCGCGTATAACGATGCCGTATATAACGATATTCCGGGTAAAACGTTTCCAATCAATGTATTTGGTTGGTTTTATATGTTATGCATAATACTTTTATTCGTGTATACCGATAATCCGGATATAGAGATGTTATTTTAAAACGAAAATTGGTTTTTATAATCACCCATAGCGATTAATAATATGCATGTACATTGTACGTTGTGTAGTAAATTTGATTTCGTCCAAATCGACAATTCTTAATCTTATCTGTAACAGAAAATGTGTCTTGTACGACCGTATTGTATACAGAATACCTACGTTTCTTAGTCGTTTAGTTGCCGTTTTGATTGCTATCCGTTTAGACACGATCCGAATAAGTTAAAAATGTCAAATAAAAGAATAAATAAATAAACTTTTATTAAAATTTATATAAATACCTTGAATGTTAAAATATGTAATCTTAAATAAAATTAAAAAGTAAAAAATATGTTTAATAAATCAATTTTTCAAAAAAATCATGTTACTTTTTATGATCCGGATATAACGATATATTGTACATACATATTATATATTAATAATTAATATTACACATAGTATTTAATATTTATATTATATTATGATGTAAGTTTATGTTAATTGTTTTCATATTTTTAATGAGGTACCTTTTTGGTTATTCATTAGGCAATGAAAGATTCATTATTAAAAAATGGATCACATTATTTCAATTTCAGATTCTGAGTGGAGCGAAGAAGCTTATGGTTTTACTAAGATGTTTATTTTATTTTTTCTGTTGACAACTTTTTTACCAAAAGACTTGCTCCGATTTTTACGTGTAGCAAATTTTCTGAAAGGAAATCAGTGTGGGGAAGTACTTTAGAGAGGTAATTTTTCCATTTTCCCCAGAGTTTTCTCACCAAATGTGAAAAACCGAAAAAACCCCGGTTCAACCCCCCCCCCCCGAAAATTAATAGTCGTTTATTTTATTATATAAATTTAATATTTTTTTATAAATATGGATAATATTGGTAATATTGATTATTGTCAATGTTTATAAATCCCCCCCCCCGAATTTTTTTTTGTTTAAGTGCCTGGGTTTTTAATCCACTCTTTGACATTAGTTTACGGACAAAATTGCTTATTCCAAATTACTGTATACAGTTCTGTGTTCCCCTCTCCACCCAACTGTTAATTGTGTTATCCCGGAAAGAATTAACTTTTTTTCGGATTTTTTTTGTTTGACAATTTAAAAAACAATCGAGCAGCTCTAAAACGTTGTATTACCATTATTAATTTTCACCTTTATTTTTGAGGGCCAAACTACTTTTGATTTTCAAACAGTAACCTATACTAAAAATTTCATAAATAAATGGAGCATTATTTTAAATACATTTTGATGTTGAAATTTTTGATTTCCGTCGAACCCGTTGATGCGACATTATACTTTTAAGTTTAGATAGAGCCGGTAGAGGGAGAGTAATGGAGTATTATTCAAACTTCGAGCACCTGCTGCCACACTAATGACGCTCGATGACTAATTCTTCCCCTATCCAAACTTAAAAACGGAATATCTCATCAATGGATCGATTGTAATCAAAAACGCCAATGGCAATATGTATTTAAACTAATTGGTACTCCGTCTATTTACGGAATTTTCAATATAGGCTGCCATTTGAAAATCAAAAGTAGGTAGTATAAAATTTCACCTCTAATAATAATGTTAATGTAACATTTTAGAGCCGCTTGTCAAAAAGTTGTAGGGTATAGCTGCAGTATATTTAGATTTCTCAGATGGCATTCGTTTCATCATGACCGTGATATGCATCATCAGATTCCATTTTGTCAATCATCATTAGGTAGGGTAAAAACCGTGTGAATATTAAATAAAGGTACTCACGGTAGTCAACTTGATTAACGAAAAATAAGCATGATATTGTTCGTATTATAAGATTAAATACCGTAATAATAGTCTTTGTTTTTTCTTCGTAAAAATAAAAATATTTTGTAATATTTATGATTGATTTATTTTGTCATGAAAATAAAAATGCTTGAATACTTAAATAAAACAAATACGCGCGATTAGTGTGACGTCATATTATCTGATCAAAATCCTGATCAAGTACGATTGGATGCTATCAAATAAAAATATACGTAGACATGCGATGCAAAGTAACTTTAAAATTGTTATATTATACATTTGTAGTACTTATATACTTATTGTATTTCAAAAAATCTCATTTGAGTATCCCTTATTTAATAATAGTCAAATCTTAGTATTTAAATATTCGTAGTTTAATATAATATGAATGTTCAAAAATATATTATGTGCTTTTGTAATTGTACAATTAAATTGTTTGGATCTAAACAATCAAATTATTACTGATAACAGTCTGATAAGAAATGTATGACACATAAGTACTAATCGCATGTATTTGTAATTAATTTATTCATTGAAGGCACGATTATTATTTTTTACTTTAAGGGATGCGACAACCAAAAAAGTTTGGGAACCGCTGTATTGAGTAATTAATTCTAATGACTTTTGTTTACCCTTATTTGCCTAAATATATGTAGTTTTAAATTTAATTTAAAGCTGGTTCCAGTAACGGTATTAAAATTAGAAACACCACAAGTGCATGTTAACGAAAAACAAAATTATTGTATATGAAAGTAAGATAACTTTAAAAAAAATTAAATATTATGTTTAATAAGTAATTAAATATATCCATTTTAATAAATGAAAAAAAGTGTTATTATGAAAAATGAAAATATATGGGAAATATTTAAATTTTATGAAAATTAAAAAACACATATCTCCTAATTAGAGGGTTTGATCTAAAAACTGAAAAAAAATAATTGGAGTTCAGCGTGTCCAAAAATATTAGTATTGATTTATTGCATTATTTTTAGAAGTTAAATTTAAGAGGCATTAATTTTATATAAACTAATTATTTATTTCAGAACATTGTGGTGTCATACATAAAAAAATGTACCTACTAAAAATTATTCTAAAAAATACTTTAATTGCTCTTTTAAATTTTAATAATATAATTTTTCCACGTTTTGCTATTTATTTTCCAGCCTCTCACAATTTTCTAATTATATTAGACGACGATGCCAATAGTAAAATATATTTTTTTTTGTAAATTTACGTTATTTAAATACTAACTTATGAATCAATAGAAGTCAGCAATTGTGTTAAATTATTAATAAATAAAGCCTAGTAAACACGTTACCATTTCTTTTATACAAGACAATTAAACACGTAATTTATTCAAGATCATTAGATAGGTTTTATTAAAATATGTTATCTACACTATAAAGCTGTCTGACGGTGTTGCCCGAGCCAAATTAATTACCCAATTTCGACCATTTAAAATCATAATTAAAAAAAAATCTGATACTGCCTATATGGATACGCCACTGTTGCAGGTAGGAAGTTGGGAATGTAGGATAAATATGGTTATTTAATTTATATTTGTAAATAACGATTGACCATTGTTAACGATTATGAGCGAAGTTCAGTTATGCGTATTTTGAAATGCCGTAATATTTATAATTTACATAAAAATTCTATTTTAAAATTCTTATAAAAAAAAAAAACAATATTACAATAAACTCAACTTTTTCTTGATGATCACTTAATACAACTTATAATGAACTTCCTCTTAAATTCCCAAACATTTCAAAAAGAATTTTAAAATCAAATTTTAACGAAAATCGTAAATATTACGACTTTTCAAAACATGTATAATCAAACTGCACTCAGAATCGTTTTTCGTTAGCAACGATTATTCATTCACCGTATGAAGTATGTCCGTCTTTTTCTGTTCTATTTTACAAGTAGTACAAAATAAAAAACATTTAAAATGATGTTTAAATAATATAACACGTTTCAATATTACGTAAAATTTACTAAAAATTTAATTTTCTAACAATATATTACAACAAATCCAATTTTATAGTTTGTGTATAGGTAACGTATTTTGTAAAGAAAAAAATACTATTATGTAACAATAAAGTAAATTACTGAAATCCACGACGAAGGAATTTCAAAAATTCTATTATAACATGTTCTTGAAACATAATATTATTTTAAGAGTTGACTATAAAGTTTAAATGTTACGTTAAGAATAAAAAAATATAATTTATTATAAATACTTTTTAGTACCATACAAAAAAAAAAAATTGGTTTGTAATCTATTTATAGATTGTACAATTATTGTAATTTGTATTCAACACAACCATTCAGCCTAATGGATTTACGTATAATATATATATAGTCATATGTCATGTACACAATATAATTTATATTACAATGATAAAATTATCATGAGGTTCAGTATAAGTTATACTTAGATTGAAATTAATTTGAAGTACGTTTTTGAACTGTATTATACATTTGAATATTTGATGATTGGAAAATAAAGTTAAGTAGGTATAGAAATTGTTGATCTCGTGCTTAATATGCTTCACAAGCGGATATTAAGTTGATTCTAATTTTCAGTATAGGTTTTACATCCCATCAAAAAATGCAAAATGACGCCCCTGCCGAATGGGCCAAAATGAGTTCATAATGGGACGAAAATATTTTTGACGTATTTCACTTGATTTGGGCTTATATAAGTCTTAGAAGTAGGTATTTAAAAATCGAAATTAAAAATTACTTACATATTAGTTATTGTTTCCAGTTGTTTTTTTAATACAATCTATATGCATGTAAACAAAATTAAAGTGTTTGTCTGTCTGTCCAAGTTTATCTCTGAAATGGCTGAACCAATTTCTATGGGACTTTCATTGTAAGATAGAGTATTTTCTGGAGTATAATATAAAGTATTTTTTATCCCAAACATTTAATCTAATATGAAACAAAAAATAAGACCGATCAATTTTTAATAGTGGAATATAATTAATGAATTATGATTTATTTAATATATTGATAACTTCCCAGTAGGCAGCTATAGGCAGACGAATTTAATAAATATATAACCCACTAATGTAATTAAATATTTAAGTTGAATTTGAAACCCCAATGTGCATCAGTCATTTTGAATAGATCAATAACATAAGAAAAAAAGATAGACATACTTCGCACTGTAAAGTAGGTACTGTGCAGTCATTGTTGTTCGTTAGAAGTTTAAAAGGTAGTATATAAAGGGGAAATTAATTTGTATCTGTTATTACAGTTACAAATTACGATAAACCATTACTTAAACTAAAAAGATTCTAAGCGAAGTTCAGTTGGTATCTTTAACAAAATCTGTTTAATATTGTACCGATTTTCTCGTTTTTTTCAGTTTTTCCATGTGTTCACATTTACTGGGAAAACTATTATAAAAATCGAAAAATGACTTCCCTAAAGTACATTCCAAGTCAGATTTCTTTACAGAAAAAGTGCTATCATTGTAAATCAGAGCAAAATTACTGGTAAAAAAAAATTGTATAAACACCTTTGTAAAACCATAAGCTTTTCCGCTCCACTCAGAATCTGAAACATCTTTGTAAAACCAATACGTTCTTCGCTATACTCAGAATCAAAAACTACAATAACGTTAACTAGCATTAATGATAAAATAGAATATTTCAAAAAAATGTTAGAAAAAAAAAATATCATTATTATTACTTACTAATTGATGTAGTCACAATGATGCCCTTTCGAAATTTAATGTCCAAATGTATATTGAGAAATAAACTAGTAATATACGAGTACAAATGAAATCAAGAAACATAAAGTTAACGGTGTATTAATCGTTAATTTTTACGATAACATTAAACATTTTATAATGGACTACTTAGGTTTATCCTACTACTATAAAAGTGTAATAATAACAGATTATCTTTCTTTTGAACATCAAATTATTCATTTTTATTCCGTTTTGAACTTATTTGGCCCACTGCTGTAATAATTTCTCGGACGTTGTATACGTTTCACTTTCGGTGTGGCGTCCTCTTAACTCTTAAGTGTGGCTTAAGTACAAAAAGTATATATGGCTATGCATAACACATAGTGAAAACATATACACGATAGTATTGGTATTATTTAACTATTTTTGGTTATATATTTATGTAGCATAAAAATAATATAATTTTGTATATATTTAGAATATAAAAAATATTATGTTATTCAAACGAAAAACAATGAACATATATTTATATTGAAAAAAACATACTTCGCAGAGGCGCCGATCCTATATATTAGGTTTTCAAACTTAAAGAAGTTATTGCTTGGCCGATTTTTATTCTCTTTACCAAATCTCTAGATTCCGGTGTCTTTCCCTGAATCCTTAAATTTGGATCTATAACTCCCATAAGTCGGGCGAAACACACAATATCACCAACTACCGTCCTATTACCATCTTGCCACATATTTCAACAATTTTTGAAAAAATCGTTTTAAAATACATTCCTCCTTCCTTAAACCACATTCTTGTGAATGAGCAATATGGATTCCGTCCTGGTCGTTCATCTAATACGTACAACTTAGTACTCTTCTCTTATGTATTCGACTCCTTCAGTGAACAGTTCCAAGTGGATGCAATTTACACTGATTTTTCTAAAGCATTTAATCGGGTGGACTACTCTCTTCTAGTCAAAACTTAAGATCTCATCGGTCTTGGATCCCTTACTCACTTGGCTTCACTCTTATTTAGTTGTTCACTCTCTCTACATCTCTATTCTTAACTCACTCTTCCTTATTCACCCCTTCGCCAGGCGTTCCTTAGGATGCTGTTTTGTCTCCACTTCTTATCGCCTTATTTGTAAATTCTGTTTCTTCAGTTCTTTTCCATGCAAATCTTCTTATTTTTGCTGACAATATGACCACAAGCTTCAATATTATCTTGATAGATTGGTTTCCTGGGATGAATATCTTTGTCTCTCCCTTAATATTCCTAAATGTTCCTTCATAACCTTTACTCTCCTCCAATCACCTTTCCATATCTCATACCACATCCTCAACATTCCTGTTATGGCCTCAGGTGACTCGATTCGCAACTTAAAATTCACACTTACCCGTAACTTCTCCCCTTACAAACAAATAGAAGAGATATGTTGTAAGGCAATTAAAGTTCTAGGGTTTATCCTTAGATCCTCTCAATAACACCATTTAGTTCTGCCTCTAAAAACCCTCTACTGTGCTCTGGTATGGCCTATCATTGAGTATGGTAATGTATTATGGACCCTGCTCCCACATCATTCTGTGCTATGCGTGTTCGGCGAAGGTTTCTCCGTACCATTGCGTACTGAATCCAAATTTCTTGTCCTCCCCATAATTACTATACTTTCTTACATGCTCTGGCCTTTCCGAACCTTACAGATCGTAGGCAAGCAAGTAATATCTATTTCCTATCTAATCTTCTTAGAGAAAAGATTAATTCTCCTACTCTCCTATTTCTCATCGATTTTAAAGTCCCATCTAGATCCACTCGCTCCCATGCCCCATTCCACATACCACTCTAATATTCAAATTTCCTTGAAAATTCTCCCATCAAGCATCTAATGTGGATCACAAATAATGACCCCTTCTTTGTCAATTATAAATAATTAACTTAATATATTACTAACAATAATTCTGTCAATTCTACTCTTAATTTTCTTTTATAATTCATATTTTTACTTAATTAATTTTTCTTTTATATACTGTTTTTTTTTTTTTATTATCACCTATTTTATTTTATTGTTAGATTTTTCTATTAATTTTTTTTTTTTTTTTTTGCTCAAATTGTCAATTAATTATAAGTTGTAAATCAATACTGTATTTCATTTGTAATTGGACCTAGGTCTGTAATATACATAATAAATAAATAAATATAACATTTATTAATTTTTATCATTTGTAATATTAGACTATTAATTAGTTAATTAATTTGTATATAATATTATATATTTATATTACCATTGTTTGAAATTTCTCATTTGTACATTGTACTACTTTCAAATTGCTGGTTGGCGAAATAAACTAAATAATAATAATAATGATGAATTTAATAGGTACCTGGAATAATACAAATATCACACTTTGCTTTATACTAGTATTCTTGTTATTAATTTAGAAATAATACATTTTTATTAATATAAATACAATAATTAATAATAATGAACTGGATAAATTTGTCCATATCACAGATTTGTGATAAACTGTTATTGTATTTATATCAGTCACGACTCTCAAACACAATTGTTCCAATAATGACTACATATCTAAATAAATGTAATAGTATTAGTTTATTTGGAAAAAAATTCAGCCCACAAGGGGCAACTGTCCATCATAATTTATGTATGAGGGAATAATAAAAATTATATCTAAATATATATTTTATATCTTAATCCATGATAAATGATTTGATTTACATGCTAATCTTTAAATTTTAAAAAGAGACATTAGCCATTACAAATGGCTATAAATCTATATGTTGTAAATTTCAATGTACCAAGTTGTACATGTTTAAATTTTGAAAAGTAACAATGGCCATGCAAACATATATGTGCATTATTCATATATACATTATTATTTATTATATGAATCGCCTCAAAAATGATATTAAAACTATAGGTACCCAATAACCAAACCAATGTCACAAGAAGAAATAAGTACAATTGATTCAAAAATACAAAATACCAAGACTAATATTAAAATAACAAACGAATACAAGTGTTAAAAATATAGAAAATAACAGTAATCTACCAATACAAAGTAGAGAAATTCTGAAAAAAATTACAAACTTAACTTCTCAATAGACCAAAAAAAGTACTCTGTAGAATAGTTAGAAAAACTGAACGTTCTAAATAATTTTTATGAGAAAATGAGTGGTATGGTAAATAAAGAAAATGGGTTAAATTTATTACTATCTAAATGTAATTTATGTAATTCATCAGCAATATAAGACTACCAAAAACTAAATAACAAAACAAATTAATATATTGACATAAATATTATTGTGATTTTTATATAAAATTGTGTTACACCATATACAAATATAAAGGTACCTAAGAATGGTTAAAGTTTAAAATTGTATTATTATTACTCTCTGAAAATGTCTTATTTTAATTTGTGATAAAAAAAAAAATGATAACATCATCATATATGATGCCTTATATGATCATATATAACACCTTTCTATTAAAATAGAATTTAGTTCAAATTTAATTATAATAGATTTATGTCTACACAAGCTACTAGTTAGTAAAGTAGATGTGATACCATGGTTATTATCCTGTGAAAAGTGCTTTAGTGTAATATGGCAATAATAATAATTACATTTTAACTTTTCTATCCAGTATTCATTGTAACAAAACAATTTTATTTGATAGGCTTTTCAAATATAAATAATTTAATAATACTTAATGGTTTATCCAAACTATTGAAATTCATCAATAGTTTAAACCATTTGGAAGTGTGCATCATTTTAATTTTCAAAATATGACTTTAGTTTAGTTATTTTAACAAAAATAAAAAAAAAAATGATATACCTACACATATATGACTTTATTAGTTATTTAATAATTCTTCTAATTTTTTAAGAGCCACATTAAAGTTAATACGGTGGTCTGTTTTTTTTGCAATCTGACCAGTTAAAAATTTTAAAGCTTGCACTTTTCCCCTGCGGTAATCTTTGACAGCCTTGGGATTCTCGACCAGAACTGCTTCGCAAATTTTATTTATTTCTTCAACATCACAAATTTGTTCCCAATTATTTTCTTCAATAATCTACAAATTTAAATAAATTGTTTATAAAATTTAAATTGAATTAAAATTGTATTTAATGTATGAACTATCTATAGAAGTATAGAAATACACATACTTGAGAAGGAGATTTATCACTTTCATCAAATAATTTAGCAATTACTTTTTTTGCATAAGATATGTTTAAGGTGTTATTATCTAATAAATCTACAACCTCACCAATGAAATAAGATGGAATTTTACTAAACATATAAATATCATATTAAGTTATTTAATTAACACATTTATATATTAGTGGCAATGAATATAATCATGGTCGTTTATATAATGTTTAGAAATTCTATATAATGTCAAATATAATTGACATATCTATAAAATTATTTAAATGAGTTAGACATTATATGAAATGCCAAATAATGTACAGGTGATGTATTAAATGTATCTAAACAACATTGAAGCTCACTAAAATATGATCACAATGTCACAAATAGATGATTGGAAATTTTTAAAAATATTTTCAATTTCTAGCTTACCCGATCTCTATAGATGTTTTTGAATTGATAATTTGAATGAAGTGTCACCCCTTGAGAGATGTCAATAATTCTACTATCTTTATTTTTAATTTTCAAATGCACATTGTACATTTCAGTTTTCTATAAAATGTTGTGCTTTGTGCATGGAAAATCAAATATGTGATATGAAAGATAATTTTAATACAAAATTATTGAAGCAACAATATGATGTAAAAATGGTGTATTTTTAACTGATGACAGATACTATTAATTAATAAAAGATGTTGCTAATACTAAATCAAAAGAAAGAAAAACAGCATGACAATCAGCTGCTTAAAAAAATATGATGGTTTTAATAGTCAACTAATTAATCCTGTTAGAAATAATAATAACAGTATTTAGTATCTTTGATGTGCTAAAATATGCTCACCAAACGTTAAGACATGGAATATAAAAAAGAAAGTTGAATGATTTCCTTATTCTGCACATTGCCAATTTGTATATATCAGTTTATGAAAATCCTAGTTGTTATATAAATTATTTAGGAATTGTAAAACAAAAAGAAAAACATATTATTCACTTTTTTAAAAATGGCCAGGTAATATATAGAATTCCTAGGCATTATATAAAATCCATTCTATTATTGTCCTAAACATAATTATACACATTGCTGCTAACATAAATATACAATAAAAAGTTCTTGGAATGTATTTCTTACCATTGACTAGGTTTAATAAATCTTATATTTAGTTCTGTCATTAGTTCATTTGTTAATATGTTCCACACTCTTGCTGGATTTCTTAATGTATTACTATTCATTATTTCATAAAACATCGATAATAAAACTGGTTCATTCTATATACAATTTGAATGCAATATATTTATATTATGTTAACATGAATATTTCTAAAATTTAGTTACCATTAATATCGATGTTTTTCTTATATCTAATTTGTATTGGCTCATTAAGTTAATACGAGTTGCATCTGGTAGTTCAGGTATACTTGATTGTAGTTTATTTATATCAAATAAATTTAAATTAATTGGTAATAAATTTGGTTCTGGCATAAATCGATAGTCCTATTAATAAATATTAAAATATAATTAAGTATTACTAGAAAATAATTTTACAATTTTTGAATAATAACTAACTTGCAGAACTTCTTTGTCTCTCATTGATATTGTTTTGTTATTAAGAGAATCCCAACCTCTTGTTTCGTTTACTACTTCTTTTCCAGCTTTTAATATATTTAATTGCCGATGAATTTCATAGTCAACTGCTAACTGAACAGCTCTTATACTACCTAAATTTTTTATTTCAGTTCGTGTGCCCAAATGATCACTGTTTGTAATTGAAACATTTGCGTCCACTCTTAAAGCACCCTCTGATAATAAAATTAATGAACAAATTACTTACAATTATTAACTTGTATAATTATATGACTTTATTATAATTTAACCTTCCATACGACCAGAACATGTTTTGATGCGTTCAAATATAAGTAATAATTCTTTAACAAGAGATGAAGCTTCTAAGCCATTGCACAAATCAGGTTCAAATACAAGTTCCATTAAACCCGTTCCAGCCCGGTTTAAATCTATAAGTGATCTAACAGTACAATTAAATTGAATAATAAGTTACTCTCAAATAAGCTGAATGAAATTGAAAATACAAAAATAAATGTATTTTTAGTTACATAAACATATTAAATTCTTAGTTGAGAAAATGAATATAACTTTCATTAAACCTACAAACCTATAAAAAATAAATATATAACAGATATTTTGAAAAATAATAGTATTATAACAGAAATCATTATGAAAATGATAGACAATAAATTACGTTTGAGAAGAATCATCATGTATTGTACGTCCACTGTCCTGTTCTATTTGAACTTGTTTAATTAAAGAAGTTTTACTGTAGGGAACTTTGTTGATGTCCTGATCTATAACATGAAAAGTGAGTTGCCCATTAACTGCTAATGGTTTAAACTGTTGAGTTATTTGGTACCCAGCCTAAAAATATAAAATATTATTACAATAGTTATATTAAATAGATAATGTATAACATAATATAACAAGTTTATATAAATTATTAGATTATATTCTTACTGGCATGTCTGCATAAAAATAGTGTTTTCTATCGAACAATGATATTGTGTTTAGATTGCATTTCAAAACTAAAGCAGTTAATACAACTGCCTCGACACACTTTTCATTTAAACTCTGAAAACAAATATATTTTGTATTTATTTAATTTTAACCTCAAATTGCATGTTTAAATATTTTTCTTTTTCATTGATAATTCATAATAATAAACATATAATTTATATAAAACTATATCAATACTCACAGGAAGAGTTCCGGGAATCGCAGCATCGAACAATGATACTTGAGAATTTACTGCTGCTTCAAACTTAGTACCAGCAGCACTGAATAATTTTGATTCACTGAATATTTGAGCGTGTATTTCTAATCCAACCACACTTTTCCATTTACTTGAACAAAGAATGATTGTTTTATTTACAATAACGTGTTACAATAAATATTGAGTTTGCGAATTAAAATACTTTATAAAATATAATTTTAGTATTTTTAACTTTATAATAGGTAGGTACAGATTAAAATTTAAAATAGTAATGTAATTAGTTCCTAACTTGTATTTTTAATAGATTATATAGTTTATATAAATCTATAAAATTAATACAATTAAAGAACTATTAAGTATTCAATTCTATATGACCCAAAATATGTGACATTACTGATTACCTATCTATAATTTTCGTGCTCTTATTCCTTGAAAGTTTAGCTAAATTTAATATTTTCTTAAATGTATGTATAATTTTTTTTTTTCTAGCGAACATTTTTATTCTTAACTTATACTACTCCATAATAATACACAATATACATTTGATATTAAATAAAATATCAAATACTTTTAATAATAATACAAAATAAACTAGAGAAGTTAGTAAAATATGTATTTAAATTATGATTTTGGACTGTTATCCACTTATCCTTATTCCTTATCATTATTATATTTATTCGTATTTTTCCAATAACGACTGCCCCCGAACAATTTTATAATTTGAGGTTACAAGGGGTCTTATCAATAGTTATAAACTTGATTAAAAATAATGTAATAAATGTCATGGCCACGAATTAAGATATACAGGATACCAAACGGAAAAGTCTTGTCAATATTTTTCTGATTCTGGCCGGTTCTCACTGTTTGGCAAGACAGCTAGCGTTTTTAAGACAAAATTGGTATAAAAATCAACCAAAACCAGTTTAAAGTTTATGCTGGAGGAGAAGGGTGTGTAATAAATTGCTTATCTATTCTATCACGGCTTTAGACTTTAATTCTATAATAATATTGGCATAGTTTGTAAAAAGTACACTAGTGGTGTTAGTGACCTTGCCAAAATATGAGAAAGTTCGAACTTCACTTATCAAAAGTTCATTCGGTATTCTGTATATTATCTTAATTCGTGGTCATGACTAAATATATAGGCATAATAAATGTAAATATTAAAAATAACTTGACAATTGATAATTGAATAATTTAAGAATAGAATATTCTAAGCGATGGAACAGCAAATGGTTTTAGTTTTTTTCTATTTTTTGAAATGATAGCAATCTGGACTTAAATTATTTTCAGAAACAGATTGGTTAGGTGCTTGGCTATAGATAATATGGTTGCGCAACGACCTATACTAAGCAACACAATACGCCGAGACGCAATGTTATAAAAAAAAGTCACGTGACTAAAATGACGAGCCTGTCTACGATATTTAGAAATTGTACCACGACTTTGGATATAATCATAGACCTAAAAAACATTATCAGGGCATTATCAGATATAATGCAGACCATTATAACGTACTAACTTTCCCGCTCAAATTTACATGTAAAATACAAATTGAAATAGCAGTAGTAGTATTCAATTTAATTCTAGAGAATGGCTAATTGTGCGTCAAATAAAGCTTCAAAAACCACTTTTGAAGTCCTCAAAAACGAATATGAAAAAAATAAATGGAAAAATGCGTTAAAAACGGTTCTTAAAAAAAGTTATATCGTGTGTTTCACATTTTAAGGAGTGGAATAGTCTACTTGGGAATCTGTTGAAAATAAATACAGAGTATGAGTATATTATTTCAGTGTACCTATATTATTACCATTTTTCAATAAATGATAAATTGCTATTTAGATATGTCTTAAAGTTCTTAAACTTTTGGATGGAGCAACTCCATCAGTATGAAGGATGAAAACTGCCCAATTAAAACCAAAAGGAGAGAGGTAAATTATCAAAATTGGTCACTTCCTAAAACTAAATTTCTATTTAATATAGGTAATATAAAACCAGTTAGGTACTACCTATTGATAATTATTAATTAATAAATAAAAATAGTTGAGTGAGAACTGTGAACCCGACCATTTATTCATTGCATACCACGAACATAATTTTTATTATTGTATTACTAAATGGTAAATAATAATTACTATTTAATATATTATACTTCTGTAATCTGTAGGTACTTGAGCAATATTATATTTATTAATACAGTCATACTATTTATCACCTAAAGAGCGCTGTATGCTGGTGTGAAAGCCAATATACGTTTTGAGCTTCACATTATCCCGGTTCGTTCTAAAACCATATTATCTTTAGCCGTGGACACGATCATAGATAACAGATGATAACATTTTTTATGTGATAAAAATAACACGATAAACACATGTTTTAACAAAATATTTTTACTGATATTACTGCGCTACATGGCACTACTGAAATTCGATTACCTATAAGAGAAAGCCAGAAGGGAAGGGGAACGCACCAATGAATGATATTCTAACCGCCTAGTATTTTGGGGGGTTGCGCATAGGCAATTTGAATTACTTTTCGAAAAAAACACAAATACACGATAATGAAATTTAATAAAAAAATAATTACTTTACGAAAAAAACACAAATACACGATAATGAAATTTAATAAAAAAATGTCTACATTTTAAGAAAAATTTTTTGTAGAATTTGCACAACGTTGTTTTTTTAAATTTTATTTTGGAAAACAGGCCGTGGCCCAAGTACAGAAAAACTCACACGCCAGCGTATAGATAGATAATATATAATATCACATAAGCATATTAACAGTATTATAGAATTACAATATTAATTAAACAGAAATGACAGGTCTTCGTTGGCAATGCGCATCATTCCAACCATCGGTTGGTTACGCGAGTAGTTAATTATGCAGTATATTTTGCGGCGCAAGTATACAGTCGATGCCCACTACAGGCACTACAAAAGTTTATTTTGAAATACAATTTCAATATTAAAAAATATATTTACAAATGATGAATGGTTAATTTTCTACGATTTTTCGAAGTTTACGATAACTTAAATTGTTTTCGTTAATAAATATTTTTTTTAAGCTTTAAAATATTGTTGACAATTTAAGATTCATCGTTAGAAAACATTTGTAAAACGCCGAAGTTTTATTTCGAAATAAACGTACAAAATTACTACAAAATGTTGAACTTTGTGAAAAACAATTAAAAATATACTAATTATAAAAAAAAAAAAATATAAATATTTGTATACAATATAAATTTGAATACACAACCTATATATTAAATAATAGTTATTTGCCAGATCTTAGAGGGACACCATAATTACACGTCTTCGGCCGTTTGTTACTAAAATATAGTCAGGCCGGGTTCGTCGGCATGTTAGATGCGAGCTGCTGCTGCCATCCGTGTTCGTGGTGGCGACTCGCCATTTTCGACGAATGACAAAATTCGATTGTTGTGTAAACGCATAAAATCTATGCTCATAATGTACACAGTCCCGTAAAAATGCGCGTCGATATGTATACCAAATATATAAAATTAAATTAACACCTATCAAGGTACCAATTTTCTCAGAAATTCATGGAACATATTTATATCTAACCAGTAATCAAATATTACAATCTGATAAAAATTGATATGTAATTATAATAAAATCTATTCTCTAGTAATAAATTCTGTGTACCTACCTACTTATTTATATGTATATGCATTCATTTGAGATAATTATGTTTCTGAATTGTGATTAATTAAATTAATTAATTAAATAAAGTGCATTGTTTATTATTTTAAATATTCATAATGTATAAAAAAAAAGCAGAAAAAAAGTATTTTTTGAAGATCGCCATTTGGTGATTTTAGTATAATTAATTTGTTTTGACAATTTTCCATACTAATGATTAATTTTAAAGTATTTTGCAGTGCTTTTTATTTTATTTTAAATTTGAAATGTATTTTTTTTTTTAAATCAATAAACTTGTACATTAAAAGACAAAAGTTATTATTATATGGCAAGTAGTTGCTTACAAACGAAGCTGTATTTTAATTACACGATATTATGACAGTGATGTATTATATTTTATTAATGGTAAAATAAAACAAATTATAATGTATTATTAAAATATTAAAAACATTGACACAAATAAGATAAAAATAATACTAGTAAAAAAATAAATAATAAAATTTGTGGTAATCTTTAAAAAAATTAAAAATGTCAAAATAAAAACATACAATGACAAATATATTTGTTAACTGCTTCTATACAGATTATTATATGGCTATATAGTTATAATATTATGTTCTATTTTAAGTTATGAATATTTTTTTAGATGATTTGTATATTATTTTAATACATTTAAAATCAATTTTGAATTTAGGTTTTTTTTTTATAAATATATTATTGAATACGTGTACACTGTTAGTATATAGATACTCTCACATTTTGAAATTTTACCACATATTACATTTATCTGATGGATTCATGGGCGTTCCTATTAAACAGTTAAAAACTCAGAGAATTTTCGAAAAAAAATTCAACAGACCATTTACTCTAAACTGAGATGATAAATAGAAATGTTTTTCTATTTGTAATTTAAAGGATTCTTTTGTACTTGATAAACACTAAATCTGAAAATTAATAAATTAGTTAATTTTTTTTTTTATTTTTTAATTCTCTGTTGCTTCTGTTTATTTTGTAAACTTACTTGAGCAAAACTCGTGAAAAAATAGTTGTCGAGTGGTAAAATAAACAACAGATAGACAATTTAGTTGACCCTTTTTTTCATCAATTAACTTTATGTAAGCACGGTACACAGCTTTAAGTTCTCCATTGTCAGCAATATTTTCTCTTGAAAAATAATAATGTCTATCATGGAAATTGTTTTAATTTATAATTAATTTGACTTTAGTGTAAATACCTAATGTGTGTTTTCCATTTATGTTATAATTATTTACTTTGAAATTTGAATATTGCTTGATTATGCAGTCTGTTTCTTTCTTAAATCTGTAGGATACCAGCTGGGAAAACAATTTGATTTTTGGTTAATGTAGTATGCATTTACGGTTTGAGGAGTCATACTCCACCTGGAAAAAAAATCAAGTATTCTTATGTTAACTAATACATGTTTAATATTTAAATATTTTTACTTAATATAGTTGACGAGTTAATCAAATTTGTTTAAGATATGAATCAAGTTGAATTTTATATCTCGTATGTTATTACTAAAATATTCATCATTACTTATAGTTAAATTTCTGTATTTTTCATACAATTGATCCAAGTCGATTAAACAATCAGATAAACCTAAAATATTTTTTTGGTAAGTACCTATTTTATATTTGAACTACCTATAAAATATGTAATATCCTATTTAACATTTACTGATCATATCTGTTATAGCATCTGCTTTTTGTTCGGCTTTGGTCTGTGTTTCTTTATCCATCCAATGCAAGTTTTTAAAGTTGTCTTTAAATGCAGTTTTTATTTTGTTGATCATTTCTTCAGTCTGCAAAATGTATAATATTGTATATAATGTAGTGTTCATATTTTCCAATAAAGAGTGCTATGAAAAGCTTTACTAGTTTTTTTAACTGTCCATGGAAAACTTCCCGAATAACGTATAACGTATTGGAAGCGTTATACATTCAATATATATAAATATATATATTATTCAATATATTCAAATCTTAATACATTGTTTGTATCGCTAATACAGTTCTTTACCGCCTTCAGATTCCAATAGTGCCTTTTGTGGTCTTTTAAACGCGTTTCGAAAAACTTTTGATAAATAAGGAGTAAATGTCCTGACAGTTTGCCAACCCAAATAGTTCTTAATCATCCTATATATAACAATTTAATACAATATCAGTAAAATAATAAAATGTAGGTATAATAGTAATATAAAAGTTAGTTTTTACTTTTTATTTTCTGGAGATTTACTGTATTCATTGATTAATTGAGTAAGATTTGTAAAAAAAGTAAAGTATACAACGACATTCTCGTTTAAAAAATCTTACTATTAACTTTTCTATAAGTCAATCCACCACAATCTGCCATATTAGACATGCACGAAACTTTTAAAAGGCTCATTGCTGTAAAAGGACAAGTAAAAAGTTTATATTCTATCTCATCTTGATGAGCTTACAGCGATCATATTTATTTAAATATTCTGTTTACCCATTATTTTTTAGGTTGTCATTAGACCAATAATGTACATTGCCACAGAATTGTAGATAAGGTTGAGGCTGTCTTGTTTTTACAAAAAATTAAAATTGCCATTGAAGATCCCAGAATAATTGTTGCAGGATTATATTTTGAATAATTCTGAAGCCAGCTGTACTTAGACTTAACAAGCAGTTATTAAATAACTGTAATTGAATTTTTCCTTTATAACATTCATAAATTCTGATTTCAATTTTTTAATATTTAATGATCGTCCTTTAAGTATGCATGTTCCATCCATTCTACAAATAAAATTAGATTCTACTGATTATAACAGCAGTCTTGTTTATAAGTTATAATTGATATTCATAACAGCAATTCTTACATTGTAAATTCAAATTAAATTCAAAAGTATATATTTTTACATGTACAATATATTTAAAAATGTTTCATCCATTATATTTTAAACTATTGCCTTCAAATATTGAAAAAAAAATATTGTATTCAATTTTTATTTATTATGGACCCACTAAAATTATTTTTTTACCCATATATTTAAAAATAGATTATTTTATAGAAAATGAGCTACACTTGATACATCAGAGCAAGATGTTTGATAGAAAAGTTTGTACAACAAATCGAGGGGTATTTTGCAAATGAAATAGTCCAAGTGAGTGATGGCTTGGGTTTCTAGGTACACCCAAAATGCATTTGTTTTTCCCTTATTTAGATAAAAGGGGAATAAAAATGCAAAACATTTTTTCCTAAAACATGGATTTGAACTTGCTGAACAATTTAGCTACAACAAACATACTTTAGAGAAGACACCATTGAATTATTTAACATAACATACAATATCCATATAATATCAGAACTTTAAAAAGCTATAATTTCGAAACTCAATTCTGACTTCACCATCGTTCTTAAATCGGCAATGTACAAATCTAAAAAAAAAAAAATAAAAAATTCGATTTTTTCCACATAATTTTTTACTCAACAAAAGTTTTGTCAAAATTTAATATTAAAATTTCTTTACAAAAACAAATACTACATTAAACTCACATTTTTTTTCGAACACAAATTAAGACTCTTAATAAACCTCTTGTTAAATTTTCAAGCATTTCTGTCAAGTCTATCAATTTTACCGCGGAATATTTAATGATTAAAATTACGTACAAAACTCACAAAATTAAAATGTCTATAAATAGCTCAAATAAGTTTTTTGTCCAAATTTCAAGTCTCTATGAATATTTTTAACTGAATTACAAAATTTAAAAATAATAAAAGTAAATTTTCCGTTTTTCTTACGCTTTATTCTGGCTTTTCTCAGGTATTATGAAAACCGCTTGGAAAATCAAAAAATTAACTCCCAAAAGTACCAACTGGACAACATTCCCTTTCAGAAATGGTGTCACGCGGAAATATCTGAGCAAGATTTAAGATCGCATTTGTGCACACAGTATAAAAAAAAAGAAATTAACATCTAAGTAAAATCAATACATTCTTCGCTACACTCAAAATCTAAAATGAGTTTGGGTCGTAAACTAGATTTATACCTTGAATTTGAGAATACGATTTTAATTAAAATATAAAATTAATTATTAAACTTATTTACCTATATGTTTATGAATGAACAGCAGGTCACTGATAAAATATTCTTCGAAAAAGAACAATAGTAATAATTTAAAATTTATATTAAAGTCATATTAATAATGAATAATGGAAGCTATGAAAATTAAAAATGTAAAGAAAACCAACCGTTTTTTTGTAGGAACAAATTTTGGTTATAACCACGGATTAAAAACATATCTTAATTCGTAATTATAACTTCTAACATTTATTATCTTGATACGATTTTTAAATAAGTGTTTTTCTTCCATGAAATTATTAGAAATGTTAACAATCGTACAAAATATTTACTTTTACCTACAAACCAAAATGCTAATACCTATAACTAAAATCAATACTTTTAAAATATTAATTTTGATAAGAATAGGGGCTGCTAGTGGCCGTTGCTGGATAAAGTTGTTGGTGGGATCTTTAGATTTGCATACATTAAATACCGAATATTATAACATTATTTGATAATTAGTAAAAAAAAGGATCGGCATTGAAATCGGCACAAGTGTCTCTAAATTAAATTTTCGAATGCAATACAATAATGATGTAATTACATTATAATTTTTTTGCTTTTGATTATGATTATTATATTAATGGTTTATGCTAATTTAATTTAAGTTTTCATTTACTCAAAGTTGGACGGGGGAATTAATATTTATTTGAATCCCAACTCAGTTATTTAAAATATAGTGTCTAGATAAATATTTTTTTTTTGAATTCATCGATTTGGGAATTATTCCCTTGGTTGACGGTCACTTTATTTATTATAAGCACCCATTTCATATAATCATCGTTATTTTATTATTTTATATTATAATACGCTCAAGGAGAGACGATACTCAATTACCCCCACCCCCTTGAATCCATCCCTGCCAGAAATATAATATGTATGCCTTCCGACTCGTCCTTGTCCTTGTGGATCTTGACCAACGATTTAATTTCGTGTCTCCTACAGTCTTGCAGCTTTTTCATCACGTCCGCCGTTTCTCTATCTTACCGAACCCGCAGCATTTTCATCTGGTTGGACTGCGACAAACACATCGTTTTCTCCAAGAATAAAAACACGATCTCATGATACTTCTGCAGATTTCGTTCCTGCAACACGTGGTCTTTGCCCATGGCCAACAGTCGCTTTGACTGGACGTCCTCGGGATGGAACTGGTCGAATTGTCGGTATCGCACTCGGGCGATTCGGAAGCATCCTGGTGATTGAAATATACTCTCCTGGCTGTGAAACGACACAAACAACAACAACAAACAGCCAATCAAAATAATGTAATTACGTATATATTTTATACTTATAATGATGACATTACATGGTTTTGATCGAAAGCTGCTCGACAAACCGGGAATTTATCGATAATTTTGACAAGTGCATGCGCTCCGTGTCGTGCGATGATTTCATGTGTTGTGCCCGTTGTTTTTCCTTTTTCTGTTTCCTCCGGAGATTTTCCATTTTCTTCTCGAGCTTAATATAGATATGAATATTCCATTTAAATTTATTAGCAATCAATATAAATGCCTAAATATTTTATGAAATATTCAATTTACAACTTTAATCCTATTATAACTATTATTATGCTTTAAGATTTTTTACAACTGATTCTTACCAGCAGAATAATGGAGAAAATCGGGCTTCGGTTTAAGGTTAATCTTTGGTGTGTAAATGCATTAAATTTTTACCCAATTTTTTAAATAAATATGTACAATTTCCATGACATTAGATAATTGAAATCATAATAGACAGGATTAACTCGGGTATTACAATTCAATATTACATTTTACGTCCGAATACCGTCTGTTTACCCTAAGCCCCTGCCGTTTTCGCAAGCCAACTAACCGAAATTTGAGTATAGATTTAGAATCCGATGTTCTTCCTTAATATTTTCGTTCAGGTTAGAAAGTGGCGACGGACTTGTATGGCCATTTTTCAATTTTGAGAACCACTGGGCTATCTTATCATTTATTGCTAGCGGAATATACGTAAATATCGCATACCGAATCTTATTGAGGTTTGTTGTTTTTGTTTGTATTCAAAGTTTTGTGTGTTTTACTATTTTAGATTTTTTAATAATACACTCTTAAAAATGGATACTACAAGTACGGATATGGAAGTAGACGAAGTAATAGATAATGTTTTATCTACAAGTGTTACTGGCAGTGTTTCTGTATCGTTACATCCTCTGGTCATTCTTAATATATCCGAACATTGGACTCGTTTAACAGCTCAAGTTGGTCATTCAGTTCCCACCCTTGGAGCTCTGATTGGTAAACAAAAAGACCGTACTCTTGAAATAATGAATTCTTTTGAATTGTCATATACTATACTTGATGATTCATCATTGGTCATTGATAGAGATTACTATAACTCTAAAGAAGAACAGTTCAAACAAGTAAGTTATTGGATAATTGCTTAACATAGTGTAGTTTTAAAATGTTGAGATATAATTAACTGGTTATAATTTGTATTATTCTAGGTATTTTGTGATCTGGACTTTCTGGGATGGTATATAACAGGTACAGGTTCAGATAAACCTTCATTACGAGACATTGAAGTTCATAAGCAAATCACCAATATTGCTGAAAGTCCAATATTTTTAAAAATGGATCCTCATGGTGGTCATACTGATTTACCAGTCAAAGTATATGAGTCCATCATTGATATAATGAATGGAGAAACAAAAACACTGTTTGTTGAGTTATCTTACACACTATCGACAGAAGATGCAGAACGAATTGGTGTTGACCATGTTGCGCGTATGTCTAGCAATGATGCACAAGAAAATAGTTTGGTTGCTGAAACTTTAACTGTTCAGTTTAATGCCATCAAGATGCTTCATAGTAGAGTTAAAATGTTACTTGATTATTTAAAAGAAGCTAAGAACTCTGAAAAACCAATTAACAATGAAATACTGAGGTAAATTAATTGATTTAAAATAGTCATTTTGCAATTTATTACATTATTACATTATTTTATTTTGTATTTGATAGGGAACCACCAGGGGAATTTCTCTGTGTGCTCCATGAAACTCTTATATTAGTATTGTATATCTTAAAAAAAATTGAAGTTTAGAAACTAATTTTAGCTTAATTCAACCATAATATTTTATTACTCCAACATTGGAGTACAAATATTTGAATTTCAGGTGAAGGGGTGTGTATAAATTAATATTATAACTCAAGACGACACTATACCTATATGTGCTGAATTAGTCCAACTAATGGGTAATATAGCAAAATTTACCTTCTGCAGACTCTGTAGAAATCGCTTAATTTTGGTTTTAGAGCAAAATCATCTCTCTTTTTCTATGGTTTCAATCCGTGGATTGGTTTGCAGCAATCTTCCATTCTTCTCTATTATCCGCTTTCCTTTTCATTTCTACGTATGAGTTGCATTCTTGGTCTTTTATTATCTGTTGTGTATATTCTAATTTTGGTCTTCCCATATACGCTTCCTGCTATAGTCAGTTTTAGTAATCTATCATGTCACATATGACATCTATTCATTTTGTCTTTTAGTACATTATTCCATAGCTTCCCGTCAGTTAGTCTTTCCATTACCACTACATTGGTTACTCTGTCCATCTAACTTACCTTTAACATTATTCTATAGCACCACATATTTTTTGTTTTTATTTCTAAACAATATATTGAATCTTATACCTAGAATAATAATATAAATAATAAAAAAAATGCTTCATCTGGCATTCCTGAATATTGTCCTCTTTTAACTTTATAATAGGTACTTTTACTCTAAAACCAAAATTAAACAAGTTCTACGCAGACTGCGTAAGGGTATAGGGTCCTCTCAATTGGAGAAAACTATTATTATTATACATTGAAACCTTTATATATCAGATAATTATGAGACTATGAAAAAAAAAAATATCTGTTATAGACAAGTGTCTGTAATGTACAGGTGCAGAAGGTGGCATTGCAAAGAAAAAAACAAATGGACATACTTTACATGACTAGTGAGCCACTGTTCTAGGAGAGAAGTTGAGAAGGTAGAGGGGGAATTTAATGTATACCTTGTGTACACCTGTAATAATTAACTATTGCTAACGAAAAACAATTTTCAGCAGAGTTCAGTTATAACGTTTTAAAAGGCTGTAATATTTACAATTTTAAAATAATACATTTCGTGCATTTTTCTGTTTTTCCCAATTTATTATAAAAACCCCTGGGGAAATCAAAAAATAATCTCACTCCTCTCAGAATTTTAAATTTAAAATGAAAAAAAATCTACCTATAAACTATAATTAATTATTCAGTGGTGGCGTGTAAATTACGTACCAAAAACAACATTATAATAATACAATTTTAACTCCAATACCCACACAATATTTGTATAAAACGCTTAGTATTAAAACCTTAGTTTTAATTATTATCCTTGTTCTATGATACCATTAATATTTGATATTAGAATATTATATTTTAACAATTTATATTTATTTATGATATATAATACTAGTATAGATATGTATTATAATTTATTTTCTAATTTTCTATGAAGAAAAATTCAGTTGACATTTTAAAATCATAAATACATACATGGACATAATATACTTACCTATTACATTATTTTAATGTAAGACTAATTTGAGATAGAAACTTAAATTGTTTAATTGTGTTTAAAAATATCAAGCACAAAAATAGATTATACATTAATATACATTTTAATTTTTTTTTTACGTGGTATATTATCAACCCAGATTCAATTTGTTCAAAGAGCAATGATTGTGCCACTTATTATCTTATTAACTTTTTTAATATTTGTTAACAATATACTTTTTATTGGACATAATTGTTGAATAAGAAACAAAGCAACTTTTTATTCAATGCTTAGTTAAAAATAACAGAAATAAATTTAAAAACTAAAATTAAAATATTTAGAACTTAAAATTGGTACCTTATTATTATTTACCTCCTACTTGATATGGGAATTCATCAAATATATTGATTGAAAAATCTAAACATGATTGAATTATTTTTCTAAGTTACATATTGTTTATTATATACAAAATGTAAACATTTCATTTATAATGGTATAGATGCATAATATAAAATGTCAATTGGTCAAAATTCAAAAAAAGAGCTCATTAATTTTCATCAGGGCATTTATTTCATTGTTATTCCTTAAAAATACTGTAATTTTTGATTCAGTAATAAACTGTTAAAAAAACTAATACTCTAGTTAATAATTTAACATAAAACACAATTTGTAATTATCAATAACTTTTTTTATTTAGTGTTGTTATAAAACTATAATAATAAATAATAACCAGAAATATTAAAATAATAAAACAAATAATCATTTCAATAACAAATTAAGTAATGAAGCTGTATCTTATTTTCTAAAACAAAAAAATATATATATTATATTTAACTTATTTTTATTTTGTAGGGAATACATATCGTTGTGCCACAGACTGCCAGTTATGGAATCTGGAGAATTCTACAGGGATTTGTATACACATTGCAATGATGTAGCTCTGATTGCTTATTTGGGAGTAATAACCAAATGTAGTAATGAAGTAAATGATTACTGTAACAAATTCAATGCACTCTATGATCGTCAAGTTGTTGGTAGAAAAGTTAAACCTTTGTTTTTGTAAATTTTTTTTTTGTTATCTTGTATTTAAAAATCCGATAAAATTTGCAATAATAGTATACATTTATTAAAAACGTATACATATGTAAATTGGTTTTGACAGTTCAAACTACAATGTAAAGATAAAAATAAAACCTTTATAATTTTAAATAAATATACAATATGAGTGAACTTATCAATATTTTCATTTATTTTTCATTACAACACTTATCAAGCATAGCTCTAAATTTCACATCAAAATATGTGTGCATATTCCCTAAATTATAATTAGTATTTAACAAGCTATAAATTTAATTTACAAACAATACAAACCCATGTACCAAAAATGTTGAGATCGCATAATATTAATAGGAATTAAATTTTGTTTCTTTAGAGTTAGGATTTAACATTTGAAGAAAATGAAATTATCAGTCAAAAGAAATATTACAAATTAAGCTTGATATGTGGAGCATTTAAAAATAAAAATAAAAAAAGGTGCTTTTTAAAAATATTTGTCTACTTGCTTGTAAAACTTCAGGTTATTGTCATCTTTATTTTCTAATGATTAAAAAACCAGCTTAGGTTTTATTTTAATGATATTTATATATTATATAATATTAATTTCAGCAACATTTAATGGCCTAATTTCTACATATATGTATATTATATTTATTATTAATGTAAAGATGTACATTATTTTTGTTTAGTAATAATTAATAGTACACAGCATTTAAGGACAAAAACAATCAGTCCATTATTAAAATGTATTTAAGGACTATTTTCTATAATATTATCTACACCTATTTAAATAAGTGGTATCTCAAAATGAGTAAACTAAAGTTAATTTGTAGGCTTTATTGTTTCCCTAAGTAGCTATTAAATTCACAATTCAATATCTTAATAATTAATTAGTAAGGGTTGTTTATGGTTCGGTTGTCAATGGTTGGTGATAATAACGACTGTAAACTAGTCGATAGAGCATAATATTTTATAGTGTGTGGTGACTGTAAATGTCGATGTGGTATAACTTCACGCACTCCAGGATTTGTTAACTCTTCCTAAATTGTAAAAAACAAATTTATTTTTTATTTATTAATATTAATACTATGTTAAACCTGTAGCGTGAAGACTTCTTCTCAGGATTGGGTTAATTTCATTTTACGACCAGTAATGGTGCCCACTAGTGATTTCAATGTAGAACTGATACCTTTTCTTGATATGCCATTTAAATTTGGACTATTAATATTGTGACTCAAAGACATACTTGGATTCAGACCTTGTGGATGTGCATCTAAGCATTTCTGATATCTTAGCTATAAAAAATAATAATTATAACTATTTTTTTGCATTAATCATTTTTAAGATTGACATACTTTGCATGCAGCTTCAATAGTTTTACAGAGTGTTCCAGCAGATGGTTCACACTCAAATACATGTGCGATGAACAGATCTTGAGTGGTATGCATAATAAAAGCACATTGTTTTACATTTTTGCCTATTCCCAAAAATGATAAGTACCTCACACGACATTCTACCACTTGATCTCCTTCATCCTGAAAACAAACAAAATATATACAAAACTATAGTTAATTTTATTAAATTTTCCCCGAAAATAAAGATTACTGCACTTTATTGTGTTATATTATATTCCTCGATATATACACAAATGTATTTTTTTTACCTACTACTTATGAACACTTCTGGTAGTTTGGACCAAATGATTTTAAACTAGAGAATTATTTGAGTTTATTTACAGATGGATTTAACTGATTTTTTAAAAGTTCAGTTGAACTAGTTTTTAAGTATTTAATCTGAGTAAGAATATTGCAGGACTGTTTTTTTTAAGTTTTACTCAGCTTTACAGAACCCTCCCTCCTATTAAAATTAGAAGGATTAAATGTGGAATAACATATATTAGGTTAGTGACAAGGATGTAGATTTTGAAAGTTTCAACTCTTAACTTCTGTCCCCACATTTGTATCCCCAAATTTCATGTTATAGGAAATAACATGGTCTAGACACCTCTACAGACTACATACCTAAATTAAATAAAGGTATCAAGATAACTGGGGGAAATTTTGATTATAGTAACAGAGCTCTGCTGCTCACTAGTTTTTTTTAAAAATATATTTAATTACAGTAGCTTGTTGAATGGTAATCATTGAAGGTGCAACTGCTACTGTAACTGTTTGGGGTATGGAAGTAGGTGAATTTTCCAAAGCAATAATCGCATCATTAAGTACATCCATTCCAGACGCCTTGGACACTTCAATTGAGCCCAAATAAGTAGCCCGAATAACTTTACGTGGTTCTTCCATTGGTGTAGGAAACGGTTGAGCTATGAAAATAATATTACACATTATATATAAGTAATTAAATAACTTTAAAAAAAGTACTTATGAAAGATATTATATCATAATACCACATTAAACCAAAAATCCATAAAAACGATTAAATTATTATAGTGGGTAAATATGTGCGTTTATCAGTAACAATACTCAATACAAAACAATGGTTAAATCATTTATTTCTAAATTGAAATGCCTAAATTCTGATTTATGATATATACCCAGATTACTAGTTGCAGAGTAACTATTTCGATAATTTCTACGTTTGCGATATTCCAATGGAAGATTTGTAGGTCTAACAGGCTGATTCATTTTTGTTGCAGTATCTAAAAAATAAAATTAATTAATCATAATTTACAGAAAATATCAATATCTATTAATACTTATATCTGTAGATCTAGAAACATTTTGCTGGAGACTACGCTCAATCATAATTTTTTTACAAATATCCCTAAGCGTATTGGCTATTGTACGAGCAGGCATATCACATCTGAACACATGGCACATGTGTCGGCGGGTTATTCTATCACGAGCTACGTATGCAAAATCTCTGAGAAATAATATTGTTAGTTTAATTTATCTAGTGTAGTAAATTATTAAATGTAATTTATTATTTTTCAAATGCATTATAAAATTGTGTTTCTTATTAAACAATAATTGTATAAATACTACCTCTCCCTGGAAGTAAAGCATTGGAAAAAAAAAACAATACATTATTATTAATTATTAATACAACAATATAAACAATACCAATAGCTAACAAACCTGCCATTGTCTCGCCCAACACCCCATACTCTAATTGTATGTATAGGTTGAGTATTCAATACAGTAAGATTCTCTGGATCTATTAACTTTAATGCACCTTCATCCAAATCCATAAAAAGATCTTTTCCCTGAAATATCAGTATCGCATTAGGAAGGGTAAAGTTTTTAAAAATTGATTATTTATACTATGTATTTGTAAATTCTTACATCTCCCCATCGTCCAACATTATCAATAAAGTCATTACGTCCAAGTGATAAATCAACAATACATTTATTTACAGCTTTACTGCTTCTTTCTGGTGTCAGATCATCTTCACAAATTTCTACCCATCCCAAAGAACGAACAGCAAATCGTATACCTTTATTTTCATTTTCAATTCGAGCTGGATAACTTCTTCGTCTAGAACATAACAATACAGTATAATACAGTTTGGTTAAAATAGCATTTATATAATTGTATAAATAAATCTTACTTATAAGCCATATCTTCTTTTCTATTCTTTTGGTAGCACAAATTTTCAAGAGCTGAACTTGTTGTACTTCTAGTCACTGAACTCACTAAACCTCCAGTATTGTTTTGAAAACTGTTCAATACCTTGAACAAATATGAAAAATTATTGTAGGTTTTTTTTTTTTAAATATTAATTATTATAAATATAACTATTTAGAAACCTTTATATACAATAGATAAAATTAGACAGGTAAATAATAAAATTATATTAATTATATTATATTAATATTATATTAATAAAATGTATTATTAATTTAAAATCATACCATATAAAATAGATTCATAACTTTAAAATTGTATTGTTGTCACCTGTTAGTTTAATTAAATTAAATTGTTAAAAAAGTTATTCCAATAAAACCTATTTATTTTAATCAAAATAATCAAACAAATTATAATTCAAAAATATGTAAATAATTTAACAAATTTAATGATGTAAGTAAATGTGGATGAAATAAAAAGTTAGTATGGTAAGACTTGTAGGTATTAGTTTTTAGACATTACCGATTCTGCATCTTTGACTAATGGTGTTTTAGGCTCATTTTTACCACTGTACTCTGGTGGTTCCCTTTGAATTGTTCCACTTTTAATATGCCAATAATAAGGGCCATCATTATCTAAAATTTAATTTTTTTAATAATTTTAAAAGCCAAAAAATTAAGATTATTTGTACCTTCATGTTTTTCCCATCCAGCTGGCAATTCACTTGTGTATTCATTTGAATTACTTTTTATTGGTAATGCATATAAATCGTTATTCAAATCACCTTGTATATGTTGTATTTCTTTATTAATATTAGATGAATCATTTTGTTTGTTTAAAGAAAGTGTATTTGGAGGGGTACGTTTCTCGTTAATACTAAAATTGATGTGGTTGAGTTAAATTACAATTGGATACTATTATTGTAAGATACCTATAGTATATTGAAAAAAATTAACTTACTTTCCACCTTTGCATTTTGTTTGTTCAGACTCTTCAATTAAATCCGGTTTTACATATGTTACTTGCATTTGATGATTTTGGTTGGTAACATTTGTCAAGTCATGTTGATTTGTAATATTTGTATCTCTTGTCACATTACAGTTCACATTTTTGTTCCTGAAAATATATTAGTTTCAATTAAAAAAAAAATCAACCAACCATATAGTTAACTTTATAACTACTATAATAATATTAGGTAACTACTGTTATTGATAGTAAATAGTACTATTTATAAACATTTCCATTACCAAGTCTTCCCAGTTTGTCCCTGCAACACGTCCACGCCCATTGATCCTAGATCTAATGATTTGTAACGTTTTCTGTTAATATTTTCTGTGTTGATGTTGCACACTGTGTCAAATTCACGACATAAATACTCTGAATACAGTATGCAGTCATCGGTCAGATTAAACCCAGGAGAATCGGTAGCTGATGTTAGGTTTGAGTTCAATGCGTCGTCTAAAGCTAAGTGACCCGTTCCAGCAAGATGATAGTTTGGATTCTCGTAACTCAGACGGCCGTTCTCTAAAATTACACATAATATTTATCTAATATTTACACATATTATAAACTTTACAGATTTACACAAATATTGTTTGCAAATAGATATAGATACTTTCTTATAATGGTAAATGGAAAATGTCCTCCCCCTTTATTTTCGGAATCACAAATTTTTTCCCTAGTACAATTTTGAAAGCGAATATTTCGGACACAATTTTAAATTTCAATGATACTTTCCTTACTAAAATTCCAATCGGTTTTCTAGAAAATTGTGATTAATTGTTTATAATTATGTGTATGGAAATATTTAGTAATTAATTTTTTTTTATTTTAATGCACGTAAAGTCAAAATCAGACATAAACAGAAAAATAATAATTTCATAATCAAAATTGTTTTATAAAATATAGGGAAATGTTCTAAGTACTCCACAAAAAATAAACTGTGGAAATTTTCCCACATTCACTTATAAAAATAATTATTAATCGTAGTAAAATCGAACCGATAATTTATACACACTATTACATAAAATTCTTTTTTTTGTAAATTTATTTTATTTTTTTAGATTTTAAAAGGTTTGGATCGGGGTCTGTATAGAAGCATATAATTTTAATTTCAGTTTTTATGCAATCATTCCCTTTGATATCAGTATAATATAGCAAGTTTTATAAAAGGTTTATTTCCACAAATGCACAAAAATCGTTAATTATTTCAGTATAAACCAGGAGATTTTGGGGAAATGGGGAATTATCATCGTCGTATTCACTTGATAAAAATTTAAATGTTCAAATCATATACAACATAATATAACCGTCTTAATTTGTAAGCTTTCGGCAATTCTTTCAGTATTAAAAATGGATTATTTTTCACTTGTACAGTCAATAACTAGGTATGGTATAGAAGTGTGGGACGGAATATATAATACTCATCTCATGGGTATAGAGACTACACTGCGTTGGTTAGTAAAAGTAATTTTATAAAAGCCTAGATTGTATCCGACATTTAATCTGCTTTGTGATTTCATAGTATTACATTTAAAAGCCCTTTATTATAAAATAAATAATTATTTTAAATTTATTTAAAACTGATGTGGCCATATTTAAACCGCATCATGTATACAATACACACTTAAAAGCTTTAAGTAAGTATCTTTAAGTAATTTAAATTGTATAAAAGTTAATAAAAAAATTGGGAAATCCAATACGGTTTATATAGAAATTGGTGTATGTAGAAAGTTAAATATAGGTATCACTTAATTTAAAAAAAAAAATCAATACTATTTAACTATTTGTATACCTTAGATTTAAATCATTTTTATTGATTCGTTTTTTGCTTGATTCAATTAGTATGTAGTTATTCTTTCACTATTGTCTATAAGTTACAATTATCGACTTATTGAACTCACTCACCCCAAGCACAAGCCTTGTTTTTTGGAAGTGTTGTCATTTTCGTATATTATGTTGTTTTAAAAAAATGTAGTTTAACTTTATATTTATTGTACATTTATTAATTTAAACGGTAGATATATGTTTTTTAATGACGTAGGTAATACGTAGGTATTATCGTTATAACCTTATTTTTAGTATTTTTGGATAATCTTTTCAGAACCTAAATGTAAAATATTTGTGGCCATATTTAGGTGGTCGTGGGGTGTGGGGTTCGCCCCTCCCGAGTTCCGAACCGGCCCGAGATACAATCATGTTATATTAGATGGATACATATATATTTACCTACCTAGCTATATTCATACATCTATGCCTAGGTCACCTATTTATATGTTTTTATAACATGTGTATGTCCTATTTAATATTATGTAGGAATAAACAGCAAAATATCTATTCGTCTCAAAAGGTTTTCATACTTTGTGATCAATCCAGCTTAAAAATTTCAAGAATAATATTTGTGAAGTTATTTTCAATAAATAATCGTTGTGCATTTTTAATAATTATACACTGTAGATACATATAGAGATAAAAACTAAAACTAAAAATAAAATACATACCCACATTTATCTGACAATGGCCCATTGATAAACACATAGTAAGTTCTACTGTTCATAATGTTTATAGTATACTAACTAAATAAAGAAAACGTATTTAGTTGTGCAGTAATCATGCGCATAGTAAACAAGACCGACTCGTTGGTGAAAAGTAGAGGCGATGACTCATAAACGCTCGAATATAAAAATCGATATACGGGATAGTCCCGGATAAATAATACTAGCTATATAATGTGCAGTTTTACGAAAAACAAATGTTATTTTTTAAATACTACCAAGCCATTGTTTTAACTAAAAAATGTACGTTGCACCTATAATATATCTCCTTATAATATGGTAATATTTGTTTGTATAACATAATAAAACAATCTGCAAGTATGGATATTATAATGAGAAAAACATTTCATTTAGAGAATTATATCCATCTAATATAGATTATAATAAAGCAGCCTACAATTACGGAAAAAACACTTTTCACAAATTTATTTTGAAAACTTTATTTTTAAAATTTGAATGCTCTATTTGCTATTCGTATTATATGTTGACAATTAATTGTTAAAATTCGTGTTCATTTTTTTAAAAAGATATCATTCCGTTTCTTCATTATTTAGATACCTACTGTCTCTGTGTGTTATTCAGAATTTAAATTTAGGTTACATTTAGAGTTTAATGACCAAATCTGAAGGATTGGGGAATATACCTATCATCAACGTTCGCGTACTATTCGTAGGCATATTATTCGCGTACCTATATTTATATATAAATATAATACACACATAATATTGAAATGTAATCAATTGTCAGCGTGGTTTGGGGTTTTTTAATTTTTTTTCGTTGGATTATCACACTTATACTTATCACTTACGTGAAACCCTTATAAAATATTCTTCTATTAAAATTAAGTCATCTGCAGTATTTAAAATTCCTAATTTAATATTTTAATCTACTAAAAGCCATACAAATTCAAGTTTTACGTCTCATAGTTTCAATATTCATTGACCATTGGATAGTGGAAATGGTAATAAGTGTGGGTATGACGTCCACTAGCAAATATGTAAAAAGATAAATTCGGGTCCTCTTAAACATGACTAACACAAGTACCTATTATCTCTGTTACTACTAATATGATTGGACATATATTATGTAAACTAAATAAAATATTACCTACTATTTTAAGATCGTGACTAAATAGTAACTTTATACGTATAGGTATTTTCCTCCGACCATCACCATTATTCGTAATATTACAATCGCTGTGCATCTGCCCCACTATCCAAGGTTAATATACATTTCCTTCTTATTAATCGTTTACCTAACCGTAATTATTGTTGAAACCACTGTGAAAGAAATGTTACTCGGAATTTTTTAAAATTTCAGTTTATTATTCAAATGACATATTTGTTTCATAATAAATTATAACTATAGGCGCCAAGGCCGGTGTTAGAAATTATTGAGGGAAGAGTTGTACACATACAAATTTGACGAATTTTTGGCCGATGACCTTTTTTTTTGCTTATCGACCTTTTTACTATAATACTAATCTAACCTAACTTACTACAAAGCTAAAATGATTTTATTTATTTTTCTATAAATGTAAAATTGCCGACTAGAAATTCATTATTCTCACCGGTAGGGATGGGGGGTTATTATATGTTTTATATAGTTTTATTGACTTGGTGAAAAATAAACTGTTATCTATTTAAATACCTATCTAGTATCTACAATAGATATTATTTCCATTTGCTATTAATTTATGAAATTAACATATTAAATCATAATCACTGTATTTTTTAAAAATACACAGGCAACGGAGGTATTTAGAATGTTGTTTTTATTAATTCCAATAGGTATAGATAGGTGTGTAGATAATACAATAATTAAAATACGCATAGATAAATTCATATTTTACACTAAACGTCGATATATTTGATGGAGTAAAATATTATGTGAACATAACGCAAGTAAAATTAAAACATAAATTGTTATTAATATTTACCGAGTAAATTGTCATCTTCAGCAACGGTAGCAGTCATCATCGGGTATAGTGACGACAACAACGTAGTGTACGGACTTCGATTTGGGGATCTAATTATTTCTCCACACAACATACCATATACGTGTTCTAATCTAAAATTGTGCACCCTGAATAACAAATCAGTATACAAGTAATCAACATGGGTAAAATATTACCTATTATAATGATACGAACAAAGCAATTATTAATAACCCATTAATAAATATAATATTTATAATACAGTACAGCGTATGTACAGTGTACACTCAGGCTACATCTCTACAAGGGGTATCGAGTAGTACATAAATTGCTTCCATAAACATTTTGAAAATGTATTAATTATATTGGATATTTATTATTCAAATCTTAATGAAAATGATTGGTTTTTTACCGTGTGAGATTTTTTTTGTAAAATGTCTGTAATCTCCATAAATATGATGAATTATAAGATCAACTTATTTGAATATAAAGTGCTAAGTACAGGATTACGAATGTTAGCGGCCGACAAATGTTTTCGTTTTCGGAAAATAAACATAAAGTCAATATTTTTGTACATAATTTGTTTTGATATTCCAGAATTTTTACTCTAACAACGTCCACGTAGTACAATAAAAACAGGTACACTCGATATCGTTTAGAGTAACACAATGAAATTAATATTATAACAGACGTATGTTTAATCAATACATAATAATATTTTGGCTTATTATTTTTACGAAATACGGCGACATACCACAACCTGCAGTAAGATGATCAGTATAGGTATTAGTGTATTACAGACGCCATAGCTGATATATAGTAATATTTTGTTAGAAAATATGGTGATTTTTAGGTGGGATTCAAACGTTAGATGAATACGTAATAGTTGTACGAACAATAGTAGCACCTAGGTATAATATAGTCCCTTACAATAATTCATATCACATATTTCGACCGACTTTTGCAAAAGTTATGAACGCTTATTGAATTTGTAATGTTTAAAACAGCCGTTGACTATATATATATACGTGTAGGTACCGTATATGTATAGAGTTTGACTTTTTAGTTTTTATTTCAAATAAGTCCTACACCTATTCCGTATTTATAGTATAATATTATGTTACATACGCAGACAGCGTTTTCGATGGAATATCTGCATTATCTGCAATATCTATCTATATCTACAATCATAGACAATACACTGTAAAAGCAAAACAATAAAATATATCAGACGAATTAATAATGGACAATTGCAGTACAGACGAGTCGCGGATTCGCAATGACGATTTTCAGGAAATAAGTTAAGGGAGGGCGTGCATTTTTAAGACGGGACGTATTTATTTCCCCTATATATATATATATATGCTGTCGGCAATATTGATTGGGTCTGCGCGACCATTTTTGGCGCCACAAAGGCTGCACTTTATTACACTAGTCTTGCGTGGCGGTCCGAAATTAAAAAATACATATAGACTTGTTGGAGCCGAGTGCATTATTCAAATCAGCCGAGTAAAAATATAGGAATCGAATTATCGAAAACGCACATTATAATATTTTACGTTCGTTATTTTTGTCCTTCCGTATATTATAATGTATAATATTAAATGTACATGTTTGCAACTCAAAAATAACACTCACTGTATACATTTAATATATAGCAATAAATAATGTCTAATAATTTCAATATATCATAGAAGATAAATTTTCAGTTGGACAAAATAATCTACGGTTATAACGACACACTGTGCCGTTAATATCAACAACGATATTGCTTAACGTTTATGATATTTAGTTTTATAGGTAGAGTTTTATTTTTTTATTACACAAACAATGATAATTTGTAATATAGCAAAAAAAAAAAAAAAATTATTTTCATGTTAGACGGTGTTTTTTCAATAAACATTATTTTTAAAACATTGTTAATGTGCATCGAAAAAAAAAAAACTGTGAAACAAATGATTTAGAGACTGTCGTTGTAAGTTTATTATTTTTCAAACAATCGTATTCTTAAACAAACAGACAGCACTAGACAGGTACTACAATGAAAACCTGATTTTATTATTTAAGGCGGACCGCGATCAAGAAAATTAATTGTTCGAAATAAAAAGCAAGTGTATTTCGCGATTCGGGTTTTTATTTCTTGAATCGAAATATCGACAACACATGTACGACTGACATTGGTTTATCAAACAACATACACTACTTTAATAGGTATGATAATTATACTTGATTATTTTCCACGATCAATGGAAATATAGGTAAATACGATGAAAGGTTTACCTACAATGTTTCACGTGAACCGAAATCAAAAAACCGTAAAATATTTTAAAAAAAAAAACAACAACAAATAAACGTTTGTACCGTAACAATCGACTTGAGCGAGTATAAAACCTTTTGGAGACACACGATTTTAAGAACAAAAACATATTAAAATAAAAAAAAAAACAGTACCGCAGTTGTAACATTAATTGACACGTACACTCGCATATACCAACGCTTAATAATAAATGAAATGTTTTTCGAAACGTTCGAATCCGCAACGTTTACCGCGGGGGAATAAAAAAAAAAAAAAAACCGAGAACGATAACAGTAGTAATAACGATAAAATTGCATTAGGGTTAGTGTAAGCTCTGTTGTATAGGAGATCTGAGCCCTTTGGTATACGTGCAAATTATTATGATCGCTGTTCGATCTCGCGTTAGACGCGATATCGGTCATGGTACAGGTACATACAGTGTTGAATCCCAGGTATATGAAATAATTAAACAAATTTGCCTGGTCTTAGTAAGAGAACAACTGTCTGGATTCAACACCGGGAACGTACCTAACGATACCGTCGACGGCGATCGTTAAAAATAGTTATCTTAAAATCAAAAACATAATATTACATCGAACCGCGCACCACGTCCAGTGATCGTTGCAATAATATTAAAATCGACGTACTTACGAAAATATTATAATGCCCTCGGACTGTGATTGATTATTAGGCGTACGGAACTGGGCGATTGCCGATCGACAGCCTTGAAATGGAAATTCGCGACTAGCGTTCTGCTAGTGTCACACCGCAGCGCCGAAATGACCAAGTACATGAGAAAAGAGAACCCAGCTGTTGGTATCGTCTCGTTAAAGGTTGGTCAGGCGCAGGACGCAACAATACAAACATGGCCGACACACCAGTCGTATCGATTATTTCCCTTGCGCTTTTGTACACGCGGGGAGGCGAGCGCGCGCCCTAGCGTACGATGCGCACGCCCGGTGGTAACACTCGCGGTGCTCGGCGAGCGAATTAATTTCGAGACGGCTCGGTTCTCGATTTCCACGCGCCTACCTACTGCCGGAAAGCCGAGGGAAATTACCCGGCGGCGGCGCGGTCCCCGTCCGACGCGAAACACGACGAACAATACGGTGCACCGAGACACTATGAGCGTGCGTAGGTCCTCGCACCACTTGCGCGACACGGCACTGCGGTCGAACGGAATTTCGGTACGCTTCGATTGTTTTTTTTTTATTCCTGCCTTTCGCCCCGCCGCCGTTCCGAAGCGTAGACGGGATCGTTTCCGTAGTACCGAAAGGACGACCGTCGGTTCCGACGACAGTACATGTCGTCCGGCGCCGCGGTCGACGTACTTTAGACCGAATACGTCGATGATGATTATTATTATTATTATTATTGTTTCGCCAGACCATTTAACGTAACGCATACGCGTATTGCGCTACGGTGTATTAAAACCACACCTTCCTACATTATAGTTCGACTTACGAACGTTACGATTCGAACGTTTGGACCGGCGGGCGAATCTCACCGACTACCGAGTACACGGTCGCGTCATTGTTTCTGGCGGTCGCAAACCGCACTCCAAAGTCCAAATATAATATATGACACGTATATAGGTATAGGCTACCTATAAGGAAGTGTCGATTATTATTTGACCGTAAGTGCGGACCGCCAGACGGAAAAAGCTCAAAAACAAACAATGTATAGGTTGACATACCTATATTGACCATAAATACTACAGTTGGTATATTGTAATATTGTTATTATATAACTTACCCGCTTTATGGGAGAATCGTCAATATTCTATCGCTCGTAACACGTTTAACGGCCGTGTATTTATGTATCTACGGGTAATGTGCTTTCATCGGTAACGTTCACACACAATTTATTGCAGGACCGTTTCACTCATAATAACAGTAATAGCAATAATGACAATACATTAAATAATGTAATGCCGAAGTTATCCGAAAGTATAGTTGTTGCCCAAGTACATTACGCCTATGTACACTGCGGTGTACATAATAGTATGCATGCGTTACTGAACTCGCGGGGCCGAACTTTGTTGGGCTGTGTACGCGACAAATTCGGGTGTTTCGGGAGACGACGCGCGCGGTACGCGAAACGGACGGAACGGACGCCGCGGACACGGTTTCACGGCGAGTAAACAAACGGGTAACCGTGCGAAACTCGCGACATTTTTAATCCGATATTCGATTGGCGAATGACGGGACCGCTGGAACGGAAGACCGCGGCGCGGTCGGCCTCCTGATAAGGAAATAACGACCCGGTCGCCGCGCGTTGATGATAACGGTACCCCCGGATGACCTCGCGCGTCCGTCTACCGCGTGTGCGCGTATCGCACTATTATATCATGTCCGCGTGCGTAAAACGCAACGAGTATAGGTACGCGATCATGGGAAGGTAACGAGGTATGTGCCTGTGTCCGCGTATGTATCTTTCCGCGTGTATGTATCTTTCCGTGTACACCGCGGTGTACCTGCAGTCCACGTACGCGCACAGTGCCCCATTCGAGTGGGCGCGTGTGCGTGTGCGAGCTTGCCCTTATACGGTTTAAAACAAAGAGATCGGTCACAATTATATTATACGCGGTATTCCGCGACGAATGACCACTGTGCGAATTCGATATATTTAATTGTTTTTTCGTTTTTTTTTTCTTTTTTTTTTTGCTATACAAACAGATAATACGTCGGAGCGATTTACGACGGGGCCGGGCCGAATATATGTTTTCCATATCGTTCGCATATGTATTTATTCTATTCACAGTAGGGGTATAATACAGCCGCATCCGAATTTCGTCCCAAATATTTATAGGTAGATAT